CCCACACCCCAAAACCAGGAGGCGGCCGGGCCGAGTCGCGACGCCGGCGGGCAACAACGCACGTACGCTTTTTCGCTCGTCCCTGGCCCTTTGTTCGTGCGTGGCCGTCTCGTTCTGTTGTTGTCGTCGCCGCCGCGCCGACTTCTGCCATTCTCGAACACGCACGAGTACTGTATTCTGGGCACAGCGGGCGTGCGCGCGCGCAGAGCCCACCCCATGTGACCGCCAGACGCGTATGGCGATGCACGTGCAGCAGCATGCCATTATTAACATTAAACTACGACGCAGAGGCCGCGAGAGAAACTCTTCAACGGGCACTGATAGCTTGGTAGACATGCGAAGACGCCTTTTTTCGCAGGTTGTGAGGCAGGCGGTGGTGATTGGGGGAGTTCCACATTAGGTGAGGACCGTCCGGCCACAGTGCGCACGTCCGCACCCAGCGCGGCCCTGGCCGTGCCTTTGGAAACGCCCGTCCACCTAGGTATTAACCTGCCAGGCAATTCGTAGCGCCAAGATACGATTACGCAGTACCACTGTAGGGCACGGGGCGAGTGAGCATGCCGCTCGGCCATGCGATACGCGTTGTCCATCGCATGGGCCTTACTACGCACCACATCCAAAAGCTTGAGCAAAGCAGTACTGTACGAGGTAGGCATGTACGGGCCACAGCGAGAACGCATTGCTTGCGCGGCGCCGAGCAAATTCCAAGAGCGCCCGCCGGCCAGTGTCGACCTGTCTCAATGCCAGCCACTTCATGGCGTCTCGGCGAAGGGGGCATGTGCCTCAAACACTGGCAAGACACGTCTCCGCCAAGAATTAGGCTTAAACGAACGTCAACCCTCGACGAGGTCTGAGAGCGAGGCCTCGCTCCTCCTCCCTTTGGTGAGGGAGCAACCAAGGGCGCACTCGGTCCATATCGTGGCTGCAATCGCGAGTGATGCCAAATCTCAGGTATGATACCGCCGCACAGTCCGCAGTGCCCTGCCCTGGCACGGTGCGGCCGCCCCGGCTCGAGGGAACCACTCATACCCCAATCCACCCACCGGGGCGCCTCCCGCCCACCGCCGTCGTCGGTCGCTCGCCGTCTGGAGACAACCTGGAAGACTCTGGAGAACCACCTCACCAGGCGCGCTGTTTTCCACGCACCGCACCAGTGAATGGCCGGCCCCAGGGGGCTCCAAAGAGAAATGTCGGCTCCACCCGCCCCCAGGCCCGGCTCGCCCGGAACACGCTCGTCGCCTCGGCCGTTCATAAGAAGAGATTGTCGGCCGCCGCAGCCGGGTGGCCAAATGCCATGCCACTGGCACTTGTCATGCCACACCGTCCCGGGGCGGGCTCGGCGTCGGCTGTCGTGGTCGGAGACGGCCATAGCCAGCCTCGCGCTGCACCTGACTGACCCTGGCGCAACTGGGCCACGCAAGACTGGGGACAGGGACCGACCAACGGTGGGAGATGCCGCGTGCGTGGTCGTGTTGCCCGCCCTGATGTCTGCCTGCCGTGAAGTGACACATCTTGGGCACCCGTCGCAGTTACAGGTCTGTCGGTGAGACTTGTCTCTCGTCTGTGCGGCCTCGCGATGATGGGCGCCGTTGCCGCTGCGTGACTTGTCCCGAAACCAGGGCACATCGGTCCCCCGGCAGTTCTTATGTAAAGAAAGGTCCTACTGGCTTGGCTTGGCTGCCTTGACCTGCTCCCCGCGTGCCTCGTGACGAACAATACCGCAATTGCCCGGCCGGGATCAGTCTCTGTCTGGCCGGCAGCGAGACAAAGACCAGACAGGACAGGACCGGACAAAGACAGACAGCCTCCTCAGTCTTGTCAGTGCGCCCCCCAGTCACGCCGCGGGCGCTATTTATTATGCCAGGAGGGCCTGCGTCGGATCGGCTTGGCGTCGTTGGAGGCGGCTGCTACGGCGGGCGGGCGACGACGATTTCGACGCCCCGCATGCTCATTTACGTACCCACAGAATGAGAATGGGCTTCCGCGAGTTTTCTGGACTCTTGCTCAAGTCGGAAAGCCAAGGAACGGCTGGAAGAAGGAAACTCCACGGACGCTCGGGCGGGTGGGCTGGCGGTGGGCACGCCCCCAACGGCGTCAGACCTGGGGGATTGGAGGGCCGGGGTCCACTGCGCGCGTCTTATCGCCGCGGGAATGGCACTCCGCGCAGGCGTCATGGTGGACGGGAAGTGACACTTATTAGCGCATCGTACATTGGGTGTTGCGTTGCGATGCGATAATGATGCGCGGTGCTGCACTGCAACTTGGTAGTGCAGCGTGGGCTTCGCATGTCCAGAGAAAGGCAGCCGGCACCACGACGCTCAGGATACCTACCTAGACCTTAGTGGACGGGAAGCGTCCCGTCACGGTGAAGCTGCGCACGCAGGCAGGCGGCTCTCCGGCAGCTCGCTCCCCATTCGCCGCCCCCAACGACCGCACCCGCATCGGGAACCGGCCGCTGCCGCCTCGTCATCGGTCACCTGCAGCTGCAGGCATGACGACCACTGAAGAGAGTCATCCTCGTCGCACGACGACGATTCCCGTCCGCCCGCCCCTCACCGCGCCGTGCTGCCCTTGTTGCTGTTGACTGGCATGGTTTCGGACCTGGACTCCATCGGCAGCGTTGCTTTGTTCGTTCCGTAACGGTTACAGCAGCAGACTATCGATCACACACACCCCGTTCGTCCCGTCGCGACTCGCCGGCACCATCATCACCATCATCATGGTGGCCTCGTGGCTCGCGCAGGTACGCCGCAACAACGCCCACAATGTCTCGACGTTTCGCCGGGCGCCCCTCGCCGAGATCTCGGGCTCCCTCGGCGACCTGGGGACGCTGCTCCCGCTCATGATTGCCCTCGCCGTGCAGGGCTCCATCGAGCTGGGCTCCACGCTCGTCTTCACGGGCGTCTTCAACATACTCACCGGCCTGACGTTTGGCATCCCGCTGCCTGTGCAGCCGATGAAGGTAAGCTCGCTCAAATGGCCGGAACCTTGATCCCCGGCCCTGTCTAACACTGCTGCATAGGCCATAGCGTCGGCGGCCATATCTGGCCGGGAAGACCCGTCGATGGCAGTTGTTACCGCCGCAGGCCAGTGGGTCGGGGCCGCCGTCCTCATCATGAGTGTCACCGGTCTGCTTCGGTGGGCGGTGGCCGTGGTCCCCATCCCCGTCGTCAAGGGCATCCAGCTTGGCGCCGGCCTGTCCCTGATTCTCGGCGCAGGCTCGTCGCTCCTGCAGCCCCTCCACTGGATCGATCCTGTCCTGGACAACCGCCTCTGGGCCTTATTCGCCTTTCTCGTCCTCATCGGCACGCAGCATCTGCCGCGCTTCCCCTACGCGCTGTGCTTCTTTGTGCTGGCCATAGTGTTTTCACTCATTCAAGTTCTCTCGTCTCACCACAGCCTACCATGGTTCCATGTCTGGCACCCTCGCTTCTCATGGCCAACTTGGGTCAGTGCACATGATGCCCCGGCCCTGTGGATGGCAATCGGACAGCTGCCGCTGACCACGCTCAACTCCATCATTGCCGTCAGTGCTCTGGCCGCCGACTTGCTTCCTGATTTGCCCACTCCGTCGGTCACGTCTGTCGGGATGAGCGTCGCGCTCATGAACCTGACCGGAACCTGGTTCGGAGCCATGCCCGTGTGCCACGGCGCCGGCGGGCTGGCGGCACAGTATCGCTTTGGCGCCCGCAGTGGTGCAAGCATCATCTTCCTGGGCCTCATCAAGCTCGTTCTTGGGCTCGTGTTTGGCGAGACGCTCGTCGATCTCCTGAGGCAGTACCCCAAGAGTCTTCTGGGCATCATGGTCCTCGCCGCAGGTCTGGAGCTGGCTAAGGTCGGGCACACTCTGAACCAGGGCGCACCGGACCTGTGGCAAGAGTCGGCAGAACGGGAGGGCTCTTCGGTAATCACTCGGAAGCACCGTACCCTCAGCGACGAGGAGCGTCTGGAGAGATGGACGGTCATGCTGATGACCACGGCGGGAATTATGGCGTTCCGGAACGACGCTGTGGGCTTCCTGGCCGGCATGCTCTGCCACTGGGCGTACAGGGCATCAAGCTGGTTCACGAATTGGAAGCTACGTCGCTCGGGCCGCCTGGCGGAGCTGAACCCTCTTCTTCGGTAACAGGGGATTTCATTATTGTCGATGTATCTCTACCGGGCTTTTGCGTTATCCTGATGGTGCTCCTACGGCATACCTTTTAGGTCCGAGGGGACCCCATTCCTCTATCCATTATGCATTATCACACCGCCACTACCATTTCTCCTCTAGGCTCCTGTCGCTAGGCCATGTTTCATAGTGCTGCCCGTGGCTTTCCTTGACCTTGAGGAGGAGGTACCTGTCAAACAAAAAGAAGAGGGCGATACTAACGCCCAAACACGATCCCTCGACAATGGCGGTGACTTTGGCCGTGATGCTCCAATTCCCGTGCTGCTGCGAGTAGACGCCAACGAGGGTCGATATCAGGCCAGCAAGGCAGTTGGCGACGCCCGGGACGATGAGTTTGTTGAGCAGCCAGACGTAGTTTGGCAGGTGCCTCAGCGCGAGGCTCGCCATGCCGACGACAGACACGCCACACGCGATGGCGGCGAGGACGAGCAGGGGTATGTTCTTGACGCTCTTGAAGATCTTCTCGGTGGTCTGGTCGGTCCAGGCGTGGCTGTCCTCCTTGCCCTCGAGCGAGTGCTGGATGCTCGTGAAGGTGCCGGGGAAGACCAGGAAGCCGGCGAGCAGCAGCCAGACGAAGAAGGAGGCGAGGATGTTGTGCAGCGCGGGGATGTCGTCCTGGCCCAGGAGCATCTGCACGTATCGCGAGTGCAACGTGTCGGAGCGCGCGAGGGGCTTGGGCGCATCCTTGGGGTGTCGGCCGTGGTGGTCCGGAGATGAGGTCCACGAACGGGCGACGCTCGGCGCCGGCTCTGTGGGTTTCGAGCGGAACGGCAGGTGGAATGGCATGTTGACGGTGTAAACGAGAGGGTTGTAATATGAACGACTGAGGGGCTTATCCCTGAAGCCGGGCCTGAAGCTGAAGCCGAGAAGATATGTGTATTTACAATAAAGGCACACTCAGACAAAGGGAAAGAAGGAACAGAATCACAGAGACAAGGAGGATCAAGGTCGATGTGGCGTCGCACCAGGCCTGCCTTTGAAAAGGGACATCTTGCCGTCTAAATACAAAAAGAGGCGTCAACATCGAGGCTGGGCCCCATTCCCATCAAAGTCGTTTTCAACTCGCCGCCTGCGCGCGTAGCGATAGGCCGAGAATGGCTCCATCCCGAGACACCGTTCAAACCCACGTTGTGAACTGTGGTTGTGTGTAAGCCGGCAGCTTGGTTGGCCCCCCTTGATGTCGCAGCAGGCGCCCGAGCCGGGCGGTTCCAATACTGGGGAATGGTTGTGGGGTGTTTTCCCCCAACAAGCGACGGGATGGATTCCTCGACTGACTGGCGGGTGGGCGGCAGGGGCGGCGACGGCGCGGCGACGGCGGCAGAGCGGCAGCGGCCGAGGGACGAATCAGCGGGAGGGGAGCCGCCGTTTCGACGGCCAGGCGCGGCGGCGCATCGTGAGTGTGTGTTAGTTGCGCAGCTACAGGTATCTATTTCTGGGCGCTGTATAGAGTAAAGGGGGCAGTTGTTACTGGTAAAGGGTACGCTGCTTGCGTTGATTCGCTGTCAGGGCCGTGGATGACAGACTTGTGCTTTGCGGCTGTGAATCATCGCACGGCGGGCTTAACTGTGTGTACATAATAGTTGATGACGACCAGATGGGGCTGTGGCTCGGGTTGGGGTAGTGGTTGTTGTCCTCGGCTGCAGCAACCCCAGAAAGGGCTGGCGTGAGTCATGATGGGATAACAAGGTGTTTGATGAGTGCGTGTAAACTGGTCTTGAGAAAGTATAACAGTGAGCCGGTTCCCATGCCACGATGGCCGTCTTTGCTATTATGTAGGTGCTCGTTACTGCCACGGATGGAGGATGACATGCAGCATCCAGCAAACAGGGTGTTGTCTTTCTCGGACGGCCAACACAATCGCATGTGCACATTGTTCCTGAGACTTTCACGAGGGTCCGCTGCGTTTGCTCCACGAGACTTGCTTCTTTCCGCGTAGAGCCCATGAGGCAAGATATCCATGGATCGTGTCGTCTTGCCAGCGCAGTTGAACCTATTATGTAGCATCCTCTGCATTCAGTAGGCGGACGCGCAGAACCGCCCCGGGTCTGGGTTACCTAAGGCGGGCAGCGTGTTAGCGGTCATCAGGCGCTGGCCAGCCCACTGTCAGAGGGGTCCTGACAGTCAAGCCAGTGGAAACCTCCTCAGAGAAAAGTCGACTCCACCCGCCGGGCGTGGTCAAGAGGGGCCCGGCGCAGCCAATCACAGCGCGGCTTCCCGCCTTCGGCCAGCGCCCCCCGGCATCCGCCCATTGGATCATTGGATCGCGGCAGAGGCTCAAAGACAGGCCAGGCCAGGCAAAAGAGGCTCCATCTCCGCCTGCCTCTTGCTCTGCCTGCCCGTGCTGCCAGCCCTGCGCCTGCCTTTTGATTTTCCCTGTTCCCGCCCGACGTCTCCCACCCATCACCCATCGCCAGCACCGAGCCCGCGGGCGGCTTCAATCAGCAATCGACTCCCAGGCGCCCCCCATCCCGCGCGCGACGCGATCCGCCGCCGCCCTGCCCGCTGATCTAAAGTGTGTCGTCCGTCCTCCTCGCCTCGCCTCGGCCCTCGCTTCGAGCCGGAGAGGCGAAGGAGCTGCGCCCGCCCCCCCGCCCGGCCTCCCCCGTGGCGCAAGCAGCCGACGACGCAGCGGCGGCAGCAGCAGCAGCAGCAGCAGCAGCCGTCATGGCCTCGTCCAGCGACGGCCGCGATGGCCCTGGACCGGCCCCGGCTGCTGCCTCTGCGACTCCGGCCGCGACCGTGGCCGCCGATGACGCCCGCGCGCCGTCCCAGAACATCGAATCCGCGTCCGAGGGAGAGCTGCTCGCAGCCACGGCCGCCGCCACGCAGCAGGACCCTTCGTCAAGCTCTGCGCCTGCCCCGACCGCCGCGCCCGCCTCGAGCGAACCCACCTCCGGCGCGCCTGCCATGACGACTGGCGAGACGGCGGTGACGCCTGCGGCGTCCGCATCTGCTGCGGCGCCCGCGCCTGATCCTGCCGCCGTTACATCCCAGCCATCGCTCGACCCGACCGCCGCCGCTGCTGCTGCTGCTCCTGCGCAACAGACAGCTGGCGTCGCGCAAACTCCAGATCCGGCGCCCGTGCCAGCCCAACCCTCGACGCCTCCCTCCAACAAACCACAGCCCGTCACCCTGGACCGGCCGTCAACGCCTCGGGCGGCTGCCGTCGACAGGCCCAACCCCAGCGGAGGCGACAGTCACGTCGACGAGCCTATGCCCGACGCCCCTGCGTCCACCCCAGCCAACGCGGGCATCCAAAGCCAGGTTCAGAACCAAATGCAGCCGAGTCAACAGCAACATCAAAACGCCAACATGCAGCCGAGAAACGACGACCAGTACCCGCCATCAACCCCTTTCACTCCCGCGGCCATGTCCAACATCGATCAACAGGCCTATATGATGATGGCCTTCATGTCCGGGGCGCAGAGCGCCATGTCGCCGCCTCCCACCGTGACGCCCGCCCAGGTCACGCTCCCCAACCCTATGGACGGCGAGCTCAATGGCTTCGCCGCGAACAACAACCTGCGGCAGGCAGCTGCCGATAAGGGACTTGAGTCGTTTGCACGCATCGAGTTCGCCGACAGCGTGTTCCAGATGACCACCTACGCCGTTATCATCGGCAGAGATCAACGGGCCCTCGAGCAGGCCCGCCGCGACGAGAGACGCGCCGAGGAGCACAAGCGGAGGATAGAGGAAAACGCCAGCAAGGGCCTTCCGCCGCCCTCCCCGATTCATCAGGACCGTAGCAAGTTTAGCAAATCCTACGTCAGTGAGGAGGGTGGCATGCTGGGTCCCGAATCCGATAGCGAAGAAAACGGCCGACCCGCCAAGCGCCGCAAGACCAGCACCACGGGGTCCTCGCAAAAGGACAACGACGAGTCCCAGGAGAACATGATTTCCAACCGCCAGTACGTCTCGCACACACCGGGCGCCGCGGCTGTCGACCTCACCTCCCTCCGGCCCTCTCCGTGGCATGTGCCGTTTATCGGAATCCACTCCCCTGGCCCAGATATCGCGAGCAAGACAAAGGCCATCTCTCGGGAGCATCTAAGGATCGCCTACAACCAGAAGGAGGGGGTCTTCGAGGCCATTCCACTCCACAAGAACGGTTTCTTTCGCGATGACATTCATTATAAAAGCGACAAGGTCGTCCTGCATTGCGGTGACCGGTTGCAGATTAAGGACGTCGACTTTCGCTTTATGATCAACGGCGTCGAGAGAGGATGTACAGGTGCCGAGGAGTACAAGGAAGAGGAGCCTGCCAAGAAGCGAAAGACTCACGGCGGCAAGGAGATGAGCTTCGACTTTGAGCAGTCGCACGGCAATGGCGAAATCCAGGACACCAGCGACGAACTTTCGGACGTCGAAGTCAGTCCCCCGGAGCTGTCTGATTTCGGCGAAGATGCCGAAGGCGACGAGGCCGAAGAACCGACCGCAGAAGTTGAAGAAGCCGCAGAGGAGCCCACACCAGAGATGAAACCGGAGCCTGTGCCCGTGCCCGAGGAGCCGGTAATACCACAGATACCCAAGAAGAGAGGGCCGGGCCGGCCGCCTAAGAACGGTGTCATGTCGAAACGCGAGCAACGCTTGCTCAAGAAGCAGCAGCAGGAGATGGCGAAGAAGACGTTGCCACAGGCTCCACCGGTCGAGCCGCCGGTCAAGCGCAAGGTCGGCAGGCCGAGGAAGCATCCGCTGCCGGAGAACGCGGGAGACAGACCGGAGAAGCGCAAGTACAAACCGCGGAAGCCAAAGACGGAAGACGGCGCCGAAGGATCCGACGCAGAGAGACGCGCAAGGGAGAAGAAGGAGAAGAAGGTCCGCCCCAAGTCCCCGCCCTTGGAGCTCAAGATCGAGGACTACACGGAGGAGCAGCTGCAGAAGCCAAACAAGAACTACGGCGTCTTGATCGACGAGACCCTTACGGCAGCAGGCCCCGATGGCCTCACGCTCAAGCAGATCTACAAGCGCATCTGCCAACGGTACCCTTGGTTTTACTTTCACACAGAAACAAAGGGTTGGGAGAGCAGCGTTCGCCACAATCTGATTGGCAACGAGGCATTCAAGAAGGACGAGACCACCAACTTGTGGTCTCGTGTTCCCGGCGTCGAGCTCGATGCCGGGAAGAAACGCAAAGCTACCTCTCCCGACCGAGCGCTGGCAGCGCAGGGGTACGGCCCGTACTCGTATCCCTTCAACGCCGCCCAGCATCTACCACCTGGCGCGCCCGGCTTCCCTCCAGGCCAAGCGCCGCATGGATACCAAATGCCACAGTTCGCGGGACAACCTGGCCAGCCCGGACAGCCGCCCCGGCCGATGCAGCCATATGGCAATTCGGCCTCGCCGCCTACCGGTCCTCCTCCCGTGGCAGCCGCGCAACCGCCACCTCCAGCACATGTTCCTGGATACGGACCGCCTCCCGCTCCTGCCCGGCCTCAGCTTGGCGGACCACAACCTGGGACGTACAGCTCCCCCTACGCGTCCCGGCCGCCGCCGCCGGCGACGGCCCCTGTCAAGACGGAGGACGGTGCGGTCCCCGCGCCCGCCCCAGTGGCGGCCCAGCCGCCCGCCGCGGCGCCAGCTCCTGTCTCAGTTGCCCCCGCCGCTGCCGGGGCAAGACCCGTCGCCGGGCCAGCACCGACGTCGCAGCCAGCAGCAGCCTCGGGGTCCCGGCCCTCGGCGACCTCGGCAACACCGCCTGCCAACGCGCCACCCAGACCAGTCATTGATCCTCGCCTCCTGACCGCTGTGGTTGGTCTCAAGACCGGTTTGGTGGAGAACCTCAAGAAGGCTCGGAACCCGAAGGCTGAGGCCATCGTCATGTCAGCTCTCAACCGATGCATCGGGCTTAAAACCGCAGCTACGGAAAACGACAAGATGGAAGCCATCTGTATTAAAGGCATCCGGCAGGTCATCGAGGGCTTCACCAAGAAGAATAGTCCGACTCCGGGAGGCACCACGACGCAACCGGATATTCCTCCCATCTTCGAGGCCAAGGTGTTTCAATCACTTACGGGCTTCAAAGATGTGTCTGTGAAGGCACTGTCGGCGCGCCTCGGTGATGCCCGTGCGGAAGCCGTGACGCTTTCGTCCATCGACCGAGTCCTGGGCCTTGCAGACGCAACCATTGTTGCGCCGCCGGCGGAGGGCGAGCAGGGAGGCAATTTTGAGGGCGTTGAGCAGCACCTGATGAAGTCTTTGCGGCAGCTTCTGCGAGGCATGAACCAGCAGCTGCAGGAACCCAAATAAACCGTTGAGCGTGGCGGAGGAATTGCTTAACGCCCGGTGGGATATTCTTTGCGGGGATACATCTCTATTCTCGCCGCAGCGAATGCAGTTTATTCAGACGAGGCCACGATAATTGATGTGACGCGCGGACTCCTTTCACTACTGAATGACCGCGGTCATGGAGGCTGAGCTGTGGCGGTGGTTGGGAGTCTTGTGTCTATTACGTTTGCGGCACCTCCAACATATATCCAGGTAGCGCTCTTGACTGGGCGTTTATAGTTTGGCGCGAGGGTAGCGACGATATTGAAAAATTGCACTCACATGGTGGCATTCCGCGTTCATTTGACCCCGTGATTGATGCAGGCGATGTAGGCCATCATTACGCTTTACTCTCACCGTGGTCTCTAGGTACTGGTACAGAAGCATGGATCACCCATCAGATTACTCCGAGAAGAACTCTCAAAGGTATCACATTTCGCAAGGGGTGGGGAACGAAAAGAGGTATAAGATTTCCTCCTGCCAAGAACTCCGGTCCGTCCCGTCCCATCCCATCCCTGTACGTACGTCCCATCTATCTTCGCGCGCGCTCTCACTCACTCTCTCGCCCTCTCTCTGTGTCTCTCTCTCTCGCTCGCTCTGTGGGCCCCCTTTCTCTACACACGAGGGCATCACGAGTTGTTGGGAGGGGGGTCTCCGTTAAAAGAGGAAGACAGACAACAAAAACCCAAGAAAAGAGCAGAAGAACCGGGGGGGGGCCAAAGAACCCTCCCCCTTTCGACAAAGGGGACACAAATGGCGAGCTGCTAGGGTGTAGGTCGAGAAACCTGTGTGTGACACAAATAAGGGGAGGTAGGTGTGCGTGTGCATGTGCGTATGTGTGTATGTGTGCGTGTGAGCGTGTGTGGGAGAGTCCTTCGCGCCGGGAAACAAGACGACGTTCTTGTTCCTCCAGGTCGGTGAAGAAAACAGAAAGGGAAAAGGGCCGAAGCAAAAGAATTTTGTCGCGTCTTCTTCCACCTCTTCATTAATCCGGAGCTTTGTGTGCGTGTGTGTGTGTGTGTGTGTGTGTGCGTTCTTTCTTTCGTAAGAGGTATAATGTCGTTGGCCAGGTCGTACATGGGGAAAAGGGCCGGGGGCCACCGCGGCCACCGCCGCTGCCGCCTGGCTGTTGGGCGTGGCGCGCCTTCGATATTGCTTTTTTCTCGGTCTCGAAATAGGTAGAGAGAAGAGAAGAGAAGAAGAAGAAAGTGCAGAAGAGAAAAGTAGAGGGTAATACATCAGGCGTAGCTCTCGACGAGGAGAGAAAAGTAGGGGGAAGATGGGCATCATGAAGTGAAAAGATGGAGCTGCAAGTCGCCAGGCGCCGCTCCAATCTCAAGCCGTGTTGGTCTTGGTGTGCTCGGGCCGTCGGGCCATCCTCCTGCGAAGCGCCGCCTAGGCACTTTGCGGTGGAAGAGGGCTGTCTGCCTCCCCGGGACCAGCAGTCAACGCGGCGCCATCGACCTTGTTGGCGGCAAGCTTGTCCATCCCCGAGACGCCGCTGTCCGACTCACCAAGCAGCCCCAGGCCGTTCAGTTTAACGGGCCCAGGGTCTTGCGCCTCGCGCTCGTCCTCGTTCGCCTCCTCGAGGTTCATCAGAGCTGGAGGGCGGTGGCGCATCTGCTTGGCCTTTGCGAGAGAGATGGTCTTCTGCTGGTAGGTGCTGGTGATTGGCTGCGTGTCGTCCCGGTCAATCGTCGCCTTCATCAACGCCGCCATCCAGAGACGCCCTTGTTGCAGGTTCGGCACGGCAAAGTAGTGCACCGTAGGCTTCGTGAAGTTGACAGCTCGAGAAAGACCGGCCCGTGGCGGGACCAGCTTGAAGATGAAGGTAGCGTCATCCCCTTTGTCGAGGCCGGAAGCGCCTTCCCCACCAACGGGTAACAGGCCAGGGCCACCTACGCCGGTAATTGTCGCGTGAAGACCCGTCAGTCTCTCGTTGTCAGCGGGAAGGACTCGATGGAACGAAATATCGATGAGCCCCTTCTCCTGCGTATCGTCCTCGGAATAGTAATAGGCCAGGCGGCGGCCCTTCAAAACGAAGAATCGGGGCTTCCACGTCGTCATGAGATTTGAGCTCTTCTTCTTCATCCAGCCATAATAGTCGGCGTCCTTTTTGGCCTCCGTGGGCGAGATGTTCTGCAGACCTCGGGTATAAGCGCTTGTTCCCTTCTTGCCCTTCTTACGGCTGGCCTTGCTGGCAATGCTGGGCGGCGTGGCCGTGGTGCTGGAGCCTTTGCCGGTGCCGGGAGATTCCAAGTCAAAACTGGGGCCTGCCGAGGGCGTGCTCGATCCCGTCCGGGCAGGGGAGTCCAGCGATGACTCCTTGGCCGACGTTTCTGACGTGTCCATCTCCTTGGATCTGTTGGTGAGCTTCTCTGATATGGCACGCATGCCGTGTCGTTTGGCCATCGGTTTGGGCACCATTGAAGACAGCCAGTCAGGCCCAAAACTATTCTGCTTCGTGGGAACAGGTGCTGCTTGTTGTTCAGAGACGGAGCCAGAGTCGAGATTGGTGACCGCAGGCGGTGGCGCGTCCTTGGCAGGGGGCACGGGCCGTACGGATTCGGCCGTGTTTGTTGACGCGGTCCTTCGATGCGGCGCCTGGATACCGTAATATTTCTGAACGGCCGAGGGGGGCGCCCCGTCATGAAAGTCGGCGCTACCAAACCTTGAGTGTCTTGAGAGTGCGGTGGCGCTGCGCACTCGTTGTTCTTCGGTATAGCTACCCTTCCTCGAGTGACTCACGCTGTCACGCTTCCTCAGGACGTTGCGCTTTCGACCATCTGCCTCGGTTCCAGAAAAGTAGCCCCGATCCAGATCGACGGCCGAGTCTTGCAACAGCTCAGGATTCGAACTAGTCACCGTGTCCGGGAGTCCGGCAGACGAAAGTGGCCGCGGCGATGGCTGCGCAGAAAGGGCCCCGCCAAGGGTCCAGTTGCGGTCAAACGACGGCTGTTTCTTATGCGCTCCGTCAGCACTGGTGCTGCTTCCGTTGGTGTTCAAAGCCGGCACGATGCTCGAGGTGGCGTTCGAAGAGTGGCGTCGAGACTGGTGAAGCTGCCTCACAGAAGCGGCAGACGGCCGCTTCGCGTGACCAGGACGTGTTGGGCTGTCGTGGCCGGAAGGAGGCGACACTGGAGCGGTGAAAGTTGTTGGGCTGGGCCTGGGCGTCTGCGATGAGGATAGCCGGCGGGTCTGCACCGACATCGGTCGAGCCGAGATGGAGTTGGTGAGCGTGCTGGTGCGACTCCTCATGCGCGCTGCGTCCTCTGAGCCCACTTCGCTGCCGTATGTTAAAGTCGTCCTCCGCGTAGAGTGGCTGTTGACTTCGTCTTGCAGCGCTTTGATCTTATGCCACGTTTTCAGGCGCCTGCCAACAGAGCCCAGGTCGAATGCCTTGATGAAGAGAGAGCTCTGGTCCATCCCCAGAAGCACCTCGCCCGAGATCTCTTGATCGCGAAAGACTTCGCAGTGGTGCTTCTCGACGCCGGCGGTGAACAGATGCTCGGCCACGTCGTCTGGGGACCAGGCTTCGACTTCGGTGCGGGTGTGGGCAGCGCCGTCTTCTTCTTCATCCGTCTCCTCGCCCTGGATGTAAGACATCCTCGCATCGAGCGGGGCGCTGTATTCGCTACCTGAATCAGTGGCCGGGGCACGGAGAGCGCCATTGCTCGCCGGCGAACGCAGGTCGGTAATGTGCTCGTTGATGACGTTGAGAGTGTCGTTCAACACTTGGCTGTCCTGGCTTTGGTTGTTGAGCTTCCCGAGCCCGACGACGGGTGGAGGGGTGCTGTTGGCGCTTGTCGATTCCGATTTGATGGAGTTCAGCGGCAATGTAAGTGCTGCATCGTCTGGCTTGCCGACCGGGGGAGATGGCGATGGTTCAGATATATGAGTCGGTCTCGGGGATGCTCTGGCAACGCCGGTGGGGCCGGGATCGATGTGAGCCTCGGCGACGGGAGCAAGGGGTTTCGAGTGCGTGAACGCAGGCGCGGGTTTCGGTGCCGGTCGTGTGTACACTGAGATAGTCAGTCGGCCACCCGTCACTGGAGCGCCTCAAGAAAGGACAACAAACCTTCGGGAAAGAGGCCCGTGTTGCCATTGACGAGATGGCGGCCGAGGAACCAACCATCGCCGAACTCATCATCGCGCTCTATCAACTCGACCCGATCGCCTTTGGCCAGACTTAGTTCGTCGGAACTGCGGGCTTGAAAGTCATCTGCCCGTACGCATCGTCAGCGAATACCATCCCCCGCAGTCGGCGTCGCGTCAGTGTGCCACAAGGGACGAATCTGACGCGGCGCAGAGTGTCACGCAAGCAGCAAAGCAGGGATAGACTCACGGATGACTATCAAAGTCTCGCCGACTTCAGGCCGGGCCTGGGGTTCGTTCGGACCCCTCAGGGCCATGGTGCTGCCCGTGTCGGCGGGGGAGGAGGGCGCGCGGTTCTTGGAAGCGAGGTTGGCGTGGGGAGAGCAGTGATGCCAACGAGGCGGTCCAGTCGTCGAGTCGATGCCAGGCTGGCAGACGGGCGTCAAGGAGGGTCAGGTGGCTTTGGAATGCAATCGGCGACACGGAGTGCGGATGAGACACGGGATCGGCGGCGTGGGCGGGGGACGGATAGCCGTTGTTTGGGGGGTCCTTCGCCAGCGTGCGTTGTCTTGTTTTTTTATCACGAGAGTTGGAGCTCCTGGGAAAGGATAACGGCCGGCGCCATCGAGGCCAAAAAGCGTCTCTGTGTTGGATTCGGGAGGGGGCTGGACCGGGAGACCTGACGTCGCGCTCGGGGCAGCGGCTGCGCCTGCAGTGGAGCGTCGTCGAAGCACGGGTCGGAATGCGCGTCGTCGATGGGAAGAAGCTGGGCGATTGGGCTGCGGGCTTGTAGGGCGACGAGAGAGACGGGTGAGAGAGGCGTGCAAAACGTTAGTCGTGGTCGAAGTCGTAGGACGGACGAGGCGAGAAAGTGGGTGAAGATGGTAAAACGAGAGATGGTTGGGACGAAGACGGCTGCGGAGGCGCTGGGCGCGCTGGTTGCGATAGATTGGTCCAACTTAAACGTCTGGATGAATTTGGGTACCTTTCATATGACGGGAGGGACGCGGGCAGCCCGTGCCAGCCCAGAGGACTACAGTGCCCACTGCAGCGTGCCCGTTGGGTACAGCACTCTTCCAGGTTCCCTTGAGGTGGATACTCAGGTACCTGAGAAGCTATGGGCAGTGCGCGGCAACGAGGGGTACCGGCACTGGGCCGGCCGGCTGGTGGGTATACCTTCCACAGTATAGTAGCGCACCGACAGGCGTTGTCGGAACGCCTGAATGCAAGTTTTTAGCACCCTCCCTCACCCACCCACCCACCTGTGCGTGGACTGCCCGCCCGACTGACGGATGTGACGCTTCCAATGACCTTCCAATGACACTGGACGGACGGCCAGAGTGGGCTCCAGAGACGGGACCAGGCCAGACTCTCCCGGGCTAGCGACTCACGGGGACGCTGGGCCACATCGGGACTAGCGCCAGCTGCGTCCGCCGGTCTTGATCAGGGCCCGCTGTCTGGCAAGCGGGCAGGCGGGAACCTTCATTTTTTGTCACTTAATTCCACCTCGTTCAGTCCTGGGCCCGTGTGCTTCTGTTGGCCCTCGATGATGCGCAGATGCAGCAGGCCCGTCCCCTGAGCTTCCCGCCAGCTGCATCACGGCAATCATCGGCGTCGTCGCGGCCGCCGGCGTCCCCAGTGCCGTGCCCTCAATTGTCGGCCGATTGATGTCCTGCTCGCAGAGGCGGTCCCGTATGCGGCGTCGCAGGCGCCATGGCATCCCTCCGCGTGCCCGTCTCTCCACCGACGACCTCGTCGCCGCTCCACCCTCTGCCGACCGTGAGCGCGCTCGAGTCGCTGCCGGAAGAGCTGCTCGACATGATTATGAACGAGTTCTTGGACAATGTTTTCGGGCTCGGCGACGAGAAACGGCCAGTTGCCAAGGCACGCCGATTAGCATCCCGCGCCGCACTGCGAAGCTTGTGTATGGCATCGAGGGTGCTCAACAAGCACGCACGGCCCTGGTTATATCGTCACGTCGTGGTGGCGGACGGCCGTGATATGGCCCTCTTGCTCGGCACCCTCCTCGACAACCCGCGACTGGGCCTGTCGGTGCGGGGATTCGCGTGCCTTGCCGACGCGAATGCTGCATGCACGTCTGGCTTCCCGTTGCGGACAAACAGCGCCGGCGGCCTCGACTTCCGCCACTACCAGCCTTTGGCAGCTCTCGCCGACGTGATCGAGGCCGAGTACAAGCGCCTCCACTTGGAAGAAGAAAGGATTCCCTATCTCCTCCTGATGGACACGCTCATTGCCCTGCTCTGGCTGATGCCAGCCGCTGAGCGAGTCTGCTTCCCACTTCCGGCCGAACGGCGCCTGTTCCACCAGTCGCGCGCGGGTGCAGTTCTGCTGTCGCTCTTCTATAGCGACCGGCAGGTACCGCTCTTGCAGCACGTCACCGACGCCCAGCTTTGGCCTCATGGGCGTGCGCCTCACGATTACTTGGACTTGGGCCAATGCGGTCCAGTCTTGGGGGCGCTACCCAGACTAGAGAGACTCGAGCTGACTGACGACGATGGCGACTTTGGGGAATTTCCGGCTGCAGGCTCTCGTGTCGTGTACTCAGGGCCCATCAGACACCTCATTTTGCATCAGAGCTCCTGCACGCCATGCGACGTGTCCGACATCTGCGTTCGCCTCCCCGAACTGCAAACCCTGTCCGTCACGACGGACGCAGACGCTGCCACGTTCTCGTTGTATCCAGTGTGGGATGCCAATCACGGCCCAGGAGGGCTGCGGACCCCCAGCAATTGTCTTAACAACGGCCTCCCTCACCTCAAGGACACACTGACCAACTTGCATCTCCAGCTCGACTACAACTCACCTGTCGCTCCTCTGATTGGGCCGGCAGGGAAGCTCACATGCTTGCCTGCCTTGCCTGCACTCCGTGTGCTTTCCATCGGCGTACTCCAGCTATACACGTGGGAGGAGATGATGACGCTCGATTCGCATCGTAGCAGACTTGCCAACGTCTTGCCAGCATCGCTCACAAGATTTAGACTGCACATTGACAACTCCCTCCAAAACAGCCGCCAGAAGTCATGGTACGGTGTTCTCGTACAGATATTGGACGGCTTGGTGAGGGACGTGAAAGGTGGGCTGCCGCACCTGGGAACAATTGTCGTGCAGATTTCGTGTCCATTCCACGAGTTATACTACGACGAGTTTGCCGGGCTGATCACGGCCTTTTCTCAAGAGGGAGTGCGGTTTCGTTGCGAAACCGAATAATAGAGAACTTGCGAACTCCTATGTTTAGTGGCTCACATTTCCTGCTTCGTGACTCTTGCTTGTTGAGCAGAAGAGACTGGGCGTGCGACTTCCAACGATGGCATCTAGGGTAGACAACCAGGTCAGACCCTGACGACGTAGAGGCTGAAGCGCCGCAACGAGGCATGTTTGAACCCAATCGACGGCCTGTTCGTCCGGAACCGCCGCCGCCTGGACGGAGCGAGAGCGAACCTTTTATTATGTGCGGCGCCGTTGAGTTTGCTCGATGCAGCCACAACTGCCAGATGCGTCGGGCACGCATAACACGGTACAGTGGTTCCCCTTGTACAACGCAAGTCACGCCGGGCCACGGCGGGTACTGCCATGGTACCTCATCCGTACCTGGGTGAAAGACGGAACGCTGGAAGACAATAGACCACCACTCCCGCCTCAGTGTAACCCTGCGCGGCAAACAAAGAATGGCGGTATGGCTCGTGCGAGGTTCTGGAAGTGAGCGTCCTCTCGCCAAAATTTGTTGTTCAGGTTGCCTTGCAGGGGAACCGAAATGAGATATGCAGCCCGTCGGCCGCGACTACCGGCAGCGCGCGTCTGGCATGGCACGGCGCATACGTACTCTACCATCCCAAGTCAGCACATGTGGGAGGAAACGGGGGGAAGTACGGCAAGGCGACCAGGGACGAGAGAGAACAAGACGAGACTGGAGCCGTCTGGTGTCTGGTCCCAAGCGCGATCCTGCCTGTGAAAGACGGGCTGAACTGCAATCGCACTGGAGGCAGGTGCGACAGAGGCGGACCCTAGCCTATCGGTCGCTCTTGCCCTCACCGTGTGGCCGCTCCTGCCCTCGCATGTGGTCGCTCCTGCCCTCGCGTGTGGTCGACCTGGGGGATTGTTGAGGGTGTCGAGCATGTATTATGTACGCTGCACCAACAGCCTGACACCGCACGAGGGAGGCGCGACCGCGAGCCTCCAGGCTGGTGTCCGCGCTCCCCATCATCTACTGCAAGGTAGCCCGCACCGCCGATTAATGAGACTCCGTGCATTTCGGGCGTTGTGCGAGGTACCGGTGCTTGGCGCCGAGATGCAAAAAAAGTCGTCAAATCTGCCTGGCTGCCGGCAGGACGCGTTCTCCGTCCTTTGTATTTCCAAGAGCCAGCGCGTTTCATAATGCCGCGACGGTGAATTCGAATGTTCATCTCACTTCCGCACCCACACCAACGCGCGCATGTTGTGTGCCGCGCACTAACACCATATTTCATCCACACGACACCAACTCGGCAGCCTTCACCTCAACGGCACGACCAGTCGGGTGCAAGCCCCCCAGGGGACCTGGCCGCGGCCTCGACGCTCAACAAGTTGCCGCCCGTCAACGCGGCGGCCTCGCGTTGCTCCCCGGCGCCAGCGTGTGCCCGGCGACCTGTCTTGCAGCACGTATAAAGCAACTGCCTCTGCCAAGTATCTGGGGGGCCTGCGTCCGACTGCCGTATTTGCAGAGCCCGTTGGCAACCCCTGCCATAGCCACAGAGCCTGCCAGCCCAGCAACGCCCAAAACACGGGTCTTCCATGGGCTTAGTATTTGGTGGTGGTTCCCGTTACCAGAGCACTGCGGCCTGTTGTTCAGTGTGTGTGTGTGCCTGGGAGGCGGTGCGGTGCGGCTGGTCGCCTGACACCTTAGCCAACAGCAGCCCCCGTCAAGACTCATCAACACCAACCCACCTTTCTCCATCGCCATCACCAAAAAGCGCCCATTTGTCTGCGCAACCGCCTTCATGCCGCCGCCCAGGAACCCCCACCAGCGGGCTGAGGCGGCGGGCAAAAGAAACGCTCCAGGTACCGGCCGTCCCAGCCTGAATAGCATATCCAGCACCAACGAGACGTCATATGCCTTTCTCGGGGCGCGCCGTCCCTCGTGGATGACCAGCACGGACGAGGCCCCCATCCCGGCCTCCCGAAGAGTCAACGCGCACCGTCCTGTTTCTAGACCGGACCATGCTCCTGTCGATCCGGTTTCCGCGGTGCCTGTTGATGACCAGGAACCGAGCTGCGACATAAACAGTGCGCCGTCAGCTCACTCGCCACCCACCGTGGGCCCTCAGCAACAAGCCATGCGCCCCAATGTTCACCAGCAGCAGCATCTCACAGGCCCTTTGAGGTATGTTCCTTGCGTTCGCTCTGCCATAAGCATATCATTCCGATAGCCACCGAGTCTCGGATAGCTGTTCGTGGCCAAAATGCAACGCGTTCCTTCGCCGAGCAATGTTACCAAGCACGTCAAGCTCACCAAGGTCAAACCAGAGCTGCATCCTGCCTTCCCTCGCCGCTGCCCTCTGGAGAACCCAGTCCGATAGCCTCGGATGGTCTCATTGTACCAGTTGAACGGCCAAAGTCCCGCAGATCTCGTCCAGTGCACGTCTCAGCCGAGGCTCCCACCCCGCCGGCCACCACGCCGGCGGAAGCCCCGTTGCCGAACAGCAACCTAGTACAGGCAACTGAGCTGGCTGACCCGGCAGGTGTCGCCGACTCTGGTTCATGCCCGTCAACTCTGAGCGCCCCAGTGGCGACTGAGCAAGCCAGAGCCTACCCGCGGGAGGATCGTCAAGTTTATGAGCCAGCTCGTCCTGCTACAGATGCAGCATATATCTCGACAGCGCCACAGACCCTCCAGAACTCGGAAACTGCCAGTCGCCCACGGAAGCGAAGTCGCAACGACCAGAATCCCCCTAATCGCCCGCTCGGGATGGCAGCAGGTCCGCAGGCTTTCCGTCACTTCGCCAACAGCATCAATCAGTGGGTCCAAGCCGTCGGCGGCCCGCAATCCATGCCATCCTTCGAGAGATCCAGACTTGATGTCCTCAGCAGAGCTTGCGCTGTAGGCGATATGGCATTCCTGCTGCTCCACCAGGTGTACAGCATATGGTTCATACGGAGAGACATCGCACATGGCCTTCTGAGCCTGGATCCTGACACAATCGATGCCTCGTTCCGAATTCTCCCCGCTTCATTGGGGAGAAACGAGGACCTGCTCCCCGAAAGCAGGCAGTGGTTTACCGCGTTCCCGTTACCTGGTCTTGGCCTCCCTGGGAGGCATTATTCGCCTGTGATGGCACAAACCGTGCTAGGGATCACGAATTTTATCCAACACCTGGCATCCGAATGGGCCCCTATGCTGGCTGACGTTCAGCAGAGAGGGTACCCTGCGCTTGTCTGTGAAATGGGGTTTAAATTGCGATGCTACTCGCCCCTGCTACTGCGCTGTATCTTCTGCGGTCTCTGCCGCGGCATGGGCATACTCGCGTCGCCAGCGGTTATCGAACTCCGGAAGCTCTTTGATCTTGACTTCCACAACGAATACGAACTTCGCCCCTCGGCGGAGGAGCTTCCCGCGATACGACAGAGGGTTGCTCGTCAGTACTATCACCTGGTGCAACATATAAAGACTCACCCGGAGCGGTTCGGTAAGGTTCACTTGACTCCAAAGACGCCTCGCCCTAACGCAAGAGCGTGCAGGTCTATATCCCAGTGATCAGTCGCCTCAAGTCCCCAATCCCTCCGTGCCGCAAGCCGCCGTTCAGCCACAAGTCTGCGCCTGCGCCTCCTGTTTGTCTCTCCAGAGGGCCAATCAGTTCTCGGCTCAGGGAGGCTCGCAGCCTCCGATCTATCATGAAACCGGTGTGCCCGTAGCAGCGGCTCCGGTCTACGCCAACCCTCAACATGCTCCGCAGAGCGAAGTCTACTCACCGACAGCATTCCAGCCCCAGCAATCGGTTGTGGTTCCAAGTCATGGGCCGATCCAAGCAGTCAACTATGCGGCCCTCTCACAGAGCGCGAGGCAGACACCGATGGGAGTTGCGCAGCAGGCTCACTCGGGCCAGCTTCCAATGCAGCACCAACAGCAGACGCAGCCTCAACCACGTACAAGCCTACACACTGTGGTCCCTCTGGCTGCAGGCCAGTACCCTAGGAGCGAGTATGACGCGATATCGCTACAAAACGGTCTTCATCTTGCTCATCTGCGCAGCCCCCCTAGGACCCCACGAGCCTCGGACAGAAGCCAGTATTTCCAATACGTCAGCCACTTTGCCGTGGCACCAATGGAGGTGCTCCCGCGTCGAGGAATTCGGGTTCTAGAGTTCAACCTTACCGGCGCCGAGGCCGCCCTTGCGGTGTCTGCCGAGAAGGACCTACGACCTGTCTATTTCTCGAACGGATCTACGCGGTACCGGCTTCGTGCCTGCAAATTCAAACGAGACGCCGCGGGCGTGGATACCTCTGTGTGGGCTACACGTTCAACCTCCTGGCCGGCAACTATATTCCTCGAGTTTAACGGCGAGCCCGTCTTTCCTCGACGCCGACCGCATGCGCATACCGACCAGCCCATTGAGCTCACCGGCATGCTGCGTCCGGGTCTCAACCAAGTGCGGGTTAGCTTGCCCTCGACCGTGGGAAAGGGCCTGGAGGAGCCTTTTACGTTTTTGATGGCAGTCGAGGTGGTGACTACCTCGGAGTACACGACATTGTTGACTCAGGTGATCGAACGTCAGCATTTCAGCATCGAGGACACCAAGACAGAGTTGCGGCGGAGGCTGAAGGGAGCCGATTCTGACGACATCATCATCCAAGACAAGACCCTTCACATCGGCATCGCAGACCCCTTCAGTTCAAGTTTGTTTGCAATACCTGTTCGGGGCATCGACTGCAAACACCTCGAGTGTTTTGATTTGGAGATTTGGTTGCAGACACGGGAGGGAAAGCCTTCCAAGGTTGCAGGCGAACCCAGCCTGGTGGACGGTTGGAAGTGCCCCATATGCAGCCTCGATGCTCGGCCCGTGAGCTTGCGCGTGGATGATTATTTCGCCAACGTTCGCGCAAACATCATTGCGAGTGGAGTGGATGCTACAGAGGCGAAGAGTATCATTGTCGATAACAATGGCGATTGGACCTTGGTGAAGGAGTCGGACGACAAGAGAGGCAATGACCTGCCCGGTTCGCGGGCTCAAGAGATGCCTCATCCTGAACGCAACCGCCTGAAAGATCTCGCGGCCGAGTCTCCAATCATCTTGGATGACTGAGCAGAGCCGCCAACGCATTATCGCGGCGCACAGTTTCTGCCGGCCACTGTTGCATGGAGTTTCATGAATTCTCGAGCGATATGGGACAACACCACGTGTGGTTTGCCTTCCTAAGATGATGGCAACAGCGATTTTCAGGAGTATCGGGCAATAAGCAATGGCTTGGGGCGCAAGGTGGAATGAAACATGATACCCGGTCTACGAGGCGTTTGGTGCTTTGATCGGAATTCAACGAGGGAATTGGCCATTGGGAAAAGAATTGTACGGATAGTGCTACGCAACAAATGAAGCTGACTGCCAAGCCTGGCCAGTACCATTGATGACCTCACATCATTCGTAGGTGCTTCACACAGACACATATTGTTGAGATCGAGCCGAACTGTTTAACGGCGGCAGTTATGGACAGGGTAGATGCCTTCAGGCGACGCTAGGTAACGACAAGACTCATGGCGAAAATTTCGTGTGGGGTTGAAGTACCCAATATCCCGACCACGCTAAGGGTACGAGAGTTGTAACCCGCGCCAGCCGAAGCATCTATTCCTCCGACTCACACTTTCTGGCATTGGAGGACGACATATACCGGGACGACCGAACAGACACGTCCTGCGCCCCGGCCAGCAAAATGTGAACCTCATTCCATTGAAGGCTCGATACCATCGTCTTCCCTTCCCTTCCTCGGAGACTTTGCCCAGAGCGCCACCAAAGAGGCGTGCCCCAAAAACACCGGCTCCCCGTCTCTCTCTCTCCAAAGGGGACCGACCTCATGGCAGACCATCGATCGGTACGAGGGCAAAGCCCGCCGAGGCGGATGAGGGCGTGCATCCCGTGCTCCAGTGCGAAAGCGCGGTGCAACTTTCAAGAAGCGAACGTCGCGCGGCATCTCTGTGACAGGTAGGTCCAGTGGCCTTGCGTGTCTTTACGAAGTACGACTGCGCCCGCGTAGAATGCTGATGAGGCGGCGGCGACGGCTGTGCCAGGTGCGAGAAGCATGGCATCAAGTGCGTGGCCAAGTCCACGAGGAGCCTGCGGAAACCGAGGCAGATTAGGCCCTTGAACAGGTATGTTATATTGGGGACGGCGCATGGGCGAGTTCGGTAGGGAGGAGGACTGACGAGAGCTGTAATAGCCGCGTGTCGACGTTGGAGAGGCAGCTCGAGACATTGACTGCGGCCTTGGAGATTCACAATGGGAGCAGCTCATCGCAGGACGTTGGCGCGCCTCACCCAGAAAGCCGCGCCGCCCTTCTCGCCGCCGACCAAGCTGGCACCGTCCTAACGCCCGACTCGACATCATCAACGGACAACAGCCGCGACGGCCCGTCCCTCCACCGACACGAAGACACCAGGGAAGCACAGCCGCCTACCGTCGCGGTGCCGTCAGACGCCGTCCCCGTCTACGGCCTGACGTGGCCCCAGGCTGAGCGCATCCTCGACATCTTTCGCACCGAGTTCATGCCCAACTTCCCGTTCGTCATCGTCCAGCAGCACACCACCGCCAGGGCGCTTCTCGCGCAGAAGCCTTTCCTCTTCCGCGCGGTGATGCTCGCCGCGGCGCCGCTCCCGCCGCCGCGCCTGGCCAAGATGAAGCGCAACGTGATGGCGTACCTGGGGCAGCATGTGCTGGTCGAGGAGGAGCGCAAGCTGGACCTCTTGCAGGGGCTGTTGGTCTGCCTCGCGTGGTGAGTCTTGATACAGTGGCTTGCTTCCTCTTCACTCGCATAAGAGAGAGTGGGAGAGGGGAGGGTTTGAGAATTGTTTTGCTGATATACTTCTCTCAAGGGCCGACCTGCGCAGCTTGTATGACGAGCAGGTGACGAACCTGACGTACCTGGCGCTGGGGTATGCGCATAACCTGGGCATCACGAGGATGCCCGCGGCGCTGCTGCGCATGATTGGGATGGATGAGGCGCCCGAGGATGTGAGGCAGAGCAAGGACCACGCCATGTTGCGGCAGAACATGCACTCTACGGAAGAGCAGCGCGCGTATCTCGGATGCTACTGTCTGTTATCGGTGTAAGTTATGTTCTTCCTTCGTGCCCGCATGCGCTGACTTGACCAGCAACTCAACGCAGTTTGGGAGACAAAATGCGCTCAGAAGCCAATACATTGACCTCTGTGGCGACGCCCTCAAGCGCAACTGCCAGCATCCCCTGGACGCCTTCCTCGAGCGCACGGTGCGCCTCACGCAGATGGGCGAGAGAATATCAGAGGCGTTCGGCGCGGCCAACGACTGCGAGCGTGGTAAGCCTTACCTGTTCCTCCTCGAGGATCAGACCACGGCGTTTAGAGCCGAGCTCGACACCGTGGTGGATTCCCTCGCGCAGGAACTGGGGCGCGCCCGGGGTACTTATGCTCACGGAGTCGCCGGGCGCGACTTCGATAGCTGGGAGAAGGCGGCCGTGCTGCACTACAACTACCTCCTCGTGCGCCTGTACGAGCCGGCCACGCACCTGCGAGAGGTTCCCGCGGACAACGACGGCGACGGGTCCTCCACGGCCACATACCGCGCCTCATGCTTGGCCTCGTGCCTCGCCGCGGCCAAGGCCTACTTCGACGCGCTCTTCACGCTGCCGGCAGCGCACTACCTGCACCAGAGCGTCGCCGGCACGGAGCAGGTGACGTTCGTCATGGTGATTTCGACGCGGCTGCTGCTGCTGCGCGCGGCCCCCGGGTGGGACCGCTTCCGCGCGCGCGAGGCGCTCGACTTCGTGGTCGTGCTGGACCACCTGCTCGAGAGGGTGGAGGGGGCGGAGGCGGAGCGCCGGCGGGAGATGGAGGCGTTTGTGCGGGAGATGGGCGTGGGCGGCGTGACGGAGGAGGAGACGGCCGCGGAGGGGCGGCTCGTCGACACGGCGAGGAAGATGAGGTGGATACGAGGCTGGTTCGACAAGCGGGTGAAGGGGGACGACGACGAAAGGGCGGCGGCGGCGGCAGCAGGTGAGGCGTTGCCCGGGGAGGCGGAGGAGGTCGAGGAGATTGTGGTGGACCGGGGAGAGACTCTGGAGAGGGTCGTCGAGCAGGCCAAATTCATCGCCATGGGAGGAGGGTCATACTGGTTCGGCGGCCTGCTGCCGAACTCGGCGTGGAACTTTGACGATGTGGACATGTAGGAACTAACTTACACCTTGGTAGGTATCTTCGGAGTTGCCGAGTTGACGTTGCCGTTGGGCGACTTTAGCCTGTCAGCGTCATCGCAGCTGTGTTGTGAATGATGTAGTTTAAGAGAGAAGAGGCCTGCCTGCTGCGGACTAGCTCCCGGCGATAAAGAGTCTCTCAAGAAACCGGGCGCTTTTACGAATTATACGATCTGTTCGGCCACGCAGTTGCGGGCCTGGGGGGAGTCAATGGACTCTATGCAATGCCGTCGCCCGGCTTATATGACGTTGCCGCTAGATCGGCGCCGTCTTATTCCCTCACCCGGAACCCGGAAACCACAACTGGTTTACACGCAAGCCGCCATGTGTATAAGACATGCGGCCCCAAGACACGAGCCCAGCTCATGATGCATGACAGCAGCAACAACGCCGCATAGCCAGTCCGTCAATCAATCTACGATCAACTCTATCTTCCCATTTGCATGCAAGCCCAGCTCAAACCCCCTCTAGCCGCTCCAGCAGAAAGAGAACCCCAGCCGCCATGGCGCCCGCCCAGTCCACGCAGTACGAGGTCGCGCAGCACATGTACGCCGCCCGCGCCGACGACTACGACTCGTCGTGGCACCCCAGCTACACGGCGCGCTTCATGCAGCTCGCCGCGCCGCAGCCCGGCGAGCGCGTCCTGCTGCTCGCCTGCGGGACGGGCCTCGAGGCCGAGCACGCGGCGCCCCTCGTCGGCGAGAGCGGGCTCGTCGTCGGCGTCGACGCCACCGACTCGATGCTGGCCGTCTTCCGCGCCAAGCGCGACGCTGACCCCGTCCTCGCGGCGCGCACCTGTATCGTCCAGCACGACGTCACCAACCTGTCGGGATGCGCCGCCGTCGAGCCGGGGTCGTTTGACCTCATCGTGTGCTCCAACGCGTTCGTGCTCTTCAAGGACCCGGCCGCTGTGGTGCGCCACTGGAAGACGTACCTGCGCGACGGGGGCCGCATGGTCATTGACGTGACGCATGAGCGGAACCTCCGCCAGGGCCTGCTCATGGAGGTCGTCGCCGAGCGGCTGGGCGTGCCGTTCCCGTCGGACCGGCGGTGGATCACGTCGCGGGACTCGTTCCGCCGCGTGCTCGAGGGAGAGGGCCTGCGCGTGGACAGGGTGGAGGCACTGGAGAAGGTGTCGGGTAAAGGGACGATCTACCTGGGCGCGGAGGAGGCGGATGCGCAGTTTGACTTCATCACGGGCATGCCGCTGACGAGCGAGCTGGCGACGGACGAGTTCAAGCAGAAGGCGAGGCCGCTATTTAAAGAGGAGTGGAAGAAGGCTTCGGTGGACGGCAAATTGGAGGTCTGTGACATCTTGTACGTCTATGTCGCGCGTAAGGTCTAAGTATCATGGCTTCTATGACGAGAAAGACATCAATCATATCCTGGCCTTGGGGGGCGGCGACAGTCGCGGCTTGACCGGAATCTTGGGGTGGTCCCCCTCCAGCTTCAGGCCCGTGACGTTCTCCAGCTCCTCGACCGCCTCGTACGCCCTGCCGAGGTTCACCTTGAAGGTGTTGAACCCCTGCGCCTTGGCTTCTCTCAGATTCTCGCCAATGTCGTCGAAGAAGAGCACGTCGGCCGGCTTGATGCCGTCGGCCCAGCCAAGCTGCTTCCCACGCGGAGAGTCGGCGTTCTCTCTCGCAAACTTGTCCAGCGTGGCGACCGCGAGCTGGTACATCTTCGGGTCGGGCTTGCGGACGCCGACATGCGCCGAGGAGATGAAGACGTCAAACACCCGCCGCAACGGGTCGTTGAAGTAATCCGCCGAGTGCAGCTTGTGGCCCGGCGGGAAGATGATGGTGTTGCTCAGCGCGCCGAGCAGGTACTTGCCGCTCTTCTTAAGGTTCTCCAGCGCGGGCCACATCCACGGGTCTGGGGCGTGCGACTTGGTCATCATCTCGTCGAAGAGAAACTCGCCGTCCAGGGTGGGAACTGGGGGCAGCTCTGTCGGGAGCTTGGGGTTCTTGGACTGTTCCCGCTGGTAAAACTCCTTCCAGTGGTCGGCATTGTGAAGGTCACGGTTGAAGCCGTCGTAAAAGGCCTGGTCTACGGGGATGTCGCCCCTCTCAAGACGGTGCCAGAAGCCATTGGGCTTCGACTTGGAGATGGAGAAGTTGATCCATCCCGGAGGGACGCCTAGGCTGAGCTCATAGTCCAAGATGGCTTGGAAAGGTGAGACGACCTTGGGCGATGTTAGTGAGCGGCTCAGACAGATGGGAGCTGAGTGCCTCATCGACTTACACAGACGCCGCCAATGTCAAACAGCAGCACCTTGGGCTGCTTCCGCGTCGTCGCCATCTCGTCGTCTATAGCCTCCAGGATCTGGTCCACTGAAGGGTCTTCGAGACTGAACAGGGACATCGGCTTAGCTTTGGATGAAAGAGACGTTATGATGCCATCGCGGGAGGACGATGCAGTCAACAAGTAATGTTGGCTCGGGTCGCCCCGCCCCCATACCGCGGTACCTCGGCTGCCGGCCGGAGTGTGGCTGGCCTCAGTTTGAAATGGATCTCGTCCCGGTCGGCGTGCACGGACCCGCCTGGAGTTGGGAGAGGCGCGATAAGATAAGAATCCCCCAATTCCATGGTCATGTGATTCGTCCCCAACCCAGGTGCAGCACCCGGTGGGGCGCCCAGCCAGGGCCGCAGGGGTCGTTAGGGCTTGAAAATATCCCCCACCAAAATTTCCGTTTTGAAGTTTGACATCGCCAACTCCAGCATCTGCATCGTCCTTGAGCCGTCGCTGCACAACACCGTCACAATGGTAAGTTGAGGCCTATCCGGGTGAGCCCGCACGCGTCTGCGGGCTCCTCGCACACCTCTTCGGCAGAAATGCCAATCGCTCGTCGTTCGAGAGTCACCGCAAGTTGCTTCGGAATGGACGAGCAAGTCTGAAGCGCAAATTGCTGACTCGGGGGAAAATTGGCAGCCTTTCCACAAGTTGGTTAAGAACAGCGCGTACTTCAGGTGAGTTTTCCTCCAGTTCCCGTTTGGATCGCCGTCCCGGGCGACGAGTTCGAATTCTAACGAATTTCTTCGCAGCCGCTACCAGACGAAGTACAAGCGGAGACAGCAGGGCAAGACCGACTACTACGCCCGCAAGCGCCTCATCACCCAGGCCAAGAACAAGTACAATGCGCCCAAGTACCGCCTGGTCGTTCGTTTCACGAACAAGGACATCATCATGCAGATCGTGACCTCCGAGATCACCGGCGACAAGGTCTTCGCCTCTGCCTACGCCCACGAGCTCAAGGCCTACGGCATCACCCACGGCCTGACCAACTGGGCCGCCGCCTACGCCACCGGTCTGCTCATCGCCCGCCGTGTCCTGAACAAGCTCGGCCTCGACAAGGACTTCGTCGGCGTCGAGGAGGCCGACGGTGAGTTCACCCTCACCGAGGCCGCCGAGACCGACGACGGCGAGCGCCGCCCCTTCAAGGCCTTCCTCGACGTTGGTCTTGCCCGCACCTCCACCGGTGCCCGCGTCTTCGGCGCCATGAAGGGCGCCTCCGACGGCGGCATCCTGGTCCCCCACTCGGAGAAGCGATTCCCCGGCTACGACATGGAGACCAAGGAGCTCGACGCCGAGACCCTCCGCAAGTACATCTACGGCGGCCACGTTGCCGAGTACATGGAGACTCTGGCCGACGACGATGAGGAGCGCTACCAGAGCCAGTTCCAGAAGTACATCGACGACGACATGGAGGCCGAGGGTCTTGAGGACCTGTACACCGAGGCCCACCAGGCCATCCGCGAGGACCCCTGGAAGAAGGCTGAGAGCGACGCCCCCAAGAAGAGCAAGGACGAGTGGAAGGCCGAGTCCAAGAAGTTCCGCTCCCAGAAGCTGTCCAAGGCCGAGAAGCAGGAGCGCGTCCAGAAGAAGATCAAGGAGCTCCTGGCCGACGAGTAAAAGTGTCTTCTTGTTGGGATGTGCTGCGACGTTTAATGCAACGGCTTGGGTTCGGAGTTTTGAGAATGGGCATGGTCTGCATTCGGATTCAAAATTAAATGAATTAACAAGAACCTTAAGCCGCTATGCGTCATGAACAGTGCTGTGTTGCCAGATGTCGTAGATTCGAACTTGCTGCAACAGTGCTTCAAGGTCAGGATCGGCCATCGCGATGCCGCCTTGGGACAGGATGCAGGTCACGCGAGCGACGGCTATGTGAGCGGAGGTGGTGATCTGCTGCGCTACCCCGTACATGTCCTTACAGCTGGACGTCAGGCTCAGGGTATGTGCAGGCAAAAAAGACGGCTTTCAGCGGCTGCGGAATCGTCGGAACCGGCTATGTCTGGCCAGCGACCAGAACGAATCACCCCGTTCCGTTTCTCCAGAACTGTCTTACGTATATGACTGAAACTGTTGACTTGGTCCCATGTCGGTTCCGAACGCACTTTCGGGAACCCGTCTACGACTGGGGTTTTACCCCCGGGCTGCCAATGCGTCGGCGATAGGATCATGGATAGGATACTGACTGGGACACTGTGAACCCCGGGATTCACAAAGACGCATCGTGACTGGTCGCTCCGGGCCGGCGGTGACGGGACGGCATTGACATCGGAAACGAGCCGTGTCCCGGCATCCCCCGAGGAGATGACAGTTGCGTCTGAAATAGCAGCATCCTCGTACCAGCAAATTACAGCTCATCTTTTCGTGTTATTCAACGACGGCGCGCCGCCACTGTTTGGGGTGGTCAGAAGTTGAGATACAGTGAGGTTTGTAAGCAGATGGACAACGGTGGTCACCAGCCGAAGAGACAAATCCAGCGAGCGGGAGGGGCGGGAGGCGGAAAAGGGGAGGTGGTGGTTGGTGGTGGTGTTCCAACAAAAGACGAGCGGACACGAAGAGCTCGCTGCTTACTGCCTGGTTTGGCCACGGCGGAGATCTGCGGGCGTGGCAGAGGGCCAGAAGCTCAAGCCAAAGAGGCCGTCCACTTGTGGCTTGCCTGTTCGTGCACATCTTCACAAAGGGGGGGCCAGCAGAGAAGGGGAAGCAAAGAGCGCCAAGGTGCACGTTGCGGGCCATCACGCTGGGAACGGGAAGCAATGTCCCCAGTGGGCAAAGCCTATCCGGGAGAAACGCTGTGGGCTATGATGTCGGTTATGATGCGCGCGAGCGGGACGAAGAAAGGTCTGCGTGCAGCAACGACAAGCTTGACAAGGTAGATTATCCCCAGTAGGTACGCAACCGCCGTCCAGGCCAGCCAGCCCGGCCCCAGGAGGAGGAGGCGGGAGGCGGGAGGCGGAAGTGGGCGCAACCCTGTTTCTGCCCTGGGCCAATGGACGAGCAGCCGCACGTCCGCTCGTGCAGCAATCGACACCACCTCGAGAGGGTAAATTTGGAGATGGCGAGTATTTCTGGGGCCGGTGATGGTGTGCACTGCAGTGTGCGGTAGGCACTCATTGCACTGTTCCGGCGGAGGGAATTGGGGGGGAAAGGTGTGTGTGTGCTGTGACGTCTGCGTCGGAGCCGCCGCCCACTTATTCTGGGCAGAGTGCGGGTTGCGGGGATCGCGCGCGCAGCTTTCGTCCCATGATCGATGCGTGTCGGTCCCCTTGCCTTGCCTGGCCTGGCCCGGCCTGGACCCCCAAGACATGAACAGAGCCCTTCCTGTCCGATGCCTTCCTCCTGCGTCTGCCTCGCGCTGGCGGGCCGGCGGACGGGACAGCGCGGAAGCTGACCACAACCCACCACGCCCTTGGGCATATTTCTCGCGCTGACGAATTTCTAAGCGAGGTGATATTCTTAATTGTTTTCTGTTGGGAGTTTTTGGAAACGAAAATTAGTAAGATAAGGAAAAGACGACGGAGCTTTCCGAGACCGGAGGGACACAGGAGGACACGGCTTGGACGGGGGTTTTTTTTTTTTTCTCTCGTTCCACGCCGGCAGATGAGTGAGTGAGTCTCCTCCAGGTCCCACCGCGAATTGCTTGGCCTTTGCGTCGAGAAATATGCCTCGCCCCAAAGTCCGCGGACGATACTACGGTACAGTTCGGGTAGGCATTAGTTACGGTAACGGATGGAATCATCAGTGGATAGATGGGATGGGCCTGGGCGAAGCGAACGTGGGAAAGCCCCATCATCAGCGCGCCGGCTCCAGGGCGTCGGGGCCAGCGCAGGCACCGTCGTAGCTTGCTGGGTGGAGCGCCAGAATGACGGAGGAGGGTCTCGAACTGGGCCGCACCACCCACAGGGCACCACCTACCGGGGCTGCCGTGGACGCCATGGAGCACGCCAACGCAAGAGCGGGCAGCCCGTCCAGCGCAGTCGTGAGCGCACTGGGCTCAGGAGGACTGCACTGTATTCGTAACGTCCAGCGCGCTGATCCGCTGGGGGGGTCTCCGCGCCCGTCAGCGCCCCGTCAGCACCCGGCGACATCACTGGGGCTCGCTGCCCGCTGGCGTCTGGTGCTAGCAACGTGGAACTTAAACTGTCAGCCGCCACTGGCGCGGACGACGGTTGCACGAACGTAGTACAGTACCGTCCAACGTTGATGTGCGGATAGGCTGTCTGCGATGTGGATACGTGCAAGGTTGAGTCGAGTTGGAGGGCATGCCTTTCGCCTCTGCCTCACCTAAGAATCGCTGCACTGGGACTGGGAGGGACCGAAGCTGGAGCTCAGGTTACCCCGCTGCCTGGCACCCGCACCGTACAGCGCCCGCCCGTCCGCTCCACGCTGATGTGATGGGCGGCAAAGTGGCACCCCTCCCTACCCTACCTAAGCATCCTGTAAATGTACCGGGCCCTGGACTGGACTCCTCCCCATCCGCATCCCCAGCCCATCCGTTCGGACCGTCATCAACCCATCCCATCCCGTCCAGACCTCCAGGCCTTGCCTTGCCTTGCGCTTGCCGTGCCTTGCCTACCCACGCCAGCCTACCTTACCTTATTATTGCCTGCTAGCCAACCTTACCCGCCCCAGCTGCATTCGCCTCCCGCCCGTCGACTACCTTACCTGCTGGCGCCGCTGCCGACCCTGGTCTGTCCGACATCCAGCTGAGACCACCACCGATACACCCCGAGTCCCTGGATCCTACCCTCGCCTGCGCCCATCCACCTTCCTTCCTCTCCCCATCACCCTCCGCATCTTGTACGATATCGACTCTCGCCGTTCTTTCCTCATGGCACCCGCCTGAGCAGGCACGCACTGCGACTGCGTCGTCCACCGCGCCCGCATCTGCCGGTCCCGACCGTCACCGCACGTGCCCCCGCGCCCGCCAGCCCGTCTGCGCTGACTCCCGGCGACGACGGCGACTTACTGTCCCGAGTCCATCCGCATTTCCCAGCGGCAGCGCAAGGCCACCCGTGAATCCGCCGCCCCTTCACCCGACGACCATGGAGCAGGTGCACGGCGTCGACGTCAGCTGGATGACGCATGGCTCCCCGAAAGGCAAGTTGGCCCTATGCGCGGCGCCGCCCGGCCGGCGCGGCGACGGACCCCGTGGGCTGCCCGCGATAATAGCGTTGGGGCGAACACGGCAAGCCTGAGACAGGTTGAGGACTCGCGACTAACACACGACGCAGACAAGTTCAACAAGTCGGCCTCGTCTCCGCCAAAGACTCCCGCTGCCGCACAGCCACGAGCGATCCCATCGGCGGCTACGAATCCACGGAATCCGCAGGGCACGGTAGAGGCCGCGAGCAATGGCGACAAGACCAACGGCCAGCCGGAACCCAGTCCGTCCAATACCACACCTTCACCTGGCGGCGGAATCGCGAGACGGCTCTCCCGGTCCGGGTCGATAGATAAGCAGCCTGGTCCGAATGGCACGCCGCCCGGCTCAAGACGCAACTCGTGGTTCTCCAGCATCTCGGCCAAGTTCTCCAGCTCCGCCAACACGCCGCCGAGCATCTCGCCACAGCATTATCACTCGCTCCACCACCTACAGGTCAAGGAGCAACAGCAGAATCAGCAGTTGGATGGCACCGGTCCGCAGCCGCAAGGCCAAAACCAGCCGCCGCCCCAGTCTGCGTCCACACCCGCTGAACCGCCCCCGCCCAAGTTGCACACGACGAGGAATGCCGTCCTGCCGCATGCCGCCAAGCCAGATGGCAGTGGCCCCTATACGCCTGCCCCGCCAAAGTCTAGCCAGGCCGGCATTCTGGGTGTGTTCCGGCGGCTCTCCTCGTCTGGCGGCAGCGGGCAGGCGGCAGCAAAGCTTGGCAACGGACTCGTCGACCGCGTGACCCTCAACGTTGATCAGGATCGCGAGCGATGTCCAATCTCGGAGCTCAAGGACGCCAAGCTGCGGCGGGTTTCTTTCTGCGTGGATGTGGAGATTGCGCCGATGCCGAAATACGCCGATGGTGACGTCGCGCAAAGACCCGCCGTGGACAGGACGCAAAAGAAGAAGCTCATTGACAAGGGCGAGGGTGAGGCATTGAAACACCCCAGGGTCGTCGAGGCGCAAAAGGAAGCCGACGAGGAGACGCCCAAGCCTGCTGCGGCGAAGCCCGTTCCCGTGCCTGCACCTTCAGAGCCGTCTCCGCCCGTATCGGCCGCGACAAACGGCGTACAAGAGAATGGGACGTCACCTCCAGACAAGGACAAGGACACCACCAAAAAGAAGGAGAAAAAGAAGAAGAGCGAAGAGGAGCGCAAGGCTAGGAAAGAAAAGCGCCGCCGACTCGCCGAAGACAATGGCTCCGTTCCGATAGAAATTCACTACGACACCGACGACTCGTCCTCGGAGAACCCGAGCGGCGCCGGTACGCCTAAACCGCCCACGACGACGACACATCCCACGACGAACCCTGCCAGAATATATCGTCGATGCTGCCAGCTGCGAGAAACGCCCATTCTTAAGAAGATTACTGAGCAACTCTCTGATAGCGCGAATTCGTCGCCTGCGACAGGGGTCGTAAACAAGTTGGACTTGACAGACTATTGGCTCCAGCTGCCGGACCTGATCACCCTGGGCGACTATCTTGCCGTGGTCCCCGTCCGAGAGATTATCCTTGAGAACTGCGGTCTGAGCGACGAAGGCCTCCGGGTCATCCTCGCGGGCCTCTTGGCCGCGAGGCAACCTCCCACCTCACGGCGAAAGAAGCCGACGCACGAGCAGGAGGGGCACGGCGGTGTTGTTGAGCGGGTGGTGCTCAAGAACAACAAGCTTGGGCCGGACGGGTGGAAGCACATTTCTCTGTTCCTCTACATGTGCCGATCACTGAAGTACCTCGACCTCTCACATATCCCGTTCCCGCGGCAGTCGCCAGCGTGCTCCAACGGTACCCTTCCAGATGGCCGGCAGATCCCGCGAGGCATCGCAGATGTCTTTTCCAAGGCCCTTGCCGAGCGATTAGGCGGCTCTACGCTGGAAATGCTCAACATTGGCGAGACGGCGCCGAGCATGGACCAGCTTCGCATCATCATCGAGGGCGTCACCAAATGTGGCATACGCAGGCTTGGGCTCGCGCATAACTTGATTGACGCGGAGGGCGTGGAGGTGGTGGCCAAGTATCTCGCCGCTGGCATGTGCGAGGGCCTCGATCTGGGCGGCAACGACATCAGGGAGCACATGGAAACGCTCGCTGGCGCTCTCAAGGAAAAGGACCCCCTGTGGGCGCTGAGCTTGGCGGGCTGCAACCTGACCCCTTCGTCGCTCTGCAAGATCATTCCCTCGCTCGTCAAGCTCGAGTGCTTCAGGTTCATCGACCTCTCGCACAACCACGACTTGTTCCAGTCCAAGCCCAGCGCCGTTGGCTTGCTGCGAAGGTCAGTAGCAATTGAAACAGGCGCCTTTCGTCCACCTTTATACTGACTTGCTCTTAGATATCTGCCCAAGATGGAGGGCCTCAAACGCATCCACTTGGAAGATGTCAACATGACGTCTGAGCAGGCGATTGCCCTGGTCGAAGTCCTGCCGGAGGTCCGGACCCTGGCTCACATTAATCTGCTAGGAAACGAGGAGCTGGGAAAGCTGGCAGACGCCAGGACCGAGGAGGCGCAAGAGGAGGCGTGCGCCTTGTACGCCTCGCTGCTGGCGGCAACGAGGGTCTCAAGGACCCTGGTGTGCGTGGACATCGAAGTGCCGAGCGACAAGGCCGGCGAGATTGTCAAGGCCATGGCCAAGCAGGTCGTTGCCTACTGTCTCCGGAACATGGAGCGGATTCCCGACGCAGAGATCAACAGCGCAGTGGCGTCAGCCATGGCCGACTCTCGCAGCGACGGCGACGCAAGGGACCCGCCGTACCCCGATGTGCTCGCCCACCTCGTCGGCCACGATGTTATGGACCAGGAACTCTCAGAGGACAACGAATCGGCGCCGGATGAAGACTACGTCATTGGGGGCACGGGCGTGGTCAAGGCGCTGACGTGCTGCCTCAAGAACCACGGAGACGAGTCCGGCAGACAGTCTGGCGAGTTTGTGCGGGACGCGGAGAGCGGCGACGTAACGACGCGGCCCGGGTTGGCGACCGGGGGCAAGGCCAAGGACATGTCGAAGCATCTGCTGGCGGGTGCACGCAAGATCCGCATCCGGCTGCAGCCCGCGCTCAACAAGGCCAAGGCGATGCCGGGCGACGAGCAGACGCTGCGCAAGCTCATGTTCCTGGACAACACGCTGCAGGGCATCATCAGGAGATTCGAGGACGAGTACCCAGACACGAGAGAGCCGGCCAGACAGACGGTGGAGGCGTCACCCGAGAGGACGCCAAGCGAGGAGCTGTCGACGTCGGTGCCGATAGGGGACGATTCAGCAGTCGCCGTGTCGGACGGCGAGGACGAGTCGGAGATTCACCCGCCCAAGTCGCTGTCACGGTCCAACTCGATGGCCAAGGTGCTCGCCGAAGAGGAGGGGCGAGTGCTACGCGCGGGCCACAGGTTCAGGTCGGGGCTCGTCCTCAGGCAGGACCAGATCGACCTGCTGAGCACCATCGACGGCATCTCGGAGGACCCCAAGCACGCGAGGATGCTCGAGGGCCTGGCCGAGGACATCGGCGGCGAGCTGCTCGAAAAGGTCAAGGAAAAGGGCGCCGTGCGGGCCTTCAAGGAGGACAAGGACGTGCTCTTCCGAAGCATGCGGGATAGCGACCCCGCGCATTGGGAGCTCTTCCTGGAGTCGCAGCAGAAGGCGCGGGCCAACATCAAGGTGGCGTCGAACGAGAAGAACGGGGAGGTGATTCCGCCCGCTGACGAGAGCGCCATTGCGGATTAGGCGGGGGTCTCGTTAAGGACTTAATGGAAGATGCATCGCAGGGGGATTTTGTTTCTCTGTATGGCTACCGTACGGCTATGAGGAGTTGGGAGCGTCATGATATCCCGGTACTTGGTGCACAGCAGCCACGGCGCAGAAGGGCTTGCGGGTTTTCTGGGTACCCAGGCGACGAACACGAGCGGGCAAGCATAGCTACGGCGCTCGCCATTTTTCTTTCATACATTCGTTTCTTGCCTCGACGGCATGCATGGCCGTCGGCTTTAATTTGGGCTCGTGTCGCCTCGACCATGACAGCGCGGCGTATGTGGTAAGGGGCCTGGGCGTTCACGGGATCAGGGCCCGGTGTGGTGTCTGGAGTTGATTTGTTTTGGCTATGGGCGAATAGCAGCCAGAGAGATGAGATGGATGTACGGCTTGCTTGGGAACTGGCGTCACTGTGCATACATGCGTTGGCGTGGTGGCATTCGGCGGACGGAGAGGGCGTCGGCGCCGGGGCCGGCAACTGGCACCGCACTGCACTGCACTGCACTGCACTCCGGGCTGCGCTGCAGGTATGGTCTGCTTGCTTGCTTGTTGCTCGTGCGTGGTGACTTGCATACAGCACTGCCTTTCTACAACACGGCAAGATGGCTAAATTTGGTATATGCTACTTACTACTGCTGCTGGATGGAATCGTGCACGCAGTGCCTGTCAGTGTCGTCACGCGCGCTCCGGTCCGCCGTCTCCTAGCTAGCTAGTTAGGTGCTGCTGCTGATAAATCAGGGAATGGCACAATCGTACACTTCCCATCTCTTGAACCAGTCGTACGCCATATAGAGGAGACCTATCGTCAGGCGAGAGGCCGGCTGGGAGATGACACCATTGCCGGGCGGCCTTGCGCCAGAGGGGTGGGAACGGCCCTTTCGTACGGGGCCAGCTCGCAGTTCACTCACTCATCAGCCAGGATTGAATTGTGCAGTAAAGCAAAGGCAGGTAGGTACCTGGGTTCTGCTGTGGAAGCGGAACCTTGCTTGCGCGATAGCAGCGGGCTTGGCCAGTTCAAAATCTCTGCGAATCGCGCCACCGTTATCGCGTCGCGCTGCGCTGTCGTCGTCGTCGTCCTCCTCCTCCTCCTCCTCCTCCTCCTCCTCCTCCTCCTCCTCCTTTCGGCCATCACTTGCGTATCATCGAGCCATGTCAGGCCGCGACTGAATGACCTGTGGTGGAGTCAGGCGAGGCGGGCCGCCCGAGAGAGAGTTTGGGAGGCAGCTGGTAAGCAGGAATAAGCCCCGCATGATTGGCCCGCCTGGCGGTGGTGGTCGGTCGGTTCCCGCTGCCGTGCTCAGGTGGGGTGGGGGGGTGGTGGTGGTGACCTGAGTTGATGGCGGGGACCGGATTGCGGGGACGGCTTTTTCAGCAGGGCGTCCCAGCGTGTCTGTGGTGGCCCACTGAGACATAGGGGTCTCTCTGCGCGTTGGTTAGCTTGCTCGTCCGATGATGGGCGTCGGTTTTCAAATCATTCACGAAACATTCGTAAACACGCCCCGGGTCCTGAGCTGTGGTTGATTCGTAAGGGGAGGGGAGGCTTGTACGCGGGATGGGGAATGGCAGCGTGGGCAGTTTGCGCGGGATGGGATGGAGAGGGACCTACAATAAGCATTACGAAGCTCCGTGTCATCCCAGATTCGTCAATTCGAGCCGCCGCCGCCGCCCTTCCCCCGGCCGGCACACTGACGGCGTGACAGCTTCCACCGTCGTAGGGCAAGTTCAGCCTGGCAGCCGCCTATAGGTGTGTGGGGGCGATGCCGACAGGCGCTGCCGGGGCGGCAGTGGCAGCGCGTGGCGGGGATAGCTGACGGGAGAGAGGTTCTGAGCGTTGCGAGGAGGTGCCCGAAGGGGGCTGGACAGTGATGGTGCTGCGGGCAGCTGGCGGCTGAGCTTTCATCCAGCTTACAGAGGAAAGCATCATCACCCGCTGTGGTGCGCTGGAGGGCGGGAAAGAGCCCATCCAGGTATCTTCCATTACTTGCGCCTTCACGGCAGCGGTCGCAGCAGCAGGCAGGCAGGCAGCGGGGCGTGGCTGCCTCTGGTGGTGGTGGTGGTGGTCATGCGATGTCATGGCCATCGGATCGAGCTCCAGCCGCCCAACACGCCCAGCAGCAACCACGCCAGGCACAGCGGGCACCACCCGCCCCAAAATGTTCCCCGTACCCTTGCGGGTCGAGGGCCTGTGGGGGGGTGAGGTGGGAAAAGCCCGTCCGCCTCAGGCCACATCACCGCCTACCTATCTCTCGCTGGCTTTCTTGACGTGCCCATCAACATTTCAGTGTGTGTGTGTGTGGCGGGACAGATGGATGGATGATGGATGGGTGGGCAGGGATGGGATCGAGGCAGCCAGCAGCATCTCGTTTCGTCGCTTCTTCGCTTTCATGCGCGGGCCGGTGGAGAGAGACGGGATGGGATGGGATGAGATGCCATGGGCTGGGACGGGAAACATGGGCGATCCGACCAGGGGGTCGCGGTACTAGTCAGTGGCCCATACGAAGTAGTCGCTGAAACCAAACGAGGGCTGCTCACGAGGATGCTTTCAAAGCTGTATGTAGCATGTATGTAGGTACCTGATGGCATCACTGCGCGCCACCACTCTCGTCGTTGCTCGCGCCGGGGGCAGGCAACCAGCGCCCACCACGACCACCGCCACCACGCCCCCCCCTCACTCTAATCCCGCCCTTGGACCCCTTCGTTTGCGCGCTCGTGTGACCCGTGCGGGCAGCTGTCGCAGCTCTTCGAACACCACTGCTTTCCTCGAAACCGAACCTGAACCGCTTCCGCGCGCGAGACAGAGAGCCTGCAACGCCTCCCCAACACCGACCAACACCAACGGGAATATCACCTATTACCCAAGTTCCTTTCTCGCGGGGCGCCTAAATCCCCCCCCCCCCCTTTTCCGGCCCAGCCAGCCTGCCACTTACACAGCCTGTGGCCTGGCCTGCCGCACAGAGGAGGAGGACCCGCGCGCCAAAGCCTGACGGGAAGTCGAAGAAAACAGCCCGTCCGCCCGCCCAGCCGACGACGACCTACAGCATTAGCGCAGGACCTTGGGGCCTGCCACCTGCCACCCCCGGCCCGGGCGACGATTTTATCACACCACCCTCCGTCCTTTATCGAACCATACCATACGCACGCAGCAAACCCGCCCAACAAAACGCTGCCTGCTTTACTTGGCCCATTCGTCTATTCATATATACCTTGCGCTACCGGTACTCCTTTCTACGTGTGTACTCGGTCGATCTGGATCTTGTTTTTTTCCTCTTGTACAAGATTTCCGTTCTGTACGGGCTTCCTGAACTTGCTACACGACAAAAGTCACCATAGCCCCGCGACTTCGTTCCGTCTTACACGCCGTCCGAGTCCGCATCCGACATCCACATACAACAAAACACACATATTACACACGATCCAACACCGGAACAAATCGCGCGCAAATAGAGACGGTACCCAAACTGCCCCTCTATATCACACGAAAGGAGAAGGGGCAAAAAAAAGTCGACGACGACAACAGGCATCCGTCTCAACCACACTCCTCCTTCCGTCCCTCATACAACCCGCCCGCCCCCCTCCGCCCGCCATGTCTCCCACATACACCCTCTCCGCGCACCTCTGCAAGCAAGTCTGCGCCTCCTGGCGCCAGACCCGCCAGACGACCACCACCACATCATCATCAACATCGACGAGCACCAGCGCCGCCACCCATCCGCCCCTGAGCAACGTCGACGCCCTCTTCCTCCTCCGCGACCGCTCCCCCCAGTCCTCGGCATCCACCGCCGCGGCGGCAGACGACGCCGCTGCCAAGCGCTCCATGGACAGCCAGCGTTCGAGGAGAAGCAGTAGTTCCTCGTCGAGCAGCAGCGCTGGTCGCGACTGAGGAGGGGGACGACGAGCCGTGGGAAGATGGGACGGACGCTCACGGAGGAAAGGGTGTGGAGTGGGCGTGGGTACGCACACGGCTGCTAGAGGCGGCACACGAGCCCCCACGACGTCGCAAGGAGGGTAATGGAGTGATGGGTTTGCTTGTCATGGAATCGGGCGTTGGCCAAGGGAGTTTTATGTTTTTGCCGAGAATGGCTGCCGCCCAAACACTTGTACACACTTAGCATGCATTCGCCTCGTAGCCAGCTTGGCCCAAATGATGAATTTATCCCGGTGCTACACGTCGTCACGTTGCTGTTGAACCCCGGTTTTTCTCGCGACACTCGCTTTCCTCGCTCAAAACAAATGCCCATGCCCATGTGCCTGCTCCCGTCTTGTACTCTCTACAATGCTGACGCCGCCAGCGTGTTGACTGTCGGCACCGTCGACATTCTGCGCGGCATCCCCAGCTGCCCGTCGTCAGACCCGCTGTCGCCGGGCGACTCCATCGCAAAGTTGCCCTGGATGCGCCGCTTCGCTTCCTTCTTCTCTGCCTCGGTGATGTTGTCTTCGCTCTTGCGCATGTCGGGCGTCCACTGCGACTCACTAGGAGAGTGCCCAATCGACATGCCTACTCGGATCTGTCCGTCGCGTCAGCACATGAGACGTCTTCGCTTCTAGGCATACCATCACTTACCAGAGTCTCCAGGGCGCTGTTAGAATTGTCCACCAGATCATCGTCGAACCGCATCTTGCCCGGCTCAAACAGAAGCAGCACCGTGCTGCCACCAAACTTGAAATACCCCAGCTCCTCGGCCCGCTTCACCTGGTCACCCTCGTTGCGCGTGATGACTGTGCTGCCCACCATCATGGCACCGACGCAAATCACCATGACGCGGCCGTGCTCGACGCTGTCGATGGGCACAATCACTCGCACGTTTTCACCGTAGACATCTAGCGCCGACCGAATCGCCATCGGGTTCACCGTGTAGTACTCGCCCGCGATCGTCTTGGGCTTGCCCATGACGCCGTCCACCGGGATGTGGAAACGATGGTAGTCCTGCGGCGCCAGTCGGAAAATGCCCAGGGCTCCGTTCTCGTACCGTGCGGCGTCGGCGGGGTATGCGTCGCCGAGGAGCCTCTTGACGTTGAATTCACGGCCCTTGACCCATATCTTGGTCGCCAGCGTCATCTGATTGAACACGACGCTCCGGCAGTCTGCCGGCGAGACGATGATCTTGGGGTTGTGGGGTGCCGAGCAAGGCCGTGCCCCTTGTTTGAGAGCGCGATAAAAGAACTCGTTGAAGTTCTTGAATTCATCAATCGGCAGCAGCACCTCGGACATGTCGAGACCGTGAAAGTCGATAAACTTCTCAATCTCATCCTTGGAGGCAGGGTCGTCAAACTTCCTGCCCTGCTTGATGCTGAGGTTCTTGAGCATCTTGCGGACTGCGAGCTAGTTAGCAACAATCGCCTCGGGGTTAGTCTCGTTTCCACTCACTTCGCTTGTTCTCCATCTCGCGTGACTTCAAGCCCTTGTACAGGAGGCGAATGCCGAGGCGGACGTAGACGCTCATCTTCTCCTCGTTAATCTGGCCGGTGATACGGTCCTGCACCAGAATGTTGGCCGAATTGGCTCCGAGCTTGTAGCCTCCGTACGAGATCTTGGTGATGACCTTGGAGTACCACTTGCGCTGAGCCTGGCTCGCCGTCACGAAACCGCCCATCAAGACCGTGTTGACCTGCCTCCAGTCCTGGCTGGCGCAGGTGGCGATGTGGGTGATGATATCCGTGTCGCTTCGCTTGTTGAGTCGTGGCTGGTGACAGATGGGGCACTCGCGAATCTCGACGACATGTTCTTCCCCGCGATCGTCGCTCAGATCCTCGTCGCCCTCCGCCTCGAGCGGGGTGCTGATTTCCGGAACCGCGGTGGAGTCGAGTGAGATTTGCGGCGTGGACGCACCCGAGCCCTCGGAACTCGACGTCTGCTTGTTTTGTATGCCGAGCGCCTTCATGTCCGGCACCATGCTCTTGAGTTTGTCGCCGACCGTGGAGGATTGCTTGCTCTTAGCGTCCAGCTGGTCCTCCAGGCAGGTGACGGCCTCGTCCATGGTCAGGTCCCACGTCTCCTCGTTGTCGGCGGCCTTGTGGGGGAAGCGCTGGAAGAAGCTGTCGATGGTGGACTCGCGCAGGGTCGACCCGAGCGTGTCGAGCATGGTTGTCAGCTCGACGCGACTGATCTCGCCGCTCTCGTCGGTGTCGTATTGCCTCAGCATGGCGCGCCAGAACTGCTGTCTCAGCGCCGAGTACGGCATGTACTTGGCTCGGAGGTACAGGACGGGGTTGTGCTTGGATTCCCATTTGTCCAGGTTCTTCATCTTCAACGGCACCACGTAATCATGGAAGTCCGGGTCGTCCGTCTCCATCGCCGGCTCTGTAATCTCAATACCTGTATTAGCAAGTGCATCCGCCGGGGCGAGGAGAGCGTGGCTGGTGGACTGGGCCTGACTTGGGTCAAGGGGGGCGTTCTGTGAGGCCGTGCTGGTGTTGGACAGTGTCTTGGACAGGCCAGGCCGCATCATCTTACCCAAACTTTGGGAAGACGACGAACGAGACATCCCCAGCCTCTTGAGGCGCGACTTGGAGGCAGCTGGCGGGACGCCCGCCGGGGGGTCGCGCAGCATGTAGAGCCCGGTTTCCGGATCAGCCTTGGGCGCCTTTTCGATCAACTCCGGGACCGGGAGAGTGCACGACGCGATGAAGTCGTTTCCGGAGTACCTGTCGTGGTCAATGACGGTGAAAGCAAAGGAGTACGCCTGCTCGTGTCCTTGGACGTGAAATATCATCTTCTCATTATAAACGGGGTTCAGGTTGTGGCGGACACGCCGGGTACGGTACGTCTTTTTGCCGAGCGAGGCCACGACGAAGGGATCCATGTCAAAGCTGGTCCTAGTCAAGTTTGACTCTGGTGGTAGGTCGGTGATTTTGCAGACCTCGAGGAAGATGATGCCGACCACGTCCGAGTAGCCGTTGTTGAAGGCGTACGGGTTCTGCCGCCGTCTTCTCTTCAGGCCCCTGATCCTGAGGCGCCGGCGCCGCCTCTCGGCCGTCTCGGGCTTGGTTAAGTCTTCGCCCTCTTCGTTGACCTCGTCGTCGAATTCGGTGAGGTCCTCGTCGTCTTCTTCGTCTGCGGCCTCATCTGGCGAGGACGACGGGCCGGGGGTGGACTTGGGTATGGAGGTCGGGGTCAGGAGAGGGGTCATTGAAGGCGTGGCCTGGCGCGAGGAGCCCATGGGCATGGAGCCGATGATGTTGTAGAGCTTCTCGAAGATTTGCTGCGAGGATGCCGCGGGGTTGGCGGGGTCAAAAAGGGAGAACTGCAGCATCACCTCGCCCGAGACGACGCCAGTCTTCTTGCCCGGGCGCTTGCTCTTGAGAGGGAACCATCGCGGCGGCTGCTCGACCTTTTCGCCCTGGAATATCTCCTCGAGGGCCAAATCGAACTCGCCCATGTAGTCCTTGCCGAAGCGATCCTTGTCCCAGCAGATGACGTCGAGGACGAGGCTCTGGACCGAGGTGACGGGCAGCTCCTCGATGACGTTCCAGTCGGGATTGAGCGTCTTAGGCACAGCGTGAGTCTCGATTCGGGAGTCGCCAAGGGTGACGACGAGGTACTGCAAGAATGGTCGTCAGCACGGCGTCCTCAATGCCCACGTGCGCGCGTTGTCGCCGTTGCAGAAGGCCGGTGGCGTCGATGGGCTCACGTACCGGATCAGAGGTGCCGCTGCGGTCCTTGGCGGCCAGGTTCCGCGCCTGTGCAAGATGAGAATCAGCTCCCGTACGGCGGCGCAGAGTGGTCAAGCGGCTCGCACCTTCATGATGACCACCTTGAGGGCGAGGGCGTTGGCAGCGTCCGGGGCGGGCAGCCCCGCAACGTCGTTGTTCTTGGAACGCATCGGGCTCTGGCTTCTGGAATTGCAGCGGGACGTCTGCGTGGAGGAGAGCAGGCGGTTGGGAACAATCCGCATGGCGCGAGGAGAAGCCGTTGCGAGCTTTTGGCTGGCAAAGTCTTCGTCCTAGCTGGCGGTGGCATGCAACTCGAACGAGAGGCAGGAGGACCGAGGGAGCTCCCACAGATCGGTCGAGAGCTGAGCGGGTATTATTATTTGGGGGAGCTGGAGGTGGTGACGCCACAGAATCAGGAGGCGGCTCCACCGTGCCAGGGGCGGGCGCAGGGCACTGTACGCCCGTGGATACTGAGGTGGATGGCGCCCCCAGCGTAGTGCAGCGCAGCGCAGGCAGGCCTGTCCTGGGCCGGGCAGCGACTCCCTGCAGTGGATATTACTGGTAGCTGTGGCCGGGTTTGCTAGGTAGGCGTCGCGTCTTGCAAGGCAAGTAAGCCGACCCTCTCTCGCTTGGGGGCCAGCACAGGCGTCATGGATTGGACAACGCGGCGCCTTGCTCGGGGTGGATTGGGGTCCTGAACCCCGATGCCCCGTCCGCCTTGGGACCTTTCTTCTCCAGTTTGAGGCCTCCGAGGAAGCCGATTTGAAGGCGCAGGCTGGAACAGAGCCGAGGGCCAAGCACGGGTGTCGCAATTTACAGCGGGAGATTGGCACTAGAAACGGCAACGTCGTCGATGGAAACGTCAGCCAAGATGGGAGGGTGTGCCGGGCGCCCATCCGCCCAGGCGGGCGGCGTCGACCACCCTCGACCGCCCACCTCCACCATCACCGCCATGCCGTCCCGTCAGGGGGGTTAATATTGCGTTGAGAGCCCTGCCAGCATCTGGGGTGTTAGCGCTGCCTGCGCGCCAGGATGCCTGCGACTGACCGAGGGTTGCCGGGTTTTGGGGCCGCCACGCTTCTTACCCTTGGGCAGTGTCTCGTGCTCACATCTCTGACAGATCTGGCATCCGAGTCGGCAACCGGCCCAAGTCATACGATCGCGCAGACAACAGCACGAGTGATCTCATTGTCGGACGCCAATGACAGACCCGGTGGAGTCTGTGTACGCGTCGCGCCTCGTCTCGCCTTGCGGTGCCTCCTCCTGCCTTGCTGCGCGAGCCCGCGACACGAGTGATGGGCGATTTGCATCTGGTGGCTTCCTTCATTCATTTCACGCTGCGCCCCCCATGCAGCTCATCCATCGAGAGGCTGAACCATGCCCCAGTCCTCCCGCATCGACAGCCTGTTGGCTCCATCCTCGACCGGGTTCCGAATCGCCCCGCACGCAAGCTCGTGAACGCCTCAACAATTCGTGCTGCGGATTCCAAAAGAACCGTCAGTGTCCAGTGAGCTACCAGTAGTGGTGCCTTAGTTGCCCGTCCGCTCGAATAAAAGGCCGAACACGAGTGGCCCAGCGATGCCACGTCGACGTTTGCGCTGGCTGCGACGCCCAAAAGTGCATCCGCCGGGGCTCACAAAGGGTAGGTAGGTCCTTGTAGAAATCAAAGAACACGGTAGCTCAGGGCGAGACACAAAGACAAAGGGCCGCCTTGCATTGGGGCTAACGCCTGTTCTGTGCAATCGACGAATTGCCGCAGCCTGGCTGGCTCAACTCCGCCATGGCAACGTTGTGCGGCGCAAGGCACCAATCGAGCTGAGCAGAGAGCATCAAATCGTCTGTCTGTCTCTCGGTCTTTCACCGCAGCCCTGGATTGACAGTGCGAGGCTTGTGTGGGCGCACGGCCAGAATCATCGGGACCCTCGAGTCTCACAATCGCGCGCCAGATCACACATCGAACGGCGCGGGGACCCGTCTCGGACTGCGACATGTCAACCGCCATCCGTCGCAGGACGCGTTCCCCTCCGGCTACAGGCTACAGGTTTCGGCATTCTGCGCAAAGCTGATGTACAGATGAGTACAGTACTTATAGTACTATACTCTCGACATGAACACGTATGCCGTGGCTTGGGGGCAGCCCTGCCGTGCCATCATCGCCAAGCACGGGAATCCGCCTGACGAACCGTCCGAGGCAAACTGTCACGTCTGTCAGGTGGAGATGCGCTGGGGCTGCCACCGCCTGGCAGTCCGCGTAGCGCCCAGGCCCTCCGGCCGTCTATCTCGATACAATGGGGAGCCCACATTAAATGCCTCTGGCCCTCACGGACCACGCGGGCAACTCGACGGCCGGCATCCACCTCCACGGTCTCGCACATGCCCTGCGGTGTCTTGGGCGTCTGAGCGGGCGGCCATCCGCTTCCTGCGACGGAGGCGCGCTGGTCGGCTGCCGACCAACGCTGCAGAACCGTTCTCGGGCTTGGGCCACCGTCTGTCACGCCCCCGAGGAATCCGCGCAAGACGGCACGTCATTGCTGCATTCGACGACGACGACGGAGCGCTTGTGCTGCCGGCTGCGCAGCAGAGCCGACGGTGATGTGGCATGCGCGACTTACTTGCCGCGGGCTGGCGAGACGGTGTGCCTTTGGGGGAGGGTGTCTGGTGTACCCGTACAAAGCGATACCTGGAGAGCAATCCGTACTCCTGTTCCACGTATTATGTACGTACGTTGCACTTTGCAACCTGCGAGCCAAAGAAACCGCGCCAAGCACACGAGCATGCTCTGCATCAAAGCCATGCCGGCCACGGTTGCAGATGCCAGACTGTGCGGCCGAGACATTGAATTGCCCCAACGCGGCCTAGTCCATCTTCAGCTCCAGCAGCCACTTTGAGCAGCCACGCGGGCTCTGCGACGCGACGCGACAAGCCCAGCTGGCCCAGCTGGCAGGGCTCACGTGACACTCTGCACGATTGGGTTGGTTTTGGCTCATCACCTGCATTGCTAGCTCGGGCCAGGCCAACGCGAGGAAGAGAAAAAAAAAAATCGACGAGGAAACTTGATTGACAGCACACTGGCAGTGACGCAACCAGCCCAAGCAATCGTCATCGGCGGTGCCGTCCATGCTCGCCACCGCCCGTCGTCGCCGTTGTCGTGCGACCCGGAAGCGGTAAATGGTCACACGCACCGACAGTACACAGACACAGACACGGGCAAGAGGGAGAGAGGGAGGAAATTGGCATTCCAGACGGGGAAAGGCCAGCGTGGGGAAGCCGTGACGTTCCAGCCCTGCGCCGGCCGTCCGTCTTCATCTCTCAGACCCGGACCGGATAGTTTTTAGATAATGGCAGCCCCCTTTCCTCCTCCCGCCGCCGCCGCCCCAGAGTCCGAGTCCGCGTCGGAGCCACTTTTGTGACCTTCGTACAAAGTACCTGCCTTGGCTCAGTTGGCTTGCCTGCTTGCCCTGTTACGAAGCCGCCGCCACGAAACGAACGTCCCGTCCGCTCGTGCTCGTACCGACGTGCTGCTACTCGCAGTACTAACTGCAACTGTACCAGCCTGGTGCCACTTAGGTCCAGCAGTGCCTGAGCAAGTCCCGCGACGCAGGCAAATCAGCATCCCGCCTCCAGCTCTCCCCATGCCGTCGTGGGCTGAGCTTGCCCCCAATTGTTGGTTCGGCCACCTTCCACTGCTGCTTCCAGCCCGCGCCGCCTCCTCGTCCTCCTCCTCCCCTTCATCTCCCGTCACAATTTAGCTCTCCTTTTGCGTCGCGCACACGACCACCTCCCCAATCTAGCTGCCGCTCGCCTCAATCTCCTTGCTGCAGCTGTGCAATCTGCATTGAGCTGGCTTGCTCGACCCCGTGCGCCGCCGCCGACGACCGCTTCTTCGCCTTCGGACCAGCACCTCGCGCTCTGCGGCCCAAGCCAGCACCAACCCACCTTCATTTTCCCTCCCATCTCTGCGGCCACCACACGCACCAATCCCGCACGCCATCGTCATGCCGTCGCCTTCAGCAGCCGGCAAGCGCAAGCGGAACGCCGCCGCCGCCGCCGACGACTTGCTCAACGGCGGCCAGCAGGCGTCGTCCCGCGATGCCTCGGGCGAGGAGGGTGACACCACCGCCCCCGAGTCCGGGCGCCACAGCCGTCGCGGCGAGAACGGCAATGGCCCGAATCCTAAGCGGCAGCGGGCCAACTCCGACCGCAACGGCGACGACGCCGTCATCGATCCCGGCGAGCCGAGTGACACGACCGAGGCCAGCGTCGACATCGCCGAGCGCGTCGGCCGCCGCGGGCGCAGGGCCTCCATCGAGGAGGAGGAGGCCATGGCTCCGCCGCCCATCGGCCAGATCACACACCCCGCCGGAGGCTTCAAGACGAACCCGCCGCCCGTTGGCCGCGCCGTCAGGGTCTACGCCGACGGTGTCTTTGACCTGTTTCATCTCGGGTAGGTACAGATCTTCGGACGGACCCCGGCCACCACTGACAAGAGCCGCCAGGCACATGCGGCAACTCGAGCAGGCCAAGAAGGCCTTCCCCGACACGACCCTCGTCGTCGGAGTCACGGGCGATCACGAAACCCACAAGCGCAAGGGCTTGACAGTCATGTCTGCCAAGGAGCGCGCCGAGTCGGTCCGACACTGCAAGTGGGTGGACGAGGTCATCGAGGATTGCCCGTGGATCGTCACCAAGGAGTTCCTTGACGCCAACCGGCTCGACTACGTTGCCCACGATGATCTGCCGTACGGGGCCGACGAGGGTGACGACATCTATCAGCCGATCAAGGCGGCGGGCAAGTTCCTCGTCACCCAGCGGACAGAGGGTGTCAGCACGACGGGCATCATCACGAGGTGAGCAGCGCCTATACAGGCAGACGTGAATGGGCGGGCGGGCGAGAACATGCGTGACTGACAGTGTGATGCTATAGAGTCGTCCGTGACTACGAAAAGTACATTACGCGGCAATTCAAGCGTGGCACCTCGCGGCAAGAGCTCAACGTCAGCTGGCTCAAGAAGAATGAAATCGACTTGAAGCGCCACGTCCAGGATCTGCGCGACAACATCATCACCAACTGGACGACGACCGGCCAGGAGCTGAGCCGCGAGCTCAAGCAGTTCTGGCCCACGAGCCGCCCGCAGAGCCCGGCGCGCTTCAACTCCCACGGCAGCGACAGCGCTCGCTCGCCGACCACGCCCGGGCCCGGAAACTCCAAGGAGTTTGTGACTGGTTACGCACTGGGTCTTGTGGGTGGCGTGCGCTCATGGGTAAGCACATCATCCGCACGCTCCTGATGCGATATTACGGGCTCTTTGGTTACTCACGCTCCGATCACAGATGACCAAGAACCGGAGGACCGTCAACAATAGCCGACCGCCCAGCGACGATGATGAAGAATCAGACGAAAGCAACGGTGACGGCCGACGGAAGTCAATGCCGAACCTCGTCTCGCCTACCGCAGCCAGGGGTTAGTTCACTACTGTAGCTGGGGTCCTGGGGGCTCGTGACGAGCCGTAGGTTGCGAGGGCTTGGGTTTGGGTCCCGTCAGCACTCGAAGACGGAGAGTTCATTGGGGGGGACAGGCTGCTGATTCGGCATTTGAAAAGGAATCAAATTGTCTGGATTAATACTAGAGGGGACAGGCAAACACGGCGTTGTGGTTCGCACAATCACTGTATGATACTTGAAAACTATTTCGTGCCCATTCCACCCTTGTTGCAGGCCCTTGGTCTGTGGTCGACGCAGGATCCTTGCTCTCGCGCCTGCAAGGCGTTTTCCTCGGCGCCATGTCGGTAGGCAAGCCGAGACTCGCAGCCGAGTATTGCGGGCTCCATGGTCCTGCGTTGGGTGCGCCAGGCCTGGTGTGGAGGGCAGCGTCAGCATCGTGGAAGCAGACCTCTGCAGTCCCGGTCCACGTGTCAGCGGGAGGCAGTCGCCGTTTATTACGTACCCGTGTAGGTTAGCAGCAACGACGGAAAACTGCTGTGCCTCTTCTTCTCCCGGCCGACACACAAAGTACTTTGTCCGTAGATTCAAATTATCCGCACCCCCTGTGAAACGTTCGGCAGATCGGCCGGCCCCCAAGGACAGCCACCGCCTTGTGCCACGGAGCGGCTCGCGCCTAGGCGGCTAGCAGGCTCGATGGCGAGCGGGTGGGGGAGCACATACCTGAAACAGGCGGAGGGAGGGGAGGCAGACGGGACAGTCTTCGCAGCGCCCACGCTCTCTCACATTCTCACAAGACACGCCTCCTCCGCCCGGTGGCCGACTCCGGGGTGAGGAAAGATCCAGGCAGCGAGCGAGGGAGCGAGCGATGCATGTCTCGTCCGGCCGCAGAGCGGGACATTCGAGATGGCTTCTCTGCCGTGCGTCGGGCTGAATACCCTCGGCCGGCTGAGGTAGCATCGCAGGCGGGAGCGCACATGGGCGCCCGTCTCGCGACGGCGTGGCGGGGAGAGCGTCGTCGCCGCTGGCTGCCAGTCTACCTGTCGCGCGCGTCAGTCAACTCGTGCTGCCGCATACTGAGCGCTCGGCGACGCCGAGGAGGGTTTCATCTCATTTCACGCGGGCGCGGTATATCATGTCGGCCATAGGTCATTGTGCGCTCGTGTCGGAGAGGACATCTCACCCACTCGCACGCATGCGAGAGCTTTCGTCGTACAAAGTACGTACAGGCGTACGCAGATTGGGCGCCATCGGCCGTGAGAGTGCGCCCCAACACGCGTGCCTACCAAGAGGGTCGCTCACCCATGGCCCTCATGAACGGAAGTACCTTGGCGTCGTCGGCGCGGGTCTGTTTCTTTTCTACCACGCTCGGCGTCGAACCCCATCCCAGGCCTCGCTTCTACGTATGTTGGAGACAAGAGGCTATTTTTGAAACACGTTTCACACAGAGTTGAGAAGCTGCTGTTGGTCTGGCATTGCATGGAAGAGAGAGCCGCGATGAGTGAGTGCAAGCAGACGCGGATTGCGTCTAAATTTAGACACACGGGGTTTTAAGCGCTCGGGGAAGGTGCGACATCCGGTTGGGCGTTGGTGACGGAGAAAGTGGGAAGGTTCGACTCCTGCTGCTGCTACTGCCTCTGCTGCTGCTGCTGCTGCTGCTGTTGCTGCACGCGTGCTGCAGGTCCTGTGCACGGCAGGAACGGATGGAAGGAACACTCGGGCCTACACGGTCCGTCGAGCTTGAAGCTTCGCTCTGCGGCGAGCTCGTTCTAGATCATGCATGCTCCGGCGCCCCTCAAGCCTTGCCCATCTGCTCCCAGCATCCACGAACATTCGCTGCATGTCGCAATCGTTCCGAGCATGCGGGATATCGAGCATCTGGCCCATGCTGTCGACGACACACCCCGTCCCACGCCCTGTGCGGCCGTGTGCCCTGTGCCCTGTCCATGCATGCCTGCTCCGCCACGCGGGACACGGCCGGGGGTGATCTGGGCGGTGCCTGCGACTCACTTCACTGGCGAGTTAAGCGCCAACAGAGCCATGGACATGCGACTTTGGTGCGGTAATGCGCTAACAGGGCTTTCACTGCCTTGGAGTCGCATTCCGCTTCAGAGTGTGCCTACCTGCGAGGAGAGTGCTTGCTGGTATCTGGGACGAACCTGCAACCTGGCCCTGCAGCGCCATTTCGAGACCAGTTGGGCTGTGCACAGCGACTCGGCAATTACCCAAAACTGCAAACGGCGACCCTGGAGAGAGAGAGAATCCGCAACGGAGCATGCTCAGCTCCTTGCGACGCTCACTCCACTTGTGGTTCTCCAGGCAGTCGTGCTGACACGAGGCAATGCGAACGGGCCGCCGAGGCGGCGGGAGCGGGGAGAGCTGGCCAGCCAGCCCATGCAGTCATGCCTGCCCATGTTTCAACACCCGACAAGCCCATCAGCACAATCGCGATAAACCGCGGGAAGGAGGGCCGGGAAGCGAATCCTGATCGGGATCAAAGGCGAGCCTCGGAGACGAACCCTGATTGACTTCCCGAGTCATTGGAACGGCCCTTGCCCCGGCTTGCACGCATGCCTTGTCCTCGAACGAGCTGTTACTCCAGTACACCCGTGGCCTCGCATCCTTGATTTCGCGCGCTTCTTCCCCAGTCGGGTCAGCGACGCCTGGCGATCATCCAACGGGGCGGGCCATGCGCCCCGTCCGGTCCATGGTGTCACCCTTCCGCGCGCCACCGACTGTCATCAGGCCAAGCCACTAAGCCATCCCCATTGCCAGCCGCAAGGCCTGACCTTCGGAGCTCGGGGCACTTCTGTTGCTGCTGGAGTTCTATCGCGCACACGCGGACCTCAAGGGCCCGGATAGCCGGACAGGTCGGCCATCTCGCCTCGCGTCGAGGCGACACACGCCGTCCCCGCGCACTACCTGGGTGGCCCCAAAGCACAATCTTTGCGAAACAGGTGCTTCCTGGCGCCTGTTCCAAGTAGCCTGACTGTCACCGCGAGACCCGAGATGTCAAGTCGCCTCTACCATTGGCCTGCGCGCTGCCCGCCGTCTATTTGCAAGGTCAGATGTCTGCAGCCTGTTGGAGTTGATTCGGCTGCAGATCTCTCACTTGCATCATCGACGGATTCACCACCCTCGGGCGAGAAGCACAAGTGGATGGCCAGGTTCGCGCCGTCTCAATCGTCTTCACTTTAGAGCGGGCGCAAGCAAGTCAGTCCTTGCGGGCTGTTTGAGATGCGACAGAACGAGCGCCTCCTCATCATTGAATGATCAAGGTCTGAACCATCTCGACCAGGACGCATTCCTCGCTGGGCTCCGTCTCCGTTCCGGATACGGTCTTGTCTCTTGAGGATATTTCGGACGCTGCAGACCGTGAGACACGGCGGGTTTTCTCGCCTCCGTTCTGCGCACTACCGACAGCTTGGGAATAGGTCAGCTTACTCGCGTCGCAGCGTGCCTTTTTCTCTTGCCAGGCACGGCACGGTACCGTTACGGAAGGCACCATGCAATGAGACGACGGACAGGCGCTGGCAACGGGCTGTTGGTTGTGTTGGCTCTGCTGCCGATATCCCAAGGTAACGGAGAAGGGCAACGCTCCGCCACCGTCGCATCGACTCCGACTCCAATCATGGCCCCTCAGCTGCCCCCCCATCTCCGCTCTGGTCTTCCCCAGTGTGGACGATCAAGCGCCCGCCGGCTCACAGCCACCTACCCCCATGTGGAGAGGGGTCCCGTTCAACAGTGGCCTACGCAAGGATCTCCCGCTTCCTCTTGACGCCATACCCGCCGCCGCCAGGGCAGGTCTTCTCGCAACCGCGCGGGCAGCACGAACAGCCCAGCAAGTGCGACCTTGTCTCGTCTGGCGGACCAACCTGCGCGTCTCGTCCGGCTTGGCTTGGGTCCCCTCTCGCTCTCCACAGGACGTCTTTCCACCCCGGCTGGCCAATGCACAGCGAGTGTGGGCAGCGTTCGTTGAGAGAGAAAGGGAACTATTGAACTCGTGCCTCTAGTTCTAATTATGGTCCCATCGTCAGCTACGGCACCCCCCATCTTGTTCCCCCCTCCACCCGCACTTCAGCAGAAGACGGATTCTCTGCTTGCCACAGCAGTGCTGTGACGGGACTGGTCGCCTGGCCGTCGCCCTGATGGAGCACGAGGCTGGGCAACCCTGTTTCGCTGCACTCCCACCCCCCTCCCTTGCCTGCGGGTGCATGTTGCGCGCGCCGGCTCACCACCTGTAGGGAATAGTTCTCACTACCTCCGCTGTCAGCCTCGAGCAGGGGTTCACGCATCAGATGGACCGTCTTGGTGCCAACTCGCACTCGAGTGGTGAGTGCCTTGGGCGTGTGTGTTTGTCCGTGACCCATGCACGCAGGTTCGTACATGGCAGACGCACCATGCGCCTCAGCTCAGCTCCCTCGCCGGGCTGTTAGTCGTCATGGATCATGGATTGCATCAGTCTCCTTCTTGCCCAGCCCGAGCCTCATCACCCACCCCCTCTGCCTCTCTCTCCTCGCCCTCTACCTTTTTTCGATCTCACATCGAGGTCGAACAATGCCTTCTGCCCGCCGTCCTATCTTTGTCATCGAGGCACATACCGTTCCATTGCAGATGGGGGCTGCGTGTCATCTCGTCCCCCCGGTTTGACTTATGAGGCTGAGAACATCGCACCGACCCGGCATAGGCCTTTTGCCCCAGACTTTCGTCCACCACCAGCACGGGGTCCGTTGCCCTCGAACCTCTTGCTCTCTTCTTCCGGCGCCACAGCCCCCTTACATCGACTGCCTGTCCCTGCGACGGTGGTTTCCAGAAACGTGATCTACACAAGCCTTACTCGCCGACGGGCCTATTCAGCCAGGAGGGCTGTGCTCTGCTAAGTTTGGCCTTGTGCTTCCCCGACCTGCAGGACCCGGCAGTCGTCCACCTTGTCGACGCTTCCATTTTGGGATTCCACAATGGCCAGCCTCAGGAATATCATGAACGTCGATGACGATCATGTCGACTCCCATTCCTTAAAGAAGTCGAAGGAGTCGGCTCCGAGATCTCATCATCATCCCGCCTCGTCAGCATCCGCCTCAAGCTATGCCAACCCGGCTGACCTTTCCGTCGCCAACTCGTCATCATCGTCAGGAATAGCAGCCAGAGGCCATAGCTCGAATCCTCCCGCTCACGGTCTATCGTCACTGGACGTTGACACGGCATCGTCGTCGTCGTTTGGCCTGAGCCACACTACCGCCAACTACTCTCAGGACCGGCGCCAGAGCAATACTAGCACCGACTCGATGGACTCCCCGTACGGCCAGGGCCACGGCCACGGACACCCGGGCGGCTCGTACTCGGGCACTCCCATGAGGCCCTTCGTCCCCGGAGCAGAAGCCCCCGTCAAACTTACCCCCATCACCGGCAGGGTCAGCCGGGCTAAGAAGGGCCTTGCGGTGCATACCTGTGAAACTTGCCGACCGCCAAAGGTATGCCGTGACGCACGATACTGGGTTTAGACATGATGCACTGACACCTGCTCTAGACTTTCACCAGAGCCGAACACCTGCGGTAGGTTTGGCCTCAGCTGCCGCTGGCAGAGGAGCTATGAGTATTGACAGGAGCAACAGGAGACACCAGCTTAGCCATCAACCGCCGGAGCTATCCTGCCAAGTACCCGGATGCGACAAGGTCTTTCATCGTAAAGACCTGCTCGACCGACATCTGCAAAAGCAGTAAGCGATCCCAGATTGTCCTTCTCGAATCCTCATGGTATGATGTTGACCTTCGACAATCAGTGACCAGGACAACCGGACGGCCAAGAGCACACCCCGACAGAGCTCAACAGCGCGATCATTCGGTTCCAGGAGCCCTAGACATGGCTCATATGGCCCGTCTCCTCCTGGCTCCATGCTGTCCATGGGACACCCTTTCAGCAGCCCGCCGCCGGGCGCAACGAGTGCCGCGAATACATCTTCGCAAGGAGTCCACATGATGCCTGGACATTGGGCATCGACAGGAGGCTCGACCGCTCACATACGAAGCGCGTCTGACAACTTTTCCCTCATGGACTCGGTCCCAGGCTTGCAGTCCGCGTCGTCCAAGGCCTCGGGGTTCTCTCAAGCTCGGCCGCCCACGGGACTTGGAGTAATGGATGTCCCGGAACTTAATTTGCAGGATGTCGGCTCGGCCAATGTTCCCTGGCAAGACAGCTCTGGCGTGGTCACATCATCGTCTGGAAGCAGCTATTCCACACCCCCTTCGGAAGTGTCAAGAGCTCCGGCGACGGTTCGCGCGCCCAGCGCAGAGTGGACAGCCCCCCTCGGACCTCCCGTCGCTTCCAGAACCCTACAGAGCCCTATCGCGGTGTCTGGTGCGTACCCTGCGCCTTTTGGCTACGACTCCTCCCCGCCTGCTGTGTACCCGTCCGTCTACGGGGATGGCGCCGGTGTGCTACTTCCCGGATATGACGAGTCGTTATACAACCCTCAAATCCCCAGCAACACAGTTCGTAACAGCCTGTCCCCGCAACTTGCCGTGGGTCCATCATCTGAGACTTTGGTCACCGCGCCAGCAGCCCTCGCCCCCGACCGGGTGATCAGCCCCATGTTGTGCGGTCGACAACCGGATACGGCGTTTGGATTCCTGATGGCCGGGGATCTCATACACGTGCCCTTGAGCCGCGAGGCTCGCAACGAGATACCAGTATATATCGACAAGTACTGGGAGAAGGTTCACCCTCTCTATCCAATCATTCACCGCCCGTCTTTCGAAGACGCTTCCGGAGTGGATTCGCAGCATCATGACATTCTCCGTTGCGCCATGGCAGCCGTGGCTACTCAGTTCCTGGAACACAAAGAGCATCGAATTAACGGCAGCCAGCTGCACGCCCACGCTTTGCACGAATGCAAGAGAGTGAGTCCGCAATGACGGTAGTTCGTGAGCCGAGGCACTAATTTTCACTTTACAGATCCCGCAATCGAATTGGTCCCTCTCTATCATGCAGGCACTTCTGCTTTGTGAACACTACGCCCAGTTCCGAGGCCGTAGCAAGGAGGCCTACCTCCCTTCGGCTCAGTTCAACGCCTTGTGCCAAATGGTTAGTTCTTAAGCGTTTCCTCGTTGTCAATGAGACCATGTTCGCTGCGGCTTCGTCAACAGCGTGCATCTGGTCGCGTTTTAGTCTTCCCTCCACGACTCCCCTTTAATTCCTATGTCCTTTTTTTCTATATTCTATTCCCCTTAATTTCCTTGATTCGGTTCGATTTCTTTTGTTTAATTTCTTTGTCGACTGTACACGTCAGCTTCCAATTGACATGTCGCTCAACTCCGTTACAGGTCGCCAACAGTCAATTTGCCCTGGATTCGGTTACGCTCGGCTGCGACAACTTTCAGCGATGGAGATCGTGGACTCATTTGGAATCGTGCCGAAGGATCCTTTCGGCGTGCTTCCTGCTAAGTGTTCATGGGATCTGGTACTACGAGCAGCCCGTCACCTCCTTCCTCGGCCTGGACAACTTCTCGCCGATGATGCTGAGCATTCCTCTGTCGGCCGGCACAGAGAAAGCCTGGGAGGCGGAGACTGCCGATTCTTGGGCCAGCATTGACTTTTCAACAGTCAAGTCAAGGACGGTTGGAGATGCCATGCAAGAGCAATTATCGCCGGCCATGATCGAGTCGATGCCACGCTTTGACTCGTCGCTGCTTCTTGCGGCACATGCTCTGCAGCTGCCAAGACGGCGCAATCCCACCGAGGTGGACATTTTCCAAGATGCTTCGTGCATCAAGCCACACGACATGGTGATCCCCACGCTCTTCCAGCACTCTCCGGGCGGGTACACGTATCTGGCACTTCACTATACGCCTCTTCAGTGCCTGTTGTCCGTTTCTGGAGACAGTTGGATACTTAACAACAAGGTTTCGCATCCTAGTATCTTCATTGATCACAAGATGAAGCTGCAGAAGTGGCGAAGGTCTGGAAACGCCGCTGCGGCAACGGTGTTTGCGGCGAAGGCACTCAGGATATTCTTGAACCTCGGCCCCAACGCTTTCGGCCACAACGACGTTCTTCTCGCGGGTCAGAAGAGAAGCCTGCCGTCCTGGACGGACATTTCTGACTTTTGGGGCGTGTACGTCTGCGCGCTTATTTGCTGGGCGTTTGGGTACGAAGGGAAGCGCAACCCTAGCAAGTCTTCTCGCGGCGCCGCCGTGGGATGGCTCCTCACCGTTTCGGAGCTCGAGCCAGGGGATCTACAGAACCTTACCGGCCGGGAGGAGTCTCAGGGCGTGGTGGGCTTGATCCACGATGTTCTTGGCAGGGACTGCTTGGGTGGGCGCAACATCTTGTATGCTGACGCCGTGCGCGTCTTGCGGAAGCTAGAGGAGGTTGACAATTGGGCCTGGATTTAGACGGAGATGGGCATAAAAACCGGTGTTTATTGGCGGTCGGTGAAGAAGTAATGTCTTATGATTGGGATGACTGGGCGGACGGTCGGACGGACACAAATGACGGCGCATGGGCGTGGGTGGGTGGCATACGTATCGCGGACAGCGGCGGCCTTTGGCTTTGTGCCTGTGGCGTTTCTTCGTGGTTTACTTCTTTTCTGGCACTTGCCTTGCATCCTCTCCTTCAAATCACAACTCATGGTCCCATGGACCGCATCTCGCAATGCATAGACATGCCCGCGAGGGTTCTTGGTCTGGAGTCAAGAGTTGCATCATGACATTGCCGAGCTGGTGGCGTACACATGGCGGCCACGCAGGCGCAGAATCGAACTCCTCACGGCATAATGTTTTTGCCATTGCTTTGATGAGTCTTGAGGTTTTGATTGAACATTCATTTGTGAATTTGTATTTTTCTGCGTAGAATTGAGTGCTTGATCACTCGTGGTCGGGTGGAAACGCCCCCCAGATGCAGCAACGACAAGAACAACAAAGAGCACGCGAAAACTACCTTTGGCGGCGGCCCATTACACACCCCCGGCCTTTGCTGCCCCATCCATCCATCCGTCCGTCATCCATCAACCATGAAGCAGACCGTCCGGAAATCTCCTTGGGGGCTCCGGTGTCGCCCCGGCAATCCACGTATCGTACAAGAGAGGGTGCGTCGATTTCTCGGGAGAAGGGGAAAGAAAGGGGAGGGAGGGGATCAGGAGCAATTCGACGAGAACGCGCAAGAAAACGACAACAAGGACGACGGGAGGGCGAAGGAAATGCGACGATGACAACCAGGACGCAACTCCGAGTCAACCCAGGAACCAGTCCGTCTTGCCGAGCAACTCCCCCCATCCGGAAAAGCCCCTTGCGCCATTTACCCAAACTCCATCCCCCCCCTCGCCCTTCTTCTCCCCATATATATATCCTCCGTGATCGCCAAGCGGATGCGGCGCACATTCACATCCTCGGGCCGCGCGGCAGAGGGCAACCCCGTTCTCAGCCGGGCCGGCACTACCGTGCGTACGGGTGGAAGCCCCTGTTGCCGCCGCGGCCGCCGCCGCGATAGTTGGCGCCCGGACGGCCGGCGTTCTTGGGCCCGGTGGGCGCGTTGGCCGGTGGCGCGTTCTGGGGGTCGGGCGTGCCCTGGGAGCCGCTGCCGCCCCGGCGGAAGCCTCCCTGGCCGGCACCCGGCTGCGGCACGTCGTCGTACATGCCCTCCCACGACGTCGGGGCGCCGCCGCCGCCGCCCATGCCGTAGCCACCGCCTCCTCCTCCGCCGCCGTAGCCGCCACCCCGGCCTCCCCGCCGGCCGCCTCCCGGGCCCTGGGGCGGAGCTTGCTGGAATCCGCCGCCGTAGTTGCCCTGGTCGCCGCCCTGGGGCTGCTGCTGCTGTCCGCCTTGCTGCTGTTGCTGTTGTTGCTGTTGCATCTGCATCATCTGCTGCTGCATCTGCTGCATCATCTGCGGGTTCATGTTGCCTCCCCCCATCATGTTCTGCGGGTTGTTGCCGGCGCCGCCCGGTCCGCCGCCGCGGCCGGCCATCATTTGCTGCTGCATCTGCTGCATCTGCATCATCTGCTGCCACATTGCGGGGTTCATCTGCATGCCCCGGTTCATGGCCATCTGGCTCTGCATCATGTTGAAGTACTGCTGCATGCGCTGGAAGTACTGCGCCATGAGCTGGGGCGTCATGCCGTTGGTGGCGCCGCCCATCTGCTGCCCGCCGCCCATGCCGCCCTGGCCCGACTGCTCGTCCTTGCGGAACTTGTTGCGCTTGGCCGCCTCTTCCTCCTCGCGCAGGTTGCCGCGCGGCTGGGCCTTCTTGACCTCGACGGGCTTGCCGTGGATCTCTAGGGGCACGTTAATGCAGGCGTCGACGCCGGCCTCGCTCTCAAAAGTGACGAAGCCGAAGCCACGGGGACGGCCCGTGTCCTTGTCCATCATCAGAGTGGCGTCCACGACCCGTCCAAACTGCGCAAAGTAGTCCCGAAACTCCTGGTCCGTCGTCTCCTGGCTGACACCTCCGACGAAGATCTTGCTAGTCTTTTCCTGCTCGTCTCGCGGAATGGCCCGCTTGGGGTCAATCTATCCCCGGGAGGTCAGCAGACGTCCCTTGAAGACTTGCACGAGAGCGTCAAACTCACAATCTTGCCGTCCAGGAAGTGTTCCTTGACCATGACAATGTTGACCGTCTTGGCGTCTTTGAAGGTCAGGAAGCCGAAACCGCGAGACCGGCCAGTGCTGCTGTCACGCATGACGGTGCACTCGACGACCTCGCCAAACTGCGAGAAGTAGTCTCTCAGGGATTCTATGTGTGTTAGCATATGTGTGGTTGGGTCACGGCACCACGAGGCAAGGAGACATCACGTACGATCTGTAGTTTCCCAATTCAATCCACCGATAAACATTTTTCTGTACACGTAGGTCAGCAATCCGCAGGGGTACCATCTTTGATGAATGAGGCGCCATCAGCGGCGTCTCGGCGTGTGGCATGTGTGATGCGGGCTTCCACATGGCAGCCGCCTGCGCGGATCCCGTACGACGATGGCAGCAACGGTCGCGTGCCGTGTGTGTGGTTGGCTCGATGGGTCGTTTCATGCATGTTCGGCGCCTCCTCGACCCAGACTCGAGCACACGTCATCGTTGGTCGACACACATCTCCAGCCGGTAGCTGCGGCTTCGAGGACGGCTACCAGGGGCAATACGCCCTGGTATCGCGATGAGGGCAGCTCTTTCGAGAGACGGGCAGGGGCCGCCGACTTCGCTTCCAGGATTGCGACATCATCCACCGCTCGAACCAGTTTTGACCGGCTGCTTGATTGATCCAGGGCTGACGGCAGAACCAACAAGACGCGGGCTATCTCGGCGGCAACAGCACAGAGACAGCGAGCAGGCGCGCGCATTTGGCCAGAAGCCAGTTCATGCTTGTCGACTTTGTCTCTTGCTTGTTTCTGTCTTCTTCTCTTGCTTCTGCTTCTTCTCTGGCCTCTTCGTCTCGGCCTTTCTGTCTGCCTGTCTGACTGATTCTGACTGTCTCATGCTAGGTACGTAATGACCTTGAGCGCTAGTCGCTGCGAATCTGGCTGCTACAGCCTCCCGAGAACCGGTGTTTCGTCGGGCGCTTCAAGAGATTCCGCTCGGGCGCCGCAACAGGAGCAATTCCTGCCGGCGGCCGGCTTGGGTCGGTGTGTAGGCTCTGGCTCGATATATCCACATGATGACGTCCAGCTTCTCGACGGGTCCCATCTCTTTCTCAATGTAGCCACGCAAGTGCCTCTCTTTGTAGAGGGCATGGTACATTGTTTTTGGCGCAACGACCGCTTTGGAGGCGGCATGGGCTATATGATTCGAATTGGCCGAGTCCGTGGGGCTTGCTCTGACTGACCCCCGACTTCCTGACTTGAGCCCGCCCGCGTCCAGCCTAGACACACCAGCCTGCATCGCCTTGCAAGAAACACCCCGACCATGGAGGTCCTGGCTCGTTTGGCCTGCCCGGAGCGTACGATCGCGCAAATGGCGAAAGCTCCGCATCACACAAAACACCAAGGGCATGGGGAAACATTCACGTGCACAGAGGGGGTTGCCCACTTACCCGTCTTCTTTGGCGCTTGCCTTGTGAACGGTTCCGTACGGAGGCGTGGAGGGGGTATCGTCGTGTTGGGGTGCGGGTGCTGCCACCGTGCTGCCACCGCCAAGGTTGAAATCGACCTCGTCATCATCGTCATCGTCTTCAGCATCGTGTACCATTTCTTCACCGCCTGCTGCGTTCTCGGCGTCTCTCGTCATAGATGCTGCGGCTTCGCCACTATCACCGGGGGCGTCGTTCACGGGTGCTGCCGCGGGCGGAGGAGCAGGGGCTCCCTTGGAGGCGTCATTGTCGTCGTAGCTGCACGGACAGATTAGCATAACCGTGTCGCCTCTGCCGCATCGCTCAGTACGTACAGGTCGGCGAAGAGGTCCTCCTCAAAGTTCTCGGGTTCCGTCATGGCAAAGTGAATTATGCCGTCCTCGAGGGCGACGTTTTGCTTGGTGAGAAGCCTGTTACCCACTTGCGAGTGCTGCCGAAGCGAGACAGCCTGCAATATAAGAAATGACGACTAGGACAAAGAACAAAGGGCACGTCTTTACGGTGGTCGGCTGACTGATGCACGGATGGGTGGAGAGAAGGGTCTGCACGAAGCAGAAGCTGCAGGTGCTGAAAGCAGGCGCAGTTGCGCTCGGCTGCAGTGATGGCAAGTGCCCGCGGCTTTGGCGCATGACTAAGCATCCCAGGCGGCGGGTTGGCCAATCAAGGAGGGCGGCGGGCCAGCGCACCCGCCTAGGGGGCTGATACAGGGGGGTCCCTTCAAACACAGCGCGGGCAGCCCTATTTGTGCCGCGCGGGCGACTGCCACCTGCACCGCGCCCACGACGTGCCCAAGGGATGGCCCCGGTTAGTGGCGCCCGCAGCCAGGCAGGCCTCAGCGGGGAACCCCGCTGTAGTGCTGGCGCGGGACCGGCATTCGAGCTGCTGGAGTGGCCTGTTTGCCTGGCCCCCCATCCGGTTGGCGCAAGGTTGACCTGGCGTGGAACCTTGTTCCCGCTGCGTTGCGCTGTACCGCATGTGCTACAGCAGTCTTGGGAAGCTCCTTGTTTCGTCCGTCACTCTGAGGCCAGACTAGACATCACATCACCTCACAGCCGCCAACCACCACCGCGCCAAACTGCTCGTCGAGTTGCCAAGGGGCTCTCCGCAAGCCTCGAACTCGCCACGGCCCTCGCAGAATGAGGCGACGTCTCGGACCGGCTACAGACCATTTGTGAAGATGTGGTCGTCGTCGGGGAGTGGCAAGAAGCCGGCACCTTCAGTGAGCCGACGACTGCCGATGCAACAGGTGCAGCTCGACATGCTAACAGCGTCACAGCCACAGGAGATGGTCCAAGTCGGTACGTCGAGACGAAGCCCCGAGCGCGCAATTGGAACTGCTGCTAATGGATATGTCCATTGCTTGCCCACAGACCGATCCGAGTACGATCCCTTTCCTCAACGAATCGCCGAGCCCATCCTCGACCCCTCCGCTGACGCTTCTGCCAGTTCTGCCTCGCCATTCTGGAGACCGCCGGTGCGGGACAATGCCCTTAAGAGGAGCGTGACCAGCCCGGCGGCCCGCGATCCGAATCTCGTGGTCGGCGCCGCCTACTCCCACGCCGACATGCTCAAGTTCGACTCTCTGTACGTCGCCCTGGTCGCCCACGAACGGGACGCAACCTGTTCTATCCCCCTCGTGCAGTCGCTGATGCCCTGGCTTCAGAAGTCTATCTCGCCCCAAGACGCCGCCCTCTTCGTCCTCGTCCAAGATCCGAGTCCACGAAGCTTCCCCGCCCCCGCGCAATTCGGGTCAGAGCTCCCCGCCGTTCAAGAGCTACATCAACTTCCTCTCCAACACCAATGACGACTGGAAAGCCGACGAAGACGAGATGCTCGGCTACGACGATGACGATGGTGACGATTTCGGGCTACCCAGCCTCTCCAACATGAAGAGAAGATCCAGGCGCATAGCCAGTCAAACCACAACAGACCCCAGCGCACTCTCCCCTGCGCTGGAAGGTTCGTTCGGCTCGAAGAGCAGACGTCTCTCGAATAGCGCCGACATTGCGATCGAGCGCCCGACCCCAACGTATCCCATGCCGAAGAAGAGCGAAGGCAAGATATTACGACCACAGTACAAGGAGATTTTACGAGGTAGGCAGCCTTGCTTGGAGCAAATGCAGAAGGCTGACAAGCTGCAGACCCAGCAAATTCGTTACACCTAATCAACTACCCCTCCGTTCCGTCCAACGCGTCGGCCAAGGAAGCAGACGCAATCAATTCACGAATAACACGCATCAACAAGTTCAAGAAGCTGCTGCAGGCATCAGCTATCTCGCTCCCGGATCTGCGCTCGCTCGCATGGTCAGGGGTTCCCGAGGAGGTCCGCGCCATGACGTGGCAGCTGCTCCTCAGCTACCTCCCGACGAACAGCGAGCGGAGGGTCGCGACGCTGGAGAGGAAGCGCAAGGAGTACGTGGATGGCGTCCGACAAGCGTTCGAAAGAGGCGGAACGAACTCGGCGAGCCCCGGCCGCGCAAGAGGGCTGGACGAGGCAATCTGGCACCAGATCAGCATCGACGTGCCCAGGACGAACCCTCATATCGAGCTCTACAGCTACGAGGCGACGCAGCGATCGCTGGAGCGCATCTTGTACGTCTGGGCCGTGCGACACCCGGCAAGCGGATACGTGCAGGGCATCAACGATCTGGTGACGCCGTTCTGGCAGGTGTTTCTGGGCTTGTACATTGCGGACAACAACATCGAGACGGGCATGGACCCGGGCCAACTGCCCAAGTCGGTGCTCGATGCGGTCGAGGCCGACTCCTTCTGGTGCCTCACCAAGCTCCTCGACGGAATCCAAGACCACTACATCGTGGCGCAGCCGGGGATACAGCGCCAGGTGGGCGCCCTGCGCGACCTCACGGCGCGCATCGACTCGACGCTGTCCAAGCACCTGGAGAAGGAGGGCGTGGAGTTTATCCAGTTTAGCTTCCGCTGGATGAATTGCCTGTTGATGCGAGAGATCAGCGTCAAGAACACCATCCGCATGTGGGACACCTATCTTGTAAGAGACTCTCCTCCCCCCGCCCCATCGTCTGCTTCAAGTCGTTTAGAGTACTGACCATCTATTTTCCCCCCCCTTCCCCCAGGCCGAGGAGCAGGGCTTCTCCGAGTTCCACCTCTACGTGTGCGCCGCCCTGCTCGTCAAGTGGTCCGACAAGCTCGTCAAGATGGACTTTCAGGAGATCATGATGTTCCTGCAGAGCCTGCCCACCAAGGCCTGGACGGAAAAGGACATTGAGCTGCTCCTCAGCGAGGCCTTCATCTGGCAGAGCCTCTACAAGGGCTCTGCCGCGCACCTCCAGAGCGGCCAGCCCAGCAAGCCGCTGCTGACGAACCTGCAGCTGTGAGCTAGGCGCTGCCCGCCACAACATTTCGCCAGGGCCTCGACGGTTCATCGAAGCGGCGAGAAGCCATGTGGCGCGTGCGGGGTGAGGAGCGGGGTGGGAGGCGTGGTTTGCATGGCGGTTTCCACCCAGGGAGTGGTGAAAGTGTGGGCGATCCTTCGTGGAACTGCATCGATGGGAAGAAGGAGGGCGAGGACGGGACTTGGCATTGTTTGGGATACGGAGTCTTGACAAATGCATGCGTACGTTGTGTACAAGGGGGAGGCGGGGGTCAAAGACATGACGGTCCGGATAGATGATACAGCATTATGAGCACTACGAGCCACCTTTTCCAGACGGCCAGTGATGACATCACGTTCTGCGCTCACGCAACTTTGTCTCAATCGTCACCTCGTATCCCACTGCGGCTACAATGAGACGATACTGTGACCAAAATATTGGCAATTCTACATAAGCTGGCCTGAGCGGCAAGTCCTTCTCCAGGGAAATATAATTTAATACAAAAAGGCAAGATGCCAGTGAACCCTTGGACCAAAGAAACGATACTATGCCCACCATGATATGGCCAACAGAAAACGCCCATCCCCCTGCCAAAGGGCGTCCTATATCCAAGGATCCTATGCAACAATCACCCCAAACGCCACGCAGGAAAGGCAGCGAGAGAGTATCGCTTTTCCCATAAACCAATGCAAGGCTCCCAACGCCGTCTTCGCTTCCGTAATCACACACGTTTCTCTTCGTGAATCTCTGACGCCACCCAAGAGGCGGGGGATAATTAAGCCTTCTTCAGGTCGTCGACGTAGCCGAGGGCATGCCTGTTCTCGTCGCACACCCTCGCCCACTCGAGCAGCAGGCGCCAGACGTAGAGGCGCATGTCCTCCCGCCGCAGCACCTTCTCGGACCACTCGCGGCCCATCTCGGCGATGAACTGCGCCGCCGCGTCGCCCGGTCCGCTCCCGTCGGCAAAGTATTCAAGCACAGGGAAGATGTCCTGGAAGGTGTTGTCGAGAGGCACGAAATGCACCCAGGGCACTATACGGTCATCGTGCCACTCAGCGTAGACAGTGGCCTTGAGGGGCAGACTTGTCGACCGGAGAAAGCCCCGGAAGCGGGCGCTGAACGAGTTGCCGTCGGCGTCCGGGAGGAACTTGTAGTTGTACTGCTTCTTCATGGGGATTTGCTCCGACAATTTGAAGTGAGGCGCGAAAAAGTCGCATTCGTTTTCCGCGCAGAGATGCACAAAGGCGGTATCGGCGAACTGGCTGATCCAGGCGCCCAGCTCCCCGCGTCTCGTCCGGGGGCTGTCGTAGATGGCGGTGGACGGAAACTCAAACGTCAGCGCGCGCTTTCCCTCTGACTCGGCGCGGGACACTGTCGTCCCGTTGAACATGTCGACGAGGCGGTGGCGTTGGAAGTGGTGCCAGGTGTGCTCCTTGGGTCGACCGCCAGAGCCGTCGCCTCGCCAGATGAGGCCGTCCTTCTTGCGGCCCCACGAGGGTCCATGGGAATCGCCGCCCGAATAAAACTCATCCTGCGTCAGGTACATGGCGCCAGGGATCAGGATCTCGTTGTTCATGGGAAGCTTGGACCCGCCGAACATGGGTATCAGCTCCTCGGTGGAGGAGAGGCTGATGGGCTCGATGAAGGTGCCGTGCAGCTGGCGCAGGTGTGGCTGCAGGCAGGGGTCCGTCGCGGCGGTCCAGTTCTGGACGAAACCCTTGTACGAATAGGATGGTCTGTAGTCTTGGGGGAAGGCGGCGGGCGCAGCAAAGTCTTCGATCTGCTTGACGCCATAGGCCGGGGTGTCGGGACCGCACGTCTTGACGGCCAGGTCCCAAAACTGGTTGCTGGGGCCGAACCACTCCGGGTCGTACGGATCGGGCTTCGCCTCGTCGACGTGCTTGAGGCCGGTAAACTTGGAGGTGACGTTGGCGACGTCGCGCAGGGCCCTCTCCTTGCGCTCCTGCTCAACGAGCTTGGCGACCTGGTCGTGGGGGACGAGGATGCGGGACTCGTCCATCATGTTGACGGGCATGTCGACATCGGGCATGTGCTCGGCGAATTCCTTGACGAGGCCAGTCCAGTGCTGCAGCCAGGGCACGCGGCCCTCGACGTCGCCGGCGTAAGAGGCAGTGCCATTGCGAACCTTGACGACCCAGTGCCAGGCATTGGCGCGGCGGCTGGTGGTGTTGGGGTCGAGGGCCCAAAAGGGCGTCAGGTCCTTGTATATGCGGTCGAAATAGTCTTCGACGACAATGGCGTCGGCGTCGAGGGCGGCCTTGAACCAGGCGTCGAAGCCCGGGGGCGGGTGGCGCCCGCGCTTGGACCGATACTTGGCTGCTGCGTCGGCGACATCGTGGCTGCGGGATGCAAGGAGCTTCTCGTGGCGCAACTTGGCTTCGACCATGAGCTTCTTGATGGGATGCTTGTGGCCGAGCTCAACGCCAACCGTGCTGCGCAGGCCGGCCATGTCCCACGACTTGGTGTCGTGCCAGAGGATGTAGTTTGCGACGAGGAATGCGACGAAGAAGGCGACCGACAGGTACCGCACGACGAGGCGCGACGGCCACAGCCGCGGGTCACAGAGCTTGAGCATGACGGGCGGAGTGAGACTGAGACCTAGGGGATCATTGAGTCGAGGAAAACGCGCTGCCCACAATGGCACAGGGGCCGCCGTCGCGAGCCGACGGCAAGGTAGGTAGTTAACGAGTGAAAGGTGGGAAGAGATGGGAGAAAGCCCTGGGCCAAGGGGGAAGGTAGGAGGCAGAGAGTGAGCGTGAGAGACAACCTCGGGCAGGAGAGACGGAAAGGAAGGGCACGGGTGGAAGGATGGAAGGACGAGACTTCACTTGCACATGGACGGACTGGGGGGGCTTGCCGTCGTGGCTCTACTAGGCGGCCGTTTGTCCCGCAACTGGCAGCCTGGGGACTGGGGCACAGCAAGCTACAGCGCGTACTACGAAGTAAGCGTGTACTACGGGTAAGCATGCAATTATTGCCTTGGGGGGGGGGGGCGGCGTCGACTGCTCGCCCGGCAGGAGAAAAAAAAAGTGGCGAGCAGCACTTCGGCCGGCTGGCAGCCTTCCTTGTTGGAGGAGGAGGACGGGAGGGGGGGAAGGATGTCGAATTTTAGGCTGGACATGACTGGGGGGGTCGCACACACAGCAGGCGCAAGCTTGGGAACTGGAAGGCACTAGGCCGGCTCCGGTCCCTGACACCGGGCTGGCAGGGCCAATCACCTGCGCCCGGCCGTCTCGTCTGTGCCTGGAAACGACGACTTGGGGGTGCGGGAGCCAATGTCGGTGGCCGTTTTGCTGGCTGCAAACAGAAACGGCCGCGCCCGCCATTCCGCTTCCCTCTGGCGCTGGCGCGCGTCCAGGATGGGCCTGTCTTCGACAACCCAAGTGCGAACGGACGAAGCCCCAGTCCTCAACCAACGTTCCCAGTGTGCCAAGAGGGCCTTTATGAATGAGCCTCCGTCCTCGTAGTACAGTAATACCTGCAACTTCCCAAAAAAGAACGTGCCTTACAGGTCCAGGGGACCAACCACCTCCGACGCTGCTCTTCGCAGACAACTATACAGGGGGGGCACGGACAAGACCGTAACTCGTACGTGCGTACGTATGAACGTACCCACAAAGGGGAGAGAGCAGACAAGCGGGCTCTCCCATGTTCAATCGTCGCCATCCATTGGCACCTCATCAATCTCCCCCCGCCGGCAGCATGATTGCCCCCCAGGATAACATAGAAGCAGGATGGGGTCGCCTGGCAATGCATGCCCGTGTTCCCGCCTGCGGCGGCGACGAGCCAAACATCTGTCGGCAATCGGGGCAGCCCATAGGCCCTTTCAGACTGGAATGAGGAGGCGCGGGCCGGTAGGGCGAACCTTAACGGGCGGCGCAAAATTGGCCGACGTGATGCGACCCCGACGCATGGACGCTGGCATGCCAGCCAGCCGAGCGAGGAAGAAGCAAAGAGGAAAAAAAGTCCCCTGCTTTTTTTTAAACCTCCAAATGCCACACTTACAATCTCGCGTCGCCGCAACTATGCGGGGCAAAAGGCCCAGCCCCGTTGTCATGCTGTACGCCCGTGACGCGCAGCAGTATACGTATGTGCCCAGGCGTGCTTTATGCGACCGCAGCAGCATGGCTGTCGATGCGACCGAGTTCACTGCACGGAGTACCCGACTCCCGAGTAGCATCGTATGTTCGTTCGTACAGGATACAACGTGGTGTTAGACAGACGGCAACGACGCGTATGAAGCAGGAGCCGTTGACGTGTAACCACCTACGACACTGCAACCAACGACGCAGGAGGCGAGACGTCAATGCCGTGCCTCGCAAAACGGACTGCCCTCTCATCTCTCCAAGCAGCACACCCACCAACTACGTTAGCATATGATTTTCCACGTTATGCCCACACAAAAGAGTGGACATTCGACTTCAAGAACGCGCGCATCGTGATGAATCATGACCAGCGCAACGACGCGCCATATTGGCCGGAGCGCCTCCGGGCTGTAGGGTAGCCAACACCCTCGCCACCTCGCGCAGCCCCACATTTCTCCTCTGCCCCATTTCCTCCCCTCAAGTTAAAGATGCCCCTCGGCTAATCCTCGCAACCACACGGCCCGTCCAGCCAATCACAGCGCCGCCATTTCCCAAGCAGCCACAGTTCTGGGGGAGGCGAATCTGCGCGCATCCTCGCCAACGTCAACGAGAGAGAAACCCGACATCCCTCACCTCCGAGCCTCCTCCTCCCCCCTCCCCTCCAGGCGTGCGCAGCAATTCAGCAACCCGGTCCGCCCACTGCTCGTCCCTCCAGCGCACGCAAACGTCCGTCACGATGCTCCCGTCGACGAGGACAGCGGCCTCAATGGCCCTGCGAGGTAAAAAAAACTACCCTGCCCGCGCCCTCCCCGGTGTCCGCCGCTGCAGCCGCCGCCGGGCATTGAAGGGCTTCTCGACGTCCTGGTTCTTGGAAGGCTGACAACCGAACTGCAGCCAAGCCCGCGACTTCCCTCGTCCCCTTCCGAACCGCCGCCGCGTTTACCGCCAGTTCCCGCCGAGATGCGAGCTCGTTGACACCGCACGGCGCCGGCGCCTCGGCGCTCGCCAAGCCGCGCAAGGAAGTCCCTCTGCCGAGCGAGGAGGGCACCAAGGGCGTCATCCAATATGCGCTGTGCGTACCACGCCCACCTCCCATGACTTTTCCTGTCTCCCCCTCTCTCTCTGTGTGCGTGTGTGTAGCGGGACGTTTGTCGGGCTGACAGAGTCGCGATATTCGAAAACAAACAGCACCTCCCTCGATGTCATCGCCAACTGGGCGCGCCAGTCCTCCCTCTGGCCCATGACCTTCGGCCTCGCCTGCTGCGCCGTCGAGATGATGCACCTCTCGACGCCCCGATACGACCAGGACCGCCTGGGAATCATCTTCCGAGCCTCCCCCCGCCAGTCGGACGTCATGATCGTCGCCGGCACCCTCACCAACAAGATGGCCCCCGCCCTGCGCCAGGTCTACGATCAGATGCCCGACCCCCGCTGGGTCATCTCCATGGGCAGCTGCGCCAACGGCGGCGGCTACTACCACTACAGCTACAGCGTCGTCCGCGGCTGCGACCGCATCGTCCCCGTCGACATCTACGTCCCCGGCTGCCCCCCGACCAGCGAGGCCCTCATGTACGGCATCTTCCAGCTGCAGCGCAAGATGCGCAACACCAAGATCACCCGCATGTGGTACAGGCGGTAAAGGTGCCGTCGGAGATGTGGGAAAGGGGCGCGCAGAGGGGCAATATCCGGGGAGACACGCAATGAGGACCACGAGGGGAGATTTCGTGGGAGGGAGTCCGGTTCGACACCACAAAACTGGTATGGACCCGTTAGTGGAAGGAGAAGAAGATGCAGCATCACGTTTCTTTTGTTTGTTTTTTTCATCGGGTGTACACACTGCAGACCAGGGCGGTGACATAGCAGACCAACTGTAGAGGGAAATGCTGTACAACATTACTCCGTGAAGATCTTCACATAGCATACGAAGTGTTCTGTGACTCCCATGTTCGTAGGGCAGCAGTATATTGAGGAATAAAGACATCAAGTTCAATGCTATCAACGGTGTCCGAAATCAAACAAAAAAGAAAATCAGTGTCCATAGCCGGCATCAACCTAGGGGCTGTTGTCGACGGGCCTCCAATGTCGCTTCGTACAATCACTAATCACAGACAACACCTGGCGAAACGCACGCCTCATCCTACCCAATGTCTCGTCCAAGGAGGAAACAATCACGCCATTGCCCCCAGCAATCAATCCTCGCTGGCTCGACTGCCTTGCGTGCATCTCTCTCACCACCACATGCGTCACCGGCTCGTTAGGTACGTGTCTGCCGCTCATGGCAAAAGATATTTGCTCTCTCTGCTGCATCTGCATCCGCTTCTGCCCGCTTGTTCATACTGGTAACATCAACATCAACATCAAACAAGACCCGCCAGCGCCAAACGTCCCAATGTCTGCCGTCTCTTCCTCTTTCAACCAAATGGAAAATATACCCAAACGAAAGTTTTTGCCGAGCAAACGCATGCTGATGGAAGGGGGATAAGGGGGGAGAGTTATAGGACCGAGAGAGTGTGGAAAGAGCTCCTCGACAGTCGGAAGGAATTATGGCAATGGCGGGCATGTACAGTCCAAACAACCTTCGTGAATGCTTCCCATAAGACAAGTGTACATTGTCCACGTCGTCTACTCCTGGCCAAAGCCCATCGTCTCCTCCACCGCTATTGTCAGCTTCTGCTGCAGCGTTTCCATATTCTTATACGGAGGCAGATCGATCCGGTTGAAGCTGGACATGGTTAGCACGGCGTTCCACGAAGAAACACAAATCTGCACGACTTACCAAGTGTGTGCTTTGGGCAAATTGACGATCTCGCCCGCCTTCTCAATGGTGAAGCGCCTCGGGCCGTCGCTACCCTGAAGATCCTTGAAGCCGTTGACCGGGATGCGGGAGGTGCCAGTCGTGAACTGGAGCAGTCGAGACTTTTGCTCCCCGTCCCACGACCGGACCGTGGTCCAGAAATTCTGAATCACCTCGTCCGACTCGGTGTACCCACGGTAGTCCGTGTGCTTCTTCCAGTCGTCCACGTCGATCTCGGCGATGCCACCGATGAGCAGCTCCAGCTCACGCTCGTCAAAGACGTTGATGAGGTCCTGGGGGATCAGCTCCTGGAAACCCTCCTTGAATGCCTGGAACTGCTCGGCGATGCGCTTCTCGATTCGCCACTTGACCATCAGGTCCACGTACTCCTTCTTGTTTTCGTTGGTCACCTCAATGTTTCGGCCGTTGGGAATGAGATCCTCCGTCGTCAAGACACCAAAACGCTCGTCTTCGGTGGAAAATGTCTGCTCTAGAATGCCGCCGGAAATGTCATTGTCCAACATCCACTGCAGTGAGCGGTGGAAGTCGGCGTCCACGCCCTCCATGTCGGCAAGGGCCACCGCCTTGCCCAGCACCATCTTGTACAATGCACCGATGAAGAAGGCATCGAGGAACCGCCTGTGGAAGATGGCCAGACCCACGACGCGTCCAATAAACTTGAAGTAGTTCAGATGCTCGGGGTTGATGCCCGAGTGGGGGTTGATCTGGAGTGTGTAGTTGTCGTGGGCCGAGTACTCGAACAGGCAGTAGAACGGGTTGAACATCTCGTGCGAGAGGAGGAAGAAGAACTCGCGGGACAAACCGCCGTAGTCCAGGCCGTCCTCGCCGTCGAACTTGATCATCAATCGCTTCTTCAGGTCAGTGGGCGACTGGCGCGTGATTTCGGCAAACGAGTCCTCGAAGATGTGCGATCTCCGGACCTTGATGTGGCACTGTCCGCTGAGGATGCGCATGGCCGGCTGCGACCGGAAGTAAATCAGCTTTCGCCTGAAGTCTCGCTTGTACTGCGGCACGTTCTGGTCGAGCGAAGATGGCAAGCGCGGATCGTCCCAGGTCGTCGTCTTCGTGTTGTGGTCTACAAAATAGACGCGGGCGGTGTTTGTGAGCCGCATCTCCCAGCCACTGGGAAGAGGGCCAAGTTGCGAAACGGGTTGCTGCTGGATTTGCCCGTTTGCGTTGTTCTGGCCCCCGTACATCCGGATGTACTGCTGACGGCGCGGGTCGACCCAGGTCGTGGTGCGGGTGTTGTGATCCACAAAGTATGGCCGTCCCTCGGGCGTCCAGCGCTGTTCCCAGCCGGGAGGGAGCTCACCAGTGCCGGGACTGGTGGCCCCGGTGTGCATCATGGTAGCGTTGCTGGCGTTGGCGGTCGTGGCATTGCTCGTCGTCGGACTGCCTCCGCCAGGCTGCCCGTTGCCCTGCTGCTGCTGTAGAGTTGGCGAGCTGGTGCCAGTCCTGTCTTCGGGCAGCGTGCGGTTCTGGTGCCGCTGCCGTTCCACGGCGGTCGCAGCCTCTCGCTCTCCACGCTGCTCTGCGGCGCCGCCGGCGGTGGGACGGTTCCAGCTCGTAGTACGAGTGTTGTGGTCCACGTAATATGTGCGGCCGAGGTTGTCCTCGCGGCGCTCCCACCCTGCCGGCAGGCGGCCCTGAGTATCCTCGAAGGGGCTGAGCTGGCTCGTGGGACGCGACGAGCTGCCGTTGGCAGCCGAGGGGTTGGGAGTGGCGCTGGCGCTGGCGGGATGATGGGGAAGGTTGACCTGGGCACCATTGGCGAGCGTGTTCTGCCCGGACATGGCGGACCCAGGTCTGTTGTCTCCGACCGGCGCGGAGAGGTTGGACATGCTCGAGGCGCCCGGAGCCGTCAGGGTCGGGCGGCTACTTGAAGCCTGTCCGCCGCGGGCAGGCGTGGTCAGGTTGCAGGACAGGTTGATGATGAGCTTTCCGTGGACGACGAGGTTGTCGGTCGACTTTTTGAGGTCTCGGGTGAGCATCTGGTCTGCACGAGGTACAACTGCGTCAGTCTGAAACATGGACGGCGGCAAAGCGAAATGCGGGCGGCGTGTCTAATTACCCTCTGCATCGGCGCCAAGGTCCTGCATGACATCTCCAACTCGAATGTTGATGACGCCGAGGAAGCCCTGGTCCTTCTTTTTAAACTTCTTCTGGTCAAAGACTTGCACCGCCAAGATGCTGCCTTCTGAGGCACGACTATTGCGAAAGCCCAAGTTAGCTCAACGTCTCTCGAGTGCATCGCTGCAGGACGGCGGCAAGGCATCGATGGAGGGCAGAGTCGTACAAGTCAAAGCTTTCGTTCCAGTACGGGTTCAGCGTCCGCTTGCTGACCGTTGTCGTCTTGGTCTGCTCGCCATTGATGGTGGCGACGGCGAACGGATCGGGGAATCCTGCGTCGTCTCTGTCAATCCTGTCGTTCGTCGCGTCTCGCAGCGTCGTTCGGCGCGCGCCTGCACACGGAGGGTCTGAGAAGCACGTACGGAAAACATCTCGCTTGTAGAGTCCATCGGCGGCGATGACTGATGATGTCAGCTACAGGGCGTTGTCGTGAAGGGAGGGACGGAGGGAGGCGTCGGGCGACGGCGGAGGGAAAACGTACTCGTTACGCGAAGATTGGGCTTGCTGGCGGGCTGTTAGCATCGTCAAACAAGGAGCGGCGCCATGTCTCTCGGAGCAGCCGCCGTGCGTGGCCGTGGCACTCACCCGGGCAGCCCAGCCTCGGAGCGGGCGCTCATGTCGTCGTCGTGGGCGGCGATTCAACTCGGAGAACGAGTGAGGGGGAGGCCCAGCGGTAGTCGAAAGCAGCAGCACCCTTTCCAAAGTCGGGCGGGGGGTTGGTTTATTGCCACGAGGCAATGCGCGGCGGGTTCAAGTGAAGCCCAAAAACGAGAAATGGAAGATGAGGCCGCCGTACGCTCCTCACGCACACCGGGAAGAAAAGGGGGGTGGAGCTGTGAGGACGGACGGCTGCGACACAGAACCGTGACGACGACGAACGAAAGAAACGGGTACGGTAGTAAGCTGAGGGAAGTTGGTGAGGCTGTGCAGAGCGCAAGACGTGCCAGGTCCAGGCTCCCCGCTTCGGCTGGGGGTGCGCAGACGACGGCAGCAGCAGCACTGACCAGACAAACAGGCGCGCTGGGCGGAAGGGACTAGGCACGTGACGGCGTGGCGGGGAGGGGAGGGGCCAGGAGGCGAGGCGAGGAGAGGAGCTGGAGGCGAGAGGAGGCCAAGAGGGTGACACGCCGGGCCGTCCAGTCGAGTCCAGCGCAAGATGCCAGCGCAGATGGCGGGTGCTGCGGCGGTCGAGATGGATTGTGTTGTGTGTTGATGCGGGCGACAAACGGCCAGCCTGTCTACCTAAGGTACGGCGTTGATGCGAGGTGAGGGTGAAACCGCAGCAAAAGCCAAACGGCGCCCAGCGCTGATGGGCCGGTTTCGTCGCAACCGCTGGAACCTTGGATGCGCCTTCCTACAGTACGGGCTGTACCTAGCTGGAGCACGGGCAGCCGGCACCGAACCCGACACCGGGCACCTCTGTCCAGGTGCTTGCCAGGGCCTCCAGCTACCTGCGCAGCCGGGCCAGCAGGTCCGGTAACCGTCTGGGCACCCAGGTAAGGTACACTCCAGTGGAGGCGCTGCGGCGCTGCGTTCAATGTTGGTTCCAGCACCTTGCAGGCCCTACGCGCCGCCGCCGGGCCAGTGGAGCGGCCTGGGGCAACAACCTACCAACCTCACTCAGGTCAGTCAACCACCGAATGGCGAGTTTGTCAAGGGCGCAGCGGGTTCCCATCCTTGCCATCCATTGGGTTGATGGAGGGTGGCGGGCGGCACTTCTGGAGGCATCACTTCTGGTGGAGGGGGGTCGCCACGGCAGGCGGGCGATGGCTGGGGCGGCAGCACGCACACCCGTCGTCACTGGGATGCCAGGCCATCGTTGACGGCATCCACGTTGGATGGCGCCAGCAGGCGATGCACCTATCACGGTCCCGCGGCGCGGGTTCGCGGCACGCCTTGCGCCTCCCCCATCCGCGCGGATCCACTAATTAACTCCTCGAGCTTCCAGTCCATCAATCAATCGTTCCTACAGCAGCGGGATGGACCACCCATGGCGGGTGTGGTGGTCCTTTTGAAGGTGCGCCGCGACAGCATCAACTCCTAGCATGAGCGCCCGCCATCCATCCGACAGTCTGCCTTCTGTCCCGACACGGCGCGGACCTGGGGTGCGTTTCGAGAAGACGAGTCCTGCGACGGACACGGTGTCGAAGGAGGCCGTCGTTTGTCTTGTACCGAGGTCAGGGTCGTTGGCATCAAGAGACGGCAATGCGCTGCGCGGCCACCGCTGGACTCGCACGTTCGCGCAGGCCTCCAACCGCCCGCCTGGCCCCCCCGGTCCCCGTATATTTAGGTTCCTACCAAAGCGTCCCGGAGCAACGCGACGCGCCGTCATGCCTCTGCATTGCAGCGGCCGGCGCTACATCGCTCCCCTCTTTGGAACCGCCGCCGCCGCCGCCGCCACCAGGTGCTGCCGCCTAAAAGCTCTCGCGGTTGGGCGAGTCAGTCGTCCTCCGCAGACAACACGCCTCCGATGACTACCAAGATAACGAAACGTGCCTATGTGGTGTAGTTGGCGCCAAGTTCGTGCCATGCACTCCATTATGATGGGCTCGCACGCGCTGCCAAGCAAGCTACCGCGCTGGTTCACAGCCTTGTCTTTCTTTTCGCCATCTGGTGGCTGAGTCGGAGAACTAGGCTTAAAGCATAGAGAATAGGTCGTAGCAAGTTTCAGTAGATAGTGACCTCGGCGACCTCCACCCCGTGCCCTCCGGCTGCTCCCCCTCCGGCTCTGGACCAGACGGCAGGCCACATCCGCGCCTCACTCTCGCCCTCGCCCTGGCCCTGGCAGACGTACCCGGAGCTGGCGCCGATGAGCCCAACCGGGCCGCCTGTGGAATCGAGCTTCCGGCGCTCGGCGATGACCAATCACGCACACCTGCGCATCGTCCAGGTCGTGGCAGCGGGACTGCCTATCTGGGCAGCCGACTTCCCGAGCGACATCCATGCTGACATCGGGTGCGAAGCACACTTGATGCGTCTGTCTAATACTGCAGTTGGTCGCGTGGGCGCTTTGTCCTGCCACTATAGTTACGAAGTAGCTGCTGTCAAAACGCCTTTGCCGTCGTTGGCGGGTGGCGCGACTGCTTCCCGCCTGAGTCAAGATGCGGCTGTAACGATTACCACGCCTGACAAACCAGCATGATTTCAAAGCCACCAGAGACGGCCATGTCATCACTGCCACTCCCAACTGACAACGGCCGACATGCCACAGACCCTTTCCGCATGGAATGGCATTGTACCTGCTGCTTCTTCGTCTTGTGGCCAAGCATTCAAGGGACCCGGAGACGCATGTGCAAAACCCAAGTAGATTCATCTAGCCAGCCAAACCGGTGGTTCCGTCCAGAACCCTCAATGTCAGACCCAAACTCCGAAATTGCCCCTTCTTGCGGTGGTATTCTTTATCAGCACGTGGTTCCTCCTCCTCCCCTGATCCGTCTGTAGTACAGCTCGACGGCGCCGTCTCGCACCACCCCCAACCGCCATTACGTTCCCCTGCAAGTACGCCCGTTCCTGGGAGGACTTCCGCGCCGCTACATGAAGCTGCGATATCCTACAGGGCTGTAGCCAGAGTCGTCGCCCTGCCCAATGCTACCGCCGGGTCCCGTGCCAGAGGCTGCACCTCCCTCTTCCTAGTAAGGCGTGTAGCCACGGGCACGACCCCGATAGCCGCCGCGGTAGCCGCCCCGCGGGAACCCCCCGCGGAAGCCTCTCCCGCCGCGAAACCCACCGCGGCCGCGACCACGGCTCATGCCGGGGACGTTGGTCCGCTTGGGCGTCACCTTGATGTTGCGGCCCTTGAAGACACTCTCGTTGAGCACCAGCGCCTGGGCGACCAGGCTGGGCTCTGTGAACTCGACGTAGGCGTAGCTGTGGCGGAGTCGGTCGCGATTAGCACAGTGTGTCCCATTGCATTCGTCGCGCGCTCGGACGGAAGAACACTCACCCTTTGGGCTGGCCAGTGAACTTGTCGAGGAGGATGGTGACGCGGTTGATGGAGCCGCAGCTCTGGAAGTGCGCCTGGATCTCCTCGGGCGAGGCCGAGTAGTCGACGTTGCCGACAAAGATGCTGCGCGCGTCGACCGACTCCTTGTCGTCGGCGAGGTCGGCTGACTGCTGCTCCAGCGTCGCCTGCATCTCGCGCAGCTTCTTGGCCTCCTCTTCCATCTCCGCCACGCGGCGCTTCATCGCCGTGATCTCTTCCTAGCGGGGCGCCAACGTCAGTCGTTTCTCCTCGTGCGGTGATCCCCCTCTTGTCGCGCCGAACGCACCTCCTCGCTGGCGGCGATGTCGGTCTCCGGCTCCCGCTCCGGGGCGGCGGCGGCCGGGGTCTCGTCAGGCTTGGCCGTGTCCGACATGGTGGCGGTCACGCTGAGTCTCGAATCGCGGGACTCAATAGGGAACTGGACTGAAGCGACTGTCAGCTCGTCGTCAGGTGGAGCGATGGTGGAAGTGGTAGGGTAGAGCAGGGCGTCGAGGAGAGGTAGAAGTAGGCGTCAAAGACGCGCAACAAGTAAAACGCGCCGAACAAAGGGCAGAGCCTACCGTCTGCAAGATTGCCTTTGTATCCAGTTATCTGTGCTGCGACAGATACCAGTGCGCCGGGGCGGGTGCAAAAGAAGAAGAAGAAAGGTGACGCGCGGTGTGCTGCAATGAGCGGATGAAGTCTAGAGCAGCCGCACGCCATGCCAGAAATCCAGGAACGCCGTGAGTGATGCGCATCGTCCACCGGCAGCTGCTCGGCCGAGGCGGGGCGCCGAAGTTTGCCCGGCGGCAGTGCAGGGCAAACACCGTGTGGGGCGGGCCTCCTTCTCAATTAGGCAATTGGCTTGGCTTCGCTGGCGGTGCTTGACAGACTTGTCATTGTGCAACCCGCTACATTCATCATGTGTGCGCCTCTGACTGTTGTTTGTTGGGAATTCTGGCTTAGTCATATTCTGAAAGTCTTGATGTTCTACTTGTGCATCTCTCCAAGTCACTGTTTTAAAACTCGACGCGCGCTCTTACCAGTATTCTAATACAAGAGAGCGATGATACGGGGCGACATGCATACTTGACGCTACAGTCAAGTTGACCTGGCATCTCCGACGAATTTTCCAGGGCCAGACCCGTCATCACATCTAAGCCTCCCTCTCCGGTCCCAGAACCGCGATCCTCCTGTTGGGAGGGTCGACTTTGCGTCTCCGGGCATGCTCAACCGCGCGGTAGTACTGCACGTCGTTGCCAACCTGTCTCGCCAGAGAATCCACGTCAGCGTTGTCCAACGTGCCTTCGACGACACATGACTCCAGCGCCGAAGCAATCGCCTCGCAGTCCCAGCACTGACACACCGAGTACTCCCTCCCCGTGTGCGCCCGGTACAGCTCGGCCGTCCTGTCCATGCCCTTTGTCAGCGACGACTTGGGGAGCTTGTCGTCGTGGTCGATGAAGCGGCCGCAGCGCTCCTCCGTGGATTCCCGGTATCGAGCGGATGACAGCTGGTGCGTGTGCCACGCCAGGTCAATGTCCAGCGTCGGGACGAGCATCTGCTTGGGGTGAAGGGCGAACAGCTCGAGGAAGACTTCGTAGCGCTCAACCGCCCGCTGCAGGGTGCCCTCGAGCGCCGGGCTGCGGAGCCAGAGCTGGCTGTGCATCTTGGCGACGAATGACTCCTGACGCACGACGTTATCGACGAGCACCCACACTTGCCTTCTCTTCGTCGATGCTTGCTGCATGATGCCGACAAAGGACTGCTCCCGAGGCGGCAGTCCGTCCAGGGAAGACGTGGATGTTATGTTGGGCATGTTTTTTAGGCTGCCCTCTTTCTTGAGCAGGAACGCGACGGCGCTGCTTGTGTTGCCGGCATCGCAGAGGTACTGGAAGAGGTCGATCTCGAACTTGAGGGTTTCCGCCAGCCATGTCCGGCACTTGGCGGGAACGGTGTATGACAAATCTTTGGAGTTGATGGCGGCATGCTATGCTACTGTCAGTGCATTTCATGTAGAGAAGTGCTCGTCACCCTGCGACGTACAATTTGTGACCATGGGAAAGGCACCCTCTGCAGCCAGTTTAGGGAGTTGTCTTTACAGTACTTTTCAAAGCTTGCTGGGTTGAGGAGATAGGCGTGCCAGACCATCAGGACATCTGAGAGAAATCATGTGAGCTGGCGCCAATTCTGAGACCCAAGACTTTTGCAAACATACCCAGAGGCGGTAAGTGAGGGAGAGGCACGTCCGCCTTGTCTGAACCCTGCGAGGCGCTGGCAGACACGGCACGATCAACGGCCACAGCCCAGACCAAGAACCGCCCGGCCGCCAACTCGAGATACCACGTCCACTTCAACTTTCTCCGCCCATCCCAGGTCGCGTCCCGGAGCTTCACCGGCTTGTTGACGTACTTGCGCTGCGTCGCGTCGTACTTCCTGCGATAGACGGTGCGGTTGTTCATCTCAAGCCCGAACGTGTCGTCCAGATTGGTGGAGGAGATGATCTGGGAGCGCAGCGCGTAGAAGAGCTCGAGGAGCTCCAGATGCACGGCGCATTGCGCAACGGTCGGGAGAGAAGTGGTCGAAGACAGGGACCTGAAGATGCGCTTGTCGGGCACAGAGGGCTTCTCGTAGTCATCGTGCTTCTTGCCCGAGCTGGGGCTGGCGTAGTGGACAAACATCTCCTTGTACATGATGAGGTTTTGGCTTGATATTTGGTCCAGACAATTTTTGCTGGCCTGGTGGAGGCTCTTGACCTTGGACGGCACGGTAGACGCCATCGCGGCGGGTATCTTGAAGCTCCCTGGAGCTTGAAGATCTTCAAGAACGGGCAGTGAGGGTTGTGATGAAAGTGAGAGTTGGTGGGAGCGTCGTAAAGTCAATGGATAGATGCAGGCGACGAATGGTCACGGGCCACGAGGGGATCTCAGAACAAGAAGATGCCATCAAGATAACGACATCCGATGTCCTGCAGTGACGTCGCAGACGCAGACCCCCCTGTGAGGCTGACTGCGAGCCGCGGTTGACTTGCACTGCTTGCAGCTGGTTATCAGCTGAGCGCAAACCCCACACAGCGTCGGGGTTCAATCTCCAGGCACTGCCACGCCTGTCACGTCGCCCCCACACCCCCTGTGGCGACTCTAGCGAGCGCCCTGCTGGTGTAAGTCGGCTCCGTCCGTCGCCCCGCGTCGCAGCGCCCAGGCCTTCTTCCCTCCATCCATCCGGCATCGCTCGCGGCACGAAATGCTGGTGCCTGGGGTCTGCCAGCACGACCCTCCACCCCGACGTCTGGGCGACCTTGACTGATTTCCAGTTTGGGCACCGACGCTAGGAATTACTCCTGTTTTTCCGCCATGTGCGGACGCTAGGAAGCCTCACATGAGGTGGCAGTCCTGGAGACCGGGTGACTGGACTCCCCCTTCCCCCAACGGTCACTCCAAGATGGAGGGTCCATTCCAGGCTCTTGGAGCGTGGTGTTGTGCCATTCGCGTATGCCTCGTACAAGCCTCTCGCCCCTCGCTGCGAACCAGCGTCGAGAGAAAAAGCCTTGCAGGATGCGAGAGCGTCAGTATGTAGGCCTGCGAAATAAACACCAAGACCTCTCCTCGCCCTGTAGCTGGACGGCTCGTAACGTACGCCTCCCTGCCTCAACAAGAGACCAACACGCACATCTCTACCAAGCGCCATGAGCGGCATCCCGTCCGTCATCATTCGGTTCATCTGCCACATCCCTCTGGGATTTTTGGCCAGCAATGGCATGGGAATGTACAATCAAATGAAGGATCTGGGCAGCATCTACGACGATGTACCCCACGGCCAGAGCTTCCTCCAAGGTGCCCGGATCATCGGCGGTGTGGTGCGTCTCCTTGTCTCGTCGTGCTGCCACAGGAACCCCAACGAGCGAAGGACTGATCGTTTCACAGGGCTGGCCCTTGTTCGCCTACAACTTCGTCTGCTTTGGCCTGACCGGCTTCCTGGGCGGTCTGTGGCTCGCCGCCATTGGCCTGATCGATCTTGTCTTCGCCATCACACTCATTGCAGGCACAGCCATGCTGGCCAGCTTCCTCCCACGAACCTACGGAGACTGCAACTCTGCGTACGAATGGCGAGACGGGCCTGATGGGAGGAACTTTTTCAGCGAGGCCGTGAGAGGCGGCCAGTGGAACGGGTACCGCAAGGCGGAGGACCTGTGCCACGGGATGGTGCAGCACTGGGCCTTTTGCATCGCCGCAACGTAAGAATGCCTTGCATATATCCCAAGACGTTTCCGAAAGGTTCTAAGACTGCACAGGATCATCTACGGCATATCTGCGTGCATAAACTTGGCTATTGGCCTACGCCAGCACCACACCGACCGGCGCTTCTCCAGAACCCGGGGCGCGTGCTTGCCGTCAAGTTTGTTACCTCGACCGGTTGCATTCGTTATGCGGCACTTTGCCCCGAGCTTCATATTTATCTATCACTACACCTGCAAGTTCTTCGCCAGGTGGAAGCGCATGGGAGCGCAGCCGTACGAGTACCGCGAACTCCTAGGCCTAACGGCCAGGGGCGACCTCGGGTCTGAGCCCAGCTTGCCATTCAAGGTAACTTCGTTTCTCGCAGAAGAGCTTCACTTTGTCGAACTGCTCAACCTCGCGACGTCGACGACGCAGATGGGCGCAATGCTACTGGGCACCAAGAACCCCCTCCGTCAGCTCGAGGAGCTGCGGCCGCTTACTTGCGCGGGGATGGACAAGTCTCAGTGTCGCGTCTGTGATGCGCAGGTCTGCAGTGTTTGTCCCCCTTCTCCATGACTATGGTCCATCAAATGCTCTGGCCGCGCCTGCTAACTCACCACGGCAGGACTGCGACACGATCGTCCCCCTGCCAAAGACGCAGGCGGCCCGGCATCTCGAGCTGTGCCAGCCCTGCTGCGCCCGATGTTTCTACAACAGCCACTGCCGACGGGCGCGTACGTCACCACTCGTTCAAGGGGCCAAGCACAATAAAACGTGTGTGCTTGGTGGCGGGGACAGAGACGTGGAAGAGGCCGGCGGGGAGCAGGATGAGAAGTCTGAGGGAAGCGTGTGCAGGACGTGTGCCGCCATGTCTCCCCAGGACAGGAAGGCGGCTCTGGAGGCCAGGGATATTGTCGCGGTGCGGCGACTGGCACAGTTTCCGATGCTCTGCGGACTATGCAAGGAACCGTTGGCGCCGAGCGGGCCGAGATGGTGGAGGTGCTCTGCATGCCGCGGGGAGTGTCCGTCAAGCGTCCATCCGCCGTGGCAGGCAGGCAGGTGAGCCGCGGCATTGCGATGGTTTGAGCCTTGATCCCTGGTTACGTAGCACCTCATGCCCACAGCTTGGATGATAGATTAGGGTGCCTGCTCTAGGTCAGCAATGATGTCACTTTTCCTTCCCAGGGTTCAAATGGTCCCTTTCGGATAAATTTGGTCCTAGGCGAGGTGCTGCGTTGCAACCCAGTGGGGACCTCCGTGCGCCCGGCGTTGGGGGAAGGGGGGTTATCGTCGGTGAGGCGATCGGTTCAAGCCGTGGTGGAGGTCTCATGGTGTCGTGCAACCGACAGGGTCTAAACAAGCGCAAGGCGGACCGGGGGCGGGCGCAGCTGCAGGCCCGCCCTCAGCCGCGGCCGGCAGGCAGCAGAAACACCAGGCATATCGCCTGTATTTCCCCGTGGGCGGAACGAAGCATGCCGCGAGTGCTGAACCCGTGCAATTCGTGGGGTTGCGTCTCACAGCTTCACAGCCCCCGGCGGTCGACTTACACGACTTCATGACTTCCTTTCTTTAAGACGACGCCGCAGGACGCTCTCTGTCTGCACCACAACAAAACCACATTCGCATCTCAAGTGAAACCACACAAGACAAATTGAATTGAGCTGAAAGCGGCGCAGGACGAGAGGACGCAGCATGTCGCGGCTCAAGGTCATCCGCATCGCCAAGCTCCTCGCCTCGTCCCCGTCCAGCATCACTCCCACCCCGAGCCTCCCGTGGACGCCCCTCGGCGTCGCGCGCGACCACCTCTTTGACGAGCTCGAGGCGCTCTACTGGGATGGCGCGGCCGCCGAGCTCGACAATATTGTGCGCACGCTCCGCGCGTGGCACCACGAGCAGCAGCCAGATCTGACGGACGTCACCGTCGAGGACGAAGACGACGACAATGTGTACGGATTCGACACGTTTCTGGACCAGGTCAGCGAGGAGGCAAGGGAGAAGTGTATTCGCGAGCGTAAGTTGGCAAGCCCTCTGGATTTGAGGGTGCCTTGTCGTTGACTGTCTTTATTAGTTCGCGACAGGAAGGAGGGCAGCCGCTATGGCTTTGATCCCCCGACTGTGTATGAGGCGGCGCTCAGCGACGTGATTCGTGAGCGCAAGGCGGAGCTTGTCAGCACGCAGCTCAAGGCGGCCGTGAGAAAGGCTCTGAAAGGTGAGCTTTAGACATAGACAGCTTTTGTTAGTTTGGAGTGCTGACAACAAGTGACGGCAGACACGCCCAAGCTGAGGAGGCCGCAACAGCGCGCGCGGATGCTTCTCCAGGCAGCGGGTACGCAGGAAATCCACCGAGGCTAATGATTCGGGGGTTGCTAACCGTGATAGGCTTCCTTGACATCGACAAGCTCATTGAGCACCGTCCACCCCCTGAAGGGCTGCGGCACGCAAAGAGACCTGCCGTGCCTCAGTGTAAGTCATCTGGCATGTAATTCAAGCGTCTGTCTGACTTGAATGCACAGTGGCGCCAGCCAAGTTTGACAAGGACTGGATTCCCAAGTTTGAGCCTCTTCGCTGCTCGAGACCAGACTGCAAAGCCGTCATCTGCGGCAGCATGTACAAGTCCCAAGGCAACAACAGCGAGTCGTCAACCATCTGTGAAGACTGCTACTGGCGGTTTCACCACGGACGTCCCTCAGCATCATCCTACGTCAAGGCGTACAAGCACTGCGTGCTGCGCGAGTCCGTCTCCTCAGAAACGAGCAGGAGCATCTGCCTCTGCAGGGACGTGGACCACCTCGACACAAACGGCAAGCCTGCGAGCCTCTTCTCCGTGGGCAGGACGGCGAAGCACGTCGACGTCGCGGGGACTGGAACGCCGCAGTGCGGACTGCTCAAGCTCGGCGAGGCCGTGGCGACGGCCAAGTACAATGGGCTGGAGGAGGTTGCTGGCCAGAAGGGCGTGAGAGTCCTCAAAGTCGAGGAGAAGCAGCGGAGGCGCAGCTACAAGACGGGCATCGACGCCGCCAAGTATGAGGCTATGCTTCGAGAGAGGCCCACCGACCCGGGAGACGACGATGACGTGCCTTCGTTTATCAGACAGTTTGCAGACACGAACCCGTTTGGCCATGTCCACATGTCCCTCCGGGTTGGGCCCTTGGTTGTCGAGAACGGCGTGGCGCAGTACGTTCTTTCTTGATCTCCAATGTAGACATGAACATCGGTCGTGCTGACGTGACTTCTACTATAGCACGAAAGGAGGCGCACGCATAGGTCTACGCGAGCTTCCTGTGTATTACGAGCGAGCACGCCAGCGGTTGGATCGCGTGCTCCTCGTCGACGGGACGCCAGACAGGGTTCTCTGGAAGAGCAACCAGCCTGCCTCCCAACCTAAAAGGTACAAAGCCATCATGAAGCAGGTGGTCGGCCTACCCTTCAGCGGCATCTTGCCACACGAGGCCGAGCTCGAGATCGTTCGGGACCTTCTGGATGCGAGCGAGTGTACGACTGATGAGTCGAACAACAACGAAAAGAGCCCGAGGGCGTCGCGCATTCAACTTGTCATGGTGAAGCTCAAGGCCCTCATCAGCAGCAGGGTAAGGCTTTACCTGCGGCACGTCGCAGACGTGCTGGTAGACCCGTCCATCAACCTCTCTTGGAGTCCCAAGCAAAACAACTGCCTCACATTCTGCAACAAAATCGTCGACGCGGACCTCTTCAGACCGCTCGTCAGGGGCCACTCCGACGACAAGACCCAGCCGCTGTACCTCCTGAGCTTCGTCTGTCCGAAGCGCGGGTACGTCAAGCCCAGCGTCAGGACAAAGCACGACGTGCCGAGCGGCCTACTGGAAGACTATCTGCGGCGCTTCTACTTTGGGCGTCACCACGACGCCGACATGCTCGACTCCCTCCAAGAGTACTGGTACGACTGGGGCGCGTTCGGGGGACCGCTCTTTCGAAACCAGGACATGTTCCCCTGGGATTGTACGGAGGCGTATGGCAGACACCCGACCAAGTGCGGTGACTGCAACCTCGCCAAGCACCTCTGGGCGTTCCCCTTTGACTCGTGGTCGGCGACGGCGCTGCATCTCGCACGAGGCCAAGACATGTACGCACCCGCTGAGGTCGAGCCGCGCTTGTCAGCCAGCGGACCGTCTGCCGACGTCAAGTCCTGGGCACGCAACCGCCTGCAAGTCCTCGCCGCGTCGTCGAAGCTCTACCGTGGTGTCGCCGCAATGGCACGCACGCCACTCTTCTGTCGAACGACAGCCTGGCTTCACAAGGAAGGGGAGGGTCTCCTCCAACAGCACCCATCCCTCTCGAGGGTACGCATGGGCGGCATCCACCGAGCCCAGCCGTTCAGCCATGACTTTGACTCAGGGACTCAAGCAGACTACTTCCTCGCGCCCTGGGCCATCCTCCCACGCGACGAGCAGATAGCCGACTACCAGAAGCTGCGCGACGCCCGGGCCTCGCTGGCAGACGTGGACAGCGACGCTGCGAGCGCACGCCTCGCGAAGCCGCCCTTCCAGACGAAGACGGCGACGCGCGATTTTGGAGGCTTCGGCGGGCGGCGCTCGGGCGCCGTGGGCTCGTATTATAGCTATAGCTCGCACACGACGGCCACAAACAACGCGCAGATCGTGTGGATAGCGGACGCGGGCTTCACGCCGGATGCGTGCGACGCGGAGAGGGGCACGGGGGCGTGCGCGGGCGATTCGGCGGGCAGTTCGGGCGTCAACTGCGGGAGCGGGTGCGGGAGCAGTAGCTGTGGCGGACCGGCGTGTGGTAGCGGCGGCGGGAGCAGTGGAGGAGGAGATGGAGGAGGAGGAAGCGGCGGCGGAGGGTCGAGCTCGTGTGGTGGTGGTGGTGGTGGGAGCAGCTGCGGTGGAGGGAGTAGCTGCGGAGGAGGCGGCGGCGGTTGCGGCGGCGGGAGTTGAGATCGATGAGAAAGGAAATGATCTCGGTATTCTATGCATAATAGAGTAAGCGAAACATGATTTATTGCATTGCGCAAAGATGTTGATGATGGTTTGCGTTGCAGTGTTGTGACGCGTGTGCATAAACGGTGGTGATGGTGGCGAGCACCTACACCATCGCGACATGTGAACACCACCAAATTGCGGCATGGCTTGGGAAACTGAAATGTGTTTGCGAGCATCAGTAGGTGCCTCAACTGAACACCAGCAGTTATCGCGGGACCGCTGAGCAAACGGGGGGGCGAGCCTCACCACGCTGAACACACTTCCGCACCGGCGCAGCAACCGTACAGGCTCACCCTCAACACCAAAGTGCGGCACAGAACGGTGAATGAACAGTGTTTTTGGGCATCATGAGGTGCCTCACTGCAACACCAGCATGTATCGCGGGGCCACCAAGCAAACAGGGGCAGCGAGCCTCACCACCGCGAACAGACGGCCTCGCCCGCACAGCAACCGCTCACGCCCGCCCTCACCAGCTCCCAGCCACGGGACCCAGGCCCCCTCTCACGCACCCATCCCATCCTACCCTCCCGCCCAGCAGCCGACGGCGGCACTGGCCAACAACATATAACTCAAGATATTGCGTCTTGCTTATAACCCCGATGATCCAAGGGACATGCCTCGATAACTCAGTTGGTGAGCAATCAGCCACCTCCAGGGGAGGCCCCGCCGTTGTCGATTTTCTAGCCCTGATTAGCATAGAGCCTGGCTTTGAGCACTCTGCGGTCAGGGATTGGGACTTCGCCGGTCAGCACTCCTAGGTGGTGCCTCCTTGGTGAGGGGCTTCTTTTTTTGCCCTTGCTTTCGAATAACTTTTTTGGGCTCTTGCGGTGAAACGTGTCCCTGCATAATTGGCTGCTGGAGATTCTTGCGATGGTATTATTGATTGAATCTAGGCGTTGGTGCGCTGTTGAGGCGGGAGTGTTGATGCTGGTGATGGCGATGTTTGAAGGGGAGGCGAAGTAGACGTGGGGGGCCGGCTGGTAGTCGTTCCCATGCCTGCGGATGAGGGCGCCGACAGGCGGCTTGGGATGGGCCTAAACTGGTTTTTTTTACAGAGGCAGCGGTTCGACTCCCGCTTGTGTGTTTTTTTTTGGATGTGCCTTTTTGGGTCGACTGATGAGCGCGAACAGAGTGTCTGCTGCCCCGTTGCTGGGAGGGCAGCTCGCCTGAACAGGGCCGGCCATGCGGCAGCGCACCCTTCGCACGACCTGGCACGCGACTGAAGCCGAGACTCGATGCTCTTCATTGAACGCCTTTGCTGATGATGGGACAGCTCTACGAGGTATTGAAGTAACAAAGGAGTACGATGACCACTGACTGAACGCCCCTGCAGCCTGCTCCATTATTGCGCCCAGTTGTCGAATACGCACAAATCTTCATTTACTTGGAAGAACTGCTAAACGAGGGGCGGCATAGCATAGCAATTCTTTTCGTCTGTGCATCTTCACGGAATAAAGCCTGCTGTCGGAGGATGGACGATGATGAATTCCCGTTCCTGCCCCGCCGCCGCAGCACTGCGAAAACCCCCCAAAAAGGGGGCGCAATTTTTTCCCCTTGCCTCTTCTACATTACGAGAACAAGAATATTCGGTCGCAAAGCTGACTACAGCATGTAGAAAGCAGTCAAAAAAACGTATTGAGCGTGCCGTGAGTATGTGTTGTCGAGCATAATTCCCCATCACGGCTGCACGAGGAGACATGTCGTTGCCCTGGCCCGTTGCCAAGCCCGCGGGGCAGATGCGTGGCGGGGCGCGGTTTTGGTGGGGTGGGGCCGCCGTTGCTGCCACTGTTGTTCCAGGCGGGCTGTTGGTGGTGGTGGTGCAGCCGCCACCAGCTGCAGGCAAGGGTGACCTCATGCTGTAACGGCCGGTCGCTATGCCACACGCACCGCCTCCAAAACAAATGGAACCGCCTAGGGAGCTGGCGACGGAGGGAGGCTTTTGGGAGGGGGAGCTAAAAGTTATTCCAGGGGACCGCCGACAATGAGACCCCGTCCGCATTGAAGCTCGACGCCAAGCCGCTCGCCGCTGGAGGGGGCCCAACACATGCCTCTTTCTTCCATCCTCAAACGCCAGCCAGCCTCCTCTGCCGGCCTCATTATCCTTCTTCTCACTGTTTCGCCCAGGACTGCTTTGAGCCATACCTACATGCGTGCCGCAGCTCCGTGATCGCGCCGACTACAAGGTCGAAGCGACGACGACGACAACCACAACACCCATCATCACCACCACCACCCCGGCCACCATGTCCGACCCCGAGTCGTCCGCGCCCCTGCTCCCCACCTCCCACCCTCACCCTCGGCCTCACAGCGCGCGTCACCACCGCCCCGCGCCGTTGCGGCAGCGGCGCGAACAACACCACGACATCCGCAACGGCGGCGGCGGCGGCGATGACGACGATGACGGCAGTGCGGCCGCCGCCGTGGCGGGCGCAGAGTTGGGTGTGGCGGGCCAGAACGACGGCTCCCGCGTCGCGCGCTGGCGTCGCGCCGGGCGCCGCATGCTCGACTCCCGCAGGAAGCACTTCCTCGTCATGGGCGTCGTGACCCTCGACGTGGCCGCCCTTCTCGCAAACGTCTTCATCCAGCTCATCGCCTGCGAGATGCACCAGCGCCACGAGCCCTGGGTCCTCGCCGTCACCGACGCCCTCGAGACGGCCGGGCTCGTCTTCAGCTCCCTCTTCATGCTCGAGCTTGCAGGCTGTCTCTTTTCCTTTGGATTCAGGTTAGTCTACCCGTTCTTCTTCTCTCTCTGCGCACGCGGACCTAAAAGGGAGCGCGTTGTCACCCCTGGTACATGTCATCGCCGCTGACAAGAGAATTTGTTAAAACACACAGCTACCTCGGCTCCTGGTTCCACCTCTTCGACTCGGCCGTCATCGTCCTCAGCTTCGCCATTGACATCAGCTCGCGAGGCCTCACCGAGAGCATCGGCTCCCTCGTTGTCGTCCTGCGCCTGTGGCGCCTCGCCAAAATCTCGGAGGAAGTCGTCATGGGCGCCACGGAACGCATGGAGCTGCTGGAGGAGCACATCGACGATCTCGAGAGCGAGAACAAGCATCTCAGGGATCTGCTTGTCCACGCGTCGCACCCAAATGACTGAAATTGTACATGCTCGAAGCGGAGTTGTCGTCTTGTGATATTTAGCGTTCAACATTCCGGTCGCATCGCGGCGTGATGGCGTCAACAAATGCAAACTACGTCGTTTCTGCATCACGTCCGGCTCACTCTGTGGTGCGTGCGCGGCCAAATGCCGATCACAGTGTCACAAGCCAGCATCACGGACAATCCTTCTCAGCGAAAGGTTTCATTCGCTGCAAAAGAGAAAAAAACCGTACAGATATGTCTCGCCCGTCCATGGTGCAGCCCAAATCCGAACCATCTCTCTGCCCAAATGCAGTCCACCGCGTCCAACAAACGCCGCCCAAATGCTTAATGCTCGTGCCAAGGCTCCCATGTCCCAATTCCCTGTATCGTGCGTCGCTCCGTCTAGCTATAAAATGGATGAAACGTGATGCTCGTGGTACGTTCGACATGATCGTTGCCGCTGCCTGTGGAGGTTAGGCGTGCCGACCTCGCTTGTTTCCGCCGCCGCCGAAAGGGTCCTTGCCTCCCAAGCAGCCTCCGAAGAAGTCCTCAAAGTCCCACCTGCGCTTCGTTCCGGCTCCTCTGCCCAAGTGCGCTCCCTGCCGTTTATCTCTCGCGCCGCCCAAGCGGGTCTTGGGGGCTCTCGGTGCGTGTTCATGCGGCCGGCCGTCAGACAGGTCTAGCGTGGCGATGTTCGGGTACGGATGCGACGACTGAAACGTAAAGCTCTCCTGAGTAGGTACGACTATCCGAGGCGTTTCTTCGGGGATGATGGGGACCGTCGAGATGGGCGGCTCGCTCGCGCGCTGCGGGAGAGACTGCGGCTCGGTGCTCGTGCGTGTGAGCTCAGGCGAGTTCGTTCGGTCGCTTCGCTCAACTTCGTCTTCGCTGTCGTTGTTGTTGCTGCCGAGAGGCGCGTCGCGGCCATCTAGGCGCTCCGTCGCCCAGGCTCGCACCCTCCAGCCCTCTCCATCGCGCAGGCCGAGGTTCTCCCTGTCTAGGAACGTGAGCAGGTCTTCCAGGCACTCTTGGTACCCTTCCGATCGGGCTCTTGATTCGGCGAGGGCAGACGTCTTGTACAGCTTTGTCACAGACAAGGCGGCAGCCTTGAACACGTCGAGAAGCTGCTCGGGAGCCGGCTCCTGGGCGGCCTGTTTACCGGCCGCGCCATGCTGTGGGTTGGAGCCCCTGCCAGAGTCCATCCTCTGGGGGCGATATGCAGTAGCAACGGTTGAATGAGGACCTGGGAACGCGTCAGTTTCCCGCGAGTCTGCTGCGTGGCGGAAAACCTGGGCTCGGACTCACGCTGTGTTCCACGAATATTGGCTGATGCTGGAATGACCCCGCGGCTGACTCAACAGGCGGTTCGGTTGATGGGGGCGTCGAGTCCTGCGACGCGAAGTGTGCGCTTGGTGACCACGAAATGAATGAGTGCCAGGTGGCGATACAGCGAGGGGTTCGGGTGTCGGTGTGAGACTCGGACACAGCGTCTGCTGGAGTTCGTCGTTGCAGCGAGTTTGAGGTGAAGGAGGAACTGGCTGGGCTGTCGAGGCCTGAGAGCCACGCAGGTTCTTGTCACGGGGTCCGCCATCCGAAGCGGGACGGCATGTGGGGTCGAGCTTCTTCGGCCAGCCGCCACGTGATTCTATGGCGCGGTCTTTGCAACTGCGTACACGGTTGCGGGTATTGCCAAAATTGAGATATGATGATTTGCATTTCTAGGAGAAGCTATGCCGGGTTATTCTTATTGGGATGCTTCTTTGTGGTCATGGCCATTGTTTGCGTCTGGCTTTAACGGCGCGCCTGGCCGGCAGCCACCCTGCAGCCGCAAAGCCAGCAATTCAGAGGGCCAACAAACATTGACGTCGACGCACCGGCTCGGACTTTTCTTGTTCCAGGGGGCGATGCGCCTGTAGGCCCCGTACCTAAGGGGTGGTGTGGGCCCGGCCTGGCAGACGGGCCATTACACCTCAGGCCTGCAGTCCCGTCTTCCTGAGCGGCTTGGGCGGGTGGATCGTGCACGCGCGCTAGTCGCCCAGCCGGCCTTCGACGGGCACGCATAACTTCGAGATTCCACCACCCTCGTCACTCCCTCTCTGCAAAAACACCCTCCCGTGCGACCTCTGGCCACCGGAACACGCTCAACACCCGACACGTCGCGACGCATCACCTGTCGGCACGATCTCTTGCTTTGCATCAGCAAGAACCGCCCCCAGCGTCTCAACTGCGCAGTTCCGCGCATCTGCAAACGCGTCGCAGCTGTCCAGTCGCGTTAAGAGGTTTCTTGAACTCAGGACTGTTGCCACCATGGCCCCGCGGCCCCGAGCCAGCGGCGCCGACACGGACGCGTCCATGTCCGACGCGCCCGACTACCATCGTGGCGACGAGATGGTACGTCTCAAACGCAGGCCTAAGAGCCGAACCGACATCGTTTGATGCGTTGCTAACAGTGGAATAGGAAGTTGACGAAACTCCCGATTATACTGACTCGGACACCAATCCCAACACAACGGCCAGCAGCGTGGCTGGCGACCCCATATCAGATGGCCGCAAGCGCCGCTCCGAGGCAAACCAATTGCGTCGGAGCATATTTGGCAAGAAACACGACCGACTCGGCGAGTCCAAGGTACGCGAATTCCTCGCCTCCCCCCGATCGTTACTTGCCCACGCAGAGACTGACCGCAGCGTCCAGGAGGATGACACGATCCGCCGATTTAGATACCTCCTGGGTCTGACGGACCTCTTCCGCCACTTCATCGAGACCAACCCGGACCCCAAGATTCGCGATATTATGGCCGAGATCGATCGCCAGAATGCCGAAGCTGCTCGAGGCAAAAAGGGCGGCGCCAGGCAGGGCGGTGCAACCAGCGAGAGGCGACGGCGGACCGAGGCCGAGGAAGATGCCGAGCTACTCAAGGACGAGAAGCATGGAGGCTCCGCCGACACAGTCTTTCGCGAGTCGCCCTCCTTCATTCACGGCCAAATGCGAGACTACCAGGTTGCCGGGTTAAACTGGCTCATCTCGCTGCACGAAAACGGCATTTCTGGAATCTTGGCTGATGAAATGGGACTGGGCAAGACGCTCCAGACAATCTCATTCTTGGGCTACCTCCGTCACATTGCCGGCATCACAGGTCCTCACCTGATCACGGTACCCAAGTCCACTCTCGACAATTGGAAGCGAGAGTTCGCCAAGTGGACTCCCGAGGTTAATGTTCTCGTTCTCCAAGGCGCCAAGGACGAGCGTCACAATCTCATCAACGAGCGACTTGTTGATGAAAAGTTCGACGTGTGCATCACGAGTTACGAAATGATTCTGCGCGAAAAGGCGCATTTGAAGAAATTTGCGTGGGAGTACATCATTATTGATGAGGTACGGGCAACTGTCCTTTTCTTCCCCTGGCTAGAATGAGTGCTGATGACGTACAGGCGCACCGAATCAAAAACGAGGAGTCATCCTTGTCACAGGTCATCCGTCTTTTCTCGTCGCGAAACCGCCTGTTGATTACCGGAACGCCCCTGCAGAACAACCTCCACGAGCTTTGGGCGCTCCTCAACTTCTTGCTGCCCGATGTTTTCGGCGACTCGGAGGCTTTTGATCAGTGGTTCTCCGGCCAGGACCGCGACCAGGACACTGTTGTCCAGCAACTGCACCGCGTTCTCCGCCCATTCTTGCTTCGCCGAGTCAAGAGTGACGTCGAAAAGAGTCTTCTGCCCAAGAAGGAGGTCAACCTGTACCTGGGCATGTCCGACATGCAGGTCAAATGGTACAAAAAGATCTTGGAGAAGGACATTGACGCTGTCAACGGCGCGGGCGGCAAGCGCGAGTCCAAGACAAGACTCCTCAACATCGTCATGCAGCTGCGCAAGTGCTGCAACCACCCGTACCTTTTCGAAGGCGCCGAACCTGGCCCGCCGTACACCACCGATGAGCATCTTGTCTATAACGCCGGCAAGATGGCTGTTCTCGACAAGCTTCTTGGAAGACTCCAGAAACAGGGCAGCCGAGTCCTCATTTTCTCTCAGATGAGTCGTCTATTGGACATTCTTGAGGATTACTGTGTTTTCAGAGAGTACAAGTATTGTCGCATTGACGGTAGCACCGCTCACGAGGATCGCATCGCCGCCATTGACGAATACAACAAGCCTGGCTCGGAAAAGTTTGTCTTCTTATTGACGACTAGAGCTGGTGGTCTGGGCATCAACCTCACATCCGCAGATATTGTCATCCTCTACGATAGCGACTGGAACCCTCAGGCGGATCTGCAGGCCATGGACCGCGCTCACCGCATCGGACAGACGAAGCAGGTGGTGGTGTACAGATTTGTCACTGACAACGCCATCGAAGAAAAGGTGCTCGAGAGAGCTGCCCAAAAACTCCGTCTCGACCAGCTGGTTATTCAGCAGGGGCGCGCACAGATTGCGGCCAAGGCTGCCGCCAACAAGGACGAGCTGCTCTCTATGATTCAACACGGCGCCGAAAAGGTCTTCCAGAGCAAGGGTGCGACGGGCAACATTGCGGCCAGTGGCGCGGATATTAAAGACGACGACATCGAGGAGATTCTGGCCCAAGGCGAGAACCGTACAAAAGAGCTCAACTCCAAGTATGAGAAGCTGGGCATCGACGACTTGCAAAAGTTCACCTCCGAGTCGGCGTACGAGTGGAATGGCGAGAACTTTGCCAACGTCAAGAAGGACATCAGCCTGAACTGGATTAACCCGGCCAAGAGAGAGCGCAAGGAACAGTCCTACTCCATGGATAAATACTTCCGGCAGGCCATGTTTCCCAACCCCAAGGCGGACGCGAAACCCAAGGCGCCTCGGGCGCCGAAGCAGGTGCCGGTGCATGACTATCAGTTCTACCCCCCTCGTCTCCGCGATCTCCAGGACAGGGAGACGGCATTCTATCGCAAGGAAATCGGGTATAAGATACCCCTTGCAGATGGAGATGAGGAGACTCTGTCGGAGCGCGAGGCTGAGCGGGCGTTGGACCAGCAAGAGATCGACAACGCGACTCCGTTGACGGAGGAGGAAAAGCAGGAGAAGGAGGAGCTGTCCGACCAAGGCTTTGGTCACTGGAACAAGCGAGACTTTCAACAATTCGTCAACGGGTCCGGCAAGTACGGCCGCACAGATTACGAAGGCATCTCACAGGAGATTGACAGCAAGACTCCGGCCGAGATCAAGGCCTACGCCAAGGTCTTCTGGCAGCGCTACACCGAGATTGCGGATTACAACAAGTACCTCAAGGTCATTGAAGACGGCGAGGAGCGGACACGGAGGATCGAGAACCAGCGGAAACTGCTGCGCAAGAAGATGCAGCAGTACCGGGTGCCGCTGCAGCAGCTCAAGATCAACTACTCTGTGTCGACGACGAACAAGAAGGTGTATACCGAAGAAGAAGACCGGTTCTTGCTGGTCTTGCTGGACCGGTATGGCATCGACTCGGAAGGACTGTACGAAAAGATGCGCGATGATATCCGCGAGTCGCCCCTGTTCCGCTTCGACTGGTTCTTCCTCAGCCGCACACCAACCGAGCTGTCCCGTCGATGCACTACCCTGATCACGACTATTGTCAAGGAGTTTGAGGATGTCCCGTCGCGGGGTGCCAACGGCGTGAATGGCAAGACGAAGCGCGACCCCGATGAGGAGAATGACGAGGATAGCGTGCTGGGCATGGCCCCTGCCAAGAAGAAGTCAAAGAACGGTGTTAAGGTACGTGAAGCACTCGACGTCGGCCATACCGAGCCTGAATTAACAGTCATCACAGAACAAAGCTCTTGACAACGTCAAGTCGAGCAAGGCTAGCTCAGCAGCGCCATCCAGGGCTTCTAGTGTGGCATCGTCGGCGTCGAACGCGGGTGCCAAGTCCAAAAAGGGCAAGGGGAAGAAGAGGTGAAGTAGGGGCTCGGGAGACGGGCAAATGTTGGTTACGAGGGCACGGGTGTCTAAGTGATAGATTGGCGTTTGGCGGGCTGGTTGCGGGTCCCAGGCCAGTAAAGGCTGGGAATGAGGAGACGGTGGCCGAGTTTTGAGTGTCACCAATGTTCCAATAAATATGTACGGATGCCAATTTGACCTAGATCAACAGCGTTGGAACGGCCCGGTGTAGCGCATAGGACGCGATGAGGTATACGGGTTGTACAGCTCACTGTGACACAGCAGAGCGGTGCTGACTTGCCCGAGTAATACTTGAATTTCCCACACTACCTAGCCAGTCATTCCGTCGTCCATAACCACCAGTCTCCCGTCGCCTCGCCCGGCGCGGACAGACGCACGCTTGACGAGTTTTTTACAGGACCCGTACCCGCCGGCCCTGTCCTTCGTCGGGGCGGCCTCCCGTCCGCTGCGCCCGACCAGGAGCCGGCAGTCCTCAAGAACATTCGAATGATTTCCTTTCCTTCCCCAAAACGCCGTACTATGCAAGCAGACAGGAAAAGACGACGCTCTCTGCCCTCCGGCGTGCGGCCTTACCGCCCCCTGTTTGCCCTCGCAGTCGATAAAGCGCTCCTCAGTCAGGCGGGGATGGTGATATATCGGTCTGTCAAGGCGAGACGGGTGGACCGCGTCGGGGAGAGCGTGGAGAGAGAACGCAATAGGTCCGGTTCACGAGTGGGGGCCGGCCGTCTACTGCATCCGGTTCGCGCGTTCCCTCTCGACCTCGTACATGAAGTCAAAGTACCCCTTGTCGAAGTGGTGAACGCGGACGTAGCCGTCTTCTCCGCCGCTTGCGTAGCTCTTGCCGGTGGGGTCGGCGGCGACGGTGTTGAGCGGGCCGAAGTGGCCACGGACACGGCCGATCTCGTCCTCGAAAATCTTGTGGTAGAACCGGGCCTCGAACTTGCCCTGGCGGGCGGCGGTCGTGGTGACGTCCATGGCGGCCTGGCCACCACCGAGGATGACGAAATCCTTCTTGGGCGTGATGGTGGCGCTGTTGAGGGGCGTGTCGGCGGGGTAGGTCTTCATGACCGTGAGGTCGCGAGCATCGATGAGCTGTTTATTATGTGAGCAGATGGCCATGCACCGGGGGCTAGTGATGAGTGCCTACCTTGGCGGTCTTGTCCTTGCAGGCAGTGATGAAGTAGGTCCGGTCCGTCGACCACTGGAGATCGACAATGGGCTGGTTGAGCTCGTGGATGGGCACGTTGTCCAGCAAGTCGCCAGTCTTGCCGTCATACTGGGAGATGCTACCGTCCTCGTGACCGGCAATGATGTACTTGTTGAGAGCGCTCCAGCCTGCGACGGTGGCCTTGCTCTCGTCGCAGACGATGGTGAGGACCTTCTCGTCGCTCTGCTCGGCCTCGACGTTGGGGTTGATGTCCATGACGACAATGTTGCTCAGGTAGCCCATGCGCTTCTCGGTGACACCCAGCAGCTTGGTGCCGTCTTCGTTGAACTCGACACGCTTGACGGCCGTGGGGAACTCCCAGACCTTGAGGCAGCGGCCCGTCTTGACGTCCCACAGGCGGATCGTGTTGTCGGCGGCGCCCGAGGCGATCATGGTCGTCGTGGGGTCGACATCGACGGTCCAGATGGCACCGACGTGGCCGTGGTAGGTTCCGATGCGCTCGCCGTTGTGAGACCACCAGGCGCAGATGTGCTGATCCTTTGCGACGGAGAAGATGACATCGCCGTCGAGGTTGTATCTATACCGCAGAAAGGACGAGACATGTTAGCCAGCGGGATTTCGAATCTCGGGCCCCTGCCTGTTCGGAACGGCACCCGAGGTGAGGGGTTCGAGGGTCGCATACCGGATCTGGGTGAGCGCACGCTCGTGCCCAGCGAGGAGAATGGGTCTCATGATGGGCGGGTTTCGGTCGGATAGAACGCTCTCTTGGGTAGTCGACCAAGGGAGCTTCTGGTGTGGCGGGCTGTTCGGGGACGAGGAGCGGCAGGTCGAGGCGGAGGCGGGAGGGTATAAATTGTATGGACCGGCGTTGGATGAGGATCTGAGAGTGGGCTTTGAATTTTTGGCGATTGTGCGTTTTGGTGGGGCAGAAGTTGCTGGCAGGGGGGAGGAGGGGAGTCATCAGTTTCGCACCGCGCTCTTACTTGATTGGTCCCGATTGGGTTAGCGTTTTGTGGAGGAGCATGTGCGAATTTGGCGCTACCCTCGAGAAAAGCAGCACGATGATTGGCCCGTTGCTCTGCCCCGTGGGGATTTGACAAGCCACCTGTTCGATGCAGTACCTGCGACACTTCCCGAATTGGCAGCGCCAACAAGTACCGACCTTGCTTCCTTCGCGCTTCACACCGCGACATCATCTGTGACCAACAGCACAGTCATAAGAGTCAGAGACGCGTCTATGACACAGGCATCATACGATACAAGTTCAACCTGAGGCCCCTAGACTAGCAACAACGACGTACGAAGAGATGTGCTCTTTTCGGAGCTCGCCGTTTGAGGCGTGAGTGCCTTGACATAATGGTGATGAGTCTTGCCGCCACCAGATGCCCTTCTCAGCAACGCACCACCCACTACGCTGCTTGTCTTGGCAAGTTGGCTTGGATTCGGATGAAGCGGCGGCAGCTAGTCTGACGACCCCTCAACTCCAACGCCAGACGCAACACGTACAGGTCATCGTTTACCATCGGGCCGGACTCGATGTGAGGGGTCGGTCACGTTCTCCGAGCCACGAAGCTGCAAGCCACGGAGGGCTGATGGTGCGACGAGCCGTGCCGAAGAGCTGGATGAAGTGAGGAGATGCTGGAGACATGCGTGAACGGCCATTTATAGCTTCGCGAGCTGCCTCAACCATGGTTAGCCTCGAGCGCCGGTGTTGGTCCGGAGTAACACGAAGCATCCGATCAGCGCCCGGGTCCGTCGGCTCGTCACCATACGGGCAGCTGTTTCTACTTGGCGTCGAGACAGCTGGGGGAGCAGATGAAATCTCACGGGCCTCATCAGGCACTTGGGTATAAAAGTACGGGGAAGTTGCCGCCCAGACCACCCATCGTGACGCCTCGAGGGCAACTTCTTAGGTGATGAAAAGGGGCGGCGCATCCACGCCATTGGCTCAGCACTCGGGGTCGCAGGTACGAGCTGTCGACCTGCCCGGTCCGTCGCTAGTCGAGTCGATGAGTGTTGGCGACAGCAATCTCCACCGAGCTCTCGAGGCAGACGTTCCCGGAGACCTTGGGTCGTGCGTCGTCCCGGTTATAAAACCCAGAGGCAAGTCCGTGGCGGGCGCAATTTAAGGGACACCGAACCCACATGGCTCCGCGCGCCAGGCCACCAGCTCCAGCAGGCCAGAAAACGTCGGAACTCCCGCGCTGACGGCACGCACACGCACACACTGGCCGCCTGTCACCCTCGTCAAGGTGCCAAACCCGCAGGGCTGCAGCTGCGCGACAAAAAGCCCCCATCTGGAACGGGAACCGGACCTGGACCTGCACCCGCGGCACTGGAATGGCACGTCGCCAGGCGCTGCACGTGTCGGCGAAGGCGGCGGCGGCGCGTCCGGCGTCGACAGCCCAGTCGCTGAGGCCTGCGCGATTGCCGCCGGCGGCGCAGATCGTCGCTGAGGCCACAGCATGCACGGGCGGCCGGACGCCGCGGCAGCAGGTCGCCCGGGCGCCGCCGTCGGAGAACAACAACCTCAGCGGGAGCTGGACGAGTCGACGGAGCCGCTCCAGTGACGCGACTGCTGGGGCCGCACAACCAACAGCACCAACGGCACCACTACCATCAGCGCTGGAGGCGCTTAGTCCCGGCACCGGAGCCGGTGCAGCAGCCGCTCCCAGTCCCGCCAGCCGCAGGGCGATCCGCAGGGCCCTCAGCCCCGAAGCGCTGCAAGCCGCTGCCACTGCCGCCGCCGCCGCCGCCGCCCAACCAGTCCAGCTGTCACCATCTTTTTCTCCGACCTGTTTTCGCAAATATCGGACGACGACGGCTTCCCCATCTCTCCTGACGCTGTCACGCCGCTCAGCGCGCCTGGGATCCGCTGCCTCTCTCGCCTTCCAGACCTCTTCTTTCTGCAGCTTCTGCCACGGCCGCAGACTCTTCACCACGACCCCGCCCGCCATGGTTGCCCGCCGGCTCGATGGCACTGCCATCGCCAAGAGCATCCGCGAGCGCATCGGCGCCGAGATTGTTGAGAAGCAGAAGCTCAACCCGCGCTACAAGCCATGCCTCAAGATCATCCAAGGTGCGTTTCATCCCTCGCGAGACCGGCGAGCCGGATCTCGGTGCCTTGCAGGCCAATTGAGCTGACTGAATGCTGCGACAGTGGGCGACCGCTCTGACTCCTGTGCGTCCTGTCATACCCCGCCCCCGCATCGTGACCCTCGATGCCGCGGCTGCGCGCTGGCGTGCTAACTAATCCACAGCCACGTATGTTCGCATGAAGCTCAAGGCCGCTGAAGAGGTACGACTACATGACATCAAACCTTGACATGCTTTCTGGTTCAACGCTTACGCTACTGACAGGCTGGTGTTGCGTGTGAGCTGCTGCACTACCCCGCCGAGATCACTGAGCCCGAGCTGCTGGACCAGCTCCGCCGCCTGAACAACGATCCCACGGTCAACGGCATCCTCGTCCAGCTCCCCCTGCCGAGCCACATCTCCGAGTACAACGTCACCTCGGCCGTCGCCGACGAAAAGGATGTCGATGGCTTCGGCACCAATAACATTGGTGAGCTGGCCAAGCGTGGCGGCAACCCCATCTTCACCCCTTGCACGCCCAAGGGTGTCATGCACCTCCTCCGCGAGGCTGGTATTCCCCTGGCCGGCAAGTCGGCCGTCGTTCTCGGCCGCAGCAACATTGTCGGCAGCCCCGTGAGCTACCTGCTCCGCAACGCCGACTGCACCGTCACCGTCTGCCACTCCAAGACGGCCGCGTTGGAGTCCTACCTCAAGAGCGCCGACATTGTCATTGCTGCCATCGGACAGCCGCAGTTTGTCAAGGGCGAGTGGCTAAAGGAGGGTGCTGTGGTCATCGATGTCGGCACCAACTTTGTCCCGGATGCCAGCAAGAAGACTGGATACCGCCTGGTCGGTGATGTCGACTTCGAGTCTGCCTCCCAGGTCGCCTCGGTCATTACCCCCGTCCCGGGCGGCGTTGGTCCCATGACCGTGGCTATGCTTCTCGAGAACGTTGTTGAGGCCACGACCCTCTTCTTCCAGAACGAGAAACTCCGCAAGACTATTCCTCTTCCCCTGAAGCTCGAGAGACCTGTCCCGTCAGACATTGCAATCTCCCGAGCTCAGACGCCCAAGCAAATCACCCGCATCGCTGCCGAGGTCGGCATTGCGCCCCACGAGCTGGAGCCCTACGGGGCCTACAAGGCCAAGGTCGACCTGAACCTGCTCAAGCGACTGGAGCACCGCAGGGATGGACGCTACGTGGTCGTCACAGGTATTACCCCTACGCCCCTTGGCGAGGGCAAGTCGACCACCACCATGGGACTTGCACAGGCACTGGGTGCCCACGTTGGCCGCCTGACCTTTGCCAACGTGCGCCAGCCCAGTCAGGGCCCGACCTTTGGCATCAAGGGCGGTGCTGCCGGCGGAGGTTACAGTCAGGTCATCCCCATGGATGAGTTCAACCTGCACCTCACGGGTGACATCCATGCCATTACGGCGGCGAACAATCTTCTTGCTGCGGCGATTGAGACGCGCATGTTCCACGAGAACACGCAAAAGGACGGCCCGCTGTACAGGCGATTGGTTCCTGCCAAGAACGGCGTGCGCAGATTCGCCCCGGTCATGTTCCGCCGCCTGAAGAAGCTCGGCATTGACAAGACCATCCCCGACGAGCTCACCGAGGACGAGATCCACCGCTTTGCTCGTCTCGACATTGACCCCGAGACCATCACCTGGCGACGTGTGCTGGATGTCAACGACCGCCACCTCCGGGGCGTCACCGTCGGCACGGCGCCCACGGAGAAGGGCCAGAGCCGCGAGACCGGCTTTGATATTTCCGTTGCTAGCGAGTGCATGGCCATTCTCGCCCTCAGCACCAGCCTTGCGGACATGCGTGAGCGCCTGGGCCGCATGGTTGTCGCCACGTCGCGCAGTGGCGACCCGGTGACGTGCGACGACATCGGTGCAGGCGGCGCCCTGACGGCGCTCATGAAGGATGCCATCAAGCCGAACCTCATGCAGACGCTCGAGGGAACACCGGTGTTTGTCCACGCCGGGCCGTTTGCCAATATCAGCATTGGCCAGAGCTCCATCATCGCCGACAAGCTGGCGCTCAAGCTCGCAGGCACCGAGCCCGACGAGGACCACAACAGCACGGCTGGTTTCGTCGTGACCGAGGCCGGTTTCGACTTTACCATGGGCGGTGAGCGGTTCTTCAACATCAAGTGCCGCACTTCTGGGCTGGTGCCCGACGTGGTGGTCGTCGTTGCGACTGTCCGAGCCTTGAAGGTGCACGGCGGCGGCCCGCCGATTGCGCCCGGCGCCCCGCTCAACCCGGTCTACAAGGAGGAGAATGTGGACATTCTGCGTGCAGGCTGCGTCAACTTGAAGAAGCACATTGCCAACGCCAAGTCGTTCGGTGTTCCCGTCGTCGTCGCCATCAACAAGTTTGCGACCGACACGGATGCCGAAATCGCCGTTGTGCGCGAGGAGGCCTTGGCCGCAGGCGCCGAGGACGCTATCCTGGCAGACCACTGGGCTCAGGGCGGCGTCGGAGCCGTCGACCTGGCGCAGGGCGTCATCGCGGCCTCTGAGAAGCCCAAGGCCCTAAGCCTGACGTACGGACTGGACGGCTCCGTGCAGGAACGCATCGAGGCCATTGGCAAGAAGATGTATGGCGCCGCCGCAGTCGAGTTCAGCGAGCTGGCACAGAAGAAGGTGGACACATACACGAGGCAGGGCTACGGCAACCTGCCCATCTGCATCGCCAAGACGCAGTACTCGCTGTCCCACGACCCGGACCTGAAGGGTGCTCCCACCGGCTTCACGATTCCCATCCGGGACGTGCGCATGGCCGCCGGTGCGGGTTATCTGTGAGTCATGCTTTGTCCTGGACGCACAACGTCGCTAACATGTGCAGGTACGCGCTTGCTGCTGATATCCAGACGATTCCCGGCCTTCCTACGGCGCCGGGCTACCTCAATGTCGACGTCGACACTGAGACGGGCGAGATTGATGGTCTGTTCTAGAGGCCATGTTCCTCTCATGGTCCGCCCTTTGTCTGGGCACGGGCCGTGCGAGCCCGTTAATATGCATAATTTTGCGCGTAGAGCAGCCTTTTGGTTTTTTGCCTTTCAACTCAACGTGGCATGGCCGCCGGAAGACAGGGAAATGTCGGGGTTCATGGAATTCAACACATGGCGTGAAACGGAGGGCGTGGGTTGGTCAGTTGACAGACTTCGTAGCACAGACGTACGAGGCATGAAGTAGACGCAAAGACGTCGTTTTTTGGATCATGGCGACAGGGCCCCCATGTGCCTCACCCCTGGTCATCTTCGACATTGTTACCACAACCGAATGCCATTGTGTTCGACTCCTTGTTGCTGTCGATCAGATGACGTGCCCGTAGATGGCGCCAGATGGACTGCGGATCAAGCTGCCGAGTCTGGACGATGGCTGCCGGGGGTGCGCCCTTGAGTGAGGCGGGCTGGCTCTGTTTCAACATCGGCTGTAAGGCAGCTAATAAGCGCAGCAGATGTCGCTGTCGAAGCGAAGGGTCTGCAGCGCGTGCGGTAGGCGAGCCGCTGCACTCGCGCCGCATGAGGCTCGCCCCTTCGATAGACGGGCGGGAAGAATAACCGGATGACCATCTCGGCAGGGCCTCTGCATGGGGTAAGAAGCGAGCCTCGGTGGCTGGCTGGGCGGGCGGCCGTGCGGGCGGGCTATGTGTGACGGATCTCGACAACGAGCCCCCCCTGCTTTGCTTGCCCGCAGACACACGCGCATGGGCGGGGAGTCACGCAACACAACGTAGCACGACACGGCGACGGCATGGAATAGCAGAGACCGGGCGGCCGACTGCCGCCTTTGCATGTCCTACCAGGCAGGCTGCCAGCCATCCAGACTTTGGTTTGGTCATGGCAGGGATGGGGGAGGGGACCCAAGCGGGCTCGATGCCGGGGTCGCGCGTGCGGAGTTACAGTACAGACAGGGCGAGGTGGGCGAGGCAGGAGAGACGAGGGCGAAGAGGGTGTGGTGAGGGTGCCGGGCCGGACGGAATCAAGGGCCCGAGTAACAGCCCGGGAGCGTCCTGTCCGCAGAAGCTGCAGGACGGTACTGTATACTACGTATATTCAACGATGCGGAAGAACACGCGCAGTGCACCATGGAGCCCACCCTGACAAGAACAATGCGGGCGCTGGAATCGACGAGGCGGCCGTAGCGTCGCGCGTGGCGGACGACGAGCCGAATGGTGGTGGGTGGTGGATGCGTCGTTGTCTGCGGTGAGCCACCGCCATGCGGTGTGAGGCACGGACTACCAAGCACCAACACTCTCGCCTCGTCTTTTGCTGTAGTACTGTACTTATCTTGATAAATTCTTCTTCAGTAATCGGTTGCAATAGACACGCCGTTGGCCCTATTCTGCGCAGTCTCCATGGACATGTATGCACTGTAACGCACCCGGCGGCGGCACACGATGCGCCGCAACAGTGTACGGATGTAAGTGTAGTATGTAAGTCACCAGGGAAACGCTCCAGAGTGGTCCAGCCATGAATTCGCCCTTTTCTCGCCTTCACGGTCAAACACGGCTGTGTACTAGCTCAGGAAAGCGACAGAGGGAGCAGTGATTGCAGTAGAGTCAAGCACCTACCTATAGTTCTGTAACTTGGAGAGCACGCCTCGGCACTTTAATTTTCAAGGAGAGTGGGGATGGGATAAGGAACAATGCAAAAACGAGGCGCGATTATGACGGCTCACGGGAGAAAGAAGGGGGTTGTCCGTCCGTCTTCCATTGGCGGGCGGGCGGGCGACCAGCCCCGGCCGCCCGCCGCCAGAGCCGAGCAGGCCCCCTCCACGGCTCCAACAACGTTCGAGATGACGAGACGGCGGGATGCAACCACGAGGGCTTCTGCACAGACGCCGGCGCCTTGGCAGGGCAGGGCAGGCGACGCCGACGTACGCATTGACGCTGTACGGTACTGAGCTGTATCACTTTTACCGTTCTGGAAATGTAGATCTGGGTTGTGAGCTGGGGCGGCGCCGTGGCTCGGGCGCCGAAGAACAATGGAAGGCGTGTCTTAGACGCACGCTGGAGGGGGACCTCGTGGGCATCATGGCGACGCGGTAGAGTCAGCGATGCGCACGAGATGTTACAGTATCACAGTACAGTACAGTACCGGATCTGTAGTACTGTACGTACAGCAAAGATTCCTCCGAGTATTGTAGGGCGACCAACCACGGCATTGGCATTGACGGCAGGGCAAGAACCTTGGGAACATCGGAAATCCTCGATGCTTCCGAGCCGTGCACCGCTGTGCCGGCTCTCGTTACGAAGCACTATATCCACGACACCGGGCGGCGGCACGGAAATCTCCGTCCGCGACGGCAGGCAGGTAGGTAGGGGGTATTGTACCAGATGCTGCACCTCTGCGGCTCGTCATACCTTATTTACTGTAACAGAGACTGCGCTCGTTGCATGTATGCACGTATGCCTCGCACTTGTACTACACTGCTGTACGTACGTACAGTAGCATTCTCTCGTCCTGAGCAGGGCTGCTTGCTGCATTGTGTGCAGCGGGGAGGCGTCGAGAAATACGCCAAGCAGGGGGAGCTTGGTCCAGCGCCAATGCTCGCAGGGCTGCGTCGCCCGTTGTTGGGTCGGTTCGGTCAATGCTGATGAGGATTCTAGAGCCCCCAGCCCTGCGCCCGCTGTCTGTTCCCTTGTAGCTGCCGCCACACCCAGCCCGTGGCGATTGCCTCGGGGCGCCGTCTAAGTAACACCAGAAGACCGCGAGAAATGACACCTGCCTGTATTGCCCCGCAACTTAAGGCGATCCGCTACAGTACAGGTATCTGGAACTTTGGTAATGATGGGTACATACGACAGGAAGCGGCGCATGTGAGCACTGCCGACGCGGCATCTGACCCGGCGGGCGCTGACGGCCGTGCTCCGCCGTTCCGCGACGACGACCAACAAAGAATCCCGGCACGCGGACAGCCACTCACCCTCATACAGACACAGACGCATTCGACACCACAAACTCCTCGTTTCACCTTCCCAGACGAGGCCGCCGTCGCCGCCCCGCTGCTTTGGAATCCAGAAAACACCTACTGTACCACTGTAGTATACACACGCGCGGGATCGCCGTTTTCTCCGCTCCCATCCCATGCCACCCCCGGCCATCCCCATCCCATCCATCCATCTCTACCTCCCATCGCCGCCCACAAGCCCCCGAACGCCCGCCCCCCTTGTAGTTGCGCGCGTGGCGCGAGGACCACGACCGCCACCAACGGGCGAGGTAGGCAGCGGCACACTACCACCTACGGTGAGAAGGGAAGAAGAGAGGATACGACGCGGCGGCGCCCATCGCCGCCAGGACGTGGATATGGGAGGGAACGGGGCGGCGCTGGGGGGGGATAAGAAGAATAGGCTTCCCGTGCCACAGCTCGCTGCACACACACACACACACACACACACACACACACACACGTATACTAGAATAAAATCATTCATGACGGTGCCACGTACTGTACTAATGGACGGGCCGTCATCACGCACAGGCCCGGGTGTTCGTCTGGCTCGGCGGCGGCGGCGGCGGTCGTATTTGCATGGTCGACACCCCCCCCGTCTCTCTTCCACTCACGCACTCACTCACTCACCGGGCCGTTGAACAAACAACTGGCAGTTGCCGGATCTGCAACTTTTTTTCTCTCCCTTTCCCCGTCCGTGCTCCTCCTCCTCCTCCTCCTTCTCGGATTTGTTCCTTTCTCACCAGTCCCCGTTGCCCTTCTCCTCCTCCTTCTTCTCTTCTTGCCTGTCGTGTGTGTGGACAGACACACAGGCTCCCGTTGGCAGCGGCAGCATAACTCTCACACGGGGCTTTCGTCTGGTCTGCCGCCATATTCGTGACCTCTGTGCCTGTGTGTGAATCGCATTATCACGGCCATCGCGCCATCTATTCAAGTGTCTGATGGGAAGTGGTGGTCTGAGGGCCAGCAAACCTCAACAGCACCGGCAAAGTTCCCTCTAAGCGAGGGTCGAGTTCCTGAATCTTCACGCCGGTGAATTACTGGGGACTGTTCGAATCCGGTGACCGACCTGGCCAGGGGTCATCGATAACGTTCGCGATGGGGACGCTTTCGCTTCTCTTTGGGGCCAGCCTCGTCTACTGGGCCTACTTTTACGTGTCACGCCTACGGCACAGCATCTCGGAGGCCAAGCGAAGTGGCTTCAACTACGTCGTCGTTCGTAAGTTCACTCCCGCCGTTGAGTCTACTTGTTGAGCCCGTCAAGTCTTTGCTAACAGCTGTCCAAAAGCTTGCAACCCGCTCGCGCAGCACTGGCGCGTGCTGTTCCCCCTATGGTCTCGCCTCGTCAGGCTTCTCCCCGAGAGCTGGTGGGAGGAATGGCTCGAGTACGAAATCTCCCCTCCCGCAGGACGCTCCAACATCCTCGAGACTCATATGTGGACAAAGCTGACGAGATGGCCCTTGTAGAATCATGACTCCCGACAACATCTACTGGTCAGGCTGGAAGCTGTTTGAGCGCCACGGCGAGGCCTTCCTCGTCGTGTCCCCCCGCTCGCGCCTCCTGTACGTGGCCAACGCCGAGATGATCACGCACATTGTCACGAAAAAGGAGCAGTTCCCCAAGTGGGCGGCGCGCTACAGCATCCTGCGCCAGTTTGGCGAAAACGTCATCACCACCGAGGGCCAGGCGTGGCGGCTGCACCGCAAGGTCACGTCCGCGTCGTTTAGCGAGCGCAACGCCGCCCTCGTCTTCCGCGAGGCCATTGTCCAGACGCAGGGCATGCTCCGCGGCTGGATCGGCCCGTCCGAGACCAGCAGCGAGGTCCTGCGCACCGTCGAGCGCGATGCCTTGCGCATGGCGCTTCACATCATTGGTTACGTGGGCTTCGGGCTGCGGCTGCTCTGGCCTGGGCAGACGGTGCCGGCGAACATGGACCCCAAGCAGGTCAAGTACGCGTCGCTGCAAGCGCCTGAAGGGCACAACATGAGCTTCGTCGACACCATGTTGAGCGTCATGCACAACATGCTGTTGCTGCTGCTGACGCCAAAGTGGATTCTCAAGGCCTGGCCTTCCGAACGGACCAAGGAGGCTGCCATCGCATACGACGACTACACCAAGTACATGGAAGAGCTGATGGACGACAAGATAGACGAAGCGCGGCGCGGCACCCAGCCTGAGGGCATGGACCTCATGGGCTCTCTTGTGCGGTGCGCTTATGAAGCCGACGCCGCCAAGAGGAGCAACGACAGCGGCAACAAGGCGACGAACCTCCCGGTTCTGAGCCGGCAAGAGATTATTGGCAACGCCTTCATCATGTTCGCGGCGGGGCATGAGACGTCTGGCGGAAGCATGCACTTCCTGATGGTGCAGCTGGCGACGAACCCGTCGGTGCAGCGCAAGCTTCAGAGGGACATTGACGAGCTGTTCGGCGACTCGGACCCCAGCACCTGGGACTTTGACTCCAAGATAAACGGCATGACGGCGAGCATGATCGGGGCGTGCATGTACGAGACGCTGCGCATCCTGCCCCCGGCCGTCGAGCTCCCCAAGGAGGTGTCCCGGCTGGCGGACCAGCCCATCACCATGGACGGGCGCGAGTACGTGCTCCCCAAGGGCACGGGCATCGCCATCGTCAGCTCGGGCGTGCACCTGAACCCGCGGTACTGGCCGCACGGGGAGAGCAAGATCCGGCGCGACTGCAACGACCTGCGCGACTTCCAGCCGGAGCGGTGGTTCCAGAAGTCGGGGCTCGGGGCGAGCGGCGTCGAGGACATGGCGGGCGCCGACGCGGAGCAGTACGGCGGCTACGCGGGACCCGACACCAACGCGCAGCTGTTCCGGCCGGTCCGGGGCGCGTACGTGCCCTTCAGCGACGGGTCGCGGTCGTGCCTGGGGCGGCGGACGGCCCAGGCCGAGATCACGGCCATGCTGGCGGTCATCTTCCGCGAGTACAGCATGGAGCTGGCCGTCGACGAGTGGGCCAGCGAGGACGAGGTGCGGGCCATGAGCCGCGACGAGCTGGCGAGCCTGTACCGGCGGGCGCAGGACAAGAGCCGCTGGACCGTGATGCAGGCGTACAGCGTGATTACGCTCACCTTGCACGGCGAGCACCACGTGCCGCTGAGGCTGGTGAGGAGGGGCAACGAGCGCTTCGTCGACTGGGTGGACGAGTGAGGGAAGCCATTGGGGGGAGACAGACACTGGGCCGCAGAGAGAGAGAGAGAGTCCGTGCCGGACGACGCAAGGGGATGATGGAACTGTATTACGAAAGAGCTGTACGTGCACACGCATATGACCTGCATACTTGAAAGTTGGCGGCCCGTCGTTCTCGCAAGCTGTTGTTTATCCGGGCTGGTTTACACAATTTGCCCGCTGGCATGTGTCTGTCACCTCCCTCACTTTGCCTACTTTGTCTGATCACCCTCGGGACGGGGAGCCAGCACCAAGGGGGCCACGCCATGCTGCTTGAGCACAGCTGCTCTCAGCTCAGCCCAACAACGCGCGCGGGCAGTCAGCACGCGTTGCAAGCAAGCAAGCAAGCAAGCAAAGCAAGCGCCGTGTCCAGGACTGTATGGGCGTGTGTGGGCGTGTTGATTTCCCGTCGTCATCGTCGGCCGTTCGCGTCGACTCGACGGAGCCAATCTGGTCAGCGCGTTGGGGATGGGCAACGATGGGCATCCCGCCTCGCCCGCATCGCATCAAGTTAGCCTGGCTCAAAGGAGATGAGACCTGGTGAAGAGGGAGGGGTTCCACCACCTCAGCGGCGAGGGCGACAGAAAATCGAATCGTGTTGCCGTGGTGCCACCGCAACGTGCCGGCGCTGAATTTTGGCTGCCAGTCATCCAGTCGTCCAAGGCTCCTTCCTCGTCCGCCCCACCGCTGGGGGGGACGCTTCGGGTGGTGCCAGAAGAAGGAGCCTTGGGAGCTTCCTTCCCCAGCCACTCGCTTTTTCCGGTCGCCAGCTGCCCAGAAAAAATGGGCACGGGGCAGGAGCCACCACTGCCACCGCCCGATGATGATGGCAAGAACCGAAGCCAGCAGCCACAGTGAAGCAGCAGGGAGCACCGGGCACTGCTGCACCTGCTCCAGCAGCCACAGCAGCAGGCAAGGCTGGCCACCCCCGGGACCCGACCCCACCTACCAGGCGGGCTGCCCACAGCGGCAGCGGCAGCACCAGCAAGCACCCTCCCGCGCTCATCGTCGGCGGCGGCGAGCCACTGGGTAGGTAGGTCTGGGCTGCCTTCGCCCGCACCCGCGCCCGCTGCCGTCGTCGCCTTTCTCCCCCCGCCAGCCACCCAGATCAAAACATAAACAAGACACTTCCCGCATCCCACCACCACCACCACCACCACCACCACCCCCCGTCCACCCATCAAAGCCAACCTTGCTGTTTGCGTGCTCTCAATATCATCACCGTTGGCATCTCGCGATCTTCCTCCACAAAAGGGAACAACATCGAGACCAGCCCCTCTCCAAGGCGCGCACAAGACCTTTTTTCGCCGTCTGCACCACCTCAGAGGCCTGCAGTCGAAGCTCCATTATTGTCATCCGCCTGCTTGAAGCGCATTCTCACTTACCGCCATGTCCGCCACGTCGACAAACAGCTGGCTCAAGGCCCAGCGCAAGAGCGACCTCGTTGAGCTCGCCGATAATGTCGGCTTGAAGAAGTATGTGACATTTCCATTTTTCTGTATTTCTATTTCGTCTTTCCGTCGTTGCGATCGAGTTGCGCCGCGCCGTCGCCGTCGTCGAGTCCACCCGGGGGCGCATCGGGGCGTCGATGCGCGTCACCGTCGCGTAATGCGACTCTCGTTCCTCGACACGCCAACAACGCCTACCCGTGCGCCAACGCCGGCTGCGCGACTGCGCGCCGCAAGACAAGCGATGCAGCTCAAGCGCAGGAAGGCCTTCTTCATTTTTACCACGATGCATCGGCAAGCGCACGTCGCGCCTCTTGGAGGCGCGCGCAACAACGTCAACACCAAAGCTCCACACTTGGTGTCGCGTCGATCCTCGCCGTCGCGCGCGCAACCGGATCCTTGCGCCCCAACAACCAATCACTGACTTGTCTCGTCTAGCTACGAGAGCCTCAAGAAGAGCGATCTCGAGTCCGCACTCGACGAGTTCATCGCCGAGCACACGACGCGCTTCTCCAACCGTCCCGATCTGCAGGGCTACTTCAACTCGCGCTCCAAGGCGCTTGGCTCCCCCGTTAAGAAGGAACGCGAGTCTCTGAAGGATGAGGCCGAGAAGGCGCTCAAGGTTGCCAAGCGACGAGTTACCAAGGTCGCCGAAGAGCTGACGTCCGAGTAAGCATCGCGTGTTTCCGGCCGCCCCTTGCCTCCACTAACAAGCAACTCTTGCCGCAGCGACGATCGCCGCTCCGCTTCTTCCTCTGCGGTCGCGCGCACGCCCGCGCGCAGCCTGTCCCAGGTCGCCGCGCGTATTCCCCTGCCCGCGACCCCTGCAGACGTCGCCAACGCCGTCGACAGGTCCACTGTCGCCATGCGGAAGCGCGTCTCCTCCATTTACCAGGAGAGCGGCATCACTGAGGCGTCGCAAGCTACGCGCGAGACCCTTAGCACCGTCACCAGCGTTCTGTTCTGCGTCTCGGCCTTTGAGCTGTACTTCATCCGTCCCGAGATCCTCGCCAACCGTTATGCCTTTACCGTGCCCGCCGTCGGCCTGCTGGGCACCCCGGATTACCCAGTCTACCTGCCCGACATGTTCCTGCTCCTGACGGCGAGCTTCTGGTCTCCGGCCTTGACCTGGGCCTTCACCAGCGTCGTTCTGCCCAGCCTCTTTGGCTACTTCTTCAACCTGAGCGCCTCCAGCACCCCCGGCCCGCGAACCCGCTCCAAGGCGCATCAGCCCGAGAACGTCGTCGACCCCCTGACTTTCAGCATCGTCAAGGCACTTGTGTCGTACGTCGTGTACGCCCAGGGCGTCACTTTTGGTGGCCTTCTTAACGAGACGTCGATTGAGCGCCTCAACACGGCTGTCTACGGCGGGTACAAGGGTGTCCTTGTCGGCACTGCCGTCACCGGCATCGTCAGCATCTACGACGCGGTGCTGAGAAAGTAAAGCGACAAATGCTTCGCGGCGAAACCTCGTGTGTGTCTGTCGCTGCCGCCGGGCCAGCTCATCAGGGACCACAAGGCTGTGCTGCGAGGCTGTCTCTACATCCGCATAGCTTCGTCTGACGGCAGACGCCAAAGTTCCGCGCTCTTCCAAGGCTATGTTGGGCATGACAAGTGGCGCTCATGCACGGAGCTGACATGTTTTTCTCTTCTTGGGGACACGCGCCTTGTTCTCGCGTGGCCCAGGTGGCGTTCATGGCGTTGACGGCGTCGCGGCGTGGCTTCGATACCAATCTGTGTCTTCGCTTGGATGGCCTTGATGCCTTGGCCGGTCTGCCTTGCCTCTCTCGACGCCGCGATCCGGTCTCGTCAGGCACGGCTTTTCCTTGCCTCAGAGTCGGGCCCCGGCCTGTCGAGACGTCAATGGACTAATTGACCGCGTTGGGTACTGTACATGACATTTTTGCACGCTCCATGCCCTTTTTGCCATCCACTTCCTGTTTCGAGTTGCACTTCCATGTTTGTACTTGGCTTGTGACCGCAAGTGTAGTGTTCTTTTTTTGGTTTATTTGCTTTGCGCGGCCGAAGGCGGGTCATGGCTTATCTGGGGCTGTCGTTATTGGGTCGTTTGGGGTTCACGGTGGCTGCTGCGTGTTTAAAAGACCCTCGGGGTAAGGGGCGGGCAATATTTCGTAGAGAGGGCGAGGTCGGTTAGCAAGGGGGAGAACCGGGCAAGGCCATGAGTGAACGATGGGAATATATGCACTTTACTGTTTGAAGCCTCCGTCGCGTGTCTCTTGTGGTATTGTTGTCAGACATGGCCTAACTCGGTTACCCTGGAAATCGAGGCGGTGCTGCTTGAAGTCCATGCGCTTGTCTCTCGACGGCTGCTCAGTCTGGAACACACGCATGGCCCAGCTCAAGTTGATTCTGTCCGACCCATCTCCTGTGATGCCATTTCTCACCGAGTGCCGCTGCTACAGAAGCTATACAAAGCGGAAACTACTAGAACAAAGGCATGAATTACGTGTAAGCAAGACTGCAAGCAACTTTGCGATGAGCAAGAACGCAGTAATGCGAGCGCAGCTGCCAGGTTTGCGTCTTTCTTAAGAGTTGGTTCTCGGCAGTGCAGACTTATTCGCCGCCTACATACTCACGTCAGCCAGTGGATAAACCAACCACCTTCGGCCGTTGGCACCCGAATTGCCGACTGTTGGCCCTCTCCTGCATTGGTGAGCAAAGGGCTTCAAAGAAGCCATGAATAGTCGTGATTGAGGGAGAATTAGCTATAAGCACGATCTGTAGAGACGGTGCCCCAAGGGCCACTACACGGAGGCTGACCACTACACATAGCGCTTGACGAAGCTTTTCGCGAAGATCATGATGCCCCGAGGGTGCTCGCTGGCGCAGTATCTTAAAAGGTGATCGCCTTCAGAAGCAATGACCTCGAGGGAAAGTCTCCACCGCAAGAAACGGCACCCTGCAAAACGATAGGCCCTATGTATTATAAACTAAGGACGGCCGCAAGGCAGGCCGCCTAACTAATAGACTAAAGGGAAGCTAACGGGCCCCCTATCGTATATACGATAGGTAGAATCCTAAGAAAGGTTAAGAGGGGTTACGTAAGTAAGTACGTATACCTAAGGATTACGAAGAGTACGGTAATCTAGGTAAGCTAGGCTTATAAGGATTCCGGTAATCTAAGTAATTAGGTAAGATTAATAAAGAGCTAGATAGATATATATATTATAGTCATTACCTAGAATAAATAGCTAGATCTTTAATAATTAATCCAAGTATTTATCTAAATGAGAAGTCTTTAAAGCTTCTTAACGGACTCTTATTGAATCGTTACTGCTCGTCAAACCTAGCTTACCTCCTAAGCAACAGCGAACCTTAGGATCCTACCTAGGCTCCGTTACACTATGAAGAAACGGCCTCCTGCAAGACGGGGGACTCGAGGCAGGGGGACTCGAGGCAGGACCCCGCAGAGAGTCCCGAGAGCCAAGCAGCCTTCGTTGTAGCGGCCGGCAACGCGGGTTTCATGGCGATTCAGCGCCTGAAAGGCCATCGGGCCTCTCTCGCGTCAAGTCTTTTTCCTTTGGTCGCCTGGCCATGGCCCTCGTAGAGGCTTCATTATGTACCATATAGAGCCCGTCAGACGTAAACGATGGATCGTCGTGTGACGAGGCATACTCATCTAGCCAAGCCTGGCTCCGGTCGACGTAGCTAAGGAGAGCCTTGGCGTTTGGTGGGTTGTGGTAGCGGATCAAATCTGCAAAGGTGATGTAACCAGGCCTCAGCAAATGTGGTCCGAATTCGCGGAGGGGGTCGTAACGGTTGAAAGCCTGCAGATCCAGAATATCGACAGCCATGCGAGTTGTGCTGCTCTGGATTACGGGTAGTCGAAACAAGATATAGTCGCCTGGAAATTCCCAACACGCGTCGGAGTCTATCATGGTGTCCCATTCATCGCCTTCGCCATCATCAGACGGTGCGCAGTTCAGGGGTAGCGCAGCCCGCTTTGCTTTCCGCTCTGCTTGCGTCGCTTTCCACTCCTCTTTGCTGATCCTACCGTGTTGTATGTCCAGGGGAGGCGAGGCGCCATGTTCAAGCCAGACCTCAAGCGCCTCCCAGAAAGGCGTTCGGGGTGGTGCGCCGCCTTCCCAGACGAGGAAGCTCACAAGCCTCAACAACATAAGAGGCCAAAACCAAACCACTTTGTGATGCTCTGGGCGATGAACGTCCACACGTTCGTCTACCAGTGTGGAGGTGAGTTTCCGGTGCCAATTGGTATCCCAACACGCCGTCATCAAGATCAAGCCTTCCGCAGTCTCCCTGTATCTCTCCGGAAATCGAAGGCCGTGTGGGCGGCTGACGGCCAAGAGTACGCGGAGCAAAAAGCCGTGGGCATTAGACCAATTTCTCCAGAAGAATGTGCTCCATAGCCCGAACAGTCCGACGATGAGCTCTCTTGGGTTCCTCTTGAATAGAGGATCTCGACTCAGCTTCCACTGCGCGTATTCAAATAAGCCAGCCTGAGATGCCTGGTGGGAAAGTCTGATTGTTAGTCAATCTTGTTCGCCTGTCTGACGAGCAAATCCCGGCTCGAGATCTAAACCTGGGGCCTTACGAGCAGCATCATGTTCGCTACGTCTAAGTACACAGCGCCCCGTTCTGCATTCCTCGAGCGTTGAGCCTCTGCAATGTGATCATTTGCAAGGGCATCCGTGATTCCTTCGGGAGAGAAACGCAGCAGGTTCTGGTTGCCCCGTTCCATCGTTGATGGATTCGCCTTGGGCATTCCTGAATTATCAGGATGGGAAGCGATCCTATGACGACCACTGAGAAGTCGCCGACGTGCCTCTAATCTCGCCACATGGAGACGATCCAGCAATTGAGGGATTCGACTGTGTTGGGGGATTTGCCGTAGCCGGAGCAAAGCAACGATGTGCTTAGTGGACGTGGGTATTCCGAAATTTTCGGTGTTGAGGCACAATTCGTCTGTGGATAGTGTCTGAGCAATTGTCACAGGATGGCTCGAGCAACGTCCTCGTCATCGAAACCAAATTTGTGGGCATGGGCGGGCATTGCGGCGGCGAGAAAATCTGGGATCGACCTGTGGGCAAATTCAGTATTGAGACAGCGTAAAGGGCCGGCCTCCAGCCAACGCGGGTCAGGCACGTCCAGCAACCCCCTACACCAGCTTCTGATTTTTCCTGCAGCCCTTCGTGTTTCATCCATGTACTCCCGTGTCGTCACCCACATTGGCCATGACCACGTATCGAACGAGTGATTCCTCTTCTCGAACTCGCCCAGCACCTTTCCGACTACGTAGACGGGGAGACTGGGTTGCCACGGGTGCGTGAACTGTGGGGCGGGATGTCGAAACCTTTCCTCATGGATACCCTGCTCCGTCTTGTCGAATGAGTCCTTGTCGCTGAGATGATGACCCATCACGCGGAGAGCCATCGACAGGACGAAATAGGCGCCGTGCTGGTGATGGTTATGAATCGACTCCAGAATTTGACCGAGAAAGTCTTCGAGCTCCTTCGGGACCGACCGCACAATGTTCTGTAACGCAGAGATGGAACTGATGCCCGAATAGAGCTCATCCTCGAGAAGATTGAGCAGGAGGACCACCCAGAGGAAGACACCCTGAGCATCATCGACGATGGAAATCAGCAGGTCCTCGGAGGCGACTTGATCGTCCTTATGCAGCGCCAGGAAAGGTTCACAGCCCTCGAGGGTGCTCCTGGCCAGGGACGAGATATCTTTCCTCGTCAGATCTTGCAGGTGAATCCGCTGGGGCGCTGGGAATGCGCTCATGATCGGATGCTCCTCTCTACTTGACACACAGACTTTGATAAAGCTTCCGCTTTCGGGGCTATCCGTCCAGGTCCTCACTTGCTTGGCAAGGCTCGAGTAACTCATATCCTTCCCATCGAACTCGTCCAGGCCATCGATGAATAGACAGACGCGAAACTGTTGGCGGATGCCCTCATCGGTGCGCAGCTTATCGAACGCGGCGGCGATATCCGAACTGTTGAGGGTCAACTCGCGCGCTTCTGGGAGCCGCCAGCTTTTCACATCTCCCCAGAGCTGGGGAAACAGCGCCTTTGTGAGGCAGGGGCTGTCCCTCGATATGCCGTAAAGTAGGCCGCGGAGCAGCCCGCGGACGGACTTTTGGTCGTCCGAGCCGTACTTCCAGAAGAAGAACTTGGCCAGAACGAGCTTCTTGCCCGCAGAAGCGGCCCATTTCTCGAGGTGGGAACGCACGACGGGCTCATTTGCGAGAAACTTCATGAGCGTGGACTTTCCTGAGCCCGGCTTCCCGGCGACATGGTACACGCCGCATCCTTCCGTCAGCCACTTGACAAAGCCGACATCAGGCATGCGATCCTCGATGGGCGTTGTCCAGATTCCGCCACCGTCAGAATCGCTGTCCCAAGACCACTCTCTGCCATCGTCAGAATCGCTGTCCCGAGACGACTCCCTGCCATCGTCAGAACCGCTGTCCCGACATGACTCTCCATCATCGTGTAGGTTCAAAATCCAACCAAAGGTTCGCGGGTGATGGTGCTTGATGACGTCCTCGCGAGCGTCCAGGACCGAGGGTCGGAGAGCTTTCAGGATCGCTGCGTGGCGGATGGACGTTTGCCCTTCGTCAAATGCCGCGGCCAGCCGCTGTACATTGGCTAGTAGGTCCTTTTGCGTTATAAGATCGTTGCTGATGGACGACAACCTTTCGACCAGCTCAGACTGCTGCACGCCGCATTTGTAAACTTGGTCCTTGAGCGTTTCCAGATCGGCCCTGCGCGACGTTAGTTCGACGAGTGTCTAAGACGCTTCCGCTTTGGGGCGACGTACTGACTGGCTACTGCTATCGAAAGCTCCAGTCTTTTGGCTGTTGATTCCATCTCTGAGAGCAGCCTGTCAAGCTCCGACTTCCTCCTTCGAGTACGAACAGTGGCTTTGAAGACGGCGACCAACTTCGGCCCACGGTCGTCGACTCGGCACTCCACCAGAATGGCGTCAATCTTGTCGGTAACATCTTTGCACTCCTTTGCGATGTCGACAAAGAGCGGCTGTTGCTGAGAGCCCGAAGGAAGCGTGCGGCGGGCGGTGTCCAGTTCGCCCGCAATCTTCCTCAGCTGTGCTGCGCTGCGCTCGACGCGCTCGTGATTGCCAGTGAGCCCGCTCGTCGCATCGTACAGCTGCTTCAGCTCTTTCCCCGTCTTGACGGCCGCTTCCACGGTAGTGATGATGTTGCAGAAGACGGAAAACGCCGTCAAAGGATCCATTTTGACACTTTTTCACCTTGACAAGCCGCGCGATCATGCCGATGGCAGGTGGAGGTTTAGAAAAGGCATCACCTGGTAACCGCGGTGGCCAGGCAGAAAGATGAGGCTGTGCTTCTGCATCGCTGCACATTGCAGATGGCACCCATGCTGCCTTCCTGCATGCAGGGTTGGGCGAATCATCCCGCCTCCGACTCAGCCACGGCGCCAATTCTCGCTGGACCTCGTTTGGCGAAAATGCCTGTTTCCATGAAACAAGGCCCAGCATAGAGGCTGAGAAGAGGGTCAAAGACGAGGTGGATTATAGGACGCGACAAGACAAAACCCTTGCTGAGATGCACGGCGACTCAAGGTGACGGCTCCGGGGTGAGAACGAGTCGTGCTAGGCGTCGACGAAAGACCCTCAGCCATACGACCGTAGGCTGTCAAGTAGCCCAACCAGAAGCCAGATGAACGCTTGCCCATGCTGCCGCGATTACTCCAGAAAGCGAATACAGGCAAATTGCTGCCGGTGAGGTGTATGACACTCGGGCGGCTTTGTTGTCTTGATGGTGGAGAGGCCCTCTGCCGAGCATAGACGGTACAGTTCGCAGATCTGGAGGTCGCCGTCTCCTCTTCTACCAGACAACTTAATGCGACGCAAAGGAGCATCTTAGTCACTAATGGGAACAATAAAGGAATGTAAATATTAACGTCAGGCGAACTTCTTGTTTCACCTGGATGCCACTCTCGAAGTCGCTTACTTAGGGTCAACATACGGTATCTATTCATGCTTCCAACAGCAAAACGCCAGATGCCTTGACAAGTCGCCCAAGCTTCGAGCAGCCGGCCTCGCCGCTTCCCACGCGGTTGCCAACATGACCATGCAACATTTCAATGGCAAAAGAAAGCAAGCAAATGCCCGCCACAAATGTCTAAAGCCCTTCCTCAGTCCGTCGGCAACTCGTGCTTGATGGGGTGAAGAAGCATGCTGCGCAAGCAGAGCCGTCCACTACTGCTCTCAAGGCTTTCCTCCTCATTGCCTCCTCGAGTTGTGCCCTCCCCTCCCCTGCCGCCATACTGGCCGCGGCCATCCGGTTGAGCGTAGCCCAGCCATCGTCTCCACAAGAGGCCAGGGAACTCGCTGTGATAGTACCAGCTTGCGCCCTTGTGAATATGCTCGTTCCCCAGATCGAAGGGGGAATGCCTCCCGGACGTCGAATTGTTCTCGCCACCATTGAAAGCTGCCGCGATGGACGATCCAAGAGGTTGCCATGCACGGTCCAGATAAACCGGGTGCGGGGCGTACACGGCCTTGAGGCCGTGATGCAGCGCTACAGTAGCAGGAAACATCTCGGAAAACATGGTGTGGCGGTAACGCCAAACTTCCTCATGCATCGACAGCAGCAGCCTCCGGCTGAGGCGGGCGGCCGTCACGATGCTGCACCTCCGCGGTACAGGTGACGAGTCAGGTTGGCCATAGCCCGTCACATCGTTTGCAAATACCCACCCAGACCCGTCGATATCGAATATTGGGTTCAACGTAACGAGATCTGCGCCCTCGCCCACGCCGCACTGCTCCCCGTCATAGCCACCGGAACATGAGTCGGGAAGCATCGGGGCACCCCATTGTTCCTGTCTGAGGGGCTGACGTCCATCGAACATGACTGGGCCAAGGATTGGCTCCCTTCCGGAACTCTGGGAGTCTAGGCGCACCTGTTGTGTGAAGCTATCCCACGACCCGTGGAACTCGGGAATGTAGTAGCGCTCATTGCGCTCCCACAAAAGCTCTCGCGGCTGGTCATCAGCCCAACGGCCGATCCTGTCCAGAATCTCGTAGTAGTTTCCCATCACACGCATGTCCATCTCCCAGTTCCAAAAGTATTCGTATTCGGGGTTCTTCATTGCAAAGACTTGCAGGGGCAGGTGCGCACTCCGATACACTCCATGTACCCCAGTATTGCTCGGATTGTCAATGGCGTCGTCGAAGTTTCCTGGGTAGAAGAGCTTCATCTGCATTTCGCTCCAAAATGTCACCATGCTGTGAAACTCTGCAGGTATCTCGCTGTCCAGGAGTCGCTGTGCGGTGACATCATCGGCCCAGACAGGCAGGTTTTCGTCGCGAACGTGGAGCAAGAGGTGAACTGTATACTCTCCTCCTGACTTGAGAGAAAGCTCAGTCACCATGGCACGGAAATTGAGTATTACCGCCTCAGTCCACTTGAAGCCCTGGTAGCAGCGGACAACCACGGCAATGCGACCCTTCTTGCCGGCGCGGTCTTCCTGTGACCAAGGGAGTTCCTCTGTCTGCTCGTCAACCTCAAGCAGTCTGTGGCGGTTTGCCTCGGAACATGTCTTTTGCGCCTTGCCCCAGTCGACTTGGTTGTAGTTGATCTGCCCGGTTTCCGCCCAAATCGCGTCGCTTCCGCTACTCTCCGTCTCGGTGCCCACACCAGTTCCTCCCTGTAACTTGTCGTAGCCGAGGCCGTATGGACCGTAACGACCAAAACGGTCAAAGCAAACATCATCCCTGATTCCGAAAAGATCATACGATCCGAGGGCAGGGTCTGGCATGTGCTGCGGCAAGCCGTCGTAGGCATATATATCAGGTGGAGAAATGCGGTTCTCCTCATCGAGATAGCAAGTTTTGGCGCGGTTTATGTCGTGATATGGATCGTACGGCCGCGGCATGCGTTCGTGGGCACTGATGGGCGGGTTCGGAAATGGCGCGTAAGCCGTCTTATTTGGATATTCGGGAATGTGGTTCGGCTTGCGAACCAGTGCTTTGAGCCCGTGATAATATCCATCGAGGCTGTGAACCGAGAGTTAGCAGCTTGAAGACCTGAGCTGAAGCGGGTGACAGACTGCTTGAAAAGGAGCCATGGCATATTTTTTACAGCCTGTTCGAATTCCCTTTGGTCCTTCTCGTCGTCGGTCAATTCCTCCTCGTCCCCGTTTTGGTGATCGGGTCTAACCCCGTCGTTTCCATCATCCTGGCCGTCGCCATGAGCCTCATCGCCCTCGGACGTCACCACTACAGTAGTTCCGCCGGCCTCGGGCCGGCCTGGAGAGAACTTGGATTTGCCGTATTCCACAACGTCCGGGACGGGCACATCGGAGGCATGGAGGAGAGCAATGGAGACGAGAGCCAAGCTCAAAATTGTCCAGATGACGACTCGCCGGTAGAGGCAATAACCTAAGAAGGAACTGATTGGCGGGCGACGTAAGGCGGGCTTCTCTGAGGAGGGCAACAGAGGTTCATCCCTGAGATGCTCCGAGGTGCGAGAGCTCGAACGACCTACCAGCGAAATCGCTCGCTCCATCCCTGCAACAGTGCGTTGAAGGGCTGTCCGGAGTCATGCGACAGTGGCAGCCGTCATCGAAATCTGTTCTCAATGGCTAGGGAGTGGTGACTGGTAGATGTACGACTTGAAGTCAGTGGCGTGGTCGATAATAAGCGAGGCATGGCAAGCGGACCAAACAAGGTGAAACAAACATGTGTTACGGTTCGGCGAGTAACAAAGACGCAAACGTGGACGTCGAAGGCAACTTACCCGGGCAGAGACGGGACCAATCTTAGCGCGCCGAAAGGAACGGGACTGCCGTCACTCTCGAAGCGCGGTGAAGCGCGGTGACCTGTTCAAGCGCGAAGTAGAGACTGGGTAGAAGAAGGAGGGAGATGGTCGCCCAGGGACCTGAGGCACGCAAAGAGGTAATCGGGAGAGCGGGAGGGTGCGGAAGCAGTCGAGGCGAGGTCTCACGCCGGCGTGTGAACTTGAAGCCGTGGTGTCGAATGTCTTGCTGCGACGTTCACGTGCCTGCGGTGTTGATGGCGACCAAGGCGAGCAAGGCACTAAAACCCTCGGACTCGGAAAGAGATGTTGCCGGCAAGGTGTGCTGACCCAAGGGCGATTTTAGGATTACAAAAGGATGCGACTCGAGTTGTTTAAGGTATTGAACGGGTGGGAGCAAGGACAAAGTGAGAAGCGATCGGGCCCCTGACTGACGATGAAAGCGAGAAATGAGCCCTGCCGGTTGCTCTGGCGTGGCTGAGCTTTCCTGCTACCTAATGCAACGAGCTGGGGTCCGAAGTACTAAAATGTAGGCAAGGGAAAGGTAACTTTGAAGTTTTGATAGATAAGGCAATATACTTGGTATAAGTACAGGTACAGATAGGTACTCTTGGTAGCACCTGCCTGACTTTGCGGAGCGAGCTGACGTGGAGGAGGGCGGTGAATGGTGGGAAGAGGAAAGAGGGAATGGAGGAAGGAGCGAGGGTTCGTCTTGGGTCGCACGAGGAGTCAATCGAGGTGACGCGAGGCGAGGTGAAAAGCAAGCTGAAGAGGAACAACGGACGACGCTGGCTTGGTTTGTACAACATCGACGGCCCGTCGTTCTTACTGAACAAGCACGCTCGAACACGCGCCCGGCGGCAGAGCGGCGATCGTCTCGAACGGATATTCCAGCGGCAGTGCAGGACGCGCACCACGAAATGAAACGGTGACCGCAAGACGTGTGGACTCCGCGGAAGATGGCGTGTCGTCGCTACGTTTATTCGGTCTCTCTGCCCTCGCAGGCAAGGGCGAATGATTCGCTTGACGAAAATGGCATCGATCCCCAGCCATTGAACTATCCCCTGCCCAGTTCAGCTCCGGACTGTGCTGTCGCTGCCGTGTTTCCTCCGTTGCATCTTCCTCAGCAAACATGCAGAGGGCCGCCGTTCCGACGCCGACACCCATGGATCCATGATCCATCCACCAGCCGTCAACAAGGATCGAGCCCCCTGGTCTAGCGCACCAACAAAGTCAACAGCCGCCCGCCGCCATGCCCGCTCCCGCTGCCGTGTCCACACCCCAGACCAGGCACAGCCAGTCGGTAATTTAGACCCGGAGAGCCGGAAGCCGCGTGGCAGTCAGTTCACCTGCGCCGGGCCATGACAACCAGCCAAGAGACATGCCTCTCCACTGCCGCCAGTACGATACGAGGATGACGCCGTCGCATTCCAGCCATCTCCGACCAGATAAACGGGACAGGCTCACGGCAGTGTTTTATTACGTGGCCGACAGCTGCGGTTTGCCATGTCCCTACACAAAGTGAGTGGCAGCTCATTGTTTTGCCCGCAAGCACCAGACACGAGACGATTGGGCCCACGATCTTGTCGCGGCGAGGCCGCCGACTCGCAGCCGCGTCCGCTCAAGGGCGCCACAGCGGAAACCAATATGCATAAGAGTACGCGCCGCAGATCACATCGGGAACTCTGCAACGATCAAACGAATCGTCTAGCCCCCGACGGCTCCCCACGAATGGATGAGTGCACATATTCGACTGTTTCAGCAATACAAACGGAAAAACACTCCGCAGGCGAAACAAGATCCGGCGGCCCACGCTGCAACTTACTCTGCAGTGTGCACGTCTCAGAACCACTGCGATACGACAACTGTTTCGGCAGAAGCGTTTCTTGCGTTCCTTGCGCCTCTAGCTCGCACTGTCGACAGACTGGCCAACAAACTCGACAGCGACTTGTCTGTGCTTGGATCGATGTTGCTTATCCATTCTCGGTCGATGGACCATCTTCGGGTTTTGTGATCAATGGACACGGGGTCGCTTGGCCTCTCAGCCAGCCAATCACTCGGGAGTTCTCACATTTACGGCCGCATAGTTACAAAGGCTCACAGGTTGATTCATAAGATGCGGCGATCGATTCCAACGTCCTCTCTATTGGCATGCAACTTGGCCACGCTCCTGACTGAGACACGGCTGCTCCACGACCGAGGCTTCAATCCAGATGTTACTTTCCGTGGTTAACATCTCGCTCATCTCCATCAAGCCACGCATTCGCATTTCTTGATGCAGATGGGCATCGCGATGCATGGGTAAAGCTGACGCATGGGCAGCGGCTCGGCTTGGCCCGGTCACGCTGGCTTAAAGCCCTTCTCGGGTGACGCTCGCGATTGCTTGACCGGCTCCGGACTGCTGCTTCTCACCGGGACCGACTTCTCATTCCCGTCGACACCCATCTCCGTGTCGGTCTCTTCTTTGTCCTTGTCCGACACCCCGGCCGTGTCGTCTTTGGCTGTCATCGCCGATGCGCTCCGGTTCAGCTGCCTTTTCTGCATTCTTTCCCGCGCCTTCTTCGCGTCAGTGGCCTTCCTCCATGATTCGCCCCAACGAATTGCAGCCATGACGCCGATTGTCGACGCCACAAGGAAGAGGGCAGAGATGGTCTGGAACCAGCCTACACCGACGCCCTCGATGGCGGGGAGAACCACGGCCGTTCCCAGGCAGCCGGCCAAGTACCGCACAAAGTAGTTGGCGGCGGTGACCTCGGCTCCCTGCCCCGGCATCACATCGAGACAGTAGGTGTTGAGCGAAGGAAAACAAAAGAGTTGGCCGACTCCTTGGAGAAAGAGCACGATGACAGGCAGAGGGATGCCACCGACGGCCTTGTCTACGGCCCAGCCATAGATGAGGATGCACGCCGGCATCAAGAGGCCCATGAAAGGCACCGCAGATCGCAGCCTGTCTTCAGGAACACGCACTCCGTTGCGTTTCTTGATCCACACGCGCACGGTCCTGTCAGCCCATCGACCTCCCATGAAGGTGCCAAGTAGGTATCCGCATCCTGGAGCGAGGTAGAAAAGGCCCCCGAGCAGAGGCGATTCGAGATGGAATCGCGGGTTCAGAACGTAGCGGATCGGCGTCAGCAGGCTGTACATGTTCCAGACAAGCGCAGAGCTACCACACGCCACGAGGACTTGATTCCAGTATCGGAAGAGCCTCAGTGGTCTGATGGGGTTGATCATGCTTAGCAACGCCTTCATCCTGTCCGGCGCCGAATAACCCTCGAGGTCGGCATACTTCCTGTGGTGGATCGTCTCCGGAACCAGGAAGAAGACGCCGAGCACTGCAGTGCCAGAGAGGGCCGTCTGCAACCAGAAGATAGACCTCCACGACGCATACGTGACGATGATGCCACCAATGAAGGGCCCAAACGCCGGCCCGATGAGCGTTCCCGACAGAAACCATCCAATGGCAGTACCACGCTCAGTTGGACGATATATGTCTCTGTGTCTCCGCGGTTAGTCTTGACACCGGCCCGCACACCGAGAACGCTTACCCAAGACAAGCCGCTCCGAGCAGGATAAAGGAAGTTCCCTCGAACGCGGAGGCGGCACGGAATACGAAAAAGGAGGCGAGGTTCGGAGCCAGGGCTGTCGCCAAGCTGAGCAGGAAGAAGAGCACGGCCGTCAGTAACAGCACGGGGCGGCGGCCAAAGACATCGCTCATGGGACCCCAGACGACGGGAGATATGCCCATGAAGACCATGTAGCCGGCGTTGCTGACGTTGATGATGGAGCCAGTGGTGTGGTACTCGGCGGCCACCTCGGGCGTGGCGGCGAGGATGCTGGTGCTGGACATGGGCGAGAGAAAGGCGCAGAAGGAGCAGACGGCGACAACGATTGTTTTGCGGTGCGCACCAAGGCGGTCGTACATCTCGTTGGCTTCGTCGGTGTCCGGGGCTGGGCCGTCGGCATTGTGGTGAAAGGCGTCTGGGCCGGAAACGTGGGACGCTGACCGATAGGCTTCTACACCGCTTGCCTGGTTAAATGGCTCGATTTTATCACCGTCATGGTCGTCGTCGTCGTCGGAGCACACCCTCAGCGGGGGGTTGACGGGCGGTGACCCGGCCTCGCTCGGTTTCGTGGCCATGACCGGTGTAGACGGGCATTAGACGGCTGCTCATGCGATGGCGAATTGTGGAAGAAGACACGGTGATGGGTTGCGGTGTGTTCAGAAGGGGTCAAACATGAAGTGGACGAAGATCCCGAGCAACTTGCCCAGCCTCATCGGAGCGCTCTCTGGAGTGTGCTCTCTGAGGGTTGACGTCCAGACAAAGAGTCGCAGATTTCTTCGGCTACAACCTCACACGGGACATGTTGGATGAAGGAAGAGAATCACGAACGTCTCGCACCACTCTGTCAAAGTCTCATCCCGCAACGGGACAGTGGATGCCGGACCACGTCGTCCCGACGGCCGATCCACGCACCTGGCCCCCTCTCGCCTGCTGCTCTTGCTCGTCCGGGCCAACGAACGGGTCGGGCGATCATTTTCCTGGGCCCCCTTGGCACGATCGGGCCGGCCGCCCCTCTCTTTTTGTTCTCCCGGCCGATGTCCGCTCCGGCGCTCGCTGGCACCCACATATCCCAGGCGCCGCATTGGACCGAGGGGCCCTGCCGACTTGAACATTGCGATGTGACTCGCTTTGGAGCGACAATCGGCGTCGCCCCGGATGCTGATGAATGGGTGAATCTGGACATTAGCCTGCGTGGTTTTTCTTTGGCCTGTCCGCCCTGGTAGCCTTCCTCTCTATGCATGCCTATCTTGCCCATCCAAGGCGGAGGCACTCTGGGGACCCATTGTGTCACGGCCCCGGCTACTTGACGTGAGACGCCGAAGCTCAACTCCAGCCGCTTCGGTCAATGTCCGGGCTATACCCGCGGCAAGTAGCACCACCGCCCTGACGATGCCGAGGTTCAGCTGGCCAGCTGGCTGCTACCCTATTATGCAACGCAACGGTTCTGGGCGTGACGGTAAATCTAGGCACAAGCGACGTGAGGCAAGGCGAGCGCCATGTACGTAGCTGATACAGCCCGTAGACACTGTGGGTAAGGGCTTGTCAGCTGTGAGATGAAGAGCTGTTGGCGGGTAAACTCCATCGTTCCTGGAGTCCATGTACCGACGCACGTTGGCCGGCTTGCGGTCTCCTCCGCCGATCGGCTGACTTGCCGCTCAGCAGCTAACGTCCCGGGCAGTGCCAGGATTGGCAGCCCGACAACGACGACGACGCATCGGGAAGGCGTCGATGCTGTACTTGATATGTACGCCTGCGTACTTCGTATTATGCCACCGATTGTCGGAGCGTTGCGTGCCGCAAAAGGCGGCCACACGCGCGGTCGGTGGCTCGCGGAGAGATGGTCGGCGACAACATCATGCAGCCCTGACTTGTCTGTCTAGTCTCCAGCGTCCGTCCGCGGAGTCTCCGTTGCGGGACGAGACGACAAGAAATTGCAACGCTTGTATGGGACATCGCCCGAGGAGCATCATCCCGACGTGCGAGTATGATTATGTGTGTGCGAACTTGTGTGCGTGCAATTGTGTATCTAACAGTGACAGCGCTTGCTCATCAGACTGCTCATGCCAGTCGTTCCATCCAACAGTCATGCCCGAAAACGCCGATTCATGCCCTTTTCCATGATGAACGCCAACACCATGCTTCCCAAAGCCCGCGCGCCGAGGTCACGGAAACGCGCAAACAGACAGCCTCTGAGCCTCCTCCTTGATCCGGCCCCTCGCAAGTTTTCCAAACATTATCAAGCCATTACCACAATCCCAAAACGTAACCCTTTCAAGCCGCCAACAGCTTTTGCACGCGCTCGTGAATGACCCGGTCGACGGGCTGGCCGTTCCTCTGCACCACCACGTTCTCGCGGCCGCCAATGGTGACGACGCGGAGCCACTCGGGCGCCACCTCGCTGGCGATGAGCCGTACGCAGGCGGTGCCCTCCTCGCGCGAGACGGGCACGCGGAGCGAGTCCTTGAGCTTCTCCAAGATGGCGGCCATGGTGAAGGCCTGCCGGGGCAGGGACAGGGGGTTCGAGAGGCTGAGCATGGAGATGGTGGCGGCCACGTCGGCGACGCGGTTTAGCGCGGCGCGGCGTTGCAGCTCGGGCCCGGACGGCGGAGCGGCCTCGTTGGCCCTGGTGGCCTGCTTGAGGCGGAGGCGGTCCAGTAGGCTCATCTTGGGGCCGTCGGCGGTGGTGGCCGCGGTGCTGCTCGCCGCGGCTTGCTGCTTGGCCTCCCTTTCCTGCTGCTTGGCGAGGATGCCGCCGCGCAAGTCCGCGAGCGCGCGGTGGCCCTTGCTGAGCATGGGGTTGACCCTCGCGGAGGCGCCCATGTCCGTGATGGCCGCCTGCGGCAGGTCGGCGAGGGAGAGGCTCGCCAGCGGCACGTCCACGTCGGCCATGTCGTCGACGGCGCGCTCGGCGCAAAGTGCGCGCAGATTGGCCTCGAAGGCCATGTTGAGGCGGTCCTCGTTGATGGCCAAGCCATTGTGGCCGGGAGCGAGCTCCACGCAGACTCTGCCCCTGCCATAGTCCGAGACGATGAACGGGGCGGACGTCGTGGTGGTGCTTGTTGTGGTTGAAGCAGTAGTAGAGGCGGGGTTCGCATGGGACTGAATGGCGATGCACCGGCGGATGTCTTCGACGGTGACCTGCCTCTTCCCCCAGGTGCGTGCAATCTGTGGAGAGACGGTGCGGAGGTCGATGGGCGCGTTGCTGCCGCTGTGGGCGATCTGGATGGTGACTGTCTTGAGGAAGGCCTTGTTCAGGCGGACCAGGTCGGCGAGATGAGGCGGCAAGGGGGTCTCGTCCTTGTCGTCATTCTTGGCCTTGCTGATCTTCTTGTTGTATGCGGCGTCGATCTTGGTCTGTACCGTCTTCTCCTGCCGTCGCGTGGACGCGATGATGGTTGCCTCGCTGGGCCGGTGTGCCGTCTGCGCCCTCGAAGGCGCCGCCCTGGCGACGCGCTTTCCCTTGACGGCCGCGGGCTTGACGGGTGTGAGGCGGGCGTCGTGGTCCTCGGTGCGTCGACAGGCACGCTTGCTCGGGGCGGGGACCTCCTCGTCGTCCTCGTCGCTGCTGCTGGGGGGAAAGGACACGGTGCGGCGCGCCAGGCTAGGCTCCTGCTCCCGCTCCTCAAAGGAGGCGGCCTTTCTCTTGCGGCTCACGGGAAGCTGTACCTCGACTTGGACCTTCTTCTGCGAGGGGTCGGAAGCGGCGTGGGACTTGGAGACGCGTGTGAAGGAGCTGATGGGTTGGGGAGTCGTGTCTGCCGCGGCGGCGTGCCGTCTTTTGGCGGGTCGAGGCATGATGGTTTGTCAATCACGATGAATGACTCCGGTAGACGCCCCAATCGGTTTTCGTGAGGTCGGGAAGCAGCGAGGTGCTGGCGGCCGATTGACGGGCAATGCCTCCCTCGGGGTGTCCCCTGAGGCTGTCGACCGACGTTGAAGCTAGCTTGGGGAGCGGTAGCGACCCAGAAAGCTTCGTCCAAGAGATCCAACCGTGCAAGAACGTTCGACGCGAGGCGTGATTGCGTGGACGGAAAGAAGCAACGATGCCGAGTTTCAAGTCGTGCAGGGGAAGGAAAAAAATTGGAAGTCGTCGTCTTGGGATGTTCGGCGTGCAAGGGCCAGCCAGGCAAGTAACGGATGGAATGGAGTCGGGCAGTTGCTCGAGACAACGGGCGGGCGGGCTAGGCGAAATGGGTCGAGGCTGGATGGGGCGGGCGAGCTTGACGCGTCGGGACGCGTTTTTGGGGGAGGATTTTGACCCTTGGGCGCCGGCCCACGCGTGGCGGGCGCGTAAAGTGGGTTCCACGCATGCACGCCTCACCCCAGGCGCCTTCAGCAGCGCGCTTCGGCCCTGGCCATTCGGCCAACTGCACTGTATTTGCAGTGTATTGATGAGGTGAGTTACATTTCGTACAGGGCGTCTATAGCGCAGACCACTGTATCGACTTTTGTAGACAAACAGCGCTTCCCCCACGAGGCGCGTTTAGCATCGTCAACGGACCCTCCCCCGCAACACCTCTACTTCACAAGCATAAGCCCAACATGGTGCGGTCTGCCAGGGGCCGGCACTGCGCGCCGTTGTGCTCGCACACGCGACGTGCCTCTCGTACCTACATATCTCGTGCATGCACAAGATCATGGGACGCAGGTTCGTGACACATGGCAGCAGGTAACGATACTCCATAGCAATAAGCAGACACATCGCAGACGACATGGCACGAACACGTCAGAACAGCCAAACCGCAGTCGTGCCTTGTGCCTGTGTTGCCTCGTGGGCCAGCAAGGCTGGCAACAGCAAACGGCGACAGTGGCAGCAAGTCCAGCCGATGGCGAATCCAGCCGCCACCCCCAGTCTCTCCGCACAAAAGGCAAGCCACTTACACGTGGCAAGGCCGTTGACGAACCTCGCTCACTCCGTTATTGCCTGTCCTCCGCTCAACCATCCCTCCATCCCGCGTGGCAGCGTACCTGAGGTCGGCAGGGTGCTACTTCCCTTACCTTACTCCGTAGCACCCAAGGTATGACTGAGGCACTGCATCTACTACACAATCGCGCAGACCCTCATCCCCGAGTACCCGGGCATGTCCCCGTCTTCGCAGCAAGGCCCAGGTGCAGGAAGAACATCCCCGCCACCGCTGCTCCCTGGGCGCCAGGTCCCGGCACCATCCTACCTACCTAGTATTACATACTATAGGCCCATCGCGTCGCGCCGTCGGCCAAACATCAGGAGGATCACCTACAATGAGGTTACTTAGTATGTCCTCTTTCGCCTCCATGCGCGTTCCCTGCAATGGAAACCAGGACCAGCCCTCCAAGCTGCGCCAGCTCCTCGCCCGCCGCAGGACTGACTAAGAGAAACGACACAAAGTCGGTCAGGAAAGTAACTACCTGAACTGTAATGCTGCAGCATGAAGAGAACGAACGAAAGTGTGAAGAGAGGAGAGAGGAGAAGAGAGAAGAAAAAAAACGACGAGGTCCAGCTGTCATGCATAATACACCGCCACTTGTTTTCCCAAAACGCGCAGCTGAGCAGCCTCCCCCTCCATCACTCTTCGCTGCCCTTGCGCTCCTCCGTGGTCCCGTCGTCGTTGTCGCTGTCGCGGCCGCCCGCTCACCTCCCCTCTCTCCGTCCCGCGTGCAGGACTTTGCCGACGCGCAGCAAGGCACTTCGCGATGTAACACGCACGCACATGCAGGCACAGAGGGGACACAGACCGCGAGATATATCCAGGGGCGTGGCCGATTTAGTCGTAGCACTTCAACGTAGGCACTCAGTCAAGGCACGTAGTCCAGGCACGAAGGCACAAACTGCCGGCCACCGGCTCATGCCCATGCCCATCCCCCTCCACGACACCGTCATTCTGCCATGCCATGCAATGCCATGCCTCTCCTTTCCTCTCCCGCCCGGTCCTGCCGTGGCACTTGCAAGCGTCCCTTGCTGCCCGTCATCAGCTCTCCACGTCCCTGCCACCTCGAATCCTGTAAAATGCCCTACTCCCTCGCCCATCCACCCCTCCACCCCCGCGCTGCACGACGACCCGATAGCCATCCACCCACCCAGCCATCCAGCCATCCAGCCAGCCCCCAGCCCTCTTTCCGTGGCTCAGGCACAGCGCCTTGGCTGGCTGACTGACCGGGCGGACAGTGGGGGAGCATGTCACTCGTGCGACCGCCCGTCCGCTCAGCTCCGTGTCGGGTTGCCGTCTTGTGTCGTTGTCGTTCTCGCGTCGACGGACACAGACAGTCGCATTACAGCCAAGCAGGCAGGCAGGCGGGCAAACTAGGCCAGTGGCAGGCCGTGACAAAAAAAAAGGAGCTTGGCGTCGTCGCATCACACAGGCACACACAGGCACACAGACAATCACGCACCCACACGACGACGCCTACTCCCGAGCTGCAGCCTTCATCGTTTGTGCTTCTCATTCGCCGCGCAAGTCACTTTGCTGCGCACCTTTGGCGTCGTGTAATACAGACAGAAATTCCTTTGCAGCAGGAGTCAAGCTTCAAAGCAAGCCCAAAAGTACCCCTGGTTTTGTACTCCCCAGTCCCGAGTCCCGTAGTCCCAGCGCCCAATGTGCAGTGAATGCCCCAATTTTGTGTCAACTCGCCCGCTCTTGGCCCTCCAGGCCCCTCGGCCTCCATTAATACCCCCCCAGTCTGAACCGTGGCTTGGACCCCGCCAGTTGCCGTAACGCCGTAAGTTGTGCCGTTGAAGAAGGGGGAAGAAACAAAGAAAAGAAGAGCAACGAATTGAAAGAACCCGCGAGTCTAAACGCTAGCTGTACAAGAAAGTGTCAAGTGGGCTCCGCGGCCATGGGCCGGCATGGAGAGAAGGGCCGGCAGCTCAGCGGCGAGACGGCGCATGCCAGTGCTCCGACGACCTGAAGCTGACAGGGCTGGGAGGTGGCGGCGCGGGGACTGTGTAGTCGTCTTGCTTGATATGGCGGACGGGCGTCGACGGGCGCACGCTACCCAGTGTGGCGTTGAGGCTGGCGTAGAGATCTTGCGACGTCATGAGCCGGAGATTATTCCTCTGAGACGACATGGCGATAGGAGCGGCGACCTGAGGACTCGGCATGTTGTGGGACGTGTGTTGCGGGAGTGGTGCGTGTTGGGTTTGTAAGTGGCAGGAGAGCCGTCGATGTGTATAAGTCGTGGGTTGGCCGCGCAGGCGTGGTCGTCGATGAGATGCAGGGGGCTGGCTTCTCTTCCGATTGTCGACTGTCGAAGGATCGGGCTCTTCTTAAATGACACGGAAAGTAATGCTGCAGGTACGAAACCTGGCGGCGTTTGCGAGCAAGCAAGCTGCTGGACTGGACTGGCTTTGTTGGGAGACGGGGAGATGGAGACGGGAGAGCTTGCGTAAATATGTGGGGGGCCGATGGAGCCCTGGGTCGAGGCAGTGATGCAGCTCAGAACAGGTTTCGTTGTCGGGCTTTTGTCGGTCAATGCAGTGCGAGTAGCCGGCAGACGGTAACGGCAGCGGCGACGACAGCGACAGAGGCGGCTTTCTCCGCGGTCCACTGAAATAACTCCAGTTTCTTTTTTTGTCGACGTGGACCAGGTTGCCAGGATTTGGCAGCGTCGATGATTCAGTGGAGAGGCGTGGGTGCGGTGGGTTTGCAGAGGGCCGAGGTGGAACGACTGTGTAAAGCTTGTCGCCGATCGAGGGAGTGAAGAGGGCTCGGTGCCTGCTAATAATGCTACGTCGAAGGTATGCACAGCAGAGCCTACTGGATGGGAAGGAAGAAAGAGAGAGAAATGTTGGGACGAGAAGGGGTGAGGCGAGGCGAGGTGATATACACCGGAGGCGGCGACCAACTAGCAGCAGAAGGAGCCGAGGAGGACGAGCCGGCCGTGTGAAATTTCAAGAGCAGGTCCCTTTTGTCGGACAATGAAGACGCAAGCCACGGCATCCATACCAACCTAATCCCAAGGTACCTTTCCCTATCCCTAGTGCCTGGTAGGTTTGGGCTTGGGCTGGGCTGGGCTTGGGCTTGGGCCTGGGCTGGGGGTGGGGGCGTACAGCATGCGAAAGCTCGGGGAGCTTGAAGGCGCCTGTATTCCGTACCTGGCCCGTCCGAGGCGTGCGAGTCCTCGTACAGCATTTGGTGGCAGCAAGCCCTCCCTGTGAGACGTGACGGGAGGGAGTGCGATGCCCTTGGGGCAAGATCGTAGATGCCTCGAGAGACTCGTGGCATTCGCAGGCCGGGGCGCATTGGAATCAACTGGTGACGAGAGCATCAAACGCCTACTCGGCAGGTAATACCGGGGGAGACAAGAGGGAACATGCGTGCGTGCGTGCCTGTCTGTCTCTACCTGCTGCTTCCTGCACGCCAACGGCCGCGAGCAGGCGGCGTGTGCGCTGTCAGAGACCACCAAATGTCAGGGCCGCGCCAGCACGTCAGGAGAGGAACCCCAAACCTTGCCGGATGCCACTGAATTCGTCCATTGGGTTGATTGATGATCCACTGCATGACCATGCCCACCCGCCAGCCAGCGGGCACAAACGGGCGCAGCACGCAGCAACAGCAGCAGCATCGGAACAAGAAAGCAGGAGCGGGAGCTTTGCTCGACCACACGCCCCCCCTCGCCCATGGCCTGGCTGTTTGTTCGCCAGCCCGCATCGCGGGGCCGAGGAAGTCGAGGGCGGACGGGATGGGGAGGGGGGCATTGGGGCGTGTGTCACCACAAGCAACACATGCCTGAGTTGTGAGTCCGGACACGCCCCCTTGGCCACTTGGCGGCACGCGTGGGTCCATCATGGGCGCCATGCCCTGCCCTGCCGTGCCCGATCCTGGCACCGCCTGTGTCAGTACTGACGAAGGCCAGACGGACGGACGGCCGGAAGGACAAACGGGCCACGGAAAGCTTCCAGGGCAGCTGCTGTCGGAGAGTCTGACACGAATCAAAACCTCCAAGCCCATCAGTCATGTCAAGAAAAGCAGTCCGACAAAAGCCGCCCAGGGCCGGTCCAGTAAGCGGCGGGTGAGAAATGCGCCTGAGAGAGGAAGGAGGAGAGCCGTCGGCTGGTTTGACAAGCTTCGAGAAGCTGACTGACCCCCAAACCCGCAAGCCGGAACCGTCAGCGCCTCAGCCTGGGCCGACCAACGCGCCGGTTCCGAGGCTGCGCTAGGCCACCTCGAGTGTTGGGGGAACTCATGGATGTCCCGAACAAGAAGTTGGGTGCCTGCCAGAACTTTGTTCAATAAAGGCAACGTGTCGTGTGTTCGCTCTCGCTCTCTCTCTCGTGGTTGAGCCCCCAACCGCTCTCAGGGCACGCCGAGATGTTGGAAGCTCTCGAGGGGGAAGCAACGATGGGACTGGGCTGCCGACGGCGTGGCCGGCCAGGTGGCACAGCGGGATGCGGAGACTGTACTGCACTGCACAGCACGAGTGCGCGTGCGCGTGCTGTGCGATTACGGGCCATGAAGCCGTCGCAGCCGGGTTGAGTCGAGGCACCCTGCACGCCGTTTCGACTCGTGCAAACCGAGCTCTCGCCGACTTGGCGATGCGCTTGGTGATTGGGCCGCGTCGAGATGCCTGGCCCTCCGCCCTCGACATGCCTGCTTGCTGTCCCGGTGTGCCATGATGCAGGCCAGGCACTCATGTTAATTCGCACACGAACGGCTCACCGCCTTCAGCTGATACAACGTTCCGCTCGACAGCCGCGCGAGGAGCCAAGGTTGTTCCCCCGGAACCTGGGTCCCATTCCCCGTCGGGGACATCGTCGGGGACGGGCATTCACCCGCCGTGATCCAGAAAGTTCTGCGTCCGGGGACCTGTTTCTGCTAGGCCAGGGGTATCGGTTTCGGCGGCGATGGCTCGCATGGATGCGCTTCCCCGTGGCTCCGCTGCACGCCTGGACGTACATAATAAGAGCACTGCAACAAGGACGCATCCACTGCGGCTGCCCCGCCTGCGCGCGGAGGACGCGTCGGCTGGATGAACCTTGGAACTGACTCGCCTTGGGCCGGATGAGCCTTGGCCAAGTCGCGTTGTCATTTTCCGGTTCAGAGTGCCAATCTGGCGAGCTCGGGGGCCGGGACCGAAGCATCGTGGGGGCGTCTTCAAATGAGAGGCGGAAGCAAGCATGCAAGACAAGGGCGAAGAGAAACAAAGGGGGTGGTGTTAGTGGCCGCGGCCGTCGTGGAGCCGTGGCCCGTTCAACGTCGGGGCCTCCTTCCCCACGATATTTCGTCGTTGCCGCTGGCATGTGGGACTGCCTGATGTGAGACTTTGCAGGCAGCCGCGACCTGTGCACGGCTCTTGCCCTCTGTGGAGTTTGTGCTTCGTGGGCCGTTCTCCAGCTCGCCGTCCGCGGGATTCCTGCCGCCTTCACCCGCGTTCACTTTTCGACGGCACCTACGTGTGATGCTGCAGCCGAGGCCGTCTCATGATCGTCCCAGCTCTCCAGAAAGTGACATCACCCGCAGCGGCAGATCGCCCTTTTCTTGTCCGGCAAGACCCGGAATCGCACCTGGACGAGCAGCTCTTAGCCTCCGGCTCCGAGGCGGCATTGGGCTTCGTTCCATTGTCCATCGGCGCATGTGAATGCAGCAGGGTTATGACACAATCGGCATTGCCTATTTTCATGCCTGTGGCTGGTCGGCGCGAGGCGAAATTCGTCGCCTCGTGGCCGCGATGACCACCAGGGAGACCTGGCGCGTGGTACCACGTTTCGAAAGCAGGCGACGGACATGCCGAGCTGACTGATCGCGGCCCTGACTGCGCATCGCGTGTCATGCCCAAAGGACCGTGAGAAGCGACGGGACGTCCGCACCCGTCGCCAGCGAGTCAGCGACCCTCTGTTTGCTTGTGTGGACAAGGCAAGGTATCCCCAGCCCGGTCCATCCTTGCCATACAGGCCCATGCCGGTCGAAGAGGCTTTTGGCGATGATCGGGGCCAGCGAGTCGGTGGACATTAACAATGGTGCGGCCTCGCAGCTTTATCCGCCCATGAACAAAGAGTTAACGGCAGCCCTGAGCACCGACGATGCTCGTCCATAGTGTTCCGAGCTCTTGGATCCCCGGATTTTTGGCTGCGGCAGCTGCTGTGGGGCGCCGCGGCAGGGCGGTTTGTGGGGAAGCAACCAGCCAGCTCATCAAAATGGACTGGGGGGAGGCGTGTGGAGGATGTGAAACGAAGGATGTCCGTGTTGCTGGGACCCGTCTTCAGTCTGACGGCGCATCCTAGCTACCAATTTCACAGACTTGTCCCAGACGTCGGAGCGGCGAAAGGGGTCAAAGGATCCTGACCAACCACGCATCTCGCATTGTCTCTTTTCTTGTCAGACGTTCTTGTGGCCCTGGCTCGCACGACGGGACTATTGACGCCTGAACATGGCTCCTCGACTATGTGGCCGCCATGCGCACGAACGGACCCGAGGCACAACGCATGGCCACAATAAAGCAAACTAAAATGGAGGAGCCAGGGACAATGGCCACTCCCCTTAGTCGAGGAATTCCGGCGACGCAGCCCCAAGACAAGACACCCCCGCCGCGGACGGCCAGGAATCGGACGATGCCGCAAGCACATTCACACGGACAACCAAGGCAGTGAATACGTTCGCACGTCGTAGTGCAAGATGAAGGACTCGCAAGCGTAATGCCAGCACCGCAAGAAGGCTACATATCGCAGGTCGACGGGCGCAGGCACGGACTCTGCCTCTAAGACATCCAAGCATTCAACTCTACTGCATAGGCTGCCCAACTCGCACAATCATAGTACCTGTAACACTGGCTCATCTCGGTCAAATAGGATATCAGCGGAGGTTTCCGTCGCCCTCTCGCACGCGAGCTGCTTGCCTGACATGGCTTGTTCGGCGTCGCCAGGGAACCATACAATATGTTACGGCCATTGCCAAGCAATGCTTCGTATTTACCCCGTACGTGTCGAAGCAAACGCCAGACGGGCCGACGGGCGCGCAAATCCGATGTATCATGCCGCGCCGCCCCAGTCCCCCCCATTATTAGCCCAGGTTGGCGCGACGCTGCTGCCTCGAACCATGAGGGTCAGCTTGCGGCTATGACTGCCGCCACACCAATGCAATCCCAAGCGAGGGACGCGAGCGTGAGGAAACGCACACAAGCATTTCCATGGCTCCCTCGGAATCTGGAAAATTGCCAGGGTCGCGGCACTGTTTGCACATATGCAAGATCGCCCGATCGGTAGCTGCCCACCATCCCATTATTAGCGCCTTGCAAGCTCAAGCAAGACATGTGCCGCCTCCGGCGGTCCGGTCAAGACAAGCTTTTTTCGACATCCGCAGCTGCGCCCAAGGGCCCGCCCTTTTTCGTGGCTTTTTTTTCTTTTCTCTCATCTCTTTCTTTGTTCAGGGAAGGTCATTGTTTGCCAGACCCCCCGTTGCTCATCTCGCTGAACCTTGAGAGGGATGCGGTGCTGGCAGAGCGTTTGTCTGTGGCGCAGAGTGTGTGAGAGTGCAACAGGATGCAGTACCGGGGATATCAGAAGGAGGAGGACATGGGTACTGGATGGACAAGTCACTGGCTTTGCATTTCCTCGCAGGCTAGCTTCTAACATGGGTCATATCGTCATCGCATCTGTGACTCCCACTACGTACCACCCGGCCAGCCCTGAACGGCACGAAGGGGGCAGCACAAACTCCTCCAAACATGACAACGCTTCGAGCCCGAGCAAGCAAACTCCATGATATTCTTCAACCGCGCATCACCCCTTGGAAGTGTTGGCCGACGTCGCACCACCGGTGGCGGCTGGGCCCTTGTTACGCCTCTTGGTTGGCTGATATACGTCGTTGAAGTTCATGGCCACGCCCAGGAAGCGCATGTCCACGTCGGGCTGGTACGCGAGGTCGCCCAGCAGTATCTGGAGCCGCGTGCGGAACGACTGACCCAGGTGCCGCAGCCGCTCCTGCAGCACGGGGAACTCGGACGGCACGCCGCCGCCGCCAGCGCCGCCCTCGTCGAGGAGAGCGTGCCCGCGCACGTCGGCCTCCTGCCGCCGCGTAAAGTCGGACACGCTCCAGCCGTACAGGCCGTCCACCGAGTCTCTGTAGTTGAGCATGAACCGCAGGATGTCGCTCAGCTGGGCGAGGTACGAGGCGCGGTCGTCCTCGTCCGAGCCGTGGAGCTTGCGCTTCGCTCCCAGGAGGCCCTTGTGCGTGATGTCGGTGAGGTACCGCTCGTGCGCCTTGATGAGGTCGTCGAGCGTGCAATCCTCCTTTTGAATGCGCTTCTGCAGCTCGCCCCACGACGACTCGATGACTTCAAAGAGGATGTAGTACTGCAGCTGTCCCACAAAGTGTATCATCTCTGCGAGCGTCCCGCGGGTCGACTTCCACGTCTGCGTCACGGCCGGGTCTGAGCTTTGCAGGACGCCGCGCGAGCCTGTCATGCACTTTCGCCAGGACGTGAGCAGCGCAAACTCGACCCTTTTTATCCTCCACAAAAAGTTGAACACCTTCAAATACTGGCGGTTTCCCCATTCAGTCACCACAACGTCGACGGGCGCATCGATCTTGTACTCCAGGGTGAAGCAGTCCCATCCGATATCTCCGTGTGAAAGCTGCAGCATCCGGGCGTCCAGCCGGCGCAAGACCTCTGGCGAGTCGTACTGCGCGTTTGACCCTCGGATGGCGTGTTCGAGCTGAGCCGTAAGGGCATGCCTGTATTGGGCCCCGGCTGGCCGGTCCAGGTTTGCCGCCAACGACTCCATCAGCAAGGCAATAAAGTCTCCCTGGCCCAGGAGAAGATAGTTCTTCAGGGCTTGGAGATGGTCGAATAGGTTGAATCTGTTGGCCATGAGATCCATCAGACGCTTCATAGTCGTCTTGTATGCTTCGTCGATCCACGCCTCGAGAGTTGCCGTGTCGCCATATCTGAGTTCCTTGGAAGCCGCTTTGGAGTAGTCTTCTACCCATACTGAGTCGCCGCAGCTGTGGCGGATAAAGTTGAGCGACTTGCCGATCAAGAACACCTTTTGAGCAAAGTCTTGCGTGATGATGCTGGGTATCATGTCATGGTCGATCTCGTATTTGTCCTCCCACACGTTGCCCGCCACCTTTTTCTTGTTGACGTCGTTGTTGGGTAGTTGCTCTCTGACGAAGAACTCGCGGTACGGGTCGAGAAGCTCGCCGTCGTATATCCAATGGCGCAAGATGTCGTAGAAGGGGCGCGTGAAGCTCCCGAGTAACCGTTCCGCAAAAGCAGCCACCACCGGGTCGCCATGGGACGAAGAGAAACTGTGAATCAAGGTGATGAGCTGCCCTCCCTTTTGGCTCTCAGACTCCTCGGCAATTAGGCTCATTAATCGTAATCCCATGGTTGCCTCACGCGTCCAGACCACACATCGCTTGAGGGTCACGCCGGCTTTCCCAATCGCGCCAGGCGGGGAGCTCTCGTCTATAGTGGAGAGTGCCCTTCGAATCTGCGCCTCCAGAGTGGCGATGAGGCTCAAATAGGAACGCAATTCGCCGCTGATGGCGGATCGTAGGCTCTGTCCCAGCAGACCTTGGGCGGGAGTCTTGCAGAACGCATCGAGGCCGCGATAGAGTAGAGACGGCTCTGCTAAGGTGTGCAAAAGGGATATCAAAGGGAGAGGGAGTGTCGGCGGTAGTTTCAGAGTCGCTTGGTTCGAGAATGGTAGGGTGGTAGAGGAGACGCCTTGAAGAGTAAAGGGCAGATCGCGAAGAATGACGGCTTCCGGAGGATCGCTTTCAGTATGATTGCTGGCAAGAAGGGTCGACTTCAAGGACACGTCCCGCTTCGGTAGGTTGTGCTTGTCGTTCTCAGGCTGCCCCGGCTCTTTGACTGGTAGCTTCCGAAGCCCATCTGGCTGAAACGCATCTTTAAACTGCTCTTCTTCGAGTCGCGGGACAGGGGTCGCGGTCTTTGAGCGGTCTTTGCTTTGCCGCTTGAGAGCCTCGCGGCTGATGGCCTCCCGGTAGTTGGGCGCTGATGGCCGCACGGGGCTCAGAGGTATCGGCTCGTCGGGATCAGGCGAGTCGGAGAGCTGATAGAGGAGATATAGGATGGCCCACTTGTGCTTGAGCACAGGCAGAGCCAAAAGTCTCGAGTAGAGGTTCGAGAAGCGGAGGGCGTCGTTGGGGTCGGTCTGGATAAGCTTGCGCTTGATGAGATCCGAAGCATGATTAACGTCGGAGGATACACCAGGGCTTGGAGGGCTGGAGCCCGTCAGTCGCAGCTTGGCTGGAACGCGTCGGAAAGGGTGCTCACCTGTCGATTATGGATTTGACAATATCAAAGCAGGCATCGTGCCTCTCCTGCGCAGCGTCCTCGTCATCGTCGGTGTTGTTGGGGACCAGATGGCTAATCAGGCTGTCGATCACGGAGGAGATGCGGTCAGACGCCATGACTGCATCGCCGCCAGGACCGGCACGATCGTGATGGGCTAGCAGCGGCAGGAGATCCAGCAGGGAGAAGGCAGTGTCTGCGGTCGAACCACATTTGTGCCTCGGCGGTTAACCGTGTAATTGGATCGCTGCAGTAGAAAAGTTCGAAGGTTGCATGTTCGAAGTCACTGGGAGCACTCTGGAGACGCGACGGACGCGACGAGGCGCGGGGCTCTCCAGCCGTCGCCTGGCCGCTCGTGGTCCGCTGGGCGGCCACCTGAGAGCTGCGCAGCGGGGCACTCGCCCCTGTAAAGCGCTGGAACTTCTTCTCCTGGACTGCTGTAAACAAAGGAACTCCCCCTGGAGGGGATGCGTCGCCCCGTTTCACTGCCGGATGCACAAAAAGTATGGCATCGCAAAATAATTGAGGACATATCTTCTAGACACAATGCAATCTGCTCCCACACCTCCCATGCTCTTTGTTGCACCTCGTGATGTTCTAGTAACCGTCGTGCTGGGCGCATGGCGGTCACCAGAGCACTCGGCTGGTTGTGCTGGTGACGGATGCGGGTGAGTATCCGATACTTTAGTTCGTGCTGCGGCCCCTGCGAAACGAGAGTAGCGCTACACCCCCGGCGCCGTGTCACTACATCGGCCAGCATCTCGGCAAATTTCGACTTCACTCCATCCGCTGACCTCTCTCCCTACGACACCCGCAGAAACAGCATCATCAATTTGGCGACCTCGCGATGCCCGCATCATCAATTTGACCCCGGATTCGCGGTCGCATAACCGCTGGCTTTCGTTTGATGCTACTCACTTGCACCTTTGCGCGTCGCGCGTTGCCATTTCGCTGCACGCGACGCATCCGCATCCCGCGTCCCTAATCCACCATGCCCGACATCGACCCCGCGGCCTTGAGCCGTCCCGCCGTCACGCTCTCGACCCCCGTCCTCTCCACCAAGACCCTTTCCATCAATGCGACCGGCTCGGCAAAGATTACGAAGACGAGTCAGATCATTCCCGCCCGAATCGATCTCGAACCGCTCTACACCGCGCTGAAGTCGGCGATAAGCAGCGACCACTGGCTGATATACAAGGAGGCTACAGCCGAGTTCCTCACCGGTACGTTCGCATCCGCCACGCGCCATCTCCCACCACACTGCTGACAAAGGACAACAGGGCGTTTAAGCCAAACCGAATACTCAGAACGCATTGACCCGATACTTTCTGGCGACAATGGCGAAAAGGATCATCTGCACAACCAGCTCATCGCGGCCATCTATGGCAACGTCACGCGCGAGATGCCCGATCAGGGCATCGCCCCTTGGGTCAGCGCCAACGACAAGCCCATGGCAACCGCCGGAAGCAAACCTGTCACCGGTGATGCGGCTGAGCGGCGGCTGAAGGGGGATGTGATGCAACTGCCTGCACGGGATCGCAGGCGCATCAAGGATTTAGTGCATAACGATGTAAGGCTTCATATCGACTTGTCACTGAATGTCTGCTTATCACGGCTGCAGTATGACCCCCACGAGAACTTGTCGAACCTGTTTGCCGAAACACATCGCCGCCCGTCTGCGACCACGGATGTTCCCGCTAGCGCTGCTGGGGGCATCAACAAGATGAGTAAGTAACGGCAGCCGAAATGGCGACTTGGCCCGACTAACAGACACGCTAGACTTTGACTTGGAGATTCGAAAACGATTTGCACCACCGTTAGCGGTCGAGTCTGGCGAGTTCCCTGATGTTGGCATGATAACCGGGCGCATGCTGCCTTTCTGCTACGAGGCTGGCCTAGCGAGTGGGCACGTCGCCGACGCTCCACAGCTCATGTCTGTGGCTGCGGACACCTACATCAAGGAAATCTTGACCCAAATTTTCAGCCGGACGCGCAGCAACGGCCCAGGCGATTCTGGCAGCGCCGGTTTTGGTATTGGCACCACGTGGATTCAGACTCGCAAGTACCGGAAACAGCTGAGCCAAGAGGAAGACGCTGCCCTGCGAGGCGAGATAACTCGAGACAAGGGCGGCATGTTACCCGTCGAGGCCAAGGCAGCCAGTGAGCGCGGGCCACTGGCTATGGGTGACATGCGTCTGGCTCTTGAGATGGCAGACACCGGCATGGCTCAATTCCCAGTGCTGATGACACAAGTGCTGTACGGCTACCGCGAGGGTGAGCTAGAGAACTGGACCGACTACAGCTGGGCCAATGGCCAAGCGCCAGTCATCGAGGAGCTCCCAGACACAAAGGAAAACCGAACGTTGCCCAATGGCCATCCTGACAATATGGACATTGACAATGAGGTGTGGTGGGACGGAGGCGACGGCAAAGACGTCGATATGTTGGATGGCATCCTGGATTCGTGTCTCATGGTCAGCTCATGAAGACTCGGTCTAAGAACCCCCGCCAACAGATACACCACGACAAAAGTCAGCCTACACGCGTGGGCCGTGGAAGGCAATGGCTGTTCTAAGGCTGGCCAACGGCAGCAAGACGTGTCAAGCAAGCGAATCATTTCAGCAAGGCTGGTTCCCGCAACGACGAGAATTTGGGGCCAGGGGGGCACGGCTGTGGATTTGGGAGCATGTGTGGCATGGCATTCGTGACTTGGCGTAGAGGACATTGGTTGGCTTCCCCTTTTTTGCGCGCTTTTCGGGATCGGAGGGAAACTTTGTTCGGCGTTGTCGGGGATCTTGGGGTACAATATCGCGGGGCCGGTAGGCGTGGGGTGGTGAGGGGAGGTGAAGCGGTTGTACTTTTATACTTGAACGATACCCGCGGGGCTCTCGGGAACAGCTCGGAACGGCAGCGCTGACGATGGCTAAAGGCTCTCGGCCGTAGAGCAGTAGTGGTGAATATCAGTTTTGTTACAAGCAGGGCGTGCATTGTTTGGGCTGACGTGACTGTGCTGCTTCGAAACGGCCACCCAAGGAGCTCAACTACTAATTCATGCGGAAGTCGTCTGTGGGTTGGAGGCAACTGTGGTATCCCGCTGCCACGGCAAGGCCATGGCTACGGCGTGGGAATTCTAGGCAGCTACCTAGGGTTGCCTGCTCTTGGCGGGTAGCGACAACGAGGTGCCTCGGCAGCCAACCATTACGAGCCTTCACTGAACACCCACTTACAGCAACTACGAGGAACCTCTCCGCCACCATTCTCACTCGGTTTTCTCGAGACTTGCCAAGGGTCTACACGCGCATAAGCAAGTACGAAACATCGTGCCTCTGCCATGTTATCCATTCTGGCATCGCCACCATAGCGTCCATTTCGTCGAGAGGCGTCCAGTTCGCCTCGGTGGGCGGCGCTTACTATATTATGACAGGTCGGCTGTAGTGGCGAGGGGATGGGATTGGTGCCGCCCACGTCACCCCGCGTCGGCAGGTGAGGGCGGGCGCAGAGGGGAGATCTGCTAGCCGGTAATAGCGGGCGGGCTGGGCTGGGCTGGCGGGCCACGGGGTGGTCTGAGCTGCGTGTGCGTCCCGTCCATGGTATCCCAGGCCATGGATCCATCGCCCAGGCAGGCGGGCGGGGCGTAGGGGCATGCATGAGGTGGTGGGAGGACAGGCAGGCAGGCAGGCAGGAGTTCCAGGGCTCTATTGGGGACACTGCATTCCAGGTTTGGTTGGCCCTCGGGACCGGAGCCTGGAGGCCTGCGACCGGCTGGTGCAACGGACACTCCAGCTGGGCGACGCGAGACGCCGAGGCCGCGAGGCCGCCCACGACAGCTCCAGGACCTCGACTGGGCGCATCTTCCGAGGCTGCCCGTCGGATGGCATGACATGGCGGCTGATGGTGTGGTGCGGCGACGATGAATGCGCTGCAGACATCGATCAACGGGAGAAACGATCAATCTCGCGACAGAGTCGGGGGATGGGGCAAATGACGCTGCGGTCAATGAGATGGAAGTCCGAGATGAAAATCATTTGCTGATGCTGGCTAGAGAGGCATTTCGTCCCACGGTAGGGACGAAAGTACGAAGTACAGTACCTAATACGATACCGTGAGTCCGGAGAAGGAAACGCCACAGTGGTAGCTGGACGCCCGCTGCTGCCAGGACGCCTCGCGGGGCTGCACTCCGGCGCTGCACTGCGCTCCATGCACTGCGCTGCACTGGGCTTGCTGGGCTGCTGCACCTCAGCCCGGAATGGAAGCTTGGTGCTGCGTCGCGGCGGCTTCCATTGCCTGCGCGCGTGGGTGCGTGCTTCGGGGGTTGCGTGCGTGGGGCCACCAGCTGGTCCGTGCGCCTTTCTAGAAAGCTTCTGTCCTTCGTCGCCGCCCCCCCTCGTCCCCTCGTCCCCTCCCCTCCCCTCACACCCGCCGCCTGCCTGTCTCCTTCTCACGTCAACCACCGCACAGCACCCCACCTCGGAGGCTCATCAGGTTGCCTGCTGCTCGCCATCATCACCTGCTCGCTCGCCCTCGCCTCACGTCCAGTTTGACGAGGCGATACCCGTCCTGCTCTGGTTCAGGTTCCTATCTGACGTCTCGCTCCCGCCTTTTGTCGCGGGCGCGTGGGCGCATCAAGGCCTGCTGCTGCAAAGGGGACCGACCCCCGACCCAGTGTCGCAAGAGCTCCCGTCAAGCTTCCCCGTCCACCGCAGCTACCGCCAAACCCTGGGAACGCAGTAAAAAAAAGGTACCTACATTGCCTACCTCCTACCTCAGCGCCTCGCCTTTGCCGCCGCCGCTGTACAATTACCTTGCCTTACTTACCCGCCCTGCCTCCACTGCCACTGGCGCCCTTTGATTGAAGCTTCTACTCCCCTCCCCGCCGCTGCCGCCGCTTTTCTTGTTTCCGTTCTCCTCCTCCAAACTGTTCCATTTCCTTACCTTGTACTTTGCCGCCTCTCCGTCACATCCCCCGCCCGGCTGCCATCGACGCCGGCCGTTGCCCAGCCCTGCCCGAGAGATTCATCCGGCCCTTGCTCGCGAGCCGACGCCGCGCCGCCCGCAGACTCGTGCCGCCGGCCGCCGCTGGCGCCTGAAGCAGAGCTCACGACCAAAAAGGTACCTTGCCCTCTGCTCTTGGTGGTGGCTCGCCCGCACGACCCCTCCCACCTCCCGCCTCCCACCTCCGTCCGCAGTCTCCGCCTCTCAAGCTCCCTACCCTGTCATCCCTGCTTGGCCGAGGTCGCTCTGCCGTCCTGCCACCGTCTCGCCAGAGCTTCCGCCAAGCTTCCGACTTGCAGTGCAGGTACGAAGCACGTCGCGCCGACTTGCATTTCTTTGTCCTGTCCGCCTTGTCCGTGCGCTGCTTTTTTTTTTGTTGCGCGAGCGCGCAGCTGTTTGCCAGCTCGCCCCAGTGACCGTCCAATGACGTCTGCTGGAGATGCGGCTCTCTCTGTCGCGCTGCATCACCCTGTCACCCCTCTTCCCATCCCTTTGTATCGAGACGAGTCGAGCATTCGAGTCGCCTTGTTCATAGCTTCCTAGGCAATGCCATAAGCTGGTCGAGGCTCATTATCCTCGGCTTCCTGGCATTGGAGGACTCCGCCCCGCCACCATCACTCGCCGACCTCCGGTTTCACGCCGATGCTGACGCGCCGCAGCTTTCCGAGAACCCATAGATTGCCCTCGCGGGTGTTCGATTTCATTTATTTCTAAAAAAGGTTGGTACATCATAGCTATATCGTCGCCACTGGAGTCTGGTCGAGCTTGACTGGCGTTGGCTCACCACTGCCAAATTTTTGCTGCGGCTGAGGGGTGCTCGGTTGTGGTTGTTTATCAATCCGGCAAACACATTACTGACGTTGCGAATTCCCACAGCAGGGACGCCGGGCCACACTTTCCCTTCCGCCCATAGCTCTCGACTTCGAGCCAGCGGAACTCTTGCTACGGCCGTTGCAGGCGGTTGACACCGGCGCGACAACCTTCACACAGCTCGAGTCAATACAGCCGACGCCGACTCACGCCACCATGTCTGGCCCGTTCACAAGCCCGTTTGGGGCCAACGCCAACCCGTTTGGCGCCGATCGCTCCAACACTATGCAACGCGTCGCCGAGGAGGACGAAAACGACACCGTTGGTGCCACGATCGGGCCTGGCAGCGGTTCTCTGTTCTCTGGTACCTTCGGGGGCGACGCCTCGACCGAAGGCCCGTCCTCGCTGCGACACACGCAGGGTCCCGACAGCTACCCTGCCCAGTACAACTTTGCGCGCCGCACGTCTGTGTCTGCGGAGTCGCTGAAACCCAGCGCCGATACGTATGACAATTGGTCGCCGCCTTTCCACGAAAAGACTCCCGAGCAAATCGAGCGGCTGAAGCATGCCATCGAAGGCAACTTTCTCTTCAGTCATCTGGACGAGGACCAGAGCGCGCAGATTCTCGGGGCTCTGGTTGAGAAGCCCATTCCTGCCAAGGGCATCAAGGTACGCGGCGCGTCCATACCCGCCAGTCTCGTCAGCGCTAACTTCGGACGACAGATCATCAGCCAGGGTGACGCCGGCGACTTCTTCTATGTCGTCGAGAAAGGCTCGTTTGACGTCCACGTGAACCCCAGCGGCACCATCCAGCCTGGGCCGGATGGCCTCGGCGAAAAGGTTGGAAACATCCAGGCTGGCGGTTCGTTCGGTGAGCTCGCGCTCATGTACAACGCGCCCCGCGCAGCGACGGTCATCTCTGTGGAACCTGGATGCACCCTTTGGGCTCTGGACAGGGTCACGTTCCGCCGAATTCTCATGGAGTCAACCTTTGCCAGGAGACGGATGTACGAGAGCTTCCTCGAGGAAGTACCTCTCCTCTCTTCCTTGACACCCTACGAGCGCTCCAAGATTGCCGATGCTCTGGAGACGCAAAAGTTTGCCCCGGGAGAGATCATCATCAAGGAAGGAGACCCCGGCCACTCTTTTTACCTCTTGGAATTTGGCGAGGCGGACGCGTACAAGGGAGACCCCAGCAACAAGGTGCTTCATTACAAAAAGGGCGACTTCTTTGGCGAGCTGGCCCTGCTCAACGACGCGCCTCGAGCCGCTAGCGTCGCTGCCACGACGGACGTCAAGGTGGCGACATTGGGCAAGAACGCCTTCCAGAGACTGCTCGGCCCCGTCGAGGGTCTCTTGCGGAGGACTAGGTATCAGGGGGTCAAGACGGGCGTGGAGGAGATGGATCCGCTTCACAGAGAGTAAGAAATGCGCTGGAGCATCGCTATCGCGGAGAAGTGCGACGTGTTGGAGTGTGCTACAGCCTAGCCGAGTGTCTGGCGAGGCGGGCCGCGAAATGGAGCTGGCCGAAACCCGCATGGAAGGGGTTAAGGAAGCACGATTACTGGGGCATGCGTTTTGAGACGGCGTTTTTTGGGGAAGATTCCTGCACAAACACCACTACCCTCGCTTTCCTGGGAAGAGACATGGCTACTAGCATATACCTTGTTACCGTTATGTCGATTCTGGGATTGCGCATCAGATTGTGAAGCAGCCGCTGGGCCAACAAGTCTTGACAAGGTGTCGCGAATAATGAAGAGCTCAGCAACGAACGCCGTATCTTGCCTGTATTACACTGTGACTATGGCTTCCGAGGCCTTTGTCTAACCCAACTTGCGTGGCCTGCGGCCTTTTCCAGACTCTCTATACAGATCATAACTGCTGCCTCGGGCTGTATTCATGAATGCTGCTGGGCGCTCTGGTTCTTGAGCTCTTCGCGGACCTGCGCCTTGAGCTCCTCGACGGCGACCTCGGTCTCGAGGACCTTGCCGACGCCCTTGCGCCACGACTCCTCGAGCATGAGCATCTCTGCGCGGACGTCCTCCTGCCGGCGCTGCCTGGCGGCGTTGACGAGGTCGATGTCGCGCTTGACGCCGGCGAGGTCGCGCTCGACGGCGCGGAGCGACTGCTCGAGGTGGTAATTCGAGACGAGCCAGGCGTTTGCGCCGTGGCGGTCGAGGAGGGCGAGGTTCTGGTTGCGGGCAGCGAGGTAGGCGGCGGATACGTAGGCGTTGGAGAGGACGGGGCGGAGGTCGTCGTTGACGTACGAGGATGTGATTGCGGCCGCGGCTGCGGAAGCAGAGGAGGATGAGGCGGAGCCGCGGCGGGTGCGGCGCGTCGACTTGCTCGTCGTGGTGGATGGAGCGGCGGGAGCGGGGGGGAGCTCCTGGGCCTCGTAGCGGGAGAGGGAGAGGGGCTGCAGGGGGGTGGAGGAGGCGACGCGTGAGAGCTCGGTGGTGAGGGCGGGGGAGAAGGAGGGTTCGCGGAGGGGTGGGAGGGAGGATTGTTCAGAGGAGGAGGAGGAGGAGGCTTGCTCGGCGGAGATGAGGGTGCGGGCTGCGGCGAGGGCCTCGGGGGAGGGCTCCGTGTCGATGTCTAGAAAGGATCGTCGTGTCAGCGGAATGGCCTCCCAGGGCGGGGGGTGGGTTGAGATGGAGGGGGAAAGAGGACGTACAGGGCAGGGACTCTAGATATGCCGGCGGGACGGCCATGGTGTCTTGTCTTTGGGGGGGCTTTTGCTCCCCGTCGCGACGATGCGTGTGCTGCGGGCGTTCGTTCCTCACGGCCGTTTGTTCAACTGTCGCGTTGAAGCCGCTGCCCTCGCGACGACGTCCTCAACACGATCCGACTTGCTCTTCGCGAGACGATCGTGCGGGATGGCGCGACGAGTGCCAGAGTTTCTCCGCCTGGTCTTTGTCGTCGTCGTCGGTCGTCGTCGCGTCGCGAATAGAGGACGAGGTGGCAGGGCCCGCCGCGATCGTGTCCCCGGCGAGCTGATGCGGGCCGTGGGGGTGTACAATTGGTGCTAGGTTGGGCAAATTCGTGGAAGGGCACGCGCTGGTGCTTGTCGTCGTGGCTGTGCTTGACGTGGTTGTGGTGGTTGAAGCAGATGAATTGCCGTTGTGAAGGTAGACGGGTATGTGGTCACGAGGATGGGCGGTTTGGTCTGGCCGCCGATTTTTTAGCCTCGTCTGGTCGTCGTTGCTGGACCTGGCCCGGAGCGCTGGAAGGCTGCGCTGCGCTGGGGTGACCACCCTGCCGCCCTGCACGGCGGGCATCCAGTGGCACTGACAGCGCTGGACAGCACGGCAGCGCATCGCACCACAGCGCATCAGGATCCATCCATTTCCTACCTAGGTAGGTACCCCACTATCCACGCACGGACCACATAGAGTGGAGCGCCGCGCTGCGGTGCTGGCGGCGCTACACCTCACCGAAGCGTTGCCGTGCTCTGCCGCCGTGCTCCGGCTCACCTCCCGAGACTCACCTCGGTGCCGCGACGGACGCTCACCTCAGTGTGCGCAACCCTCTCCCCCTCCCCCTCCATCCCGGGCAGGTACAGTAAGCTTCCGCGCGCCATCACGATGGGGCGGAGAAGGGGGGCCGTCGCTCCCTCGGCCAGGCGGCCGGAGGGGCACACTCGGGGCAAACAACGCTCACATCGGCCACCTACATGCTGCCACTGCGTCGTCAACTTACGTGTAGATGGTCAAGCCATGCTGCCATCGCCATGAGACGAGCCGTGGCTCTTACTGCTCCCCTTCAGCCATCTACCGCCCCTCTTCACTCACCTACCGGGCATAGAAATACATTGAAAGCATCGCTCCTCCTCTGCGTCTTCCTCCCCCTCCCCCTCCACTCCTCCTCCAAGCCAGCCCAGCCCAGCCCGTTCCGCCCCTCGACGTGACTCGTTACAATTCGCTTCGCACCCGCTCGCCCCACGTCGGCTCTTGAATTTCTCGAGTCTTATCGACGGAGGGGGCGCAGGCACGCACCTCCCTCCCTCCGCCCCCTCGGCAACACCAAGATAGATAGGGAGGCTCGATCGGCAAGCTCGTCTAGCTGCTACTACGCCCGGCGCTCACGGCTGTGATGCGGCACGAGTTGGTGTGTGGCAGAGCGGGGTCCCAGCCAGTGATAGCAGAAGAGGGCGGCGCGGTGCCATCCATCATCCCTCCCCCAAGCACCCGCGCCGCTGCTTGCGACGCTCCCGCAGTGTGTGCGCCGTCGACTTGGGGCCCTCTCGTCGGACGAGCTGAACGCCATCCGGCAAGCGAGGGACGTGGGCTGCCCGCCCCTCCGCGTGCCTGTCCATCATGGCGCCATCACCCATTGTCACTTGCGACGACGTCGTAAAAGAGCTCAAACTGCGGCCATCAAAAGCGGTTCATATTTAGAGCCGTAGCCGTCGTGATGATGTGATGATGATACAATAGTACATCTTTGTCCAGCGAGCCTGCGTGGTACAAAGCCAAGATGTGTCAAGTCCCGCCGAGATCCCGTCGTAGTCAAGGTGAAAGGCATCGTGTGTCAAGCAAACTCCGGTCCTTATACACCCCTTCGTTGTAGCCACCGCATAATCTCCCGCGCCGTCGTTCCAAACTCCCAACCCAAGAAGAAAAGAGCAAATGTTTGTGGTGTCTTGTTTCGTTAATTAATATTGTCATCATGCGGCGGCCATTGTCATTGGAAGATGTTCCCAATCGTAAGACGTGACTATCAGGGCTCGAGGGACGGGGCGGGTTAGCCGCTCAATGAGCTGACGACCCGCCGCTCTCCGACGAGTCTGTCTTGGACAGGTCGTCGCCCTCGTCGCTGGTGGGGCCGTGGACCGACTCCTCAAAGACGGGCTCGGGTTCGTTGACGTCGAACTTGGTCTTGAACTCGCCCATGTGGTGTGAGACGGTGCTGCTGTTGGAGCGGCGACGCGCGTTGGTGAAGCGGAAGTCTTCATCCACTACCTCTTCTCCAAAGTTTCCCCTATATAGCAGCCACGTTAGCGCGCCGTTTCAACGCAACTAGATTAAAAGACAAGCGCGTGGCACGTACCAGTTGCCTTTGCCGCCACCGTCCTTCTTGATCTTCTTGGGGTCGGCGTCGGCATAGCCGTGCTTGGCAAAGAAGCGAGGAAGGTGCTCTGTGGGAGCGGCGGTGCCGTCGGCGAGGCCCTTGTGGTCACGGTCATTGGCCTTGTGGGAGCGAGTCACTGTGGTACATGCCAGTTAGCCTTTACTCAGCCTCGGTTTGCGAGTAGTGACTTCGGCGGCGGCGGCGGTGCCCTTGGCGAGGCGCCTTCTTGGCTGATCTCGCAACAGCAGCGTCGCCAGACGACGACAAGGCACGGCATGCCGCCATGTATGCAGGGGCAGGCGCTGGGCAAACTCACTGTTGAACGGGCGTGGGGTTGAAGATAGAGTTTACGGGGGCGAAGGAGGGGTAGCTGGAGCTTTGTTCCGAGGGGTTCAGGTAAACCGACAGAACGTTGGCTGATGCTCGTTCGGTGTAAGCGGACGAGAAGGGTTGGCGTGTAAGTGCGTGTGGTAGTCGTGCTTTGCTTTAGAGCGGTTGTGGCGATGATGGAGGCAGGAGGAGGATGGGAATCTGGGATGGATTGATGGCAAGATTGATGGGAATGGAATGCTGAGTGAGAGCTTGGAGGGGGAAGAGATGGGTGAGGAGGAGGAGGAGGATGGCTATTATATCAGAGGTGTCACGCGAGTGCCGGGGGGTGGGTGGTATGACGGAGGACCAATCAGCTCGGTCAAGCCATGGCCACACCTGGCTTCATGGGGAGGAGGTACGTAACTGCTGCCAACCGGGCCGGGGGGCCAAAGTCACCGTTACCTTTGCGTTGCTTGGGGAGGTTGCCATGCCGAATGGAAGTCGGCGGAAGAGCAGGAAAGGGGGGCCGTTTGTCGGCGTCTGGTTGACGCAAGTAAGGTAGCTGTTGCAGTGCAGTGCAGTGCATTGCTCGCTGGCCGTGGCCGAGCATGAGGCCATTGAGAGCGCCTATGGAGCACAGGAGCCCGCAACTCGCCTTCCACCCTGTCCGTCATCCTGCTCCCCGCCCAGCCAGCCGTGACTCTCACCTCCGATCCTCGCACAGTAGATCGAGCAATGATTCACGTTTGGGCGACGCAAACACGCAATGGAAGTCAACAGAACGCTCGAGTCGACCGACCGACAGCAGCAGCCCAGACCTGCCCAGGGGGAGTGAGAGGTCATCGCGTGACCCCCCGGACACTGACGCAACAGCACAGGGAGTGGAGGGGGGGAACCCACCCGGCGGGCGCCCTGTGGCCAATTCGCCCGCCGTACCCGCTACCTGCGCCGATCCCCTCATCGCGACCCGGAATGAGCATCGCGGTTGACGCCCGTGTGCGGTTTGCGCGGGGCTCGTCGTCCATTGCGCAATGGGAGAGTCTGTTTCGCGACTCAATTGCCTCAATTGGCCTCGACGCCCCCGTCTGCAGCGACCGCGGCCGGGTCTAGCCCGCCCCTGGTTGCGGCAGTGGAAGCAAGCAAGCGGGTGGTGCAAGTGCAGGTAGCTCGCCTGAGCTCGGACAGGCGGGCAGCGCGGCGGCCCCTCACTGCGAGGTCCCACCTGAGCATGAACCCTTGCTCGCCTGGGCTGGCCCGGCCAACCGGCCTCAGGGCATGGGCTACTGGGCTGGGCTTCCTGCACTGCCTTGACTGCCTGGTGCTGCAACTTGTCTCGGCTGGCTGGCGCTGCTGCCCCGCAACCAGCTCCACCGCTGGAACTGGCCAGAAGGACTTGAATCATCAACTGATGCTCCCATTCTCCTCCTGCTCTCCCGAGTCCGGCTACTGCTGCCCCGGACTGGGCAATTACGGTGACGTCTCATGCGAGGTTCGACCAGACGCTTCCAGCGCTATTCTGGCCCCCAACCCGCCCGCCCGCCTGTAATGGAACCGCCTGCGCCGCCCCGCGCGCCGCACCGGGCCTCCCTCCCCCGGGCTTGGAAGCGCTGCGCGCAACTGGAACAGCCCAGAGCGTTCCCGTCCAAGAATAGCGCCTCGCCCCCCTAACAGGGAGGTAGCCGGTACTCGGAACGCCCACATGGCGCATCCGCCATTGCGGGGTATGGGGTACATGACTGGCGCTGGCGCCAGGCGCCGGAAACCCACCTCAGTGACGGAATGCAGGGACTCGCTGGCCCGCTGGGGGAGAGGGGCCCGTGGCGCCCGCAGGCCCGGACTCGTGACTTGGGCTGTGCTCCGTCCCTCGTACTACCACTGCACCAGCAGCTCGGAGTCCGGCTGGGCGCCCGGCCTGCCCGCTGGTTTGGGCCCTACTAGGTAGGCATGTCGGCATGGGAGGATTCTGTTGGGGGTCGCCTACCGCGTGCCGCCGCCGCCGCCGCCGCCGGTGAGCGCAGGACGACACAGCTCCCGAAAACACGCCATGCTGGCCGCATCGTCAACGCTGCCGATGTCGCCGCGCCGGGGCTCCGCAGCTTTTTGCCATCGGCGCCATGACGGGCAGCTGAGGTCACGAGGCCCGCCGGGGATGATTGCGCTGTCTCGCCTTCCCGCCTTGCGCAGATCGGAGCATCTCTCGGTGAGTCAGTCAACATGTTGTCTGGTCTCCAAGGCCTCGGACCGCTTCCGCGTCGCACCCGCCTGCCCCTGACGTGCAACGTGGGCCAAGCCAACAAAACACCAGCTCACATGACCTCGTGCGAGGCATTCGCCGAGGCGCAGGTACGGATACGTATGTACGGTAATGCCTGTTAGACGACAGTTGTCCCGTACGAGACTGCTCAACGGTGGCAACTTTGCGTCGCAATGCCGCCTGCGTCTTTATTCAGACATTGAACACGTATGTTGTTCTCTTCTCTTTCTCTCTCAGCCCCTCCGTGGGTACGCCCATGATGGCACCATGGCAACTGGACTGCCCACCGGCGTGGACGGGGGACCGTTCGTCTCTGGAACAACCACGGCAGGCAGTCTATGAGCTACCAACGTTGCAACTACACCCGATGACTTGTGAGGGGGCTCACATTATATATTATACATTAGAAACGAGCTATGTCTTGAAATGGTACGCCCTGAGGAATACCTCCAGTGACGCAGCTCAGCTACGACTGGGCCGGCCACCGGCAGAATGTGAAGGCTCATCCCTACCTCATGCCACTTCTCAACGCCTTGCCATGTACATCCAAGATGCTGGGGTTTAGCACAGCAGAAGACCACATCTCGTGCCGGAACTATCCGCGACAGGGGGCGGGAATCGGCAGCTGCTCCAGACGCTGCCTGACCTGTTCGTAATCATCATGCGTCATACTCTCCAGCTTGTACTCACTCCGCACGGACATGGCAAAGTCGATGAGCGGCTTCGGCTTCATCTGAATGCCCCCAAAACCCCTGGGGCGGTTCTCCATCATCCACGCCACGTGGTTCTTGAAGAAGAGCTCGTCGAACTCGAACCGCCGCGTCTTGAGGAGCTTGGTGGATTCCTCGAGAGTCTGCTCCACAAGCTGCGTCCTGAGTTGCGACATGGCCTCGCATGTCTTCTGTTCCACCTCGGCTTTCCCCTCGAGAGATTCCGTCTCTCGGATGCGCTGCCGCTCCTCCTCAGTCGCCGCGGCCTGCATGGCGCCCGCGTACAGCGTGCCCTTGACGCGGCACTCTTCAAAGAGCGTGCTCACTTGCATTGCCGCGTACTGGGTCCTGACGCGGGCCTTGCACTCGCCGGACACCAGGTCCGTGATGATGAGTCTGCGCTGCAGCGCCCAGTTGTCGGCGCGGCGCTGGTTGAGATTCTCGGGGACCATGAGGTGCTCCCACTCCTCGTTGATGGCCATGGCCAGGGGGATGGTGCGGACGAGATCCAGCGTGATGGTGACGGCGGCGGCGAGGGGCCAGGCCGGGGTGAGGGACACGAGGTCCGTGGCGGTACACAAGGCGAACCTCAAGTCTACGTTTTCCTTGCCCTTTTCTGCCTTGGCTGAGGCGTCGAAGGCGCATCTCATGAAGGGGATGATGCTCGTAGCCACCACGACCCTTTCCACGTCGGTCGAATTCGTCGAGTAGACGTTGACCATGTTCTTGACCCATCTGGCAAATCCGCCGGCCATCATCATCTTCTTCAAACCTTTCATCGAGTCGGGCTCAAAGTTGTCGATCGAGGAGCGGATGGCTGAGAAGGTGGGCACGCCCGTCTTGGATTCTATCGCGAGATCGGTGAGCTGCCCTTCCTGACGGGCCTTTAGCGACGAGCTCTGCGGCGGCGGCTGCGATGCGATGAAGAACTTCTCCAGGTCGTAGTTGATCAGCCGTCGCTTGAACTCCTTTTCCGAAAAGTCTTCGGCTATCTTGACGAGTTCTTCGTCGGTGAGGGCTGCAACGCCGGCGCCGGCGTTGCCATCCTGGCTCGTTTCTGACGGGTCGCCTTGCGGCAAGCCGAGGCCAGGGGCCGGGAGCCAAGCCGCAACGGCAAGAGCAGCGATCCAGAAACGACGCATCTTCGATGATTTGATGAATAGCTCAATAGTGATTGAGTGGGGTGTACTTGTCCGCGGCGGGTGTCGTATGGTGTGCTTAGACAGCTCAGTCGCTCAGCGGTTGAAGTCGATCTGTTGGTTTCTATACTCGCTGATCACAGCACGTCGTGCATTCAGGGTTACCGTAATGACATTGGACACCAGCGTACACGAGAATCGATACCAAAGGGCCCTTCTTCGTGTATGGTTGAAGCTGGGCAACTCGAACTGACTCGGGCGTCGTCGGCCCTGGAGTCGGCACGAGCAGGGCACAGAGCAGGCATCATCATCTCGGCCCAACTCTTCATGGAAGGCCTCGCATGACTCCTGAATCGAGAAATTGGCAAGACTGACAATCCTCGGCGCCAAGATTAGAGCATCACTTCATCCAAGTCCACAAGTCTGGAGAGCGTCCAGCTCTGGCCTGCTATCCAGGGCTACGGCATCCCTACGTCCACTTCTACGGTTTCTGCAAAACGCAAAGGTATATAACGAAAAATAGAGCATAGTGTGGCAGGAGATTCAGACGTGATACGTGGGAATCAACGTAGCGTAATGCGCGGCACGTCCACTGGTCGCTATAGCATGTTGCTTGTTGGTGCGTACGTCAAGAAGTGGGACTGAGAAGTGTCCATCTACACGAGGCAAAGGACAACATCGGACATGGCGGGGACGCGTGCGGTGAGTGGCTTCGTATAGTCATTTACGTAGCCGGTCGCGTACAAGGGCCAAAATGAAAGACTCTCATTGAGTCATGACCGCTGCGGTGAGCGGCCGCGGAAAGTCATCGGCGTAGATGTAGGCAGGCCTGCGCGAGAGCCAAAATTAAGATATCATGCCTGCTGCGGTGAATGGCCATGGAGCCGTAAAGGAGACGGCACGTGGCCCCCACGATTCAGAATCGGCTCTCGTGTTGCTACTAGGAATCTCACATCAGGCATCAAAGATCAACGAGTCAACACCCAACGTCGATACTTGTCTGCCGTCCGGGCACGCACCGTCACTGCCCGCGGTCCCCTTTCCAGGTCTGCTCCCATGCCACGCACCGCGTTTCCTTTATACCAGACATACTCTTACGTTAACATCGCCACGCGACGGACCTTCCCAAGATGTAGTTAATGGCGGCTGTCGGCTCCTCGTAGCAGTCATCGACGGATCAAGGCCCGGCCCCGGACTGGAGGAAATTGCTCCACGTGCACGCATGAACCGCCAGCTGGGGTACGCCTCGGCGTCGGTAAAGCGACAATGACGACGGTCCACCTGTGCCTGTGCGGCCTTGGCAGGAGGCAAGCGGTGGGCGTTTTGACGACCGCCTAATAAGAAAGGAGTAGTCTTATTCGTCGAGCCAACTTTTGCTGGCTGTAGAGCCCGCCCTACCGCAGCAGCAACGACAGCAACGACGGTAAAGTTAGGAATAGAGCGAGGCGATGGTATCTAAATAACTCTTCTCCTTGTCCTCCCTGAAGAATTCCCGTTCCCCCATCGCACCCAAAGCACTCTGCAGTCATCTTGCCAAGTTCTTCTACCACTGCCTCTGACCAACCACCCGCCGTATGATGACACGGTATTTGAATCGTTGCAGAGTCGTTTCAGGCCCATTCGCGTGAAAGCAACTCCGCTCAGTCACGACAGAGTACCGGCCGTGGGCGTCTGCGACTGGATGACAGCCTCCTTCACAGGTCTTGTCCTCAGGAAAATCGTCCAGGACACGGGCATCGACTTCCTCGAGTGCCTGCTGAGCTAGAGTGGGGACGGAGCTCGTAGCTTCGCTTGGCGACATGTTGACCAGCTACGTGGTGGGAATCATGGTGACGACAAAGATGGCTTAGAGTTTCATGGACAAACTCGATAGTTCGACTCATTATTCCGATGGCATTTTGCTGGTGGCCGAGTCGGGCGACGATGCGTGGTTGTGGGATTCGGCGGCGTACATCTCGCCAGGCCGTTGTCGGACGAGCCGAAGAAGAGTGAATACACATTTGCGCCGAGAACGCGATTCAAGATGACGAGAACCGACCAGGTCGCTGTTTCAGAGAATCCCGTGGTTGTGATTGCTTTACAGCCCGAGCCTGGGATCCATCGGACGAAGGAGGGCGACGTGGGCTTCGCGCCGGGCCTTTGAGGTATCCAATGTTTCCGAGGACTTTGCTCCCAGTGGCAGGATCCCACATAGCAGACACAGATCCGGGGGCAGGCGGTGCGCTTGCTGTAGACGTAGAAGCCACTGATGCCGAGTCCGCCCCATCATTGACGTCGCGAGGCGATCCTCCCTTGGTTCGTCTGACTGGGGGTTTTGCTGCCAGCGGAGTGGGCTAACTGACATAGCTCGGGGTTGTCAGTGTATGGACATTCTTGAGGGGTATCATGAGAGTAGTGCTATTCCCACAGATGTTCGTCGTCTATCTAGGGTCGGCCAGCCATTTTTGGTGTGCAGGCATGGGACGATAGCGGCGCGTCGCCTGCTGCTATTACTCTCATTTCTTTCGTTCCTTTCGTTCCTCTTATTATCACCGATGAAGCCACGGGGGCCTCCAGACGACGTCGTTGCAGTGCATGAATACAATGGTGGAGGACATGTTAATCTGCCTAAGCATCAATGCTAATCGTGAAAACATTCACATCATCGACCTCCACACAGACAGCCTCAGCAACGACGTCCAGTGCCATACCCATGATTGGAAATCCAAAATCCGGCACCTCTTCCGTTCGGCACATCCCACCGACTGAGCGGCAAAACTCGCTATCAATTCGGTCCAACGCGTCTCTGGTGGTGAATCAGTCAGGATCTGGTAATCCTTACCCTAGATTCCCAGCGTCGAGTCGCGCAATTGTGGTGGACGCGCCAGGGGTCCACTCCCGGAGCAGCACTGGCTTGCTTAAATGAGGCGCTAGCGGCGGCGCGCGCCCCTCAGGTACCGCAGCAAAGCACAGCGCAGCACAGCAGTTCGTCGACCTGCTGCACACCAGGTCCTTGATGCTCAACCTCAGACTCGTCTTCGCATTCGGCCTCATCCTCCCAGCAGCGGCCTTTTTGCTGAGTTTCTTCTTCCCACAGCTCCTCGACTTTTCGGCCACGCAGTCGTCGTCACCCGAGTCATCCACCACCGCCACCACCAGCAGCAGCACAATGTCCTCGGTCCGCAGGGCAGCGCCGCTCATCTTCCCGGCCAAGGGACGGCACACGGCCACCGTCATCTTCGCGCACGGCCTGGGCGACTCCGGCGCGGGATGGGCTGATGCCGTCGAGCGCTGGCGCCAGAGGCAGAACCTGAGCGAGGTCAAGTTCATCTTGCCCAACGCGCCCGTCATCCCCATCACCGTTGTGCGTACTCCTCAAGGGCCATCTATCGAGTCCCAATTGCTAAGCAAAACTAGAACAATGGCTACCCGATGCCTGGCTGGTTCGATATTGTAAGTCCCCTTGGCAAGCCGTAGTCAATGGGCGCAAGGCGCAATGTACCTTGCTCACACGTGCGACGCAGACGAGCCTCGGCGCCGCCATCACCTCGATAGAGGCCAAGCTCAACGAGGACACGGCCGGCATCCTCGAGTCGCGCAAGTACCTGCACTCGCTCATCCAGGACGAGGTCGCCGCGGGCATCCCCAGCGAGCGCGTCATCCTCGGCGGCTTCTCCCAGGGCGGCGCCATGAGCATCTTTGCGGGCCTCACCGCGCCCTTCAAGATTGCCGGCATCGTCGGCATGTCGTCGTGGCTGCTCCTGCACCAGACGTTCAAGCAGCACGTCCCGGAGGACGACGTCAACAAGGGGACGCCCGTCCTCATGGCCCACGGCGACAGGGACCAGATGGTCCGGTACCCGCTGGCGCAGGGGTCGGAGCGCCTGCTCAAGGCCATGGGCTACGACGTGACGCTCAAGACGTACAGGTGAGCAGTCCTTACAGACAGCCGCTCTCACATATGGTATGCTGACGTAGCGCAGCGGCATGGAGCACTCTGCGTGCTTGGAGGAGCTGGATGAGGTCGAGGCCTTTATCAAGGCCAGACTACCGCCCAAGGGCAACTGAAAGGAGTGATCATGGATGTAGCAGAGACAAAGAGAGACCCGATGTTGGACCCGGCAGACGGTGCTTGACAGATGTTGAAGAGAGCCCGGCCCAATGCAGGTAGAATAGAACACATGTATTAGCAATACGAAGTAAAATATCATATATCCAGTGTCCCGGGGTATCCATATGTCATACTGGCTTGTCAGTCGCCATCGCGCCACGCCTTGCGGGCTCATCAAATCGCTTCCTAAGCCCCCTATACCATTAACGCCTCGGCAATCGCAGATCACCTTTCCAAGCGGCCGTGTCACGCATCGGCCGCGGCCATCGACTCGCGCTTGGCAATCGTCTGGCTCCTCCGCCTCGCCACCGTCTCAGCATCCCACACCCCCATGAAGATGTCCTCGCACTCGTCCTCGTCCTCCGAGTCGAACGCAATCTCCTCCTCGCCGTCATCGTCATCGGCGCCGCCGCGGCTTCGGCTCGCTCGGCCACCCATCTCCTCGATGACGGCCATGTCGTCGCCGCAGCCTCCCAGAGGCACGTCGAGGTCCTCCCAGCAGCGGTGCGTCACCACGCGCTCCACCTCGAGGATGTACTTGCCCACCTTGTACTTTTGCGACTGCTCCTTGGCGTCGACGTACTTCCACCCCAGCTTGCGCGAGCACGTCGCGCAGCATATGTCGGCGACGACGTGCCACCCCGTGACGAGCTGGCGGTCCTCGCTGCGCCCGACGCGGATGTTGGCCAGCAGGCCCTGGTCTTTGGCATCTTTGGCCTTTTCGTCGACGCCGCCTCCTCCTCGGGCCTTGTCCGCGGGCGTCGGTGGCGGTGCGACGAGGAACGCCCGGCCGTAGCGGCCCGTGAAGCCCTTGGAGATGATCTGCGACGCGAGCGCGACGTCGGTGGAGCAGTTCATGCAGCGGAGGATATCGGGAGCGGCGCGCGACAGGCGGCGGCGGCTACTGTTGAGGCCGTCGGGCTTGGTGGTATCGCGGATGGGCGACTCGCGGTCGGGCGGCGAGTTGTTGGGCGTCGTGGCCGCAGACGAGACGGCCGACTCTCCCGGGTGCGAGGACGACGACGACCCGGCCGACGACGCCGACGACGCCGACTGGCGCCGCGAGAAGGAGAACTTGAAGCTCGGGAGGAGGTACGTCGGGAAGACTGGCCTCGTGGCCGAGATGCGGCTCTCGCGGGGCATCTTGGGGCAGCGCCGCGCCGCGCCACGGAGGGGATGGTGCCCTGCGTATTATACGCAAGGTACGGTAGTGTCGGTCAGCGAGAAGCTCACGCGCTTCTGGCTCGGCAGTTCAATGGGAGCTGATAAACACGAGGGGACCGCAGGGCGGCAGAGTCATGGGAGATGACCGTGCCGCCTCACGTCGCTTGGTCGTCTCTGCGGAGAAAGCTGTTGAGGAAAGGAAGGTTTGTGGAGGAGGCGTTGTCGCTGCGACGTGCTCGCTGGGGTGACGTACAGCCCGCCCAGTCCGCCACGGCCCAATGCGTCACCAACCGCTCACATGGGCAGATGACACGAGCGACCCCTCCGCCGCGGGGGCTTGAGCTAAAACTACTGACGGGCGGGAGAGGTGTGTGTGTGTGTGAGTGGGTGAGTGCTTGTGTGTTAGACTGGCGACTGCGAATTGCTCTGTGAGCACCGGGCTCAAAGATAAAGATTGAAAAGCAGAAGCAGTACAGAGCAGATTCAGGACAGCATCGGATGGGAGGAAACAAACGTAAGCCTCCCTACCCCCGCACGAGATGCTCCATGCCAGGTTGCACTGCTCGATCTGATCCAGAGGCCGACGGCGATGGCACACAGCCCATCCACCTTATCCATCCATCCGTCCAGACGGCCACGCCCGCGTCGCATGATCGACCCACCCAGACCGAGTCGGCAAATGGCGTCCCGGGCGGGCATCAATGGTTGATGCGCTGCCCGGCTGCCTGGCAGGCCTGGGCCGGCACTGGCGTGGAGGCGGGGTCATTCGGCATCCTCGGTGGGACTGTCGTCCCAGCGTTTGGTCTAGAGTCCACTCTGCCTTGGCGCCAGTCCTTCTCTGGCTGCGCTTTATCGCCCAATGGAACAGGTTCAATGCAGTTGCTTTGCAGTTCACAGGCATCTGAACAGCTTCTTTGGCCCGGCGCAAGCAAGTCAATTCAACGAGACGCAGTGTTGCCGGGACTTGTTCTCCTCAGGGGTACTCCAATTCCCAGGCTCCGCAATCGCGCCATGAGCTGCCAGTACGCATGAATTATAGACGGGGCAATGTTATACGTGGTCCCTGGCTGAGCCGCGATAGCATCTATTGGGAATACTCGACCGCAGCAGCAAATGTCCCCTCTGCATCGACATCAGCTGACTTTGCTCGGCATTGTTACCAGCCCCATGGCGTACATAATACCTGTGGTTGGATTTCTAGAAGCTCATCGGGCGTAGGGGGAAGTGTCATAAGCTTAGAATGTAAGCGCAAAATGCCACATGGGCGTCGCATCGCCGCGTTGCCGTATATGTCTTGAAGGAGTGCTATTCGTAGAGGCAACTTTTGCTAGTTGTAGAGCTGTCCTACATGTTTCTTAGCAGCGCCCTTGCTGTCGTTGGTGTCGTTGGTGTCGTGTCTTCTCAGCTGCAGGGACAACATGGTGAGGGACGTTGCCGACTTTCAGATGCTCCTGCCTTGGCCGTCAGAGTGTTCATAGGCAACAAGGTAAGGGATAGAGAGGGCATGAGATGTGCAACATGATGTTGCTTGCGCTCAATCACGCTAAAGGCCATGTGACTCTCTGGCAGTGTCCGAGTCAGGTCCGTGCTCGTCGGACTGAGCATTAAAGGACTGCATCGTGCCATCACCGGGTACTCAGCAGGCGATGCCGAGGCAACAGGGTTCGACCCAACATGAATGGCAGGGTTGCTTCCAAGGAGACATGCCGGCGCGGACACGGAAGCAGCACGACGTGAGTTTCCGGGGCCGTTGGCGTGTCCACTGCCCAGAGACGAGACGCATTTCGAGGGAGCAACGAACGCACGTAAAGTAAGACGCACATCGTGCTTCCCAGCATTATTATCCATCAAGTCGTGAAGCGGTAGTGTTTTCCTCGTTGGATAGAGTGCTTGCAGTTTCTTTTTATATTGCAAGGGTCGTGCGTCTCCGGAAGCTCAGCCGAGATCACGACGACGGCACCCACGAGAGGGCAGTGGGGCTCTGATCTCTCGCGTTTGCGTCATTGCGTCCGTCAGTGCCGCCAGCGCCCAGAGGTCACTGGCCAGAAGGGCAGGTGGGGGCCCTTGGGGGCGTCCGTGGCCTCTAAAGGCGCTGGCCCTTGGGGAGGCATGGGAGGGATGTTTCCAATTGGGGGGGTGGAAGGGTCCAATGGCTGCAGCAGACCGAGCAGGGGTCCGCCGCCCTGTAGCGACTTATCGTCACCGCCTCCATCGCGAACCCACCCACCCGGGCAGCTCATGCCCGCACCAATGCCCTGCGCGAGCACGGCGGGGGAGCTGCTGCCAGCTGCTCCGAGACACGGGGCGCTGACAGGCTGGCGCTCGCGGGCAGGCCGCCATAGCGGGCATCGTGGACCCAGTCGCAGGAAAACTCGCCCTCGCCACTAGAACGTTTCACGTAATTCCCCGCCAACGACGTCCCATCTCCCGCCTGGCCTCATCGTTCGGGGTTTCCTCTCCTCGTGCGAGCGGGCAAATACATTACTTCTCGTGATTTTCGTTGCAACTCAGTGCGATCCGACCGCGCACCTTTTTATTCGCACGTCCTGCACCAACGTTGCTGCGCAGCTACGCCATCCAAGGGAGTGTCATCCCACCGCCATCACTCCCTACGCGCCGCCCAGCGTCTCATCTCGTCAAGCGAGACGAAGCTCCGTCCTGACCCTGTTGGCCGCCGAGCGCTTTGCATCCTGTCCTCGTGACCACCGGTCATCTCGGATCGCAACCCGCCAGGCCATCCGTGCCATCCCTCCCCGATCGCACGTCGCTCTGAGTAAGACGATCACTTCGCCACACGTCATTTGAAGACGACACCGCCCGCCCGGGCGCTGGACCCTCGATCCCTAATTCATCCGCCAACGACGCCTCCAGCCCAGCCCAGACGTTGTCAATTGCTGCGAAACAGACTTCACATATTGTCATGGCCTCGACGTCGAACCACCGCACGCGTGGTTCCGACGACTTTGGCGTCTTCGACGATGCCAAAACCTACTATGCCTCCGAGGAGCGCCACACGAACCGCTTCGGCGCCCGAACCCGGACTTTCTCACAGGTTAGCAACACCAAGTACGAGCATGATCAAGCTGTGCAGCGTCTGACCGACTGCGCAGAACAGCATCCTGAAGCAATTTGAGCGAGTCGGGCTGCGAGAACCGTTTCGCCGTGGAAGCCATGGTAAGCCATCTCGGCGCAATCAATCCAACAGAGTCCCTGACCTTTGCTGGTAGACGAGTCAACCATCCCCCACGGCCGGCGATTCCTCATCCAGGTCGACGCCACGCTCAACAGTCTCCGGGAGCAAGAAGACACAGACAACAACATGCAGATCACGATAGAGGACAATGGTCCCAAGGTCCTGTCGCTGCGGACCGCCGCATCTGCCGGCCACAACCGATTCGACGTCCGAGGCACCTACATGCTGTCAAACCTGCTGCAGGAATTGACCCTGGCCAAGGAGTACGGCCGCAAGCAGATTATCCTCGACGAGGGCCGGCTAAACGAGAACCCCGTTGACCGTCTGTCGCGCCTGATTCGGGACCACTTTTGGGATGGCCTGACGCGCCGCATCGATGCGTCGACCATCGAAATCGCCGCCCGGGATCCCAAGGACTGGACCGACGACCCACGGCCCCGCATCTACGTCCCCGTCGGCGCCCCCGAGCAATTCGAGTATTACACGCGCGTGGCCAAGGAGCGCCCGGAAATCCGCCTCGACGTGCAGCTCCTGCCCGCCAACATCACCGCCGAGGTGATTCGGGACATGAACGACAAGCCCGGCTTGCTGGCCGTGGCCGTGGAGAAGAGTGAGGATGAGCACCACAACGTCACACTCAAGGGTCTGCCGTTTGTCGTGCCGGGTGGCCGCTTCAACGAACTGTACGGGTGGGACAGCTACATGGAGTCGCTGGGCCTGCTCGTCAACGACAGGGTCGACTTGGCCAAAGCGATGGTCTTGAACTTTTGCTTCTGCATCGAGCACTACGGCAAGATCCTCAACGCCACGAGATCGTACTACCTTGGTCGGTCGCAGCCCCCGTTCCTGACCGACATGGCCCTGCGCGTGTACGAGAAGATCAAGCACGAGCCCGACTCCAAAGAGTTTTTGCGCCGGGCGATGCTGGCCGCCATCAAGGAGTACCACAGCGTGTGGACCAGTGACCCGCGACTTGACCCCGTCACCGGGCTGTCGCGGTACTGCCCGGAAGGCGTGGGTGTACCACCCGAGACGGAGGCGGGCCACTTTGTGCACATCCTCGAGCCCTACGTCAAGAAGCACAAGATGGAGTTCAACGAGTTTGTGCGAGCTTACAACCACGGCGAGGTCAAGGAGCCGGCACTCGACGAGTATTTCATGCACGACCGGGCGGTTCGCGAGTCGGGACACGACACGTCGTATCGGTTCGAGGGGGTCTGCGCCAACTTGGCCACGATTGACCTGAACTCGCTCCTGTTCAAGTACGAGACCGACATTGCCCGAACGATTCGTGGTGTGTTTGGCGACAAGCTGGTGGTTCCTGCCGAGTTCTGCGCCGGTACACCGTACCAGGCGGATGAGGTGCTTTCATCGGCGGCGTGGGACCGACGCGCCAAGCGGCGCAAGCTGATGATGGACAAGCTCATGTGGGACGAGAAGGAGGGCATGTTCTTTGACTACGACTTCGTCAAGCAGGAGCGGTGCACGTACGAAACGGCGACGACATTTTGGGCCATGTGGGCGGGCATCGCGTCGCCGAAGCAGGCTGCCGAGATGGTGAAGAAAGGCTTGCCCAAGTTTGAGGCGTACGGCGGCCTTTTGGCCGGCACGGAAAAGTCGCGCGGCGAGATCGGGCTGGAGCGGCCGAACCGACAGTGGGACTTCCCGTACGGATGGGCGCCGCAGCAGATGCTGGCGTGGACGGGGCTGCTGCGGTACAGCTTCACGGAGGAGGCGGAGCGGCTGGCGTACAAGTGGCTCTTTATGATCACCAAGGCGTTTGTCGACTTCAACGGCGTCGTGGTGGAAAAGTACGACGTGACCCGGCCGGTGGACCCACACCGAGTCGACGCCGAGTACGGCAACCAGGGCCTCGACTTCAAGGGCGTCGCCAAAGAGGGGTGAGTAATTGATGGCCGCGGTGCTGTGATTGATGGCGAACCGATAGCTAACAGCGCGACAGATTCGGCTGGGTCAATGCCAGTTACGTGTACGGACTGCAGATTGTCGATGCGCACATGCGTCGCGCGCTGGGGACGCTGACGCCATACCCGACGTTTATCAAGGCCGTGGAGCAGAACAAGGAGAAGGCGCTGGCAGACTTTGCGCTGCCATGAGGCATGCGGTTGCAATAATTAGCATTTTGACATGACAGAGTGTTTTCGGTTTCTGGAAGAGTCATGGTGGTTTCAGTCGGCAATGCCGTTGGAAGAGTGGTTTGCGCGGCTAGCAGGCATAGGATTGCATGGAAGCATGTCGGAGGACAGAAGAAGCGCCGTTGGTCATATCTGGATGTCGCAGGATGGGTGGATTGGCAAAGCGGCACGTGGTGCTTGATGTCAGGAATTATCGATACAGTAGTCTAATAGCGATGATGACACGGAGTTTGGGACAGCAGGAGACCAGTCTTCCACATGCCGACGGCTGTTTTGGCGTTGAGTCAGGCATTGGACGTTTGACCATGTGACAGCGGCGCATAGCACTCTGGGGCTCCCGACCTACCCTTGGCCCTGTCCGTCTGCGACACCGGGCAGGCTGGGCAGCTCGTGGGGACGGCGCTGCTCAGCCTGCGGTGCAAGAAGTCCCGGCACTTTTTTCAACGAGAGACTACGTACGATGTGAAAATCTGACGTCCCGATTTCGAATCCGACTTGCATTGGCGTTCCTGCGAGCACGTTTCTTGTACACGAGCGCAAATACGGACGCCGCAGATGTGGCTTGGGCAGCGTTTTGGAACAAGTGGTGCTGCTGGCTGCATCATCATCATCATCAGCGATTCATCATCACATGCCAAAAGCTCCGGTGCCCCGGGGGCCCGTCGCGGCCGTGCAGGCGGAAGGGGCGATGGAGGGGTGTGGGGCGGCGCGGCAGGGCCAAGTACCTGGGGCGTACCTCTCACCTGAGGTAGGTAGGTCCCCTTAGCCGGTGGCCCGCCGCCCGTGGTCAAGTCACCGAGGAAGCTGACGTTGCGGTACGCGGTGCTTGCCGGCATGTAGGGGAGAATTTGCTCAAGGATCATGGAATCCCATTTTCTTCGGGCTCTGTGGCCTCGTAGGGCGGCTTATTCATGATGGGAAACACGGCAAAACCAGCAACAAACGGGCTGTATTGGTTCGACTTCCCGGCAATGCACGAAAGTCGAGAGACGCTCGTGAGTCAAGTCGGGCAATGCGTCAAAGAGGGTACGCGCAGGTACCTGGCTGGCCACGAGCCGAGAGCCCCAATCGGCGGCTGCGGGGATGTGGAGCATTCTCGGCGTCGCGGAGGATGGAGGGAGGGCCAGCCAAGTGCCAGCCAGCCAGCCAGCCAGCCAGCCAGCCAGACCTGGCAGTGGCGAGGCATTGGCCCTCCACAGGGCAGCTGCTCCCTGACGAACCCGCTGTAGCAGCGCAACAACAGCGCCTGGGGTGAGGTCGGGTGTGGCAAGGCGAGAGCGGCGGAGGCGGCGCCCTTTTCCCATTCCCTGGGCCTCGGCCAATGGCGGCTAAAAACCCACACTTCCCGGGGAACCATTGAGCGTGTCGCCCTTGAGCCGAAGCGGAGGGACGTCACCGGTTCGTGGAGACTCTCGGGTGTCGCGCGTGTGCGTTGCGTGCGTGCCTGCGTGCGCGCGCGCCTCGGTTTTGTTGCCCGCCAGCCAGCTGCCCCCCCGGGCTGATGAACCGGTGTGAATTGGAGGCCCAGCGGCCGATGCTCCAGGCCTTCTCACACTCTGTCTGCCCTCTTCCCGGGATGGTCCGGCACACGGGACGGGGCGGCCAAGTTCCGAGGCGCAAAAGCTGGTGTGTTTGCCGTGGTGCTGCTGCTGGCTGCTGGTTGCTGGTGTGCCGGGAGTGACATGCTCTCTCTCTGGTGGTAGTAGACGTCGTCGGCCGGCCGAACCAGCTTATAACTTTAGTATGGCAGTTTCCCGGCTCGTGCTGTGACTCCCTCCGAACCTGTGACTCTTTTCCCTTCCCTTCCCCAAATCTTCATCATCTCCATCCTCATCCTCGCATCTTCTTCCCTTCTCCCCCCCTTCCCAATTCCCCCCCCGTGGTGTCGTGCCGTTATTTCTACGTTGCTCGACAACATCACCACACGTATCACTGCCGAGGTCCCGCGCTGCTGCCCCTCCGCCCCTCCGTGCCTCGTCTCCCACCCACCCCAATTCCCACCCTCGGGTCATCGACTGATTGCAAAAAGTATGTTGCTGCTGCTGCCGGCGTCCTTCTTTCCACGCAATTCACTCACCAAAGGTACAAACAGAAAGTTGAAAGGAAAAAGACTGTAGCCATGGCTGCCAACAACATGCTCAACCCGGCGGCCGACCTCGCCGCCGAGGACGCCCAGTTCCTCAAGGAGGTCGAGCAGGTCAAGGCGTGGTGGAGCGACTCGCGCTGGAAGCACACCAAGCGGCCCTTTACCGCCGAGCAGATTGTCTCCAAGCGCGGCAACCTCAAGATTGAGTACCCGAGCAACGCCCAGGCCAAGAAGCTGTGGAAGATTCTCGAGGGCCGGTTCGCGGTAGGTTCTCTCTCTCCCCGTTCGTGACATGTGCGCTCTCTCTCTCTCTCCCACCACCTCACCCGCGGGGTGTGTGGGCGCGCCGCGCTCTCTTGCTTGACAGATGCTGACTGCTTTGGTGTTGTTCCCTGCAGAACAAGGACGCCAGCTACACGTATGGCTGCTTGGAGCCCACCATGGTCACCCAGATGGCCAAGTACCTCGACACCGTCTACGTCTCCGGCTGGCAGTCGTCTTCCACCGCCTCGGCCTCGGACGAGCCGGGCCCCGATCTGGCCGACTACCCCTACGTACGTGCCTCCAATGCCTCTGTTACAACCCCCAGCCGGCCTCTCTCAAGAACGGCGTGCGGGCGCCTGCGGGCGCACGCGGTGTAAAAGGGAAAAGAATCAACGAGCAGAGAGCGCATCACATGCTAACAGCAAGTCTCTCTCCACCTCGCAGACCACCGTCCCCAACAAGGTCGGCCACCTCTTCATGGCGCAGCTCTTCCACGACCGCAAGCAGCGCCAGGAGCGCCTCTCGACGCCCAAGGCCCAGCGCGGCTCCGTCGCCCACGTCGACTACCTGCGGCCCATCATCGCCGACGCCGACACGGGCCACGGCGGCCTCACCGCCGTCATGAAGCTCACCAAGCTCTTCGTCGAGAAGGGCGCCGCCGGCATCCACATCGAGGACCAGGCCCCCGGCACCAAGAAGTGCGGCCACATGGCCGGCAAGGTCCTCGTCCCCATCAGCGAGCACATTAGCCGCCTCGTCGCCATCCGCGCCCAGGCCGACATTATGGGTGAGTCTGTGCCTGCCTGCCACCTTTGTGCTTGTCCGTGAAGCCCACTTACACGAGAGTTGTTGTGTGTGTGACTCAACGAAACCACCAACCCCTCGTCTTCCGCACAACGGGCAACAAACAGCGCAGTTGTTCTTGCGAGAAGAGACATGCCAAGGCAATTCAACAATTCCATGTGAAAATATCTGACTGGTTTCGAACACAGGCACCGACCTCATCGCCGTCGCCCGCACCGACGCCGAGGCCGCCACCCTCATCACCACCACCATCGACCCCCGCGACCACGCCTTCATCCTCGGCTCCACCAACCCGAAGCTGCAGCCCCTCAACGACCTCATGGTCGCCGCCGAGGCCGCCGGCAAGACGGGCGACGCCCTGCAGCGCATCGAGGACGAGTGGCTCGCCGCCGCCGGCCTCGCCCGCTTCGACGACGCCGTCGCCGCCGCCATCGACGCCGCCTCGTCCGTCCGCGACAAGGCCGCCGCCAAGGCAAAGTACGCCGCCCAGGCCAAGGGCAAGAGCAACGCCGAGGCCCGCGCCGTCGCCCGCGGCATCCTCGGCGGCCAGGACGTCTACTTTGACTGGGACGCCCCCCGCACCCGCGAGGGCTACTACCGCCTCAAGGGCGGCTGCGACTGCGCCGTCAACCGCGCCATCGCCTACGGCCCGTACTGCGACGCCGTGTGGATGGAGAGCAAGCTGCCCGACTTTGCCCAGGCCAAGGAGTTTGCCGACGGCGTCCACGTCGCGATTCCCCACCAAAAGTGCGTTCCATCTCCCCCCTTTGCCCTCTGATGCCCTTGCCTGTATGCCCCCCCCCCCCCTTCGAGGAGCAACCAGCGCAGGCAACAGGACACACAAACAGAAGAAGCGCCATGGCTGACTGACATGCATCCAGGCTCGCCTACAACCTCTCCCCCTCCTTCAACTGGAAGACGGCCATGCCCCGCGCCGACCAGGAGACGTACATCCGCCGCCTCGCCACCCTCGGCTACTGCTGGCAGTTCATCACCCTCGCCGGCCTGCACACCACGGCCCTCATCAGCGACCGCTTCGCCCGCGCCTACAGCCAGCAGGGCATGCGCGCCTACGGCGAGCTCGTCCAGGAGCCCGAGATGGAGCTCGGCGTCGACGTCGTCAAGCACCAGAAGTGGAGCGGCGCCACCTACGTCGACGAGCTGCAGAAGATGGTCACCGGCGGTGTCAGCTCCACCGCCGCCATGGGCAAGGGCGTCACTGAGGATCAGTTCAAATAGAGGATGCGCGCGCCCGTTGGCAGTTTGGATATCATGACCGCACAGAGAGAGAGGGAGAGAGAGAGGGAGAGACAGAACGAGAAGGACGGGACGAAAGAAAGAATCTAGGGTAACCATTTCCTTTTGTCGCATTGTACATTGAATATCAGGAGCATTGAACTGCAACCGACCGTCGGTCCATGCGATGAAAGTGACCTGAGCCTGTCTGTGTATTGTAACGGAGGCCTCACTTACTCGACAGTAAGTACTCGGCAGAGCACAGCTGCTCCGTTCTAGTATGCCAACAAATGTCCCGCAATCCGTCCTCCGCTGCAGGGCCATCAAGTCCGCCAACTCCCCAACTCCTGACAAGCAGTCTACTTTGCCACGCCATGTCTGGTCACCGTCAAATCTCGCATCATAACGTCGTCCATCTCGCCCCACCCAACAAGGCAGATCGCGGGGGCCTGCCTTGGTACAAAGTTAATACAGCATACTGCAACCGCCGCCTCGGGTCCAGCCGGGATACCCCAACAATCGCCGCTCAGTCAGCCTCCGCGAGCTGCATGATCAACCTCGCAGCCATGTCGAGGAACGGGAATGGACTCGTCACCTCCTTCTCCTCGAGCAAGAGTCCGTCCGGCGTCTCGTACCCCGAGCACTTAAAGTCCACCAAATACACGCCCTGCTCCATCTCGTAAATTTGAATGTCCATGTGCAGTGCTACAAATAGCTTCTTGGTTGGGTCCTGCTGTGAGTAGACGTGGTAGCTGTCTGGTGTGCCGACGTGGCTGCTTCCGGAGCCGTCGGCTGGGCTCTTTGTCTTGCGCTTGATGGCTACAGTCTCAGGGTTAGCGTATGCATGGCCGGGGTGATGACGGGATGACCTACTCGACGATTCCCACCGCACCTTGATGTGCCATGGATCCGCTGGAAGCTTGTATCGTTTCGTCGGGTCCAGACTTGAACTCGACTCGCGGTGCAGGGAACCGCCGTCGTAGTCGTCTGCAAAGCTTCCGTCGCCACTGGGCGTCTCGCTTTCCTTCTCTCGCGCGGACGCATAGTCCTCGTCTGGCACATACGTTGCTCCCAGCTTATGAAGAGCCTTGTGGATACAGAGAAGGGCCTCCCACGGGGCGTTGCGGGAGCGAATGCCAAACTGCCATCGCACGGGCTTGGGCTTCTTTGGTGGGTTGATCGGCGTCATACCCTGTGGGCGTTTACTTCCTTCCTCGAGCTTCAGCTGCGACCGGGCATGAGGCTTGAGGCGGCGAGCAGCTTCTTCCTTCTCAGCATCCGTCCTCGTTGACGGAGGCTCATCGTTGTCAGCCGCGTCCGACGGCTGGTTGGCCTCGAGGCCCGCCTTTTCTCTCTCCATGTAATCTTTGTGGTAGGCTGGGAGACTGCTGGGCAGAATGCCGACTTTGCTGACGTAGGGGCGCGGCGACAGGCCTTGAGACATGCCAGAACGGGCAGAGGACATGCTCATCATGGGGCTCGAGGCCTCGTCGACCTCGTTCAAGGCATCGGGGTTTTCTGACGAGGTTAGCATAAGTTGAGACCTACAAGGCGCTGCCAGCGACTCACGATTGACCTGCATCATCTTGTTCTCCCTCACAATCATGTACGCGTCCTTGATAGCAGACGGCTCCTCAGACTGCAGCGCCTCCTCGACATCGTTCTTGCCATAACCCATCGTCTTGCTGATCTTCTCCGTGACCTCGTTGTGGAGCCTCTCCTGGACCTGGACCGGCGCGTTTGGTGCGATGTCGCGCTTCTCGATGGCCTTGTTGGGGTCGACGCCGGTGTTGAGGAACTCCTCGACTGGGGGTTGAAGATACGCGGGCAGGTCGGTCATGAACCACGGATCCTGCCGAATCTCATCGATCGTCGCTCGCTGGACCGGGTTGACGACGAGCATCTTCTTGATGAGGTTCGCAGCTCCGGTTGGCATCCAGACAGGGATGCTGTAGGTGCCCCTGGCAATCTTGGCGAAGAGGCTGGGGATGTGTTCGTCGTCAAAGGGTAGCCGCCCGACCAGGAGCACGTAGAGAATAACGCCGCAGCTCCAGACATCGACTTCGGGGCCGGCGTACAGCTTCCCGCCGATGACCTCGGGCGCGGCATAGTTGGGGCTGCCGCAGCTCGTCTTGAGGAAGTTTCCGTCCGTCATGATGTTGCTCAGACCGAAGTCGGCAATCTTGACGTTGAGGTGTTCGTCGAGTAACAGGTTCTCGGGCTTGAGGTCGCGGTGGACAATCTTGTGGCGGTGGCAGTACTCGACGGCACAGAGCATCTGCTGGAAGAAGCGGCGGGCCTCCGACTCGCTCATCCGGCCATGTTGGACGATGTGATCGAAGAGTTCACCGCCGGCATACTCGAGGACCATGATGATTTCGCTATGCGTCTTGATGACAGTGTAGCTGGCAGCAGCTTGGTCAGCGTCGTGGCCGTGACGGGGCAGGGGGGATACCTACAGCTTGATGATGTGAGGGTGCCGCAGGAGTTGGAGGTATTCAATCTCCCGCTCGACGCGGCCAGCCATGTCGCGGCTGATGAGCTTCTTGCGAGCGATGATCTTGAGGGCGACCTGCTGGCCGGTGCCATTGTGGATGGCCAGCTTCACTTTGCCGAAGGAGCCCTCGCCGAGCGTCTTGATGATCTTGTAGGCGCCGATGCGCTGCTCGGCCTTTGACCTGTCGCGGCCGCCGTTGTGCTCCATGGTTCTGCCGGGCCTCGACGACGACGATGCTGCTGCTGCTGCTGCTGATGGGGCGGCGTCGGCGGCGGCGTCGGGGGCATGCTGGGCGCGAGGATGGCGCTGCTGGTGGACTCGCCGGACGTGGGACGAGGAGAGGGAGATGGTGAGCTCCTCGTCCTCGAAGCCGCCTCGAGGAGCCATGGCGAGTGGATTGTCGACTACCGTTATCAATGGCCGATGCTGTCGGTCCGCTCGGGGGCCATGAACGGGGGGCGGGATGGGGGGGGATGCGAGCCTGGGCTGTTTCGCTCGCTGGTGCGATGGTAAGGTTGTCCGATTGTGGTGGGGAGGGCGGTTTGATGGGAGTCGGTTGGTTGGCGGAGGCGAAGGGTGGTGGAGGGGCAGTTCCAGTGTCCCGTCCCAGTCCTGCCACGGCCAGTCGCCGATAATGGAGAGACCTCTGGGCCCGACTTCCCCTCGACCTACGGTCTGCTGGTGTGGTTGACCTGCTGTGGGGTGCTGGAAAGCGACCTAGGCGACCGTCCACCACGAGGGGCGCGCGCTGGCAGACAGTTGGGTCGCTAGGTGGGGAGTGCCCCGCCTAAGGTAGGCAGGTAGCGCGCAGCGGCCACGGTGGTGCTGTATGAAACCCGCCAACGCACCCCGGGCCTCCAGGGCTGGGTGCGAGTAACCTGGAAGGTGCCAGCTTCCAACGTGGTACTGCAACGGGCGCTGTGGGCTGTTGTGTTCTGTTCTGTGCTGCCCGTGCCGCCTTGCCTTGGTCAGGCTCACTGAACCGCGCCCAATGTATTACCACCAGCGGCTGGTTCGTCTCGCCTAGGTTGCTCGCCATTGTGCGCGAGCGGAACTCGCGAAGACGTGGCCGCCTGGCCAACAGTGGCACGATAACGACCACATGCGACTTGGTTGTGGACTGGTGGTCTATTCCAGCTTCGGGCTCCCATAACAAGTAAATGGGCATGGCGTCGGCCTCATATTGTCTCATCATACACGGAGTGCTTCGTACAGAGCTGCAGGCTTCCTCGTCACTTCATCATGTTCCTGTCTCTGGTGACACATGAGACATGACTTTGTCGCTAACCGCGCATGGCGCCAAGTTACTTCATCGGCTCTTGTTTTGAATACAATACTTTATTTCAGCTCCGGTAAATCATACACTCCCCTCACTGCGCTGAAATGTTTCCAGAAGTGTCAACGCAGTGTGAATGGGGTCAGGGTCGTAACCGCCGCCATCTCGGCGACTCCATTGCAACCGGCCTCGCGTCGCGCTGGCCATGGGGCCACAGTCGGCCGCCGCACACGCGACGTCGGCAGCATCGCGAGCCTCGCGGGGGAAGAGGACGCGGGCATCCGCAGCGCCGCACCATCTCCTCGGAGGTGATCCTGCGCGCCCATTTCCATCGTTTGCCTCAGCTGCGCTCCGAAGGAATGCATCAACGTGCATGTCTGTCGCCTGACCCATCACCGCAACTCCCCCAGTCTAGGCTGCAGGTGCGCAGCGCGACGTGGCTACCCAAGCCCTCCACACTATTTTTGCGGGCCGTTGAATCATCGTCAGCTGGAGGGCGCTCGACACGGCCGTCACGACCCTCGCTCTTTGCCCTCCTCCTCCTTGAGCCTCGCCACCAGCTTCTCTGTCAAAAATGGGCTTAGACCAAGGCTGTAGGCTGTCAGTAGAATCCCGAGAGCGGACGGCCCCAAATCACTTACATGCCCTCGTTGGTCACGATCCGGTAGGTTCCACTGGGCTGCACCTTGCCCACAACGTTGCCAGACCCGTCCACCTCGACGCTCCCCAGGATGTCCTCGGGCCAGGCTATTCTTCCAAAGTCTGGGGGGTTCCTTCGGTCGCTCAGATGAACCCATCCTCCTCTGCCCCCGCCTCCAGCGCCTCCCTGTGCGCTGGCACCCCCAGCCCCTGACCCTCCCGCACCACCACCTCCGCCCTGCTTCCGAGAGCTGCCTCTGCCGGGCCGGTGTTGCGCGAAGAACGAGCCCCCGGACCCCAAGTTGAATCCGCCAGGACTGGCAAAGGCCCTCGCTTGAGATACTACGTCCTCGTCAAGGTGGCCATATTCTTGGACAACTTGGTCCAGGATCTCGACAAAGTGGTGGTTCTCCCGAAAGGACTGGGGTGTCGGAGGCACGGCCGTCGTCGTTCCAATGGCAAGCTTCGAAGATGGCGGCTTCGTGTCGAGGTACGTCAGGATGTAGGACGCAGGAGACGACGGGTTGTCAAACACTTTCTTGGTGCTCGTCAGCGGTGATTGAAGTGTCATGGGCGCTGTGACTTACGATCTGCGGATTGCTCGCCAGGGTTGAGACTGCCCTGCGCCAAGCACTCGCTCTCGTGGGAGCGAAGCGAAGCGTTCCTGCAAGCATCGCTGCTTTCTCTTTGCGTCGGCCGGATGGAGGTTAAGGAAAGCTCCACAAGCTGGCGACAGCTCGTTTTCGCGATGAGGTCACCGGCCTCGGCGTTGGTAGTGCCGGACGGACCCACCGCCGGCAATATGCATCTAACGGAAATCAATTAACTGCGGCGCGTCGACGCGTCCCCCACCACGCGACACACCACCAGCGCATGTGCGACATCGAGACCGGCCAACACTGAAGCAATACATTGGTCCGGGTGTGGCTTCGCAATCGAGAGCCCGGCAATGCTTCATCAGTAAGGAGCATCCGCCACCATGGACAAGACTCCGGCGCCCATGTTCCGGAGGCAGAACCACATCCCTTCCTCTGCCCTGCCGTCGTCCTCACCAGCATTCGGCACACCTGTCCACCCGCTCAAGCCCTTCAGCGTCAATGCGCCCAAGGCCGCGATACTCCCGATCATTCTCCCACCGGCTACCCTCCGCCCCCTTGCGTTTCGGACTTTTACCAAGAAGCACTCCTTGACACTCACGTCCTCGGCTTTGCAGGAACTTGCCTCCTTCATTGGGAGGCATTGCGGATCGGGATGGCGTGAAGAAGGTCTCGCTGAGCGGGTGCTAGAGGAGGTAGCAAGGAGTTGGAAGAACCGGAATGGCGGAGTCATCGTTGAAGGCTCCAGCAAGGAGCTCCACGACATCCTCAGGACGTTGGAGGGCAACATGAGCGGCGGCAAGATCGTCGGGCCAGCTAGGGGTCTGCCCCGAGGCGACAGCATGCTGGACATACAGGACAACGACACAGTCAACACGAGGCTAGGGCTGCGCCCGACAACACTCGCCAGAGAGGACAGCAATGCCAGTTTCGGCATGTCGGGCCTGGGCGTGCAGGAAGAGGCTGATGACGACGACGAGAGCAAAGATCCGCGCGCATGGCTGCAGGTCATTGACTCGTATGAGCAGCCCAGGCTTATCTACAACGTCGGGAAGAAGCATTTCGAGAGGTGAGGTGCGCCATTCATGCTTCGAAACCGTCCACTCATAATATTCATCATCAGGGAAACATCAAAACCGTCGTTACTGCCTGCCGCATCACATAAAACGACCCTCTTCCGCAACCGCTACAACGTCATCCACCAGCGCTTGCTCCGAAACGAAGCCTTCCAAACCTCGTCCGTCTCATCATCCCGCAAGCGCACACTTCAGCGCTCTCTTTCGAACCAACAATCACTGAAGATCACACCGATTGCAAACATGCTTGGCCGCCACGGCAGCAACCACATGCTTCTGGGGCAACTGGTCATCCTTCCTACTGGCGATCTCGCCATCAGTGACCTGACTGGCACGATAGCCCTCGATCTGAAGCAGGCCATTGCCATACCGGCAGACTCGGCCTGGTTCTGTCCTGGCATGATTGTCCTCGTGGACGGTGTCTATGAAGAGGAGGAGGAGTCCGTGGGCAAGGGCCTCAGCGGGAGTAGTGGTGTGGGAGGCACACTCGGCGGTCGCTTTCAGGGCTTCTTCATTGGCCAGCCCCCGTGCGAGAAGCGCAAGGCGACGCTGGGCATAAGCGGCCCAGATGGCGGGCAGGATCACACCATCGGCGGCGGGTTCGGCTGGATCGACTTTCTCGGCGTGGGCAGCGAACGTGCCGTGGGAGCGAAGATGCGGCGGCTGGAGCGTCGCCTGCTGCAGCCGCCGTCAGAAGAGGACGGGCCAGGTCGGAATCGGGTCGTCATCTTGGGCGAACTCAACCTAGACCAACCTCGCGCTCTGCAGGCGCTGCGCAAGATCCTCTCCCTCTACGCCGCCGAGGCAGAAGGGTCCTCTCCCGTGAGTTTCGTCCTCACAGGTAACTTTACCCAACAAGCCGTCATGGCCCGGGGTGGCAGTGGCGGAAGCATAGAGTACAAGGAATACTTTGACGCCCTGGCCTCAGCACTCTCCGACTTCCCGACGCTTCTCCAAACCTCGACCTTTGTCTTTGTCCCTGGCGACAACGACGGATGGGTGTCGGCCTTCACGGCAGGCGCGTCAGCGCCGGTTCCTCGAAAGGGGGTCCCCGAAATGTTCACTTCGCGCATCCGCCGTGCTTTCGCCACGGCCAACGCAGAGGGCGGAAACCATGGGACACCGGGCACGGCGGTCTGGACTTCAAACCCGAGTCGCCTTACGCTCTTTGGGCCGAACCACGAGCTCGTTCTCTTCCGCGATGACCTTTCGGCGCGTCTTCGCCGCACCTCAGTCACTCTAAAACGAATGGCCGCGGACCCAGAGGACCGAGAGAATGATCCCACCGCCGTCGAGCCTCCCGAGACGCAGGCCTCCGCCGCAGACGCCATGGATCTCGACGCCGCCAACAACGACAAACCCGAGGTCACGTCCGGCACGGCACAGTCGCTCAGCGAGGACGTCCGCACGGCGCAGAAGCTCGTCAAGACGGTCCTCGACCAGGGCTACCTCGCGCCCTTCCGGCAGGCCGTCCGCCCCGTGCACTGGGACTACGCGTCGGCGCTGCACCTCTACCCGCTGCCCTCGGCCATGGCCCTCGTCGACACGACGGCCCCGCCGTTTTGCGTCACGTACGAGGGCTGCCACGTCATGAACCCGGGCAGCGTGCTCGTGCCCGGGAGGAAGGGCGTGGGCAGGTGGGTCGAGTACGAGGTCGGGCGGCAGGGCAGGCTGCGCGAGTGCACGTTTTGAGTAGGTGTGCTTGGATGATGGTGTCATGTAGAGGATACACATATATATCCTTCTGTGGAAGACCGGCGGCGTGTGCAATGGTTTGTGTCAGCATAGATAACGAGATACATGATTAGGGAATTAGACGGTCAAATCAAGCTTCACTGGTTCCTGCGCATAGAATCTCGCATCGCTCACTCCTTTTCTTCGTTCTCGTGTATATAAGAACAGCCATCTTGAACAGCCGCGTATGCTACCAGCCCCTGGACTATGCGTTTGCTTTTGCCTCTACAATCCCTGTCCATCCCAATGTTGCATCCAAATGACTCCATACGCTCAAGCAAGATACAAGAGAAGAAACAAAACCCACACCGGGGTGTAGTAGAAGGGTAGGTGAGTGATGGACGGAAACTCGTCAGGTGTACTCGAGCAGCAGCTCCTCCGGGTGCAGCACCCCGAACAAGGCCTCAATCTCGTTTTGCACGTTCTTGAGCTCCTCGGCCACCTGCGCCGTGACGAGCGTGTACGCGTACAGCAGCGCATAGTCCGTCTCCACGGCGACGACGCCGTCCGTCCTCGGCGCTTCACCAGCGCCGTCGTCACCCCCACCAGCACCTGCGCCGCCGCCGCCCTCAGCCTGGCCACCACCACCGCGCAGCCCCGCCTCCATGTGGTCCTTGCGGAAGCGGTAAATCTTGCCGAGCAGGCGGTCCTTTGTGCTCTCGATGGTGGGGATGGCGTCGGTGAGGGGGTACTCGAGCATGAGGCTGGAGGCGAGGACCTCGAAGATGTGGCAGATGCGCTGGCAGAGGCGGACGCGCTCGTCGGCGGTGAAGGCGAGGAGGGCGCGCTCGCCGGCGGAGAGGGTGAGGCGCCGCTGGGTGATGAGGCGCATGGCGTAGAAGCCGTCGAGGATGTGCTTGGTGGAGTGCATGACGCGCCCGTACGCCTCGTGCGGGAACGGCCCGCGCAGCTCGAACTCGGACTTGGCCGAGTTTCGGAGCGACTCGAGCTTGAAAGCTAGAACGTGGAACGTCAGCGAGGCTTAAGATAGGAGGCCTAAATAGGGACAGGAAAAAGGGGAGCCACGTCACACGGCGCGGGACTTACCATAGCGACGAAGAGCGGTTTGCTCCTCTTCCTGCAGATAGTCCTTTGTGTTGTTGCTGTCGAGCAGGACCCCCAGCGGGCCGCGCTTCCAGATGAGCCCCAGCTGCAGATACAGCACCGACAGCCCTTCCTTGAACTTGAGCCGGCCGGAGATGGGCCACAGCAAGCGGCAGATGATCATACCCCACAAGATACCAAGCACGACTGCCACCACTCGATGGTAGGTAATGTCAAAGATGAGCGGGTTCTTTCCGCCCTCGTCATCGTCGTCATCGTCTACATCCTGCGACAGGCTATAAGCGTACAGGACGATGACGTTGTACGCCAACAGGGAGATGCGGCCCAGGGGCGCATTCTTGAGAACGAGAATGAGGTAGAAGTTCCAGCACGCAACGAGCCATCCGAAAAGCGCCAGGACGTATGCGTTTCCCTGGCTGACGAGCCACGACACAACGGCACACGTCGCTCCAATGATGGTACCGATGAGACGCGCAGTCGACGTCGTGTTGGAAGCACCCGTCGTCATACCGACGACAATCATGTACGACAGCAGGCCCCATTCGCCTCTCCAATGCTGGTACATGGGTCGCGTCTCGTGGATGAAGGCGAACATGGCCCACAGCACCGCTCCGATGCCGACCTTGATGCCAAACGTGACGTCCTCGCGCGCGAAGAAGCGCATGGTGGTCAGGATCTTCTCTGATATGCGCCTGACGAGCGTGCTGGACTCGGGGGCCGCATCCCAATTGAATGAATCCCTGCGCTTGACCATCGATTCTGGGATCCCTTTTGGCACAGCCGACTTCTTAACTGGCTGTGGCTTCTTGCGCAGGAGTGCCTCGTACTCGGGGTCTGCCTGATGCCCCTTTCGGCGAAACGGCGACCAGTAGTTCCAAACCTTGAGAAAGTCCCAGCTGCGATCCTGTGTCTCGGTTACGTGCTGCAGGTCCTCGACGACATCCAGGTACGAGTCCAGCTCGTCCGCGACAGCCATCAACGTGAACGAAAAGTGGCCACACGCTGCGGCGACTTCCTCGATATCGGCCTGAATCTTTTCAGATCTGGAGCGCCCCAGCTCGATGTTCTTGTACAGCTCCTGGAGCGCATTGCCGCGAGCGTTGTTGTACAGGCTAATGGCATCGCGCAGGCTTTCGCGCAGCTGGTCATTGGTCGTGACTCTGTTCATGTCTTCCGGATCGAACGGTGACTCGCGCAGGATCTCCGACAGTGTGTACGCCAGCGACTTCATGGACGGGCCGAGCAGCGCCATGAAAAGGGCGAATATCTCGGACGGTGCGCGGAACGCAGGGCATTTGTGCAACGACGGGTCAGACTGAGACTGGACGAGACCTCGCGCCTCATCGTCATCTTCCTCAATGACGGACAGCGGCTCTCGGTCTTCGTCGAAGAAGCCAGACACTGCACGCGTTGTACGCGGCGAGAAGACTGGTGGGAGAATCGACGAGATTGATCCCGTTCGGTCTCCTGAGCTCGGCGCCTCTTTAAGCAGGGTCAGCTGCGTATTGAGCGCGCTGCGCAGACCGCCAATGGCAGCCGAGAGCGCCTCTACAGATTTGTAGAGCTTCTTGTCCAGCTTGTATACTTTCTCGCGACCCAGGAAGTAGTATTCCAACTTTGCTTCGCGGAGGCTCTCGGACATGCGCGAGTATGTCGAGTTGTAGCGATCCCTCATCCTGCTGTAGTCCAGGGAGTTGACCTCCTCGTCGGAGCCGTTGAGGAACCCCTTGGTGATGTATGAGATCTTGTCGCTCAGGCACGCCGACGCGGTGACGATGGAGCGCCGCAGGTTGTGCCTCGCCGACACCCGCCAGACGAGCAAGTTGACGGCCACAGTAAAGGAGATGCCGAGGAGCAACATCTTGAGCACCTGCAAGATCTTGTCGCCGGAAAAGTAGCCGTCCTGGACCGACTGCTCCTTGGTGATGACGGTGATGATGGCCATGGAGGCGAGCGTGGAGGCGGTGTTGACGAGGGGCTGGTTCAGCCTCTGCTTGACCCAACCGACGAAACCCAAGCCGCCGCCCACGAAGATGAGGAGCACGATGACGTGCGCGGGGATTGTCGAGCCCGTGCTCTTGCGCGACGCGATGGCCGCCGCCATGGAGAGCACGCTGACCGTCTCGGCATAGGCGACGGCGACGATGGCAATCAGCACTGCCTCCAGCATAGAGCCCGCTGTACGGGCGGGGTGAAAATACACCGTCAGCGTCGCGACGATGTGCTTGCCATCGCGATGGCCGAGGAAGTTGGACAAGGCAGGCCAGAACGTGCCCAGGCTCCCGAGCAGGTATGCCAGCGTGCACTTGAGGACCTGGTGGCCGGCATCCGAGTTGACCCAGTCATACGCCTCGAAGACCCGCCTCTTGATGTTGTTGACTGTATTTTGCACTGCGCCTCCGCCTGAGCCAGGGGGTGTCGCTGCTGCGTGACCATATCCGTTGCCGTTGGGGGTGACGTCGCTCGAGGCGCGCAAGGTGAACTGCCGGCGCGATCGCTCACCCGTGCTGGGAATGATGAAGGTGCCGTTTCGAAGTTTCTAAGCCCAAATAAACGCGTCAGCCTGAACCGTCTTGGGGTGCCATGCGACAGAGTCAGTAGGCATACGCTTCGCTTGGAGGGACGCGAGGGCGGCCAGGCGCCCGACGCAGAGGTTCCGCTGGAGCTCATGACGACGGTTGTCTAGTCTGCTGCGCGGCCGATGCTGAGCGCGTGCGTTGCCTGGAAGTGTTTCATTGTCTGGAATCGAGCGCAAGGTTTCGGTCGTCGCGGAGGTCTGCGTGGCAGCTGTGAAAGGTCCTGCCTGACAGTGGGAGATGGAGGCGGGCCGTGATGCGCTGTCGTCGCGGGGGTGCGCAGAGCTGCGGCTCAAGCGGGAATCTGAGACTGCGGAAGCGGTGGTGTGCTGGCGCGCGGCGCGCGTGCAGGTACAGGACAGTGATTGAGCGAATCGCTCGATGGCGCGTGCAGCATGCGAAGAGCCGGGGATGATGCGACGCGGATCTGGGACGGTCGAGTCGGGTAATAATAGCTCTGGGGATGATGGGAGGGATCAGCTGGAGCTGGAGCTGGAGCTAGAGCTGGCGTGGGGGAGCTAGAGCAAAGCTGCCGCCAGCTGTCTTGCAGTGGCGCTGCAGCAGCTTAAAGCTCGCTAGGTGTGGAGGTCGCCTCGCCTTGCCCTGGAGCAGAGAGCCCAACCAGACCACTTCTCAGCGCACTGCAACTCGGTGGCGGACAGCCGAAGTTAAGGGGACACGAAATGCTCTCACCTTGATGGCTACGTGACCGTACTTAGGGGAGAAACAGCTCTGAGCGATGATTACGCAGCGCCGCCTCGTATGATGCCGCGCGCCCATTCGCAATCGCCCTCGTATCTCATCGCCGTGGCTGCCGTGCCGCGGGGCTTTAGTAGGTGCAAATCGTACTCGCCTGGAAGATTGTCACTAGAAGGCTGAGAACCTTCATTTACAAGGTTGCGTAACGCCCCCCTGGTTGCCTTCATTTCTCTCGTCGTTGTCGCCGTCGCGTCTCTAAATGCTCTCGTTGCTCTCTTGACGGTCTTTGGCCTCGAGCCGTGCAAATATCAATGCTCTTACAAGGTATGTATACCTGGCAGCAACACCACGGCCCTTTCCCTTCAATCGATCTCACTGCTAGGTAGGTAGATAACCTGCAACTCATAACTTTTGCGACTTCTCTGGGTCTTCAAACTAATTACTGCTCCCCCATCGTCGTCACCGTCCTGTTTAGTGATGGACGTCCGTAACACGGCGCCGGCCCCGTTGGGAAGGGGTGGCTAGCGCTTGTTGGCGTCTGCCGGCGCGCGCCGTTGACGCCGACAACCAGCCCGGCAACCGATCTCGCAGCGCCGTCGCACATTGACACATCAGTTCGGACTTCATCCCCCACCACCTGCCCTGCCGGCGCCGGCTGCTTTATTACCGCCCCCGAAAACCTTGAATCTCGAGGAATCGTGCCTTGCAGAACGTGTCTCTGCGCGCTCCAGAGGACTCAGCCACGGTGATCTCTTCGTACCACCGCTCCGAGTCTCCGACGTGCCGCAACCGCCGAGTCGCCAGCTCACACACCTGGCTACTCAGGTGCTGGGTTACCCTACGTCTCACTCGCCGACTTCACAGAACGCAAACCGTGCATGTGGCGCGCTCTATCCGCCATGGCCTCCTCGGTGCCTAGGCGGTTTGCTCCTCTGGCGGGCGCGGCGGCGGGCGGTGGCCGGCCGAAGCTGCAGGGCGTGGTCTTTGACATGGACGGCACGTTGTGGTGAGTGACCTCGGCAACCCGGCGGAGGAGGGGGCATCGTGGGACACACCAGTTGGAGCCTTTCGTCACTTGTTTGGAGCGTGCGTGAGACAGAGGCAAGCATACGGACTTGAGTTGGTTCAAAGGTGCCAGACAATGTTGCGAGGTCACGCCTTCATGACGCTGCTGGCACATACTTACAACACCGCTTCAGCGATCTCACAGCCTCCCTTCATCACACATCCAATTCATGACTCTTGCCCGACCCAAGGCGGAAGGCTAACAGAGAAATCTCACAGCGAGCCGCAGACGCACATGTTCGGGGAAATGCGCGCCGCGCTCGGCATCGAAAAGGGCATCGACATCCTCGCGCACATCGAATCCCTCCCACCCGCCGCCCAACCCACGGCCATCGAGTCCATCCGCGCCATCGAGCGCCGCGCCATGGAGTCGCAGGTACCCCAGCCGGGCCTCGCCCGCCTCATGGCCTACCTCGACTCCCGCGGCGTCCGCAAGACCATCTGTACGCGCAACTTCGACGTCCCCGTCCAGGGCTTCCTCGGCAAGTTCCTCGCGGGCTCCGTCTTCGACCCCATCGTCACGCGCGACTTCCGCCCCCCGAAGCCCGACCCCGCGGGGATCCTGCACATCGCCCGCAGCTGGGGTCTCGTAGATGAGAGCACGGGCGAGCCTGACGCGAGTGGGCTCATCATGGTGGGCGACATGATTGATGACATGACGGCGGGGAGGAAGGCCGGCGCCGCGACCGTCTTGCTCGTCAATGATGTGAACCGCGCCATTGCGGAGCATGCCCACACGGACTTGGTCATTGACAAGCTGGACGACCTCGTGGCCATCTTGGAGGAGGGCTTCGAGGGCCGCGAGATTGTCTGAAAGGGCGGCTGGATCGCGTTTTGCTATAGATTCTGCATTGTACGAAGCGCCAAGACTATCACGTCTTGTAGAGACATCATGTCAGAAACCGTGTGGTCAATGACCATGCTGAAGCAGGCAAAACATCTTATCACGCACATGTTCAGCGTGCTGTTATGAGATTCGTCGTCCTTGTCCGCTTTCATTTCAAACCGAGACGCCTGCGTTGCTTACGATAAACGACCTATCCGCATACCACCATCCCAGGCCAAGTGCCCAACTGGCCATTGTCCCGTGGCGGTTGTCCGCCGTCTTCTAGCACCATCCTCGCCCTAGCTTGCAACTCTTCAGAAGCGATGTTGGCCCTTCAGATAACAGAATCCGAGGTGGTCAAAACGAAACAAATGCGCCGACTGATGCTAAGCAAAATCTCCACACGTGGCATTGTCCATGACCCAAAGGCGCGGGAACAGTTCATGGTCGATTCCGATGAGCCACAACTCCTCCTAGAGGCCGTAGCTCGGATTCGGGGGAAGACCAAATGTTGCCTGCCTCCTATTCTCTCTCCGGAAGTCGTCTGGCGTCTGCTTCCGCGGCGGCGGCGGCGGCAGCGGACCACCAGGAGGGCCGGGTCGCACGGGCAGACTAAACGTTGCCGTCGCAGCATTCGCGCTCGCGGGGGCCGGGTTCTCGGGGTACGCGGACGTTTGGGGTATCGAGTTTGTCGTCGCGACCCTGGGTCCCATGCCGGGATGTGCCGTCGCCGGTGTTCTGCCAGAACCGTAGCCGTTGGGTGACCGGCTTCGCTGAACCTGGTCGCGGGGAGAGATGATGCCGGCGCCTCCAATGGGGATCTCGCCGGACGTCGGTGTGTGGATGGTACGTTCGTCGCCATGGGTCTGGTAGGTAGGCGAATCGCTCGATCGCAGCAAGTCATGGGTCGCTGGCGACAGCTGAGGCGCCAGGTGAGATTTGCGGTTGTCTCGCTCCATGAGACCAATAGCCCATTGCCTGAGGTCGACAGGAGTCCGTTTGGCTGCCTGCACAAACGGTTCGCGGTCCTATTGTCCAAGTCAGCAATGCGCCGAGGCGGAAATCGAGCATCAAAACACCCACCAAAAGCTCCTGCGGCGTCGGTCTCTCCTCTGGCTGCTTGTAAAGACACTTTTGGATCATGTCCTCCAGAATGCTTGGGAAGGCATCGCTCTTGGGCAGCTTTGGCGCCGGCTCGTGGACAATCTGCTGCAGCAGGTCGAGAATACCGGCCGGTGCGCATTCCTCGTCGGAGAACTGCTCGCTCGCCGCGAACGGAAACTTGCCGATCGCGAGCTCCATGATGGTGAGACCGAAGCTCCAAACATCAGACTTGACGGTATATTTCTCGCCCTGGATGCGTTCCGGGGCCATGTAGGTCGAGGTTCCGACAAAGGTGTCGGCAATCGAGTTGATGAGTTCTCCCGAGACGCCAAAGTCGCACAGCTTGATCGAGCCCCGGGAGTTAACCAGGATGTTCGATGGCTTGATGTCTCGATGCATGATGTGGTGTTTTGAGTAGAGGTAGGTTAGGCCGCCAAGCGTTGCTTCGGCAATTTTGCCTAGGACGTCGACACGGACTGGGCCAAAGACTCGGGAAACTCTGTCGAGAGATCTGCATATACAAGTTAGCTGCGATCCCGGCGGTATGACATCCGTTTCACTTACCCGACGTCCATGTACTCCATACACATGATGACATCGTTGTTGCTGTTGAGAAATGCGCCGTAAAAGTTGACAATGTAGTCCGAATGGCATCCGTGCATGATTTGCAGTTCTCGAACGATCCGCTTCCGCATCTCCTTCTTGGCCTCGACGTGTATGACCTGGGGCAATTAGTCTTGAGCAAGCGTGCGTTAGGCGTTTCGAGTCGAACCTTGCGCGCCATCACGGTGCCAGTGGTCAAGTGCTTAACCTTGCTGACCGTGCCGCCATTGCCAGAGCCGAGCTCTTTGAGGATTTCGAGATCCTCGGGCCGGAGATCCAGCTTATATTCGATGCCAATTTCGAGCTGGCCGTCCTTGCCATCATCGCGGGCGCTGTCGACTTCGGCGCGGCTGGTTTCGGCCGTTGGGGGCGGTCGCGGAGCGGCGGGTGTCAGGGCAAGGCCCTTGACGTTCTTGCGCTTCATGGAGCGCGGAGCGAACGGATCAGCCATGGCTCCCGGTATTTATGGCGTGACGAGCGTGTTTGCCGTCGACGTCGGAGGGTTCAGGGCGAGCAAGATGCGATGGTGGCGGCGAGGCGTTCGGGGCGGGGTTTTGGTGGATTTAGGACAGCGAGAGCCTTCAAGTCATTCCTTTTTGCTCGAAGCGACGGCAGCGCAGACGGTGGAGGGTGGCCTGGAGCCCAGGGACGAGGAGAGGCCAGCCAGATAGACGATGACGGGAGAGAAAAGGGAGCCCGTGGGGAGAGAAGCTCTGGAGCTCTCCTCAAACGAACGTTGAACGACTCGCGTCGTTGGAAATGGTGGGGTAGATAGACAAAAGGCGCCTAGCAATTGTGACGGGGCGGCGCAGCGAAGAGGCCCCGGGACCCGAGACACCTCACCTGGACTATCCGCTGTGGCGCTTGCGACGGGGTGGCCCGCCGACCGCTGTGTGAGCTGGGGCTAGCGGAGGAACTTGTAAGGCCCTGTACTCGCTGGACCTGGCCTGGCCGTAGGTTGGGCAGCGTCCCGTCTGCCAGAGCCGCCGGATTGAGAGCCGGGATGCCGTCGACTTGTTGGGCGCCGGGCCTGCGACTGATACCAGCACGACAAACGCCTCTGTTGCACGAAGCAGCAGCAGGTCCTCGATTGCGCCCCCCCTTGATGCCCTGGGATGCGACGCGGGGTCTGTGCTGCTGCGTGTGCTGCGTGCCGAAGGAGGGATGCAGGGCGGATGGATGCACGAACGGCCTCCCTGTCGCCAAGGCACCTCGTCATGCAACCCTTTGGATGGAACTCGACGGGAGGCCCTGGTGGGGTTCCTGGACCGGATTTACGGTGTGGCGCGGCGCAGGGAGCGAGAAGGGGAGACGGGGTCCGAGGGCCGGCAAGCCTGGGGAGTCTGTGACCGTTCTTCCACGTTACGTCTTGCGGAGTTTGACCGCGTCTCGAGCTGGGTGCAGGGCATCGAGACCGCTCGGAGGCCTTTATAAAGCCCTGGCATGCACTGACGGCAGCGGGTGTTTCGGGGGGGGGGTGCGCATGCACCGGCTTGTGGCCCCCAAAAAGAGCACTGACTGAGGTGGACGGGTGGCCTGGAAGCTGCCCCTGCCGATACCTATGCGGCCTGTACGCCTCCGTACCGGCGATCCACCACGCAACAATAAACGTGCATCGAGGATTCAAGAGAAACCTGCTGGCCACTGCATCACCATCATCGATAAATTGCGCCTGCGCACCACGCGCGCGTCCATGTCGCATCCCCGTCTCACTGGCTGCCATCAGACGACCCAGCCCCTTTACCTTGCCGTAGTCGACTTCTGCGCCGGGCCACTGAGAGCGGTCCAGGTGCTGCCAGCGGTGATGGGACTCGGCCCTGTCTGCCTCATTGGCTGCGCGCCCACCAGTCTGACTCGGGACGCGGCGCCCAAGCGCTTATGAAACGACTTGACTGCACCGTGCCAGCAGCCTGTAACCGCCATTTGCGTGCACGTGGCCGCTGCTGCATGTCCTCGCGGGCTCCGGGGATACAATCTGATGCTGTACATTGCGCCGCGGACGTCAAAGCTCCGCGGCATGCTCTCTAGCTTCGTGATCAACCTGCGAGGCGTCGTTGCCATCTCGTCCTCAAGAGCGAGATGACCTCATGTCTTGTCTTTTAAGCTGCCCTGACGAACAAACCTTCGTCTCGTCATGTCTTCGGAGATTTGGCTTCCAACCCGATGCATCGGCATCATCCCGTCCGCGTACGAAATGCATGCAGAATCGACCCATGCTGCAGCAGTAACGAGTCCAAGATGCCCTTGGCCCATTTCTTCTGCTTCACCTGGTCCTCGGTCGCCCACCCCCAGTCCTCGTGCTCGTCCGGTTCGAGTTTAACCGCCGCCGTGATCGCTTCTCTTCTCTCCGCTGGCGCAAGGCCCCGGCCCTCCTCGACGTCGACCTCGAACGTGACCTTGCGCCACATAAAGTCCAGCTTTTGGTGGTGCGGAATGTCGACCTGGTCGACCACTCGCTTGATGCTTCGCAGATGAAGACCAGTCTCCTCCCGGAGCTCCCTCGCCACTCCAGCGAGAACAGTGCGGTCCTTGTCCGCCTCGCAGCACCCGCCGGGAATCTCCCACATCAGGCCTGCAAAGTCGCCTGCCGCCCGCTGGATGAGCAGGATTTCATCGCCGCAAAATACCACGGCCCCGACAATAAGCGCGTTGACGTCTGGATTGGCGCGATAGTAGTCCGGGACTGAGATGTCGTACGCAGCTACCGACTCGGGGCCTTGTAGCGCGTCTGAGCTGGTCTTGGGCTCGGTGTGAGAATCTTGGTCTGCCGTCATAATTTGTCACAAATGTTCAATGCAGTGAAGTCGAAGAAGCATGCGAAGTTGAATACTTCAATCGCCTATATATCTCGACGCTCGCGGAAGCCTTGTCAGGCAGTCGAATTGGAGCAGGCTGCCGGGAAGCTTGTGCAGTAGCGCATGCAGCCGGCGTGACTCAAATTGTGGCCAGGGATGAGGCTTGTTCGGGTCAGAAACCTCAGCGCGTCGCGATGAGAAGGCAGCAGAGTCCGGATATCAGCTTTTCCACGAGCGCCCCATAATGATCAGGCCCTTGTCGGGCAGGCGAGCCGAGCAGGTTGGCTGTCCAGCGTCGCGGAGCACTCTCTCATTTTCACACATGACGCCGCCTGCGCAACTGTGCCTCGATAGTAAGGGGGCCAGTACGCCAAAAAAGCGTCAAGAAACCAAGGTCAGCCGTCCATTCTGAAGCTTCGTTACCAGCTCTTTAGCAGATGAGCCCGTGGCACCGCCAGATTATCATTCCCGAGTGCGCTTCCGTCTTGAAGTTGGATGCGTCGCGTGCGTCTTCAAAGCGGCGTTGGAGGTATTGGATGTATTATGTAATCATGCGTGTGGGTGTGGAGCGGAACATGTGTAATTCCTCCGCGCCCCTACCACCGCGACGAGGCTGAAGCTGCAGCACGACTCCCAAAAAATCAAACACCACAAAGGGAGAGGGCCAGCCCAACGCCGCCATTGCTTCCGACAATTCGCCGGCTGCGTGCCTTTCTTTCTTCTCGCCGCGAATCCCCCAGGACCGCTGGCTGCATCTCCTTTCGGCTTCTCAACCCCCCGGAGGAGTCCGATAAACTTGCTTGCCGCGTGTTGCTTCGACCCGCCCATCACCCGCCACGATGAGCACCTCCATGCGCGACTTGATCTCGGGCGAGGCGGAGCTGGACGACGAAGAGGACGACGAGTCCTTCGACGAAGAGACCGGCGAGGAGCACCGAAGGAAAAACCGCGCTGGCTTCGAAGACTCGAGCGAAGAAGAGGAAGATGACGATGACGAGGAGGAGGCCCGAAAGGTGCGTGCCTGGCGCTCCATCAGTCTCGTCAGCCCCTGTTAACCTTGCCTTACCCAGATTCGTGAAGGCTTCATCGTCGACGAAGATGAGGAGGAGGAGGGCGGAGAGGGCTCCGATGGCGAAGATCGTCCGATCAAGCGGAAACGAGAGCATCGCGACCGCGAGGAAGAGGAACGCCTCGATGAAGACGACTTGGAGCTCATCGGGGAGCAGTTTGGCGAGCGACCGAAGCCACAGACCCAGGTAAGCCTATCGGGTGGTAAATGTGCCCTTCGAGAAGTGCGCTGCTGACAGGCACTCCAGTCCAAGTTCAAACGACTCAAACGAGGTCATCGCGATGACGACGAACCGGTAAACGAGCGCCGCGGGCTCGAGGAAATCTTCTCCGACGAGGATGAGGAGGCCGCCGATCAGCGACCGTACGGCCGGTCCAACTTCCGGGCCCAGGCTGACGAGTTTGACGACTTCATCGAAGAGGACTTCCCAGAGGACGAGGACGAGCGCATGCGACAGCTGGAGGATGCCGAAGTGGCTCGTCCGCGTGACAGGGGCGTCGGTACGATCGTCGATACAACCGGGCTGGACAAGGATGCCCTGGACGACATGGAAGCCATTTTCGGCAATGGCGAAGACTACGACTGGGCGCTTCAACTGGAGGAGGAAGAAGAGGATCGCGAGCGGGAGGAGCAGGCGATTGAGCTCAAGGACGTCTTTGAGCCTTCTCAGCTCAAGGAGAAGCTTCTCACGGACGAGGATAACGAGATTCGATTTACGGACGAGCCCGAACGATTCCAGCTGGACCGAAAGCCATTCAAGAACCTGCAACTGTCGGCAGAGCAGTTCAGAGAGGAGGCGCGTTGGATAACGACCCTGCTCTGGCCGAAAAAGGGCCTGAGCCAAGAGCTCCAGGCCCCTTTTGGCAAAGCTGTGGGCAAGGTTCTCGAGTTCTTCATCGTGGATGAGGTCGAGGTGCCGTACGTCTTCCAGCACCGCAAAGACTATCTGCTCCATTCCAAGAAGATCCGAAGATCGACGCGCGACGACCCCGATGCTCCCGACTACACCATTCAGTCAGACAAACTCCTGAACCAGGACGATCTTTGGAAGATCCTTGAGCTCGACATCAAGTTCCGCTCCTTTGTCGAGAAGAGGAACTCTCTTGAGCGCACGTACGAAAGCCTCAAGGGTCTCGATGTCTCCGACCCTATTGTGGAAGAAATGATCCCAGAAGCGACGACCATGGAGGAGCTGCAGGACTTGCAAGACTACCTGCACTTCCAATACGGTCCGAAGCTCAAGGACCTGGCGGCCATGTCTGGCAACGTCTCGCAAACCAAGCGGCCAGGCTCCAAGTCTTCGCTGTACGACCGTGTCCGCAACGGGAAGGCTTACTACTTTGTGAAGGCGTACGGCATCGCGGCAGACCAGCTTGCAAAGAACGCGTTGCGCCAGGGCAAAAGGGTGACGCCCGACGACGTCGAGCAATACCCGATGGATTTGGCCGACAGCCTTATTGACGATAGTTTCAACACTGGAGACCAGGTCATCAATGCCGCGCGCCAAATGTACTCGGAAGAGCTATTTGCCAGCCCTCGGATGCGCAAGTACTTCCGGAGCTCATACTACCACAATGCCGAGATCAGCTGTCGGCGCACCGACAAGGGGCTGCGCAAGATTGACGACTCACACCCATACTACGAGGTCAAGTACCTCCAGAACCAGGCCATTGCAGACCTCGTTCACCAGCCTGAGCTGTTCTTGAAGATGATGAAAGCCGAAGAAGAGGGCTTGGTAGATATCAAGGTCGAGATGCCATCCCATTACGATTTCCGACGGCTGCTCTACCAGGAGTTTGAGTCGGAGAATTTCAGCGACAGAGCTGAGCAATGGCGGGAGGAGCGCAAGAGAGTCCTCGATCTTGCGTACCCCAAGCTGGAAAAGGTTATCGTCAAGAACGTCAAGGAGGTGATTAGGACGTTCTGCCAGGACGAGGTGCTCAGGATGTGCAGGCAAGAGTTCTATAGGAAGCTCGACCAGGCCCCTTACAAGCCGAAGGGCATGATCCTAGGCACCACACCTCGCGTCCTCACCTTGTCCAACGGCATGGGTGATCCCGCTCGCGAACCCGTGTGCTGGGCTTGGGTCGAGGAGGACGGCCGTGTGCTGGAGCAGGGCAAGTTTGGCAACCTCGCTCGCGACGAGTCTCAGCGAGACGCGTTCGTTGAGCTTGTGCAGCGGCGTCGGCCGGATGTCATTGGCGTGAGCGGCTGGTGCGCGGAAACGCACAAGCTTGTGCGCGATCTGGAGACGCTCGTCAGCGAGAAGGGCCTCATGGGCCCTGAGTTTGACGACCCCGAGACCAACGACTACCGCACGGAACCCTTGGAGGTCATCGTCGTGGACGATGAGGTCGCGCGTCTGTACAAGGACAGCCCTCGCGCTCTGGCGGAGCACCCTTCCCTCAATCCCGTCACACGGTACTGTATCGCGCTCGCGCGCTACATGCAGAACCCGATGAAGGAATATGCCGCGCTCGGCAAGGACGTCTCGTCACTGTCCTTCCATCCTTGCCAGCATATGCTTCCTCAGGAGAAGCTGACAAAGTATCTCGAATCTGCCATGGTGGATACAGTCAACATGGTCGGAGTCAACATCAACGACGCCATGAACGACACATATACAGCCAACCTCCTGCCGTACGTTGCCGGCCTCGGGCCCCGAAAAGCGACCAGCGTCATCAAGGCCATTAACACCAACGGTGGCTCCGTCACGACAAGGGACGAACTCGTCGGTGACCCTGACACTGGCAAGGTGCCCGTCGTTGGCCCGAGGGTGTGGAACAACTGCGCAAGCTTCTTGTACATCGACTACGACGCGACAAACCCATCATCTGACCCGCTGGATAACACACGTGTTCATCCGGAAGACTACGAGCTTGGCCGCAAGATGGCCGCCGATGCCCTCGAGCTGGACGAAGAAGACGTCAAGGCGGAGACGGACGAGAACGGCCCTGGCGCAATCGTGCGCAAGCTGTTCAAGCAGGACGAGCAAGAACGCGTCAACGAGCTGGTGCTCGACGAGTACGCTGACCAGCTGTTGAAGAACTTCAACCAGAGGAAGCGGGCCACGCTCGAGGCAATCAGCGCCGAGCTTCAAGCGCCGTACGAAGAATTGCGGAGGAGCTTTGCGCTGCTGACCCAATCGGAGATCTTCACCATCTTCACCGGTGAGACGAAGGTGACCTTGTGCGAGGGGATGATCGTGCCCGTCAATGTACGCCTCGTACGCGACGACTTTGCCATCGTGAAGCTGGACTGCGGCATAGAAGGCCGAGTGGAGGCACACGAGGTGACAAACCGGCCGTCGGTAAAGGACGTGCTCAGCACTGGCCAGACGGCGCAGGCCAAGATCTTGGAGATGAACTACAAGGACTTCATGGCGAAGCTGTCGATGCGAGAAGACTCGCTACGCATCCCGTACAAGCGGCCCATCAACTACGGCAGAGACGGCTGGGATTACTCTCTCGAAGCCAAGGACAAGGACGAGCTTCGAGAAAAGGACAAGACCACGGGTCGGACACAACGTGTGGTAAAGCACCCCAACTTCAAGCCGTTCAACTCGGTCCAGGCCGAGGAGTACCTGGGCTCGCAGCCACCCGGCGAGGTCATCGTCCGGCCGTCATCGAAGGGTAACGACCACCTGGCGATCACGTGGAAGGTTGCCGACAACGTGTACCAACACATCGATGTTCTGGAGATGCAAAAGGACAACGAGTTCTCGGTCGGCAAGCTGCTCCGCGTAGGCGGCAAGTACACGTACAGTGACCTGGATGAACTGATCGTCGACCACGTCAAGGCTATGGCGAGAAAGGTGGAGGAGATGATGAGGCACGACAAGTTCCAGAACCGCTCCAGAGGCGAGACGGGTATGTGCTTTCCCCGACGTTGCTGCTCATATCATGATGCTAACAATGTCAACAGAAAAATGGCTGACTACGTACATTGACGCCAACCCCAACCGGTCAACGTATGCATTCTGCATCGACACGAAGCACCCTGGGTATTTCTGGTTGTGCTTCAAGGCCAGTCGGACCGCGCGAGTCATCGGTCTGCCGGTCCGCGCCATCCCTCAGGGATACGAGCTCAAGGGGTATCAGTACCCGGACATGCGAGCTCTGTGCAACGGCTTCAAGCTGCGGTACCAGAACGAATTCTCCAAGATGGGGACGAAATAACCGCCATAGGCGAGACGGGTTCGGCTCAAGACTGGCGAGTCTTGTGTGGGAGTTTTTGCTGTACATTTAGTTTCCCTCTTGGTCTTCGGTTGGCGTGCGGAGGGGTCGCAGGCGGGCCAAACAGCGCAGGTCTGGGAGCACGATAGAATACTATGACAATACGTGCAGTGACGCAGTTTTTGGGTGGTGGCTACCCGCTCTTCTTGTTGTGTCGCCAGTGCCAGCGCATTGGCGAGTGACGAACGTTCAAAGCGTAGGGTACATGTCCAGCTCGTCGACGTCTTCCGAGTCAGTGCCAGGTACTTGGTTGCAACTTACTCGTCTGTAAGTCGCCACATATTCTGACCGAGGGGTTTCGTTTATCATCTTGACGTTGTAGCCAGACCCTGACACACGGCGGCATGAACAGCGATGTCTTGGCCCTCTTTTCATGCGTAGTGCTATTCGTGGAGCCAACGTTTGCTAGTTGTAGTGCCGTCCTACGTTTCATCTCGGCCGCGCCCTTACCCCACGCTGCACCAGCGATTTTTGGTGTGCAAGCATAGGACGATAGCGGGGCTCTGCCTATTGCGAGTAATTGCTACTGTTCCTCCTGTTACTGATATTGCTTTCGTTGCTTTCGTTGCTCTCGTTGCGCAAGCCCCCTATGTACACCAGCGAGCGTCACCGCTCTGACATGTCACACAGCTCGGGAGCACCGACTGGTTTTTCTCGTGAAGCCAGCTTGTTGACACACGTGCTAGACGTGCCATTGCTGCTGACAATACGCTTTCGCGTTCAATTGACCCTAGTCTTTGGGTAATGCATATGGTTGCTAATTTACATCCCTAAGTATCATGCATCCTATTCCTGGGGCTCCTCGGCAACGTAGTGCAGATAGGCACCCAGAAGCTTGATGCCCTCAATGTAGTTGCGCTTGTCCAGCTTCTCGTTGATAGAGTGAGCACCGTCCGTAGAGCTACCCATGGGCAGGAGCAAGACGTTCTTGCCAGTCGCCTCCTCAAATGTCAAAGTAACGGGGATGCTGGATTGGATTAGCGCAATTCAACAAGGCCGGCTCGATGTAACTAGAGCTTACCTTCCACCCTCGCGAGTAAAGTCGGGCTGGACGCCCCAGACGCGCTCGGTGGCCTTGGCAGCGGCGGAGAAGTTCCAGTGCTTGGGCGACGCGGCCCACCACTTGCCCGTGTGCTGGGCAAACACCTTCATGGTGTTCTTGCTGCCCAGCTTGGCAAACTGCTCCTCAACGTACTTGTACACGCAGTTGTTGGTGGTGTCGATGTCCATGTTGGGCACGGTGCGGATGGAGAACTTGCCAATGACCTTGGCGGGGATGACCGTCTTGGCGCCGGGGCTGGCGAAGGCACCCTCGATGCCGTGAACGGAAAGGGAAGGGTATCTCCAGCGGGCCATCAGGGTGTTCTTCTTGTCGTCGTGGATGGTGGTCTTGCTGCCGAGAGACTCAAAGATGTTGTCCATGGTGAAAGAGATGCCGTCGTAGAGACCCTCCTCCTCCTTGGTCACAGGGGCAACCTGCTCCATGATGCCAGGGATCTGGATCTTGCCGTGGGTATCGACCAGGGAGCCCAGGAGGCGCACCAGGTCGGTCATGGGCTCCTGGGCGGTGCCACCAAAGACACCGCTGTGGAGGTCCGCGCCGGGGCCGGAGACCTCAATGGAGTAGTAGTTGCAGCCTCGCAGGCCATAAGTCAGGCAGGGCTTTTCGGTTCCCAGCCAGTAGTTGTCGGAAATGCACACGGCGTCGGTGTCGGCAAAGTACTTCTTGGCCTCAGCCTGAATGAAGTCGTCCAGACCCTCGGAACCGTACTCCTCCATGCCCTCGAAGCACATGAGCAGGTTTACGGGGAAGTCGACGCCAGCCTTCTGGTGAGCCTCAATGGCGTTGAGCCAGCCGAGAACGGGGCCCTTGTCATCGGTAGAACCACGACCGAACATGCGGCCCTTGTCGTCGACGGTCAGGTCGAAAGGCTCCGTGGCCCAGCCGTCGCTCTTCTCGGCGGGCTGGACATCGTAGTGGCCGTAGACCAGAATCGTGCGCTTGTTCTTGTCATTGCCGTATCGGCCAAGGACGACGGGAGGCAGGTCGAGGTGCTCCTTGTGAGGCTGCTTGCCCAGGGGCCTCAGCTCGACCTCGGCGCCAAGAGCCTTGAGCTCGCCAGCGAGCCACTCGCCCATGCGGACGACATCGGGACGGCGGGCATCCTCGGCCGAGATGGAAGGAATGGCAACGGCCTTGCGAAGGCGCTCGATGAAGTCGTTGGCCGAGGCGTCGACCTGCTTGAAGTAGCTGTCGAGTTGGGGAGCCATCTTCTTTGCTTGGTGGGCGCGGATCGCGTCTGTGAGGTACGGGCGACGGAGGCAAGGAGGGGCAGTCTGAGACGGTAGAGCGAAGCTTCTGGGTATCTCAAACGGTCGTCTTGTCGAGAGAGAGACTGCGGATCGAGTGGCACGACAGAACAAAGAAGTCTGCAGCAAGACGGTGCGGGGCATCGCTGGCCTAAGAAGAAAACACGCTGCAGCTTACACACGCCGTGCCCTCCTTCTACATCAGGTGGTGGTGGGCTGGCGGGGGAGTTGAAGAACTGGACGTGCTGTGACGCTCCTGCCCAACTAGCGACAAATGGCAGCAAAGGGCCCTGTGGCTCGGCGGAACCAGCGGCTACAAGCGGCAGCCAATGGATATTGGCTTAGTCACAGGAACCCCAGGGCCCACCGCCCGGCAAGTTGCATCCGTGACAGCAGACGGCCAAGGCAGGACGGCAGGTCACGTGATGGCATACAGTGGCCCGGAAAAACTGTTCCACCATCGTTCCGGAGATCTCTGCCCGCTGACAAACCGGCGCCCTCCGCAACCAGTCAAGTCAACTGTCAGCCCCCGCCAACTGGGTTCTTAACACCTCCCGAACGTCCTGCGCATGCGCTCTGACTCTTCCCCAACAACTCCATCCGCCTCATCTCCCCTTGCGCCTCCACGCGTCGTCGCCATCGCCAAACACCCCAAAGGCCGGCTTCTACGGTTGCTTCTCCATATTTGCTGTACCATTCGCCTCTCCGACCGGGCTCGCCGCTTCGACCGACCGTAAACACCGCAGGGTGCAGCTCGCGTGTCGCACCTGCAAAGCTCTCCATCGACCAGCGTGACTCGACTCCCGCCCGCCGTCTCCAGACCATTGCCGTTTCTTCAGTGTCTTGCTGTCGTTTGACTGAGGATTCTGGAAAGTAATTATAGCTGACCCAAGACGTTGATTTGGCTTCGAGGGCGTCGTGGTGTGTTTGGTGGTGAGGAGGACCAAGGACGCGAGATCCTTTACTGGCCTCGGCCAACTGTACCCTTATTCCCTCTGCCCTGTTGACGTCTGTTCCTCCTTCCAAGTACAATCAGAAAAATTGAATATTTCCGTTCAACCCTGACCTGCGAGAGCACTTGGGCGTGCAAGACAAAAGGAAAAGGAAAGAAACAAAGGGACGTTTCTGGCTGCGGACCAGCAATTCATATCTTTATTCATCACACACTTCCTCGTGCGGCTTCTTAGCCAGGCGTCTGTGCCTCTGCCCTGACGAGGATCGACCGAAGCGCCAAAAAGCTGCGACCTCGCGGCTTGGTTCCTCGTAAGCAGAGGGAAGCGACACCGCACAACCAGCGACATCATGTCTTCATCAGTGTTTTTCAAGTTCAAATCCCAGAAGGAACCGACTCGGGTGGAGTTTGACGGAACGGGCATCTCTGTCTTTGAGCTCAAGCGCGAAATCATTACCAAGAGTGGCCTGGGCGACGGCACCGACTTCGACCTTCACATATACACCGACGACAACAGTCAAGGTGAGTTGGGCTTCACTACGGGCAACAAGGCAGATTCGCTAACATGTTGCTTAGAATATGACGATGACACAACAATTGTGCCGAGATCTACGACGGTAATCGCCCGGCGACAGCCAGCAGCCAAGCCTGGAGCTGGGCGTGCCGCTCGATATGTCTCGGGAAAGGCCCCGGTATCGGCCAAGAACGCTGGCCGCAAAGAACAGGCTGCCAAGGCCTCGGCGGCGAAGCCCAGCACGAGCGCCATCAGCCAGATGAACGCGGCCATGACCGAGGAGGAGAAGATGGCGGCCATGTTCGCCGCTCAGAGCGAGCAGTGGTCTGCCCAGCAGGAGGAGATGTCCCACCAAGCGCCCGTCTTCAAACCCGGAGCCAAGAGGCCAGCAAACGTCCCTGACCATGACCCCCCAAACGGCTACATCTGTTACCGTTGTGGCAACAAGGGTCACTGGATCCAGCTGTGCCCGACCAACGACGACCCGGACTTTGACAACCGACCCCGAGTCAAGCGGACTACAGGCATCCCGCGCTCGTTCCTGCAAAAAGTCGACAAGTCCGTCGTCTTGGCTCAGTCCGAGGGCGACGAGTCAAAGCGGCCCTCTGGCATCATGGTCAACGCCGAGGGCGACTTTGTCATAGCTGAGCCAGACAAGGCGTCGTGGGAACAGTTCCAGGCAAAGACCAAGTCTTCAACGGCCAACAAGGAGGCCCAAGCCGAAAACAAGGAGGTGCAGGAGCGCGGGCTCGAGTGCTCGATTGACAAAAAGATGTTCATAGAGCCAATGAAGACGCCGTGCTGCAAGAAGACGTTTTGCAACGATTGCATCACAAACGCGCTCATCGAAAGCGACTTTGTCTGCCCGGCTTGCCAGACAGAGGGCGTACTGATCGATGACTTGACGCCCGATGAGGAGACGGCGAAGAAGATTCAGGATTACCTGAAGGAGAAGGAAACGGCCAAGTCACCGCAGCCGGGTTCTCCAAGGCCGGATGCCGACCTCGAGGAAAAGCCAGAGGAAAAGGCGGATGACAAGGCGGAGGACAAGACCGAGGACAAGACCGAGGATCGGACGGAGAAGGCAGAGAGGAAGGAAGAAACAGATACCAAGGAAAACTCCAAGTCACCCACGCCAAACGCCGCCACACCGGCTTCGCCACCCAAAGGGCCTAAAGCGCTCACTCAAACCAACGACCAGAAGGATCCTCACCGCGAAAGCAGCGTCAACCCGAAGAAGCGACCCGCCGACGACTTCCTGGAGAACCCCAAGATTCCCAAGGGCCCCAAGGCCATGCAGAACCAGCAAAACATGATGCCCAACGCCATGAACGGCATGCCAAACATGGGCATGAACAACATGATGTTCAACGGCATGGGCATGATGCCTAACATGATGGGGATGCCCAACATGAACATGAACATGGGCATGGGTATGCCAATGATGGGAATGCCGATGATGGGCATGGGAATGAACGACTTTGGCATGAACGGCGGTTTTGGAGGCATGGGTGGCAACATGGGCTTCAACGGCATGCAGGGAATGAACGGCATGAACATGAACAACATGGGCATGCAGCAGGGCCCCAACATGGGCGGTATGGGCGGCATGGGCAGCATGGGTCCCATGAATGGGTTCCAGAACGGCGGCAGCTTCTCGCAGCAAAACGCTGGTGAGGGCGAGGAGGAGGACGCCTACTTCCGCAAGCCGGTCAACCCACACCGGCACCAGAACAAGCAGCGGCGCGTGCGCCCGAGCGACTACCGCGAACTATGAGGCGGTTGGAGGGGCGGCGTATTGTTTGGATTCTTTGGGTTCGGTGTTTGGCAAAGGTATAGCACGGCGGACACACGTGTACCCGCATAGGGCGCCTCGCGTTATTGTGCGCCTATGGAGTTTTGAGCATCACGCTTCTGTGGCATCTGGAGGCATACATAGCATTTTTAATTCAAGCAATGGTCTTGTGCCAATGAATGGGACGGGTACTCGTTTATTGTGACATGTCTACATGTTTTATGCGCTGTGACGTTGTGACACGAATCATCGCTCTCACCCAGGCTTTCCAATAGGCCAAAACAACCACGATATGCCCCTTCCGCGCTTTACTGAGGCGGCACGTACGGCGTAATCAATAGCTCGCTAAACTTTTCCAGCTTCTCCTTTCCGCGCACCTCCTCGACCAGCAGGGGCATCTTGACGACGTTGAAGTCCTCGGCGTACAGCTCCTCGTACTGGTCGAGGTACTTCTTCTGCATCTTGCGGCGGGCGTTGCACTGGTCGCACTCGCTCGACTTCTTGGGGAAGAGGAGCTGGTTGACGACGATGCAGTGGGTGTCGATGCCGTAGCTGGCGAGCTCCTGGATCATGCGCTCCGTCTCGTACAGGGAGAGGAACTCGGCGATGCAGACGCAGACAAAGGTGGTGAGGTCGGCGTCCTTGAACTGGGTGTTGACCTCGGCGATGGTCTCGCGCAGCGACTCGAGCTTCTCCATCATGTCGTTGAGGTTCTGGCCGTTGGGCAGGGTGCCGTTGTTGCCGAGGAAGCCGTTGAGCAGGGGGCCGTACTGCGACGACAGCTGGGAGACCTTGGCGAGGGCCTTTTCGAGGACCGAGGGGAACTGGAGGAAGCGCAGGGTGTGGCCCGTGGGGGCGGTGTCGAAGATGATGGTCTCGTACGAGAGGGACTTGACCTGCTTGAGGACTTCGGCGAAGGACATGGCCTCGTCGATGCCGGGGATCTATAGGATCAGTCAGTCAGTTGATTTGCTTAAGAGGCGGGCATATTGCTTCGAATCGAGGCTCGGCGCGCGGGTGGCGCGAAAAACGTACGGCGAAGGCCAGGTCCTGCATCATGCCGCCGATGCCCCCGCCCATGGCGTTGAGGTCCTCGGCGCCGTCGGCCTGGCCGGCGAGCAGGTCCTGCATGCTGCCGTTGGGGTCGATCTCCATGGCGCTGAGGTTGTCGAAGCCGTTGACGAGGCGGGCCTCCTTGCCAAACTTTTGCGAGAAGGCGTCGGAGAGGTTGTGGGCGGGGTCGGTGCTGATGAGCAGGACGGAGCGGCGGACGCGGGCGAGCTGGATGGCGAGGGAGCACGACGTGGTGGTCTTGCCGACACCGCCCTTGCCGCCGACGAAGATCCAGCGCAGCGACCGCTGGTCGAGGAGCGACTGGAGCGTGGGCTCGAGGGCGTCGTCGGCGGAGACGACGGCCGTGGAGGACATGGTGGGCGGTTGGTAGGAAGGCGGGTGGGCGAGCGGGTGAAGGCGAGGAGGGAGCGAGACGAGCGCCCGTGGTTTCGGGGTTCGAGGGGCGATGGTGTACGTATCGTAGTGTGGTGAGGCGGCGGTGTCGTCACGGGCTTTTGGTGTTGCGTCGTTGCGACGAAGCAAACCACAGGCGGCTGCTTCTGGAAGGCTCCCCTCCCCGCCTTGGTGGGAGGTTCCAGGTTAGCGCTTGTCTCCACTGGCGGCCTGGCAGGGCGGGACGCAGTGCACGTTCCTTGCCCCAAGGCTCCCTGTAAAAGGTGAGGCGAGGCGCTGATGGCGGGGCAGCACCATCCGGCGAAGTGGCGGGGTCGAGCGGCGAGGTCGCGGTGGAGGGGCAGCCTGAGCAGTTGAGACTCGAGGGGCCGCGTCGGCGGTGCGGGGCCGGTTCGGAGACGCGCTGGAGGCTGGAATCCTTGATCTTCGGCCGTGGAGCCTCAGATGTACGTACGCACTTACCCACGAGTAGATGAATTGTGAATCTAGTAAGTTCTGTTCCGTGTTTGTATCATCTATTTCAGACCCTTGCCGGTCTGCCAGACATGCAGGCTGTCTCTCATGAGTGGCCGCCGACGACCGGGCCCTTCAGGCCTGTGCAACATTTTACGGTGCTACCAACCACAGCAGTGACAGGACCGTGTAGGTGCTTCCAGCCACTGGCCGTTATCAATTTCCAAAACTCACGGCAACGGATAAGGACTCCAAGCCATCGTCATCGGATGCCCGGGAAGCGCCTGGCCTGTTTCCCGTCTTGTGTCACTCCAGACACCCACCACCTCTGCGATCCGCGCCCTCCGTGTTGCAGCATCGTGTAAGCAAAGCAGATCCTTGGGGTCACACAACCCTAATCAGCGATCGCGACCGCATGGGCGACTACTTCCGTGTAAGCTGAATCGCCGACTCCTTATCTTCACCGCGAGCCTTCGTGCGCATGCTCTGGCGGGGTCTTTTCGTTTGCAAAGGAAAGGCGACTTAAGGGTTGTAAGGTGGCTACCAGCGCCAGCGCAGAGCAGCATACCAGACCCCCTGAACCAACGCTGGAAAACCTCACGCGATTGCCACATCATGCACGTCGTCGGGCGCCCCCTGTTGGCCTTTCCATGTCAAAACCCAACAGCACGCCCTTTCATGGGCCTTACGAGAACGGACTGAGAGCCGCCAAACGCGCAATGGCGGGCCTGGCCTATCATGTGTCAGGTTTGCCGTCGGGACGGGCAGGTGGGCCGGTATTAGTCGCAAGCGTAGTGCTTAAGTGTGAAATCCACCAGCATCAGGAATCAGAGTCAGACTTGATCCTCTTTCCATCCTGCGACCCGGCCGTGCAATCGCCCCCTTTGACTCGCCTTGTTTATTTTTTTATTTTTATTTTTTTTATTTTTTTCGTCTAGCAGGCTCGGGATCTCAGTAAAGTGCCATATTTTCTCGCCGTCGTTTCGTCACCTTTATCCACCCCCCTTGCTAAACACCATGGCTATCCCCGCCAAGGTGAACCTCACGGATCCCTTCGAGGTGGATACCCTCCTCGAGATCCGGACCTCGGGCATGAAGAAGATGACTGGCTTGAACATTGAGTCGGGCATCGATAAGAAGCTCTGCCCCGGGCCCATGAAAGTGGGCAAGCTCGGCCTTGAGGGAGACGAGCACGACCCGACCTTCCACGGCGGGCCGGACAAGGCCATTCTTGGATGTAAGTCGCTGATCCGTCCATCTCCGTGCCCAAGGATGAGCCATGGCTGATAGCGCCCGACCAAATCAAAGACTGTTCTTCACATTATGCCGACTGGCAGCAGTCGTATCCCGAACGGACGGACCGGTTCGTCCCGGGAGGTTTTGGTGAGAACTTTGTCACGGCGCGGATGAACGAGCGCAACGTTTGCATCGGCGACGTCATCTCTGTCGGCCCCGAGCTCGTGCTGCAAGTGTCTCTGCCGCGCCAGCCCTGCTTCAAGCTCAATCACCGCTTCTCGCTCAAGAACTTTGCCCCCGTGACGTACCAGACGAGCCGCACCGGCTGGTACTACCGCGTCGTCCGCGAGGGCACTGTCCGCGTCGGCGACGACATTCGCCTCGTCGAGCGCAAGTGGCCCCAGTGGACGGTTGAGCGCGTCCAGGAGTACCTGCACCGCACAACGGACAACCTCGAGATGAACCAGCAGCTGGCCGATGTCGACGCACTGGGTGAGGAGAGCCGCGGACAGTTCCGCAAGAGGGTTGCAAAGGCCCTGAGGAAGGCAAGGGCCGAAGCGGAGGACACATGGAAGGACTTTAGGATCACGGGCCGCAAGATGGAGACGCCCAGGATCGTGTCGCTGGTGCTCGAGGCGGTCAATCCTGATCCCGAGACGGAGCTGCCGCTGGCCGGGGCGCACGCGAGGATCAAATTGCCAAACGGCCTCATCCGCTCATACTCCATCGCCGCCGGTGGAGACAGTCTCTTCAAGGTCACTGCCAAGTTTGAGCTGGGCGTCGCGCTCGACGAGCACAGCCGCGGCGGCTCGCGATACCTCCACGAGACATCCAAGGTGGGTGACATCCTCCAGGTGGGCAGAATCACCACGGGCATCGGCTTCGCCAAGTCTGCGAGCAACCACTGCTTCATCGCCGGCGGCATCGGCATAACGGCCTTCCTGCCGCTCATCAGGGGCATGGACGCCATCCACCTCAACTACAAGCTGCACTACGCCGTGCGGTCCGCCGACGACATTCCCTTCCTGGACAGGCTAGAGCCCCACAAGGAGAATATTGTATTCTACGACAAGTCCAAGGGCGAGAGGATGGATGTCAAAAAGATTGTCAAGGACTTGATGTGGAACAGCCACCTGTACGTCTGCGGGCCGAACCGCATGATGGAGGCGACCAAGGCGGCCGTCGAAGAGTCGGGCATCCCTCCGGACGAGGTCCACTACGAGGCTTTCGCCGCCGACGTCTCTGGTGATCCGTTTGAGGCGGAGCTGTCGGGCAAGAAGAGCCAGGTGCTCAAGGTTGGAGAAGACGAGAGCCTCCTCGAGGTCCTGAGGCGGGAGCTCCCTGACTTCCCCTCGAGCTGCGAGGTGGGCAACTGCGGGACTTGCAAGATCACCGTCAAGAGCGGGCGCGTGGACCACAGGGGCTCGGCGCTGTTGCCCGAGGAAAAGGAGACGTCCATGCTGGCGTGCGTCAGCCGCGGCATCGGCAGGATTGCTATCGAGGTCTAGAATTGAGCGAAGAACTGCTTGAGCACCAGCTCCTTTCTGTTTGGCTGCCAGCACGGGAACGTAATCTCGTATTCGACCAGGTAAGAGCTTCAAGGGTGGCTGTAGATCAACGCGAGGCTTCCTAGTCGCAATAACGGAAGGCGGGCAGATCGCAGCGAATTGTTCACGGACGTGGCGTCGTATCGTGAACGAGCACCGCCTTCAAACCCCGCCTCAGCTTCAGCTTTGCATCCCCCGTTTCCAGCATCCACGAATAAAGATGATAATGGTTATAAAAGATGAGATGACCCCTCATTCTGTCGGTCCTGGCTGCATGTCAAAAGAATAAGCGCCCTACAAGCCCAGTTCCACGGCTCAGCCAATACACAGCAATACAAACGACCGCGTCTACTTTCCACACCATGGCCGACTGGAAGCCGCCACCCTTTGGCACGCCGACATGGCTCGCCATTCCCGCCACTGATGTCTCGCGAGGTAAGGCCATTGCGCGTATGCAGAACTTTGTGTTAGACTACAGCTACCGTGAAATGATGTTACACGTTGAGAAAAAATCCGTCTGGCGCATTCGCCGAGAGGTAAAAAGGCTCGTGAGAGGGCGTAGCTGACGGATCTTCTTCCTTCAGCGTCCGAGTTCTACAAGAAAGTCTTCAACCTCCCATACAAAGACCAGCCCGCCAGCATGTCCCCCGACCACATCCGCCTCTTCGACCTGACCAAGAACGGGCTGAACATCAGCGGGGGCATCCTCAAGGCGCCCGACGAGTCGGGCGCGTTCCGCGGCGGCAAGGGCGGCGTGTGCGTGCACTGGTTCGTCGAGGACGTCGACGAGTCGGCCAAGGTCATTGAGGCGGCGGGCGGCAAGATGCTGACTGAGAAGGAGAAGGAGGGCGAGTTTGGCGCGTTTCGCTATTTTGAGGATACGGAGGGCACGGTTGGGTCGGTGTATATGCTCGTCAAGTGAAGGCCGCTTGTCTGGATTGGAAGCCCCAGTGGGATGTCGGTGGGCGAGACACAATATGCATTTGGCCCTGAGAGAGGCTATTTAGACACTCGTCCATGTCTATTTGCTCATCGCCGTTGTTACTGCTGTTACCATTACCGGCGGCGGCGGCATGAGAGCCGTCGCTGTCGTCAATGGTGCTACTTCCGGTCGTGCTGTCGCAGGCGTCGCTGACGTTGCTACCGTGAATACGACCTCAGCGGGGGCAATAGCTCCATGCACTTAAGCGTCCAAACAAGGGTGTTGCGGATCAACTTTCCCGTTGCTGACATTGCCGTTTGGACACACCCCGAGGTCCGACTTCATCCCTCACTTTCTTCTCAAACCGACCCATACGTATTGCTGGCAGAGTGTGGCGTGCAATCGATTGGACAGTTAGCGATACAGTCTGGCACATAACTTGCAACATGGATGTGGATGAGCTTCGAACACCTCGTCTGCTGCTGCGGCAGCTGCACACCAACGACCTCGGAAGTCAGGATCTCGAATGGTTCCACCGACTTTGGAGCAACGAGCTGGCGACGCAATGGAGGCAAGACCGTTTATCATATCGAATGTTGTGTAGCTGACAAGACTAGTTATCGTGGACGATCTGAGACCGAGGCAGACAGCCAGCAGTGGATGGCGGGGATTCTCCCGCGCAACGCCACCGGCAAGAAGGTCAAGATAGCCTTCGCGGTGCTGCCGAGCGTTACGGAGACACAAACCGCCAAAGCCGAGGCATTGGGCATCGTGACACTCCTCTCGACGACCTTTCGTCTGGCTTCCGAGCCCGCGGCCGATCCTGAAGACGACGGCACCACTGTCGAGCTGGGCTACCTGTTTCACCCGGACTCTTGGGGCAACGGATTCGCAACCGAAAGCCTGCGCGAGTTCATCAGTGCATATGTCAAGCAGCGCGCAGCTCGGGAGCAGCAAGGGGACATGCAGTTTGAGATCAGGGCCAGTGCGCACAGCGCGAACGGCGCGAGCGTCCGCGTGCTGGAGAAGCTGGGCTTTGAGGAGCTGGGTCGGTTCGAGCACGAGGGGCGGCTTCCCCTGAGGAAGGAAGCCTCTAGGGAAGTGATTTTGCACATGCGCCTGAGGAAGTAGCCTGGAACAAGCAACGCTAGGTACTAGGGAGGCCTGGTGGCACCTGCCGACTGCTAGAGAGGCGGTAGCCAGGTGTTGAACAGCTGGCCGCAGTGGCAACGCTCCGCCTGCCTGGGCTGTTCAACAGTGCTGGACCGTTTCGAGCAATGATTCACTGATCTCTGCCCAGACATAACTCGTGCTTGACGCGCAGCCTTGTCCCGTTTTGATTTGTTTTTCTCTTTCCTTCCGTTCTTTTCCTTCGTGCACTTCCTCCTCTCCCTGCTCTTCCCCCAGCTCCTCCCCTTCCTCCTGTTCCTTCTCTTGGCCTACTCCAGCTCCGTATATTGTTTGATCCCGGACTCGAAAAGACTGCTGTTTTGATTCGCGACGATTCGTCGCACGGCGCCTCGACATGAGTCTCTGGATCATGACGTGCTGCTGCTGCGGCGCGGAGATCAAGGATCCGGACGAGGCACCCCACGCCCCGTGGATGACTCTTTACCGAGCCGGTACATCTAGCTCATTCATTTCCCCCCTTTGTGCATGCAGCTAACCTATCGCCGCCAGTGTACGCAGAGAATGGCTTGACTGCTCCCGCATGCCTCTCGGGGGTCAGCCTGCGGGTGGACGAGCGCGAGGATCCTGATGCCGACCGCGTCGTCCTCGACAGGGATGAGTCCATCTTGGACGACCCGATGCCCTCCACTGAGATCATTCGCCTCATGCGCACGAGCTTCAACGACCCGCTCGTGCCCAGCGCAGATGGACCACAGGAGGGCCGCTGGGGCTTTCCGTTTCACGCCTCTTGCTGGGACATCATGGTCGATATCGCCGGCATGGGCAAGGAGGACGAGGACCTGCAAGCCCTGTTCGAAGTCCTTCGCTCGTTCCCGTGCCCACAGGCCGTCATGTCCTGGGGACACGGTTACTTCGGCCTGTACAGAGTTACCGAGGACACCGAGTTCCTCAGCCCAGAGGACGGCAGGAGGCTCGCGTACGCTACCTATACTAGTGTTGACCAAGACGCCCAGACTCCCGTCGAGGACTACGATGCCGCCGAGGACGGCCACTTCGCCGGTGATGTCCTGGAATTTGCAGACTTAGTTGCGCCGTCGCCGGCCACTTCCCCGAAACCCTTTCGCACCGACGACGTCTCAGGCGGCGGCACGCTCTCGTTGCTGCCGGACGAAATTTTCACCGACATCCTTCTTCGTCTGCCGAGCAAGGACGTCCGCAACGTACGCATCGCATCCCGCCGCGCTGCCCTCATGCGACTCCCCGACGCCTTCTTTCACTCTCGCTTCCAAATCGGTTACGAGCTCGCGCACATCTGGGAGGCATACGATGTCAAAGAGCATTACCGCGGCACATGGCATACGATATATACCAACTTCAAGTACCTGTCTGATCATCCTGCCCTCATCAACCGCAAGCGCGTGTGGAGGCTGGCTCGAATGGTCGTCGGCCTGGTCAATCAGACCGTGGGCCTCTCGTGCGACGGAGAGCTCGCCTCCAGGCCAAAGACACAAAGCTACGTTTCCGAGCTCAACAACGGGGCTCTGGGTATGGCGTGCTCGTCCAAGTGGCTAGAGGATCAGAAACGTCCGTTCTTGGTCCGGACCTCCGGCTTCTTCTTTCGACGAATATATCTGCCCGGGAAGATCCGCTCCGTGTCGGCCTGTACGGTGAATGTATTTGGCCAAAACTATCTATCTGGGCTACGTTTTGAAGGAGAAGAAGGCGAAACGAAGCAGATTGGCTACGTGCGTGAGTCCGCCCTCCAGACCCTAGAGTGGTCTGAGTTCGATGATCGTCCCGACGGCATCGTCTTGTTTGGACTCTACCTGGCCCATGATGAAGTGGGCGTACGAGGAATCGCCGCAGTGACCACAGACGAGGAGCTATCGGCGTGGATTAGAGATCACGTCGGCATACCCAAGAGACGCCTGGTCGTCGGAGGAACCCCTCCCATGTGCCCCAACTGGCCGAGGATCCTTGCCCGCATTGACGCTGGTTTTGATGTATGACATATGCCCCGAACACAATGTTTACGCATGCTAACGCTCTCTACTAGGGTCTGAGACTTCTGTCTATGGCATTGCGCAGCAAGCACTGGCCAGAGTGTCCGGGAGACCCGGGTGAGCTGGACCATCGCGACAGCGTCAGCTGGATACCGGATGTCCCTCCGCCGGGCCTCATCTACTCGAAATTCACAAATATGAGCGGCTCGTCTGCTCGCTGCTTCTCCGCGACAGAACCGTCGTTTCTGTGTTTCTTCGGTGGACCCACGGCTGAGATTCCCGAGCACAAGGGTCGGATCACGGTGCATATCAACTCAGAGAGACGCATCGTTGGCTTCGAGACCGTTCTGGTCAACGGTGACCACAGAACTATGATTGGAAAGGAGGCAAGCACACGCAACAGCTTCGAAGTTGACTTTCCAGACGATGAGCGCGTCGTCAATGTCATCTACCGCAAGCACCGCTACGGCCCGGATGAGATTACCGTACGGAACACAAAACCCCCCGCTATCCACTACATTGAGTCCCAAGATTATGAAGCTAACGTGTGGGAATAAAGATCTATACTAATAGACGACGTATCGGCCGCCTGTCGGCGCCTCTCTCGTCATCGTTTGGTCCACGCCCCAAGAGGCCGTCCTTGTCCTTCAACCACGAAGCCGTGGGTTTTTACGGCTTCATGGTGTGTGACCGCAGCTCCAATCAGGGAGAACACCCTTTCACTAACATTCTCTTAAGGAGTGTGGCCTAATCGGGGGCATTGGCCTGGTGTACCGTCCGCTGCCACAGGAGTGACTGGCTACATGGACGTTGGGGTGGCTGAGAAGTCTTGTCGGAGTTTTTGTGTATTTTTCTGGATTGGAGCTCATGGGAAGGATCTTGTGATACTAGAGAGACGTTGTTTGAACACCGGTCTGTTCGTTTGGCCACCATCACTGCTGTCGCTGCTGGCGTTGCTCCCTTCGCTGGCGTTGCTTCTGCTGCTGTCACTGCCTCCGTAGCTGTCGCCTCTAGCGCTGCTGCCATTCCTGGCGTGCCTGCTGTTGCTGCTGCTGCTACTGCTGCTGCCACTTGAAGATGCCCTTTCCCGGGGCAGCCAAGTGCAAAGGGCTGATGTTCAGGGAGGTCTTCTCGTGACCAAAAGTCATGATTTGGTGAGGGAGTGCGAGGAGCAGAGTTGGATGCCGACAAGAGGAATCGGGCAATGTTGACGACGGTCAGCCCAGCCCCATTCACCCAGTGTGTAATTCTAGGGAGCAGAGTTTGCAAATGTTTTGGGTATCATTGTATATGCATTCGCCTTCTATGCCCTGTCGCCATCCTCCGCATGATGCTATGCTGTGCCAACCTCTCACGTCGCCAGATGCGCCGCTCCACACTACTAGGTACGTAACAACATTAGGAGCTCAGCCTCGTAGCTGCTGTGTAGGACCAGGATAGAGGCCGGAGTGGATTTGGAGTGTGCATTGGGACACTGGAGGGCCCCGTAGCTGAGAGAGACAGGCTGTGGATGAATGTGACAGGTGAGGAATCTGTGGCCTCTGAGCGAGCATTAGCACGCTGTCTCGTAGGAGCTGGAGCACGGTCGGTGACAAAGCAGCGTCTCAGACAATTTGAGAAGATTGGTAACGCGGTGGTTTGCAGCATTGACCAGAAGTGACGGCTCAGGAGACCTGAACCATCTCTGGCGCCTCTGATGGCCCCGCGGCGTCATCATGATAAGGGGCTTTGAGGGGAGGGCAAGCGTAAACGTACCGTTGCCTCGTTTGCAAAACCTGTAGGCTCACGTCTCCGGCTTGAACTTGCCCCTCTTCTCCTTCATGGCGTTGACCTTTCTCTTGTCGTCCTCGAATCTCCTTATCAGGGCGGCCTGCTCCTGTTTCCTCCTCTCCCGCAGCTGGAACCTGTAAAAGTCCTTCATCTCCGCCTTCTTCTTCTGCTGCTTGTCGACCATCTTCTGCTTGGCCTCCTCGGCCTCGCTCTTGCTCGCCGGCGCCACGCGGCCGCCGCGCGTTACAGTGACAAAGCCGTCCTCGTCCGGTTCGTTGCGTAGCCTCTTGGCCATCTCGGCGGCCTCCTTCTCCTTGCGGTTGAAGGCGTTGAAGAATGCGTGCACTGCCTGTTGCGTGGCCGTCTTGTCGACGCGGCATAGCTGCAGGTGGGTGGACACCCATGTGGCGCCCAGCGGAGGGACATCGTCTCCGACATTCTCGCCCCAGACCGGGTATTTCTTCGTCTTCTGGAGCTTGGCAATAGCCTTGAGGACGAGCTGCACGCTCTTCTCGTCGGCGAGCAGCGCGACCGCGGTGCCGCTGCTTCGATGTAACCGGCGGGTCCAGATCTCAGGGAGCCGCACCGCCTCCTCTTCGCGCGCAAGCTCCTCCGCCTCCAAATCTGCCCTCTTCCGCTTTCGCGCAAACCCTGCTACCTTGGCGGCGTGCGCAGGGTCGACCGCGAGGACGGCAGTCGGCTCGTCGTCGAATTTGATCGTCTCGAATCGTCCCGCGCCGACAAGGGCGGTGAAAACGGCTCTGAAGTGGGCTTCTGTGCTGTCGGCAGGCACATTCTTCAGGAAAAGGCTGCGGGAGTCGTCCGCAGTGGGAACGTTGGGAGCATTTCGTCGTATCCTGATCTCGTGCACGGCGGTTGTTGGGAAGGAGGGGACGGCGGGCATGCGAATGGGGAGGATGGCGAATTCATCGCTCACCGAATTCGCGGCTGCCATGTTCGAGCGGTCGCTGCGGGTTGCAGCGAGCTGTTTGTGAATGAGTTTCAGTCGCACGATGGAGTTGTCGATTGACGATGGACCTTCGAGGCCAGGAAGAAAAATATCGGGCCCACCACTTATCGATTGGCACGGTGCGTATTTTCATTTGTACTGTATTGGCCCGCGCCGTTGACCGTTGGAGCTCCATGGGCCCACGCGGAGCTGCCACTATCATTAACACCAGGATTCCAGGAACGGGGAGCCGTAAGTCTCTATTCATTGGAACCGGGAGCGAGCTCCTACTCGCACTTCGGGACCAGGCTATTCGGCGAAGCTATACAGGATTGTCCTCGCATGTCTCGTGAACGACGCCAAACAGCTCGTTAACGAGCACTGTGACCCCTCAGGCGAGATTCGAGGTGCGTGATGATGTGGTTCGAGAACGGCCACACCTGATGCTGTCCAAGTTGAAGGACGTGGTACGATGAATGCGATTTCATGTCTATAACAGTCTATTTACAGCCCAGAGATGACCGTCATTATATCTGGACTGCTCTTAAATGTTGCAAAGTCCAGCCGTTGCGGTTCCACTGTTATTGTGGCCTCCATTTTAATGCCCCATGATGGGAGAAGATATGCCGCTGGCGTTGAGCACCACAAATTTATGAGTGAGCAGCAATGCTGTGGCTCCTTCTACCCCATTCAACCCTTCACCACCAGGCCAGGGCCAACCCGCATGACGCGCAAGACCGCATACATGAAGCCCGACACCGTGGCAAAAGCACCTGCAAACATCCAGCACCCGAGCCAGTTCAGCGGCTCCTGGGTGCCGAGGATAGCGCCGGCGACGGGACCACCTATCAGCATGGAAAAGGCAATGACGGTACCGAAGCCCATTCCGACGCGGGTTCCGAGCTTAGATCGGTCAGGCGTCAACGCGGCGAAGCAGACGGGCGGCATGGCGATGAAGACGCCGCTGAAGAAACCGATGAGAACGGTCAAGACCATGTCTTCGGCCAAATGACGGACGGCCGCCATGCAAAACAGCGTGACGCCGGTGAGAATCGCGCAAGGCGTGATGGTGTTGAAGGGACCAATCAGGTCCGAGAGGGCGTTGGGCAGGATTCGGCCGAGCGTCGATGCGGCATTGAAGATGGCCACCATGTAGAAGGACAGGCTGCTGTCGGCAAGGCCCAGGTTGAGAGGATAGAACGAGGTGTAGAAGACGGCGACGTTGAGGCCCGCAAAGCCCACCATGGTGGCGACGAGGAACAGCACGTAGGGCCTGTCCTTGAAGGCCGAGACGTCGATCAGGGCGCGGGCCTTGGGTGCCTTGAAGCGCATCTTCATGACGGCGATGGGGATCATCAAAGTCCCAAACACGACGAAGCCGATGATGCGGGTGGCCCAGGCGAATCCGACCTGATCCATCAGGCGGTTGAGCATGATGGGGTAGATGACACCGCCAAAGGAAGATCCAGCAGAAGCCAAGCCCATGGCAAGTCCCAGCTTGGCCCGGAAGTAGGACGGCATGATGGACGCGCAAGGGACGAAGAGACAGCCCGCGCCGATGCCGATCACGAAACCTTGCGAGAGAATGACCTGCCAGTACTGGCTGCACAGGCTAAGCATCATGTGTCCGAAAGTAATGGCGAGGCATCCGAAAACGATGAGCGACTTGAAGTAGCCCCGGTCGTAGATGGGGCCAGCAAACAAGCCGACGAGGAAGACCAAGTATGCTTGCAGTGCGCCGATCCAAGAAATGTCCGAGGATGACCGATTGAACATTGCGCCCGACTCGTAGTAGGATTGGTAGACGCCAAAGGTATTTAGGAGGCCCCATGAGTTGAAAAAGAGCATGAAGCCACCCACGACGTGCAGCCACGCGACGATTCCGCCATCAGGAGGTGGGCTCTGGGCCGTCAAGGGCGCCGGCGCAACGGGCTCTGGTTCCGTCTTTTCTGTCGGAAGCTGCTGCTGCTGCACAGGAGTCGCCGTGTTCCCAGAGCCCGAGTCGGAGCCGCTCATTCGAGGCGGCTTTTCGTCTGTAAGTGTCATCGTGTGTCGTGTTATGGATGCGGTCTCGCGATCTCGAGCGGGTGTGGTTGACAGCTTCCTTCAGCGGCGGCGACACGATGCGAGTCAAGTCAAGGATGCAAGATCTACGGCACTTCCAATGGCTTAATTACATCTGAGCAAGGGGTCCGGCAGTATACTTGTACTCTGCGGACCACGGATTGAAGATTTCCGTGTAATTCTGCGACTGCGGTCTTCGGACTTACACGCACGGAAATCGAGAATTGATAAGCCCGTGGCCACAAGGGCCCGGGACGTGAGTGCCAGCGACCGAGCGCACAGGCCCCTGCCGCCTGCTGAGGGCCGTTTCTGGCATTGTGTAACGCGACAGGCATGCAAAGCAACTGCAAGCCTCAACCCAGGCAGGCTCGTGATGGATGGTGTTGGTTGGCAAACAAACGACCCCGTTTGGCCTCATCAGCCACCTGGTGGGGCCGGCCGGGCGAGTCCCGTCGCCTCTGCCGCTTCCCCGTTTTGTCGCACTAGAGCTGCTGAGAAACTCCGAGCCGCGAACCCATGCCTGCGCGCGGCGTGGCGGAAATAGGGCTTTCTGTTTTGGGCGGAGCCGTTCGATACAGCGCAGGGTCGGATTTACGAGAGCTCGGAGCTCAGCCAGATAGCCAACGCCAGTCAGACCACCGTGACGATCACTGCGGGAGGAATGCATTTGGCCTGAGATGCGGAGACCGGTACTGTCGCCCGACATGTCGCCTCATTTACATGGCAAGCGATGCTTGAGATCGTCCAATAAGCCCAGGGTGATGCCGCATCCTCGGTGCAGCAACGAAGCTGGCTGCGAAACACCGCGCCGAATGTGAGAAACCGACATCGGCGTTGGGAAGGCACAGGTCCTATTTTTTTGCCAGAAATCTGTGAAGTACGTTCATCGCTCTGCAATGCTACCGAGTACGGACCCATCTGCCGACGATCCGCATGGACAGCTGGCGCCAGGTGCCTGTAACATTTGGGAGCCCTCTCATCGGCAAAGCAGCCACTGGTTCTCTGGGCCCAAACTTCGTTCTTGGAATTCTCCAGAAGCCTGCGGGGATTCAGCGGAAGTGATTTGTCCCGAACGCAGAGTGAAGAGAGCCAAGGAGTAGGAGAGCCACTATGAACGCGAGAGGTCGAGAAGGCGGGGAAGGCAGGAGTGGAAGGGAAAACACGAGAGCCATAAAGGTAATACTTGGGTGGCCTCCTGGTAGCCGCCGAGAAGCGTTTCTGCTGCGACTTGAGAGACCACGGGCTTACGCGATGGAGCTTGCGAGCCGCTGAATGGGCCGACAACGTCGGGCCTCATTCACTACGGCATCAAGCGCGCCTAGCGAGGGCGCACCGCTGCGCTCCAACCGGAGACAGCTCGTCGGCAAAGAATGCCGGTTCGTCGATGTCCAGCTCAAGGACACCCAATAGGCGGTCTTGACCAACGCCGGCTCTTGCGACTTCGTCAGGCGACGGGCAGCCCTGGATCTCGTATTGTTGTGTTCGTCAGCCTCCCAGCTCGCCAGCCCGTGCCTTCAAACTCTTCGTCGCAGCGGCCCGGCTAGCTCTTTCTCCCCAACCATCATGAACGTTGCTCTCTAAGCTTCAGTTTCCTCACACATAGACACGTCGTGTCCATGAGTCTCGCGAGTCTCTCAAGTCCATCACGTTTCTCCCCTGTTACGTCGCATGCTGAAGGTAGCCCTCTGACTCGTCCTCTTATTAGATAGTCAATGAGCTCCTCGTAAAGAAATGGCGCGCGGAGGGCCGGCTCGATCTTGAGTTTGTTTCGGGGGCTGTTTGGTGAAGGGGGTTTATTATGCGTAGTATGATATTGTTTGCCTTACTGCTACGCCACCACAACAGAAACGAAATGTTATGTACCTCTCACTCCTCTCACTCCTATCCTACGTGCCTCTCGTGCCTCTAGCTTCCCCATATTTCCCGTGTCCCTCGTGTCTCACATCCATCACTGCTCTCGTAGTGCCTCGAGCTGTTGTGCTCCTCACCCGCTGCCTGGCAAGCAAAGACGACATTGCTGAGCAGGGCAACATTGGTGTACTCTAATAAGCGATGCAAACACAAGTAAACGTTGACACATCAGACCGTGCTCTTGTTGACCGGGGCAGTGTGGTCGTCCACGCCTCCGTCCAGGGAACCGCTGCTCTCCTGCGCAGAGACATCGCCATCCGATAGAACATATTCTTCCTTGTCGATATGGCGAAAGTGGAAATACTAAAGTAGAAGATGTGAGTGTTAGCAGCAGCTCTAATAGTTGTGGACATATGTGGAGGGAACGTACGAAGAAGACGGTCACCACGGCCCCGAGAATGGTTGGTGCTCCGAAATCCCACACCAAGTGCGGATCAGTGATCACAGCCGAGACGGCCAAATTTACAACGTATGCCAGGCCAACAGAGAGGAAAAGGTTTATTGCGGAGAGGAGGCCACGCATATTTGGACTAGCTCTCGAGTAGGCAATTCCGTATGCTGCCGTTCGTCAGTACTTCAAGACATGGATTAGGTCCAACGCGATGGTTCATACCTGGAACATTGATGAAGAGCTCTGAAAAGCCGCCCAACGCGTAGGGGATTGCAGCCCACCAAAGGGAAATGGGCGAGACAAGTCCTTCTTCGACGCACTTAGGGTCCGTAGACCCGTACCATCCGCAAGGATTCGTTTGATACGCTTTGTAGCATAAGATGCAGTAGCCGAGACCTGATATAGTGCTGATGAAGAATCCAGTCGTGATTCTGGACACGGGACCGTAATGGATCCTCATATTCCGTAGAAGAGGATAGAGACCGTACTAGAGCAGAAGTCAGCCTAGTTTCTCATGACACACAAGTGCCTGCGAGGATATGTTATGACGACGGGGGTGGTTCTGCGCCACACGACATATATCCATGGAGACAAGTGCCGATAAGAGTGAGGCACTTACGTTCAGTACCGGACCCAAGACAATGATGGAAAGGGAATTGAAATTCCCGATAACGTCGTTCGGTACTCCGTTTCCAATGAGCATTGTGCTGAGAAAGTTTGCGGAGCTCCCGATGCTACCACCTATCAGCACGAGCGAAGTTGAACGACAGCAATGAGGCACGTACCCGTTGTCATTCCAGAACTGGACGGGGAAGAAGAAAAACATGCCTGTAGCCTGCATCGTGCGCTTGACGTCCTCGACGAATTGGTCGTTATAGTGTGTTTCTGGTCGCCGTCCGCTAGCCGCGATAACGGAGGGCTTGCCAGCCTCCCACCACCCATCACGACCAATCCTCCAAACGCCGCCGCCTCTCATGCAGTGACCTATGACCCGGAAGACATTGGGAAGATCCGAACCGCCGGGCTTGTGTAAAACAAGGCGAGGTTTGAGCCACAGGAGCATAAAAGGAAGAGGAATATAAAGGATAAGGGGGAGCAAGAAGGCCAACCACCATCCTACATATCGTGCCGAGTACGACGTTGCGGTTGACATGAAGGCACCAATATTAATGAGTAAGTAGAACCATAGCATTACCCGCTCGGTGCTATGCTCGGGGTCCTCAATGACGCGTTCGCCAGACTTCAGCGTAACAACTCGAGGCACCCTGACCGACATTTGATCCAGGAGCAGTGGCGACACGTTTGGCTTGAACATAGCTAGTATTCATGTCAGTAGTCATCTAAATTACTGATTAAGGGAGCCTACCAGCACCGATCGCCAAGATGTACACTCCGATAAAGAATGGTATCTTGGCTGTACCGTTCTCTATAAGCTGTTTCGCCCCCCCGACGACGATGAGGACGTGTCCGATACCGCAGACGATAACCCCCCAAAAGATGAGCGGAAATCTACCCCACTTAGCATCCGCTAGGTAGCCGACTACGAGAGGGAGGCAGTATGCTATCAAGCTGAACGATTGCGAAGTGGCGTTCTATACTTAAGTCAGATAGGCCAAGATCTGGGGTTGAGGTCGTTAGAGCTTACCGCGACTTGCTCGCCCAAGCCCAAAGCACCCTGCGTAGCTTGAGATCCCTCGGGAACGGATCCATAGCCGTTGCCACCTTTGGGTAGAGGTCGGTTGATGTAGTTGGTCCAGATTTGAGCACAACCTGATGAGTCTCAGCATGAACCCGTGCATCGGCACGTACTGCTTCGCAAGTCCTACCATAATACGAAGCTCTTTCGCAAAATTCGACGGCACATAAAAGATATGCAACCGTGGGCAGTTTGCCGGGGACTCGCCGAAGAGTAGCGAGCTCCTCCTCGGTGGGCTTTCCCTCATAATCCGCGACCGGGAGTGCCACATCGAGGGCTGCTACTTGGGACTTTTCAGCAGACGCGCTTTCAAGTGCCCCATCGCCGGCGTGAGCCGCTTCGGCCGGCATTTTCTCTGCTGCGTCAGGTTAGATCGGCCGTCAGGGCAGTCAAGGCAACTTCCACATACACATGGCGGCGTGCTCTCGTCAATGGCAACGAAATGAAGAACACAATGCAAGGTCGCGCATGAGCAGCCAAACCGCGGGGTTGCGCGCCCAAGACATATGTTCTGCTTCTTGTACTCCGTATGTGAGCTTAGGTACAAAAGTAGCTGCTGGAACGTTTGTCGGACGCGCCAGGGCCTGTGCGGACAAAAGTCACCTCGTGATTCTTTCCTTGTACGGAAGCTCATAACAGATAGAGCCATACGTAGCCAATCAATCCAATATGGTGGTGTCACAAACGCGTTGTCGGTGGTGGCGTCGGTCAACCAACTGGTTGCCCAACGGGCCGAGAACTTTCTCCCCAGGCGATCGAGAGAGAACCAGACAGGGATAAATGCACGAGGGGGCCAACATGCCACGAGTGTCGTTCAGTGATGTAGCACGTATCGGTGGTTTGCGCCGACACTGTTCAATATTCCCGTGCCGGCAGCCGGGCGTCGTGGGTGGTAACAGCACAGCAGAGCAAGGGGCCTGTTGGTCAGGAATCATGTACGTCTGGCCCGTGCACAGACCGATGACGAGAGCAACTGGCATTTCACAGAGTAGAGCTGCCGAGCTTGGCGCGAAGCCAGCTCTACCGGGCTCTTACGTCTGTTATGTTGGCCTCAAGTCGAGTCCATTCGTGCTCGTTGTCCATACAGTAACGATCCTTCGTTTTCCCATTCACATGAAGTACTGTACTGTATGGTCTCTCTTCTAAACTTCTCGTAAAAGCAAAACATACACACAATGAGTACTCTAAGATTTCAGAAACCCCTTATCCTTCCAGCTTTGCAGGAAAAGCCGCGCCAAATCGTCGCTCACGGCGCCACAAGCTGCGAGCGTTCGTGAATGCTCCCGTGCCTTGGTGGTCCCGAGCAGCAGGCCCCCGCACGACATGCGGACAAAATTACCCTCGAGAAAGTCGACAAGAAGAATTGCGGGATTGTCTCCATCTGGGCCCTCAACTCCCTTTCGTGGATGGTCTTTCACCCGCCGTACCCACTCATCGAGGTCAACGAGACCCTGCCTGGGAATGTTCAAACCGTCGGCTATCGTCGGAAGCATGTCTTGCCACGACTGGCGGATCGGGTTGTCAATATGGTACACAGGATACGGGGCCATGCGCTGGGGTGAGTCAGTACAGCCTTCGGAACCACTCTCCGCCCCAGACCGCTTATCATGCGAGTGCGTGATGAGATCGATAACCGTGGCCGCAACCGTGTCGACAGGCGTCCAAGAGAGAAGGCCGTCGAGATCCGGCAGAACATTGAGAGTCTGCGACGACTTAATCAAGAACGATAGATGCTCCATCGTGTTCCAATAGCCGCTCTTGCTAGACCCAGCCACCTGGCCAGGACGGACGGTCATGGCATTGAAGCGATCGGGGTACCGGTGGAGCGTTTCGTCCAGCATAAGCTCGCAGATGTATTTCGCATCGCCATATCCCGTAGGCAAGACCGATTCAATTGCCATTCGCTCCTCGGGCACATTTGCGTTGTTCGTGTGCAACGGCCAATGTCCAACGGTAGCGATCGAGGATACGAAAAGGAAGCCGATCTTGTTTCGGGTTTTCTCAGAGGCGCCCAACGCGGCGTCCACTAAGTTCCTCAAGATCTGGAACTGCGGCTCAAATCGCTTGACAGGCCATTTGGCGTTCATCAGCCACGCGTTGTGAACGATGTGCGTCGCATCGCTCAACAGTCCCTCGAAGTCGTCCCTGGCCAGGCCCAATTGAGGCTTTGAGAGGTCCGTCTCCCACACCACCAGCTTCTCCAAACAGTCTTTAGAAAGATCGATGCCCTTGTTCTCGAATGAGTTTAGCTGCCGCTGCCTTGGGTCAAGCTTGCTCGGTCTATTGAGGCAGATGACGCGTTTGACATCCGCCCGGCGCGCGAGGTCGGCAACAAGGTGTGAGCCTAAACTCCCAGTCGCACCAGTTACCACGAAAGATATGGCGGCCGAGGAGCTAACACAGGGGAAGTCCCCTTGACCTAATCCTGCCCCAAAGCCATCGGTATAGCGCTGCACATAACTATCAACGACGGCTTGTCGTTCAACAAGGTCAGCTGGACGACCAAGAGGACCGCGTGGGGTGTGCTGTGATGGTTCGCACCTCGGGCCCGAAGCCATTGCAATGATCAGTTTCTCGACGCTGTTTTCTGCTCGCTGGCCGTCGGTCCAGTCGACATGTCCGTAGCCGACCGATTGAAGGTCCTTGGCCCATCTCTTCTCGTCTGTGACTGCATGAGTGCGGCCATCATCGAACAACCACCAGCCCTCAAACAGCCCGAAAATCATGTCGACCCAGTACATTGTTCCCGTCATCTCGAGCATGAGTAGAAGGCCATCAGGTCTCAGAAGCTTCCGCATGTTTCCGGTAGACTCGCACAGATCTCTGGTCGCGTGCACAGCGTTGCTGGCGATGATGATGTGCTGAGTCCCAACCAAGTCCGCCTCAGGAGCCTTCTCGATATCATGCGTTCTGAACTTCATGAAAGGATAAGACTTTCCAAACTTCTTCCGGGCCAGGGCGCAAAACGATGGGGCGAGGTCCGTGAATGTGTACTCGACAGGCAAATCAAGACTTGCCAGGAGCGGAACAATCCAGCGCGTTGTTCCACCAGTGCCTGCGCCCATTTCCAGGATCTTGAGCGGTCCATCGGCGTGACTGTGCAGCTTCGAAGCAAGCCGAGACAAAAAGTCTTCCATTTGCTTGTAAAACAGCCGGTTGAGGGGCCATTCGCCATATAAGCCGGAGACAAGTTCGCGGCCCTCGGTCGTGCCGAAGACCAGTTTAATCCCGTCTGTTTTGCCTTGCAGCACCTCTGCCAAGTTGGACCCGGTGTAGAAGGTGAGCTTGTTTGCCGTGTCCTGGTCCGGGAACTGCTGGAGAAGATCCTCGTAGACTTCCTTGCTGGACTTGGCAGGGTACGGCACGGCCGTTCGCGTGATGAACTCAGCATCGACAGTGACGAGCTGCGACTCTCTGTCAAGCATCTTGTAGAGATACTCGACTAAGCGGCTGTGCTCTTTGGGATGCGAAATCCGCGGGAACTTCTGCCCTGGCCTTGCCAGCCGCAAAGGGACTCCAAGCTTCTCAAAGGCTTCCAGAGTAAGCATGATGCACATTTGTGTCTGCATAGGCATCGCGTGCGATACATATTTCGTTTGGCTGTATTCTTCAATCCTTTCGTCCGTCAGTGACTTGGTCTGGTTGAAGGCCTCAAGAACAGTTTCGAGGGGAAGCTTGAGTTCGCCTGCGAACTCGACATCTGTATCTGCTTGAGGCGTTGTGATTGTGGTTTGATGATCGGACGAGGAGTTACTGCGGGTGTCGGAGCTGTCCCTCGCATCTAAATCGTCTTGGTCAGGCTCAGTGTCGGAGTCAACCGGGTTGCCGACCGCCTTTTGTACACATCTGATCAAGCCGGGCATATCAATGATCTCCATGAGCTCGTCTTGAGGAAGAGTGATCTTGAAAGCGGACTCAATCTCATGCGCCATCTCCATACCCATGAGCGAGTCGATGCCCAAGTCTGCAAGACCGCTGTCATTCCTGATCTCATGCAGCTCGAGGCCAGACAGGTCTGCGAGAATTTCCTTGACTTTAGGAACAACATCTATGCCCGAGGGTTTCGAAGCCTTCTGGGCTTTAGGCGGCACGGCCTCACGACGCGGTACCGACTCGAAGTTGACGTGCCCGAGTGGCAATTGTGTCTCCAACGTCCCCGCTTCATCAACGATGGCTGCCTTGGAAGTTGGCTTGGAGTCTACCCCTGGAGAGAGCCGAGTCAGGAGTCTTTGCATCGTACTTTTGGCGACCTTGACAAAGCTAATGCCAAGGATAGCCTCAATCAACGAGCCATCGTCAGGGTTGTACACAAACACGTCAGTCAGGAATGCCTTTTCTGACGGTTGGTGATGAGTTGCCAGCACGTGAAGGGTATCGGGCTGCTGTGCTTTCGGAAGACGTATCCAGCGTTCAATGCCATTGGCAAGGAACATATCACCAGGCTCTCGGCCAGTCATGCAGTTGACGTAGATGCCACCCACCTGGCAAACAGCCTCTGTGAAGTATGCGTCCTCGACTCCGGGCTCATTGTGGCTGACCCTGGTAACACAACCAGCTGACTGGTTGCCCTGCCCGACCAGCTTCTGAAGCCCACGATAGTGCTCAGAGTACTCGACGATCTCCGAGAAGATGTTGTAGATGTTTCGGTGAGACAAAATCTCGTCGACATCGGGGCTGCTCATCATCTGCAGATATCGCCTGTGTCCCATGAAGCGTTCCAATCTGGCAAATTCTAGCCTGAGACACACGTCTTCGGCGGCACAAAAGTCAATTTTGCCAGTCGTGTGCACCATCTGATCTCCACCTTTCGTCCCATCCGTACTGAAGACACGGAAACCTGAAAGTTGCATTTCCTTTTCGATCTCAATGAAGACCGTCCGTCTGTGATTGACGCAAAGGGGCGACAGGTTGTCCACGAGATGGATTTGCGGTTCGAGCTTTGGAGAACCCGAGTCCGAATGCAAAGTTCGAGCGGCCTCTATGACCATGTCCAGTTGAACAATGGATGGGCAGATTGGTGCGGTGTTTGCGATGATATGGCCCTTGACGAACTTCTCATATTCAGGAATTGCCGTATTAATCCTGAAACGCGCGACCCGATTCTCATTGTCGAGATAGCCTTGGAACTCCAACAGAGTCTTGGGTGGCTTGGTGGCGATTGTGGTCGACGGCTCCGGAAGTGCAGAGACCTTGGGCGGCGTCTTCAAGTCAAGCCAGTGTCTCGTTCCGTCGAATTGATAAGGGGGCAACAGGAGTGGCGTATGTTGCTTCGTCTGGCTGTTTTGATGACCCCAGAAATGCACAGGCACGCCGGCTCTCCACAGATTGGCCGTCGAGTCGACGAGGTTGTTCCAGCTGTTCTCTGCGTTGATGTTGATGGCCTGGAAGTGAGTTGCGCCGGGGTTCCCAAGTGCTCTGCTCGCCATTGTCGTGATAGTGGAAGAGGAGCCGGCTTCCAAGAAGACAGCGGTTGGATACCGCTTTGCGAGACGCTGTATGGCGTGATTGAAGTACACGGGCTGACGAAGATGCTCCGCGACGAACTTGGAAGAGAACTTTCCCTGCCAAGAACCTTCAGTGGCCCGTTCTATAGGGATTGTCGGTTCGCGGAAAGTTAGTCCGCGAGCGCCCTCCTGCAGTTTCGTCATCAATGGTTCAACGAGAGTGGAGTGAAACGCATTCGTGACGTTCAATTTTTTGGCTCGAATCGGCACAGAGTTGGGCATCTTGTTCATGGCGTCTGCGACCGCGTCAACTGACGCGTCAGGACCGGCGAGGGTAAAACTCTTGGGACCATTGTAGCATGCAATAGTGACTCCCTTTGCTTCAGCCTCGGACTCGGCAAGGAGCTTCTGGAGATCTCCAAGTTCCGCCTCGACTGCCATCATGGCTCCTTTCTCGGGGCCCCACGAGTCTTGGATTGTGGTCGCACGTCTGATGACCAGCTTGAGCGCGTCTTCCATTGACAAGGCCTGTGCGATGCACAGCGCGGTGAGTTCGCCGAAACTGTGGCCAACGACGGCGCTTGGTTTGAGCCCAGACTCAATCCAGCTTCGCGCGCATGCATACTGCATTGCAAACAGGACTGTCTGCAATTTGACAATGCTCTTGATGGGCGAGCGCTGGAAAATACTAGGGAAGATGCTCCCTGCACCTAGGAATCGAGCAGCGGCGTCGACGCGACCGAGATGCTTCTTCAGGACAACTATACTGTCGTATAAGCGGCTGTCTAGCCCAACAAACGTCGATATTTGGCCGCCAAAACAAAGTATGACGGGTCTGTCCTGGGGTTTCGGAAGGGAGGCAATCGGAGGAAGGGAGGGGACCAGAGCCTTCCCAGAGAGGTAGCTCCCGAGTATGTCTCTCAGCTCGGAGGTCGTCTGCGCCGTCAAGATCAGATGCCGATCAAGTCCCCGATTGCTTTGTCGGGCCAAGTTGAATGCGACATTGCTGATAGACAGATCCTCATCGGACGCGTCGGCGCGGCTTCCGAGGTACTGCAAGAGTGACTGGGCGTACCGTCGGAGGCTCTGATCATCCAGACCGCAGAGCGAGATCGGGTATTTGAGTTGGGCAAGGTCCCGGTCCGACTTGGGCAACAGTATTTTGGCAACCCTTGGTGCTTCCGTCAGGACCATCGACGCATTGGAGCCTGATGCACCATAATTGTTGACCAGAGCTGCCCGGAAATCTGCCTCCCAGGGACGCAGCTTGGTCGGGATGCTGATCCTGTCTGTTGGAGAAGCACCAATAGCGGGATTGATCGAGGAGAAGCTGGCCTGTGGCGGCACCATGCCCTTATTGATCATCAAGAGGACTTTGATCATAGACACAATGCCTGAAGTGCATTCCACATGACCGACGAGGCCCTTGACTGAGCTGAGCATCAACGGCCTCGAGCGAACAGGACCGCCGAAAACCTGTCTAATGCTGTCGTATTCAGCCGGATCACCAACGGCGGTTCCCGTTCCGTGAGCCTCGACGACCGAGATCTGACTAGGTTCAAGACGGGCCTTCCTGGCGACTGTGCGGAAGAGGTCTGACAGAGACGGGGCGTTGGGGACGAAGATTGGGGTGCAATTCTGGTTTTGTTGGACACCGGAGGCGGCCACGACACCAAGGATCTGGTCACCATCTGCTACGGCAGCAGACAGACGCTTCAGAAAGACTGCGCCCACCCCTTCGCCACGACAGTAGCCATCTGCTTTGGCATCAAATGGCTTGCACTGCCCTGTCGTGCTCAGGAAGGATGCGCCAGCCAGATTCTGAAACCATAATGGGCTGGTCATAACGTGAGTGCCGCCGGCCAGTGCAGCTGTACACTCTCCGTTGATGATCGCCCGACAGGCCTGATGAACTGCTACCGCAGACGACGAGCAGGCCGTGTCAATAGTCAGGCCCGGCCCAGTCCATCCGAAATGATGGCTGACCTTGCCGGCGACGAAGCCCTGGAGGTTGCCAGTTGCCGAAAATGCATTGGCTGGGTGGCAAGCAATGTTGTTCTCATAGTCGGTAGCACAGAGTCCAATGTAACAGCCGATGCGCTTGTCCTTTTCGTCAGCCTGGGACTGGAAGTAGCCGGACTGTTCGACAGCCTGATAGGCTATCTGCAGAAGCAGCCGCTGCTGAGGATCCATTGTGGCACTTTCCCGAGGGCTTTTCTTGAAGAACTTGTGGTCAAATTCGTCCGGGGAATCGACCAGATTCGCGAACCACTTTCGTTTCGGATCAACGTCACGAAAGGCCGTTGTCTCAAACGACATCCGCTCCTTGGGAACCTCCTTATGCTGCGACTTTCCTGCGCAAAGGAGGTCCCAGAATTCTTCGAGGTTGTTGGCGCCTGCCACCTTGCAAGCCATGCCAATGACAGCAATGTCATTGTCCGAGGCTCCACGATGTTGCGTCGCAAAGTCAATGTCCGCCAGGTGCACGACTTGTCCATTGAGGGACAGAATGTGCGACGGTGGAACGCAACGCTCGGATCCAAAAGATATAATGAGCGTTTCCTTGTCCAAAAGCGTGGTCTGCCGCAGTGTAGACATTGTTTGGTGCCATTTGGGAGGTTCGGTCAGAATTGACTTGAGAGCATGCTGATGCAAACTGCCCTGTTCGATGAGCCGACCTCCGTCATTGGACCGGGCCGCAAGTCTGATCTGAGACGCGTCCGGAAACTGAAGGTCCGGGTTTGCATCGCACAGCTGGATCAGACTTGGCAGGATGTCCAGATGGCATCTTCCATGAAAGCGCCCATATAGGCCGATCTCTGACGAGATGAAGCCAGCTTGCTTGAGCCTTTGATGGAGCTTCTGGATATCTGAGATAAGCGACGTTACTGTCGCACGATGTTCATCGTACTCGACGGATACGTAGGCCTAGAAATAGGTACCCCTATTAGTTATTTGGTTCTGCGTGAAATAATGAGTTAAAATGAAGGCTGCGGTGGGTGTCGTACCTCTGTGAACTCATCCAGTATCCTTCTCAACTCCTCTGTCCCCTTGTCAGAAGACCAAGACACCCCAAGACACTTGGCGGGGGAGGTGTTCCCCTGGGCATCAACAACCATGCCAACTAGCATTCCAAGCCGTATGGCCACGGCGCCATATTTCTCGAAATCCTTCCTGTTCTGCGCACTTGCAACGGCAAATGCGCTGAGGAGGCCCGTGCAAAACCCAAGTGACTCTTTGCCATTCAGGATTCCTCCGTCAAAGGGGTCGATGCGGCCGTCGACCTCTGGGTTGATTTGCTCGATAAAAGCCGCATACTGGGTCAAGTGTGAAATGACGACCAGCGGAATGAGCAGCTTATTCGGTAAGGGATAAGTGATATTGAGCTCAGAATGCTGTTCAGAGGTGAAGAATTCCGCCAAGTTAGACAGTTTCACGTGCCCGGTGTCGTCTTCAAGTTCTGGAAGAGTTGCCGTGATGTTATTCCACAGTCTAGGCAGTTGTCCAAGAGTTTGAGGGATCCAGGCAAGCTGGGAGTCCCCAACAACGGTGGCGCGTAACTTGGCGAGTTGTGTGGAGTCGAAAGAGAGGGCAAGGGGGCCAAACAATAGGACGGCTGGCCCAGCCAAAGAACGGGACTGCGTATCAGCCATGGCCCCTCGTTGAGTTGTAAGGGTTACTTGAGGTTGAACTTCATGCAAGGGAGAATGATTGGACGTCTAAAGTGTAACTCTCACCCCTTTATGATGTTCGGCTGGGAAGTGGGACGGGCACTTCTGTGATCCTCAGGCTCATCAGCAACATTGAAGGCTCGGTGCAATCTGAACTCACTTCCTGCTCCTGGTATTGGCTCACCAATAAACCCATATTTACTCCTGTATCCGGGCTGGGAATACTGCGCGGAGTACCCCTGTCCCAGAGTTCTTGATACATGAGAACGCTCAGTAGATGCCCTTCCTTACGGGGCTTCTCGGCAGGACTCTCAACCGGCCAAAGGCTGCCAGAAGTCAGTCTGGCGAACCTCGAGATTGCAAAGCTCGATGAACAGCCAACCTAGCAGCTGGAAACACTCAGAATGGCTGCGATGCGACCATGTGAAGCCGCGGGCGTGAGTATCCCCGGCCCGAGAAGGCGTGCGGAATCCCTGGTCACGCCCCTTGCAGTAAGCCTCAGTTCAAGTCGTGGTCGTGACGACGAAACTATCTTGAGCAACGCCCTTTCATCTGCATTGCGGCTATCGAAGTCATGCCACTCCATCTCGCGTAGCTGCCAGGTCCGTTTTGTTTGTGGTGTCTGCTAATCAGTAGCAAGGGGACACTTTTCCCGAGCGTGGAGTTAGTTTCCCCGGCCCGCCACTGCCGTCATGCAGACTCACCCATGGCATTCCGCGCAACTGTAACCTCGTTACAATTGCTATTGCCGAGTCGCCTGTTTTGCTTGGAACATTGCATAGTGCCTACTGGCCACAGGTTGGGAGACTTGCTTGCTAAAACATCGCGAGCGTCGTGTACTAAAACCGAGTTCAGACCATGTTGTTGCCATTTCGTCTTACGTGCCGGACAACTTAACGCACAAACTTCATGTCCAATACTTCTCCCGTGTTACGGAAATTACCGAAACTTTCATAATGGCTTCCACTGAGCCTCAGGCTGACTCTGTCGATGTCGTCATTGTGGGCGGCGGCATCATTGGCCTCGTGCTTACGGTCGGCCTCCTTCGAGTAGGTGTCAAAGTCAAGGTCTACGAGCAAGCGCAAGGATTTCGCGAAATTGGCGCTGGCATCGCATTCACCGCCAATGCAATTCGCTGCATGAACTTGATCGACCCTGCCATCCCGGTGGCCCTTCGATCCAGTGGATCAGTTGCTACGTCGAACGGTGGCGACGAAGATCCCAACGACTATCTGCGCTGGATCGACGGATACGACCGACAGCGCGACGACCCGTCCCTACAGCAGCTGTTCTTCAAGCTCAACGCGGGTTACAGGGGCTTCGAGGGTTGTCGCCGGGATCAGTTCCTGGAGGCTCTCGTGAAGGTCATCCCTCCAGGCGTTATAGAGCTGAAAAAGCGCTTGGAGACTGTGCATGACAATGGAAGTGAAAACAAGCTCCTGCTCACATTCCAAGATGGCACGACAGCTGAGGCTGATGCCGGTGAGTATTGAACTCAAGTCAAACTGCAGCTGAGCCTATAAGATGAGCTTACATGCTGACGGACTGAAGTGATTGGATGCGATGGCGTAAAGTCGACCCTTCGACGCATCATGTTTGGAGACGACCACCCTGCATCGCGTCCCCGGTACTCACATTGCGTGGCCTATCGGACCCTGATTCCTATGGACAAGGCCGTGAGCGCCCTCGGGGCGTACAAAGCCACGAACCAGCACAACCACGTCGGCCCGAACGCCAACATACTGCACTATCCGGTGGCCAACAATACCATGATCAACGCCGTGGCCTTCATTCGCGACCCCAATGAATGGACTGATGAGAAGACGGTGGCTGAAGGCACCAGGGATGATGTCAAGGCTGCGGTCCGAGGGTGGAGTCAGCCTGTACTCAACCTCGTAGACTGCTTCCCTGACACGCTGAGCAAATGGGGTATATTCGACCTTTGGGAATTCCCGGTTCCGAGTTACAACGTCGGCAGACTGAGTCTCGCCGGTGACGCAGCCCACGCAAGCAGTCCACACCACGGTGCTGGTGCCTGTATGGGCATAGAGGACGCGCTCTGCCTTACCACCTTGATGGAGCAAGTTGTCGTCGAGGCGCAAAAAAGCCCCGGCGACAAAGGCCGGGCGCTAATTGCAGCCCTCGACACTTACAGCGCAGTGCGGCAGACGCGCAGCCAGTGGGTCGTCAACAGCAGCCGTCGCGTGTGCGACCTTCACCAGCAGCAGGAGTGGGCCGATGCGACGAAGCTAATCAAGGCCCAGACGTGCTTTGAGGAGGTCAAGGACCGGTCGCTCAAGATCTGGCACTTTGACTACGAGAGGATGGTCAGGGATTCACTTCAAGGTTACAAGCAGCGGCGCGCACCCATCAACGGTGCCACAAAGGACAAGAATCTTTATTAGGTGGAGCGAGTCTATTTGGTGGGGTCCTTTGTTGAAACCAGTCGCACAAAGTAGCTTAAAATCTTGAGAATGGGCGGCAGTTGTTGTCTCGGAGCTTGCAACATGAAGTATTGCCCCTCTTGCACTACGTCTTGTGCACTGTTACACGACAGACTCGTTGTGATGGTGGGCGCAGACACTCACGATGTCAACAGGGCTCCTTTGCAGGAGCACGACAGTGAGCAGCCCAGCTGAACCGCCCTGCATGCACCAGGTTCTTCGCACACGCCCCTCCGGCATGCTCCTCACCCTCCCCCGCCCCGTCGCGAGAGGCGTTCTTGGGGCATCCAGGGTCCTCCAGGGGTTTGATTCCCTGCACCGGTTGTCGGCCGGTTAGCGAGTTTACAGCGAATCGCTGTGGGCAATCACTTTGCCCAGCCGGAAGGACGGCAGCCGGGATGGACTGCCTAATGCCGTACCAAGAGACCCATGCTAGGCTTGACAGTCTTTCTTATCAATCTTTGAGGGGATTTTACCCGTGCCAGGAAGTAATCCGGGACTACTGTTTTGCCGCTGGCCCCTGCCGTCTGCCTTCCGCGCCAGAGATCTGACTGGCACTTGATGCCGTGAGTTCGCGCCAAGTCTGTTCCTCATGGAGAAGGCGAGATCGAATCTTCGCAACGGCGCGTCAGGCCGGCTGAGGCCCCGGGCGCACGCAATGTCGTATCCATATGCGCCTATTTCTCCGCCCCGTGCGCCAGCTCCTACGCCCAAGGCGGCTGGGCCGAGGCTGCGCTCCGCGCCTGCGTCCCGCAATCATGTCGGCTTGCAGGGGTCTGGACTCTCTCATGTGCAGAAAGTGCAGCATTATTGTCGATGGCCAAACGAGCCCCCCACCATTCCCCCAAACTGCGGCTGGGAGTTGGGTGGGGACCGGAAGTGGTTACGACTCTGCGAGCATGGCAACGTTTCAAGATCGACACGTTATTGGTACATCTCTTGAGAGGAGGCCACAACTGAAGAACACTTGGCAGATTGGCTTCAGTGTACTATTTTCCAATAGTCTCAGATCTTCCCGTGGTTGTCAGATGCGGTAACTGATCCGGTACCCTCATCAGTACTCGATTACACGAGGATTCTCCACGAACACATGCCGATAATGGCCAGTTGCCTTGGTAGATGTTAAATGCGGTATTGGAGAACTACAGGGCAAAATCCCGCCCACGTTGATGACGCCGCAGCAGCCATCAACATACCCGAAGTGTCTAGTTCTAATCGTTGTAGTCTACCATGGATAGCTGTACAGACCCTGACCCAGATTGTTAAAGCTTGCTAAACCTCGCATCAACTCCCTGATGACGGGCAACTTTTCATCCGGTGATTCATTGCCGTGATGGGACGCAATGAGCTCGGCGCATAGAGAAAGCGGAATGGGCGTCAGCGGATGCACCTAGAGTTAAACCGACGTTAGATTACGACCACAAGTAACGTGGAAAACACTTACCTTGAACCAATTGAGGCATGATAGCTTGCCCATCAACCCGACGACCTCTTGGACCGCGGATGCCGAGCATCGTGCAAGCTTAGATCCCAGAAAACTGCCCATCTCATCTGGAGGTGTTACACGCTCCATGGACTGCGAGAGGAAAAGAACGGCTGTCCGCCACATCATGCCAATAAACATGAGCATCGGGTCCGCGTCCTGCAAAGCCGGCGCATATTTGAGAGAAAACACTTCCATCCTCTGCATCAAAATGGTGTCGATGCCGGTATATCGATGTAAAATATCTTGCGTGGGAGCTGCGTACGTGCTGGAGAGCTGGTGCTGGTACGACAAGATGCGCCCGCACATCGTAGCTACCACTATGCACTCCGTAAAGTGGGACGTTGTGCTGGCATCTTGAGAAGCCATTGCGTCCGCAAGATATCCTGTCAGCACTGGCTGGTCGTTCTCAAAGGCTGGTTCCGGCGCCGGCAAGCGAATCATGCTCTGTTGTAAGAGTAATGTCAGCATTGAGTGGTCCAGCAAGCGCCGCCGTCTGACGACAACTTACTTGTTCATCAAAAGTCAGTGGTGAGCCACATCGAAGGTTGACGAAGCGGTCCAGGCAGTATGCCATCCAAAATGTTCTTCGCTTCTGTTCAGTGTCGACCCAGCTTGCCTGTGAGGCGGTTGCATTGTTCGATGCGTCAATGTTCCGGAAGCAGTCCAATTGAATGAGCCTGAACGCTCGTCCGGCGCTTATCCAGCCGCGTCGGAAATCGACAAACATGAACTCATGCACAGCAAGCAAGAGCCAAGCTTGGATATGCTCGATCTCTATCGTCGCAGGGCTTGTCCCCTTTTCTTCCATCTCTTCCATTAGCCGACGTGCTTCCTGGTAAAGCGCGTCGCCCATATCCTGATAATGGGCTGATGACGATGCAGCTGATGTCCACAATGTATATTGTAGGCAAAGTTGCGATTTGGTCTTTTGGCCGAGGCGCGCCCACGCCGCGTATCGGCCTTGGTGGACGATTGGAGTGAACGGGTGAATCCTGTCAAAATACAGCTGGTCCCTGTTCGACATCAGTTCATAGCTCTGGATATCCTGGTACAACTCATTCCCAACGATGTCTGGTGTCTCCGACGTACGTACAGCTCTGCTTGCATTAAGCTTGACAATTTTGTTGCAAATAGCCCTTGAGGGTAGTCGAGCGGCCCCAGACTTGAGTCTAGATCCGATAGAAATGGTTCCTCGGCGCCAATCTCGAGGACGGGCAGTGGCGATGTCGAGGTTGTCGTATCTGCAGAGCTAAAGTTGCTTTCCCCAGAGGACTCGGGTAGACAGGCTATTGTGTTGATACTACCTAGGTCATGCAGAAACGCCTCTGTTTCTGCTATGGGGAAGTCCCAGGTCGAATTTGTGTGTTGGCCTTGCAGAAGACTCTCTGTCCACGTTTCCTGAACAGGCATGTTGATGCCATCAGCGCCATTTTGCTGCTTGAGCATTGACCCTTCTAATGCAGCTGCAGTCACCGAACCATTGCATGTTGTATTAGCTAGAACGAATCTTTTCACGTCGTAGGTTAACTTGCCGATGCGAGCCTGCATGGCTTTCAGATATCCACGCTTTGGGCCTCGGGGTGCCCTATTTGTCGTTATATGACACTCGGACCCAGAAGCAGCACACATCCCGCACTGCGGTTGCCGGCGATCGCAACGTAGCTTGCGGCGCCGGCATTCTTCGCAGGCACCACCCGGTCGCTGACGTGACTGTGGACGGGTTTCTGCCTCCACTGACTCGGACATGTTGGTCGCTTATGCTGATTGTCCCGCAGGTCACCCAACGTGGGCTCAACTGCCGACACACACGAGGTCTTTGAGACAGTGGTTGCTGAGACGCTTTGGCCCAAACGACAAGGGGTAACAAGCTGCGAGTCTCAGCACAACGGCAATGCATGCCATGCCTGGCGTCCACGTTGCTCGGTCTTGGCAAATATATAACCAACACTCTGATCCTTAGGAGGGGCAATATAGAAAGCGCATGCTTACGGCTAGGACGGTCCAATGTTCAGCCTAGAAGCTTTGACATGTTGGCCTTTGCCACGCTTGATATTTACGGAATCAGCCGTTTGCCTATAGTTGCCTCCCCATGGGTTAAGGGCCCATGCAGGCCGACGGCAACACGACCCTGCAGTACGACGCTGGCTTACGACTTGCCTGATTGGTCGATAACGAACCACACCTTGGTACCGCGCCGTCTTTTTACATATATCTCTGGTACTTGTCATTCCTGCTTACCTGTTCCGCCGCTGACTTATTTGGTGCAGGGCTCGACATCCTTCGACCGCGTGGCCAGCCTGTACTTCCGGCGGGCTGCCCTCAACTGGTCCCCTTGACGACCCTGAACCGCGGAGCATGCACATATGGTTTGATCGCCAACGTACCGGCCTCAATCCCGGTCCCTGCCGGCGGCCACGCGCCGTCCCACATCCCGCTCGCTCGCTGAGCTCTTTGAGCCTCGTCACCTTCCGTGCGATGTCGGATCTGGCATCGCTTGCTATCCAGCCCACCTGTGCCGGAGCCCTTGCACATGGCTTCAGCCTCGGGCGGAGTGTCTTAGTTTATCGGACGAATAACCTCGTAATACCTTGATCTTGCATACGATCAAGTGGACAAACGGCCCCTCTTGAGCCTAGACGAGATGATATGGTCATGGCGCCCAAGCCCAGCTTGTCGCTAATCGGGCGGCCCGCAAGCCTCATGTCCCTGCTGAGATGCGTTGTATTTGCCTGAAGCCTGGAACCACAAGGCACATTGGACTTGGTTGGGCTCTTCGCAATCGCTTGCTGGGGGCGGGAGCGGCATTCGGAGCCGGGGTCTGGGGGCGGCTCGAGGACGACGGCATCGTCACTGCGACCGTTCGTCCCCAGATCAGCCCTGCCTCAGCTGTCAAGCACTATGGCCCACATGTCGAGGTGACATTCTTCAGCCGCCTCGTAAACATCTCCCCATTCTCGCCTCGTTTAGCAACGTTCCGTGCAAGGTGAAGGCTCTACCAGTCACAGTCCGTGCGCATGGCAGTGCAACACTACAAACGTGGCACTTGCATGTGTTTGATCTTTCGCTCTGTATGCACCGAAGGCTCGCATACGAGTTACTTACACTGGACGGAGGCCGAGACCTGCCGGCCGTCCGGCAATCCCTCCACCCGCGCCAACGCTGCAGGTTCGTCTGCCCTGCTACACCCACCCGGAGGGGTGGACGCCTTCAAGGGCCTTGCATTAGCACGCTCGACGATGGCTCGGGGAAATAGATCAGGAGCTCGGGAAAACACATCTCGGACTTGCGGACACCGTTAACGTTCGTTAACGGGCTTGCGCTATTTTGCATGACGATAGTGACAAGTTGGATCTTGAAGGGAAAGGGCTCAGAGCCGATGGAGCTGGTTTAAGGGGACGCTCAGAACGTAGGTTGCTGGCCGTATTGTGCATCAATTCAGAGGCTGTCTTTAAAGTTCAAGTTGCGTCTTAGACATTTACGGGCACGATACAAAGATCAAATCAGATCACCGTTTGTCCCGCAGAAAACTACGGCCAGAAAATTCGTCAGAAACCCTTCCGCCATGTCTAACAACGCCAACCAGAACGCTGCTGCCTATCTCACTGCCGCCAAGGCCCATCCCTTTGAGGTCAAGCCGGCTCCTATCTGGACACCTGGCGACAACGAGATCCTCGTCAAGAACCATGTCGTTGCCATCAATCCCGTCGATGGGAATCTTCAGTACCTGGCTTTCTTCCCGCTCAAGTATCCCACAATCCTTGGCCAGGATGTTGCAGGTGAGGTCGTAGCCGTTGGTCCGAATGTCACCCGTTTCAAGGCAGGCGACCGGGTCGTCGGCCACGCTGTGGCCATGGCCACCGGGAGACATGAGGACTCTGGCTTTCAACACTACACGATCTTGCAGACCAACATGTCCAGCCATATCCCTGCCAGCATGTCGTACGAGACGGCTGCAGTTCTGCCTCTTGGTCTCTCGACTGCAGCGTCGGCTTTGTTCCGGAGCGAGTTTCTGAACCTTCAGCTTCCGACTGTTCCTGCACAAAAGCCAACTGGGAAGACTGTGCTCGTTTGGGGTGGGGCGTCTAGTGTGGGCAGCAACGGCAGTACGTTGAACCCCTGTCTCTGGCTGAAGGCCCTCTTATGTCTCATTTGTACGATGTGATGCTGACTTCTATATTCAGTCCAGCTGTGTGTTGCAGCCGGCTATGAGGTCATTGCTGTTGCTTCAGCTCGAAACTTTGACTACGTGAAGAGACTTGGGGCGAGTGAAGCATTTGACTACAACAGCGCGACTGTCAAGGAAGATCTCCTGAACGCCTTCAAGGACCGAGAGCTGGCCGGTGTACTAGACTGCATTGGATCAGCGGCCTGGGCCACTTGCGTTGAGGTTGCACAGGTCAGTTGCCAGCCCTCGACTCGGCCTGTGTGTGGTCGTAACACTAGACTACTCGACCCTGTGCGTTGACGAGACACTGACCTTCCACTCTTTCTACATAGAAATCTCATGGCAGGAAGTTTGTAGCTACTTGCAAGAGAGGATTTTCGGAGCCACCGGAAGGGGTGAAGCTGGAAGCTGTCTTTGGTACCATCATCAAGGACAATGAGGTTTCGACCGCCATCTATGAGAACTTCCTGCCCAAGGCATTGGAGGATGGCTCGTACGTGCCATCTCCCGAGCCCTTTGTTGCCGGGCAGGGATTGGAGAGCCTGCAGGCCGCCGTGGATCTGCACCGCGCTGGCGTCTCCGCCAAGAAGATTGTGGTCAGGCTCTAGGCCAGGATTATTAGGCATCGATTGATCCATTGACTACCTCAGCGAGTCAGAAGAAAAGCGTGGCGGGAGGCGCGAATTAAGTGGATAGAGAGGTTGAATTGACATGTTGACCAAGATCCTGCCTATCAATGACGTGCCGAGGTAGAGATCGAGCAGTCGACCCAGCAAGTCATTGAAAGGTCCCCCCTCATGCGACCGAGGTCCGATATAAGAAGACGAGATGAACCCTGCGTTGTCCGTCGTCACTCCTACTCCCACAGTGACACGTCATATCACCGTCTCAATCTCGAGCATGCAAAACCCAGCTCTGATATCAGTCTTGACTATCTCTGGATAACGTCCCCCTCTGCTGTACATGTCAATCGCAGCTGATACGAATGAGCACAACCGCGATCCGAATTTCACCGAACCCCATCAAGATGGCAAAGCAAGCACACAGCTAGTACGGCTTCCAGAGACCACATCGGTACGGCGTGATAGTGACCCTATCCAAGTCCCAAACACCAGCCTTCGCCAACGGGTCCACAGCAAGCAGCTCTCTGACTTCATCCTCCGTCCCTGTCCTGAAGATCAAGACGCTTCCCGTGATCGGCAACGGTTCTTCCGAGGTTTTCGGGTGTCCTTCCAACGTAGGCCCAGACAAAATCAGTGTCCCAGCCGTGAGCAGTGGTTTGTTGTGGGCCAGATGGGCGCCGATATTCTGCATTCGAGTGGGCAGCTCCCCGGACCGGTCCGGGATCTGGACTAGGAAATCGTTTTGTCCAGGCATTGCAGATGTTGCGTAGAACTTGGTACGATAAGGATTTGCTTTCCGAAAATAGTGGCTGAATGATTTCTGTGGGCTTCTGGCCGCGGAAATTCGTGCTTGTCCTGCGGACGTGTTATAGATCAGATTCCCGACGGCACAGCGTAGTCGAATTGCGTGCTTGAGTGAAAGGCTGAGGTGTAAGTGGAAGAGGGTGCATTCCGGACATACTCAAGCAACAGAGCTGACTCCGGCTATACGTTTGATTGGCTTGGATTTATTGCTGCATCGGCTCCATCGTGTTCCCGAGTCGGGTCGGAGTATCCGAAGGTTCTTGCAGGTCGTAGAGGTGAACATCCGTCTGGTGGGACTCGCAGAAGTTGACCTTACAGGACCTTTGCTAACGACGGTCCGCATGCAAATTCCAGCATTCATCGAGAGTATCGTACCACCTTTGTTCCCGGGACGAAAGATCTCGGTCGTTCCGAAGATATCAGGGCAGTATATGAACGGCCCGCAGCGTTGGCATGCGACCCTCTAGCACTGCGCTGTAGCATACATTCATTCCCGCCCCGACACCATTTACACTTTTTGGTCTGCAAAAATGGGTAGCATCGCAACCGCCCCAGACGCAATCCCGACTGTGGACATCAGCGCCTTCATTGCTGATCCCGCAGGAGAATCCGCCCTCAATGTAGTGGAGGCTGTTCGCCACGCCTGCACGACTTACGGCTTCTTCTATCTCGTGGGCCATGGCGTCTCGCTGGAAGAACAGAACAAGGCCCTAGACTGTGCCAAACTCTTCTTCACTCTCCCCTTGGAGGAGAAATTGGACGTTTCTCTGTCCAAGTCCCTTGGCAAGTCGCACCGTGGCTATGAGGCGCCCGGAATACAGACCCACAAGGACGGGCTGCTTCCAGACACCAAGGAGGTAAGCCGTCTTGATCGCTGCTCACTACTTCTTTACATACTGACCTGGTGCTTAGGCCTTCATCATCGGCGCAGAGGTGCCGGCCGATCATCCGGATGCAGGGACTTTCTCCACTGGGCCCAACTTGTGGCCACAGTCCCTCCCGAAGGAAGCCTTTCAAGATCCTATCATGGAGTATCAGGGCAGGATGCTCGACGTGGTCAAGATCCTCCTTAAGATTCTTGCGCGTGGCCTTCCGAAGGCATGGGCGTGCCAGCCGGATGTCTTTGACGATCTTGCCGTCAACCCTTCCATGCCCATGAGGCTGCTGCACTATGCACCCCAAGCGGTCAAGAATGAGAAGCAGTTTGGAGGTATGATCTTCCACCCCAAGGATTTTGTGATTTGGATGAGAGAGAGCTGACCCTTGCGACAGTGGGCGATCACACTGACTTTGGCTGCATTGCCATGTTGCTCCAGGAGCCGTCGCGCGAGGGCCTTCAAGTGTGGTACCCCCCGACCGAGACGTGGATTCCGGTCCCGGTCAAGGAGGGCTCGTACGTGGTCAACATTGGAGACATGATGCAGAAATACAGTGCGGGATACTATCGCAGCGCCAGGCACCGCGTTGTGAACAGCACCGACGCACACAGGTACAGCGTTCCGTTCTTTCTGAACGGCCAGCTCAAGCTCAAGTGCAAGGCTCTGGACGGGTCGGGCGTGGAGACTGTCGTTGGCGAGCACATCAGGCAGCGACTCATTGAGACTATGGGCGCCAGCGGCAGGGCTCTCAAGTGATCATCTCATCATTCAGCGCTCGGAGTGCAGCTACGTTTGGAAGGGCTCATACTTCAATTGACTCATGTCATATGGAATACACCTCACTCATCATGTCCATGATCAAGGCCCTTTAAAGCCTACGACCAAACGTTGTCTTTATTTCTCATGCAGTTGATGTATGGATGCTTCAAGGCGGACTGTAATTGTCGAACGTCAGAGCCGTACCAATACCATTTACAATCCAATCCCATCACGTCCGGCGTCGCGTACCAAGCCTTGTTGCCTTGATGCAGGCACTCAGTGCGCTCCAAAAATTGCTAAGATGCTCCAGCGTAGCACAGGTGCAGCATCAAGATCCTTCGCTATTGCCTGTAAGAATCCAGCGCAACCAGGGAGCCCATACAAGCGAGAGCGGTATACCCTGGCAGTCTCCATGTCGTGCTTCCAATACTCGCGCGACGCAATAAGTAGAAGCCACAGCCGGGCCTCATGATTTCCGGTCCGTCTACTCCGTAGCTCAGTTGATTGAACGCCGCTTCTTGCATCTACCAGACCTGAAATGGAAACACTTACACGACAAGACCCGCGGTCCCCCTTGAGCGCCACAATGCCAGATGACGGGATGAATCTGGCGATGCTGCGATCGCTCGGGAACACCACCGGCAAAACACATTCAGTGGATTCAATCGCATCGAGATAATATTCCGTGCCGCCGATGAGGGGCCTTGCAGCGGATTGGGCAAACGTGCTGCTGCATGAAGCGCGCAGGCGCCTCGGCACCCGCGGCGACAAGCTGAGCTCGGCTCGGGCTTACTTACACGCAGCCTGCAAGCGCCAGTCTGGCCGTCAAGCATAGCGTCGCGTCGTACATGGACAGGCTTCGGCTGTCGGTCCATATCTCCGTGACACACAAAGGTGCTTGAATACACCTACTTGTCAATTGAATGAGAGTGAGGCTCACGATCAAATATATGTTGCCGGGTTGCCCGTCCGATGAAGTGTTGATTGATCATCAGCAAGATTCGCCAAGAACAATCCCACAGCCGGGATCTTAGGAAATTACCTTTTGCAACTTGGGACTTCCTTATCGCCAGGAAAAATGACAATCTATCACATCGTTCTGTTCGAGTTCAAGTCTGACCTCACCAAGGAGCAGATCCAAGAAGTAAGACATCATGGCGCCGCGACAGTAGCGGCAGCTGACAGGTGAGCGCAGGCATCCGAGGGCATGGTGGCTTTGCAGGAGAAACTCATGCATCCTGTGACGAAGAAGCCGTACGTGAAGCGATGGGGCGGCATCAACAACAGTCCGGAGGGAAGAGCTGTGAGTTTCTTGGAACGAGAGACAATGAGACAATCGCTTACACGATCTAGCGCGGCATGACCCACGGCTACCTCTGCCTGTTTGAGAACGAACAGGATCGGACCTACTACCTGGAGGAGGACCCTGACCACAAGGAATGGGTGCAATTCGTCAAGCCTTTCATTTCGAATGCGCAGGTGGTTGACTTTGTGGACGGCGTTCACGTTTGATGACTATCATTATGGTCATGGCGAACATCACATCGAGCAACGACGGCAAGATCAACCTCATAAAATTCAGAGTACCTAGGTGATAAAGAACACATCACTGTAATAGACCGAGCTCTGCCAAACCCTTTCTTCCCCTGTTTCTCGCGCATGGGGTCTATCTTGACTGTCTTACGCAAGTCTTGCCTGCTGGCCCGGCATATAGGGTAGTGCGCGTGAACCTGCAGCCGATCGAGACCTCACCACCAACCCTCGTGAGAGTTCTCTTTTATGATTATGGAGGCAATTTAACGTTTTCCAAACATCAAGCTAGCAGCCGGCTCGCCTTCTCCTCGTGTGACATTTTACGGTGGCTGGTTGTACGTGAAATGCTTTGCCGTATCGCAGAGGCTGTATCTTTCAGGCATACTCTCTCGCACCACCATCGACTGGCGGTTCACATGCGACACACAAATTGTTAGTGATTGGCCAGAGCGCTTTGGCTGACCCGCGACCTCCGGCGTGCTGACGCGCGCGACAGCTGACTTTCGGTGCCTTTTTTTGACGTCAGCAGCTCCCGGGAGCTCCCCTCAAAAGGCGTCCGCCACCGCCAAACCCGCCCGCAACCCAGCCTCGTCGGTCCCCCGGATGCGCCCTCACCAGTCGTTGCCGTCGTCGCGTCGTCGCCCGTCACCATGAAGCCCATCATCGCCGTGCCCGCCACGGCGGCGCTCGTCCTGCGCGCCTGGAAGAAGAAGTCGCTTACCCCGGCCGGCCTCGTCGCCGCGACGCTGACCGCCGTGGCGCACGCCTACCACCCCTGGAACCTGCCCTTCGTCCTGCTCTGCGTCTTCTTCCTCGCGGGGACGAGGGTCACGCATGTGAGTCGCTGCCTAAGCTCGTGTGTTGTCTGCGCGCGCAGGCTCGCAAGCGAGCTCGCCGCGCGCACGCCCTGCACTGCCCCCTTTGCTGTTGTTGTTGTTGGCTGCTGACGATTTGCGCCTCCGCGCGTGTGTGCGCTTCAGATCAAGGAGAATGTCAAAGCTACGCTCACCATGCATTCGCGAGGCACGTCCGGAGGAGAGGGGCCCCGGACTCACGTCCAAGGTACGCACGCACGCACGCCATTGTTGGCTCTACGACCAGCCCGGCGGACACGTCACTGACCGGGCCTTGAAACAGTGTTTGCCAACTCGCTCATGGCTTCCATCCTGACCGTGCTGCACGCCTACCAACTCCGAGCTCGAGCCGCCGCCTTCGTCGACACCAACACTCCGAATCCCAAGGGGTCTATGTGCTATTCTTGGGGCGGCGACCTGCTCGTTGTCGGCATCATCGCCAACTACGCGGCCGTCGCGGCGGATACGTTCAGCTCCGAGCTGGGGATCCTGGCAAAGAGCGAGCCCAGGCTCATCACGTCGTGGAACCTGCGCAAGGTTCCCCGCGGGACGAATGGCGGAGTCACAGTCATGGGGTTGGGGGCCGGCCTGTTCGGCTCCATGGTCATCGTGACGGCGGCTATGCTGTTCCTCCCATCTTGCACGCCGGAGACGGCGCCCGCTCTGGGAGGCGGCATGCCGTGGTCGCTGGACCAGCGGAGAATATTCATGGCGTTCCTCATCGGCTGGGGAGCATTGGGGAGCGTCTTGGACAGCTTCCTCGGGGGGCTGTTCCAGAGGTCTGTCAGGGACGTCCGATCCGGAAAGATTGTGGAGGGTGAAGGGGGCGAGCGCGTGCTGGTCTCGGCGTCTACGGACCCTGTCGCAGGCGGGTCTTCCAAGCGCGCCGAGGCCAAGGCTGCCGCCCTGGCAGGGGCCGACGGCGGCAAGGCCAACGACAAGCTCGGCGCCTCAGCCGTGGACGAGGACGACGAGGACGAGGACAGGTACAGCATCAGCAACAAGCATCGCAAGTCCAGCTTCGGCGACCAACGGCCGTCGCGGGTGGTCGAGAGTGGCTGGGACCTGTTGGACAACAACGACGTCAATTTCCTCATGGCGAGCATGATGAGCATCGGGGCAATGGCGGTCGCGAGCTGGTACTGGGGTGTGCCTATAGACTCGGTGCTGAGGCCGTGAGCGAAGCTTACTGGGCTGCAGCTGAGAGATGATGATGTCGTTGGTGAGACGGATGGAATCACGGCAAGCGTTAGTTAGACATCACACGTGGCCGTGGGTGTTTGTTGCGCCGTTGGAATCGTCGTGTTTGCCACGACCAACAGCGCCGCCGCCAATAATAGAAAGCATTGAAGGTCTCGCAGCGAGGCGCAAGGCGCAGGGCGACGCAGGGTCGCACCGCCAAGTTCCAATCGTCGTCAGACTTTTCCCCAGATTCACACCTTCAACCTGGCAGCCAGGCCAGGGGGGGAGGAGGCATCTCCGGTGTCGGTGTGCGGGTCGGTCACAGCGTCAATGCGACTGCTACGGCGACAACGCGCAAATGTACATGCAATCAACTAATCAGGCGTATCAGCACCCATATGCCCGGGCAAACTCTACGCTTGCTGTTGGTTTTATCTCTCAATTGACCAGTTGCAATGATCCCGTGGTCGATGATGAGTCCAGTGGCCGGGGGAGGACTGCAAGACGCCTCCTTGACATGAGACCGCACCCCGCGGCTTCGCAGGAGACGCACGTCGGGGTGCCTGCCCCGGCCTCAGCACGGCCTCTTCCCCAGAGACGTCTCCCTCTCTCCGGGTCCGGGGAAGAGAGCACCGATTTCAGGGGGGGGGGCACGGGAAAGTCGCGCACGGGTGTCGGTCGCTACGTATCAGAGCCCGAATCCGGGGTTGCTCGCTCGGAGCGAGGGGCAAAATTGAATTGCAGTGGCACGTAGCACGAGGGCAGCAAATCAATCGAGCCATGATTATCATCACATATCATCATCACACGTGAGAGATACCTACTATTGGGAGGGGGGTGGGCAACTGGGCAGCGAACGCAGGGTCATCCTCGGCCCGCGAAACGCGAAATCGTGACAATCACGTCGCGGGTAATGGAAATGGGTCAGACCGCGTCGATTTTGGGCGCTTCGTGGGGATCGTCAATTCCGGTGTAGTCATTTCGTGTTGTAATACTGTAAGTCGATGGCTGCCCGCCGGTTTTGGGCGTGTGTGTGTGTGTGTGTGTGCGGGCGGGTGCGGATAAGTTAGGAGGGCATGGAGGGGCCACACTGGATCGGTGGAAGCAACGCCAGAAGGGGGTCCGGGGGTGTGGGCGGGCGCACGCCTTGTCGGAACTTGGGAACCTCCTTTCGCAAGGTACATACGATATACGTACGTAGGGGTCCAACGCGGGTCTGTCCCAGAGTCTCCGTTTTGCGGGGGGGTGCCTTTTCCCCTTCTCCAGTCCAACTACGGACGTACTTGTGTTTTAGGGGGCAGGAGTATGCGAAGAGACGCGGCGACGATCGGGGAGGCGAGTGAGTAACTCCCTATATGCGCCGGCCTCCCTGCGGTCCAGGGTTGTAAGGGGGAGGCCGGTCGCCGCTACATACGCGTGCCCGCGATGCCCATCACGCAGACACGTCCCGGGAGGTAAAGCCCTCGTACTTGTACTTGGGGGCGGGCGCTTCAGCGGCAGCAGGACGAGGTATATTTCGCAGAATACCTCAGTTTTGCCTTGCCGTGTGTGGTTTTGAATCAGGTTTGCGCGAATTACTACAGTACTGTACTGCGACGGGAGCGGTCAAGCGGACAGCACATGCCGAGACAGAGAGAGGACGAAGGAGAGCAACAAACACAGCACCCCCCGAGGACAAAAAAAAAAGGAGAGGCAACACATGTTTCTGGCGGCCGACACGGGAAAAGCGAGCGACGAGCCGGGAGAGCGGGCAGGGTCAACCGAGAAAATATTCACAAGCCGAGTCGAATAATTGACAACCCGCGATGCTCCGTAGGTCGTGGTTACCCACATCTCGGAGACGGCCAGCGAGCGATCTCGGGGCCGGGCGAGCCAGTGAGGAATAAGGATAAGGATAAGGACCCGGCGTGGGAATAGCACAGTCCTGTACTGTGCCGTGCTGTGCTGTGCAGTGCAGCAACAAGCGCGGCGCAGCGCAGCAGCAGTGCAGTGCAGCAAGAGCCCTGAAGGAGAACCGGGAGATGGAAGAAAAGGCACAGCGCGGCTCGTGGGTTTGTCGCTATTAGGTGGGCAGGGCCGCCACGCGCGCTGATGGATGAGGCATGTGGATGCTGAGGGAAGAGAATTAGTATGCAGAGCCCGGCGGCCGGCCAATCATGGGACGGCGATAAGATGCTTCTGCGACGGTTCCTCGGTGGCGCTCCGGATGGAGCCCGGGCGCGGGACTTCGGTTCAATGTCGTCCTGGGCTGGGGGTCATGGGGCGGTACCTCGATTCCAAGTCCCGAGCGAGTTGAGTCGAGTCGAGTCCGGGTCTTGTTCCCAGCAATTCGTTTCGCGGCGGCTTGCGGCGTGGCATGGCTTGGGCATGGGCATGGATGAGGTGAGTTTTCGAGGCGGCGCGGCGGCGGCGGCTGCCAACCCTCGGTGTCGCGTGCCCGACGGATGATGACCCCTTGGACGTCCCTGAATGAATGACTGACTGCCTGCCTGCCTGTCGTCGTCGTCGTCGTCGTCGTCGCGCGCATATCAAGTACTCGCGCTTGCAGCCGGGCGTGTTTCGTTGAAGATTGCCTTTGCGATTACGTCGCTGCGGGAGGGTGACACCACGGCCCTGGCTGCCGCCCTGTAATAGCCCGCCATCCATTACCTAACCTCTGGCGACGCGAGTATCTGCTGCCATGATGCGTTGCGGTGCACTGCGCGTCCATCCGCCGGAGCAGGGCAGCCCAGCCCGCGGCGGTCCGCGTGCCCTGTAACCATACCTACCAGGTGCATACACACATACCTACATACATACCTAATCCCGCAGCGCACCACGCCGACGCGCTACGCTGCTGCATGACGACGGGAGGTCAAGTAAGCGTGTGCATGACAGTTCCATGCTGAGGCGAGACGGCCGGCATCCGCCCGCGCAGTTCGAGCCTTGGGGCTGCTGCCACGCTGCGCCACAGGGGACCACCCTAATCCTCAACCCTCCATCCCCCCCGGATCCAGGCGCCAAGGCGTGTTTGGCGTGCTGGAGACTTTTCCAGGCTCGTGCCAACAGCGCCCGCCGCCCAGGCCACTCCCCCAGGGTTCCAGGTTGTGTGCAAAAATAGCACGTGCTGCCCAGCCCGCCTGCTCGCCCTCGCCAGCACAGCCATTGAACGGGGGGTGCTTGCCCCTGCCGGGGCTGCATCGCCACACCTGGGCTTCTATTACTGTACTTTGACTTCGTACAACAGAACAAGCCTCCTCAGAGCGGTGGCTCCAACACGGGCGTGGGATACGGACAGCGGATAGTACCTCGTGTCAAGTACACTCGGCGCTGCGTTGAGAGACAGCTGCAGCACGTAGGTACGTACGAACCGGCGCGTAGTTTCGTACGAACGTGGGCGTAGCGCCGCAGGTCCGGGCCGATCATCAGTTCGGCGGGCCAGCGCACGCTACGACGGAGCACAGAATCACAATGACGCCCGCTGCGAAAACAGGTTTCTGCCGATGCGTGCGCGCGCCGCCAGCATGTCGTCAGTTTCATCAGGCACGCGCGCCGCGCTCCCCCTTCGTCCCCCCAGCCGCGTCCAACTCAGACTTGGCAAGTGGACGTCTGTTTGTTTGTCTGTCTGTCAGGCCTAACGACCTAGCCGCCCCTGCTGGCTGCTGTTGATGCTGTTGCTGCAGGCGCGAAAAGGTAAAACGTGGAGGTTCCAACATGCCGCCTGCCAACTCGGACAGACAAGGCGGAACAGGGCAGCAGGAGCGCAGACAGGGGAACCCCACCATGCCATCACGGCGCTGTTGCGGCGGGAGGGCGTGTGTCGCATGGCAACCCCGCCAACCCGTGGTGGGTAGGTTGCTCGCCAGCCAGCCAGCCAGCCAGCCTATGCCCAGCGACATGCCAGTCGACGCCTGCATCCGTCCCTGCCCCGTCTGCCCTGAAGCGATAAGGTAACGACCAGCCGGCAGAGGGGCACACACACGCCCTGAAGCGCCCGAAGCGGCGACGTGCGCCCGGCTTTTACGTTCTTGTACGACCCGGCGCGCCGCCCGTGTCTCTCGCTCACACGTCAGGGCCGCCCTCTCGCGTCCGGCCGGCGGGAGCACCTTGGCACACACACACACTCACTGCACTTTGCTGCACCTGCTGCACACGCCACACCTCACTCCCATCAACGCGGTGCTACAGCGCGGATCAGGCGCAGAATATTCCATCACGCGAGGGTCGCTTTTCGACTCACCGTGAGCCGAGCCCGCCCAGCCCCCCCCGCCGGGCCCCGTGCCCGCCCACCGCCGTCGTCGCCGTCGCCGACCAGCCGTGGCTACCCGCGGACGGCGAGGGCGAGGGCGCACGCGACGCGCAGCGGCGAGTCACTGGATGGGGTCGTTGATGGGGCCGCTGCCGGGCCAGCACGATGGAGCAAAGGTACAATTTACTCCGTAGAGGCGAGGCATCAGAAGAAAACCCGGGGCAAGGGGAGGGGCGTGTGTGGGCTCCGGTCGCCAGGACCTTCCCGGCACGCGCTGCCCCAGGGGCCCCAACCTGACCCTCCGTTGCGGGAGGCGAACGAGAAAGCCCGCCAAGGGGGAAAACGTTCAGTCATATCGCAAGTCATAAGATCAGATCAGACTGACGAGAGCGCTTGCGCAGTAGTAGTAATCGCAATCGGTCGACTGGTCGTAGCTTTCCCTCCCCTCCATCCATCCCACCTGTGAATGCGTGCCTGGAACCGGCCCCCCGAGGCCGAATCTGGGGATTGATGGGAACGCCCTGTCCCGAGGGAATTTAGCGGCCGCAGACCGCCCGTCGGGCCTGCGCTGCGTTCGTGTGAGCCGCTGCCCTGCCCTAGCCCGGCTCCCCCCCTGTGAGCGCTCTGCTATGCTATTGTTGGGACGGGCAAGGTGGCTGGCGGCCTGGCGATACTTGGGCTCCAGGTACTGCGCTGCCCCGGCACCGAAAAAAAAAAGACGTGAGCCAGCGCCAACGGCCGGGCTCGCTCGCCTTCGCCGAGGACCGCCGCCGCAATCAGCACTGAACTTGAAAGGCGCAGTGCGAAGGGGGTACCTGGCGGCTTGTCTCGTCGCCGAGGCGTGGCCAAGGTGGGCCGCGCAGCGGTGACAAGCCCCGGGGACGGCCAATGGCGCGAGGGTGCCGACCAACACGCACCCAGTCACGGCCCGGGACCGGAACCAGCGAGGCTCCCACCCCCCTGTCTCGCCTTATCTATACCTCGTCCCAAGTACCCTTGGGCCGGGCCTGGGGGGCGGCGGCGTGTGGGTTGTGGAGGGTGTGGGCGTGTGGGTGGGCTGAGATGGATGATTGAATGGGTGCACGACAGCGCCTTCGATACGGCTCATCGCTGGCTCGACAACATAAAACCCTCGACGCCCCAGGGCCACTTCGCACTCGATTCTGCTGATAAAGTCCTCCACACTTGCGTTTCCCAGCTTTCGTTGATACCCCAGCTGTCGCATCTTCGACGACAGACCTCTCTCTATCCTATCCTCCCTCTCCCTTATTTTGCATTGTTGCGTCCGCGCACGAGACATCACAACCATGGTGCGTAACCCACTGACACATGCCCTGCCGCTGCCGCCGCTGCTGGTCTCCCTCCCCCCCCCCGCGGTGCCGGTTGGCGGCCGCCCGCCAGCGAACCCCACTACCGCTTTACGCGGCAGCGCACCGCGCCCGCGAAGGGCCCGGGAGACCCTGCGTGCAGCGACAAGCAACCGCCTTACGATGAGCCATGTGTGCTAACTCGCTCTCTGCGCAGGCTACTCGCGAAGTCCTCTCCTCCCGGACGGAAACCGTACGACTGCCCTCACGACAACGACCCCGAGAAACGAAACAAGAATGCTGACCGACACACGCACAGGTCAACAAGTACATGAAGCTTGACCAGAAGGGCAAGATCATGGCCGAGTACGTCTGGGTCGACGCTGTCGGCGAGACTCGCTCAAAATCCAGGGTGAGTGGCCTCTGATCTCATCGCCCACCAATCCCTCCCCCTGCCCTGCCCTGCCCTGCACACATGCACAATGTCCTGCATCGTCATCGAGAGCCGGCCGGGCGCACGGAGACACGAGCCGACGATGGGCACCGATTCCCCCGATTTGTTCCGTCGCTGGGTGTGTGTGGCCGACCGCCCCAGGCGCAAGCGTCACCCGGACTGGGCACAGCGCTCAGTCAGTGACAGGAGCGTCTGCTGCGCCCCGGGGACCCGGGTGGCGCCCTGGAAAACCCTCTCCAGCGGCCACTCACAGGGCGCGCCTGCTGGGTTTCGCCACGGCTGAGGGTTTCTTGGCGGGGCGGGCGTGCGCTGAGGCCCGCTTGGCCAAAAATGGCACCCCGCATGGCCCAACGGTGCGCCCGGGGGCCCTCGGCCAATCGTGGGAGGCGGCGCGACCCACTCGGCGACGATGACTTCATTGCCTTCCCTCTTGACGTCGCACGAATCGCTCTCTCGTGATCAAGTTTGCGCTGACACGGCGTGCGCCGCTCTACAGACCCTCCCCGAGCAGGAGTACAAGCCCGAGGATCTCCCCGTCTGGAACTTTGACGGCTCCTCCACCGACCAGGCCCCCGGCGAGAACTCGGACGTCTACCTCCGCCCCTGCGCCGTCTACCCTGACCCGTTCCGCGGCTCGCCCAACATCATCGTCCTGGCCGAGTGCTGGTCAGCCGACGGCGTCCCCAACAAGACCAACTTCCGCCATGACTGCGCCAAGGTCATGGAGGCGTACGCCGACCACGAGCCGTGGTTCGGCCTCGAGCAGGAGTACACTTTCCTCGACCACGACGACCGGCCTTTCGGCTGGCCCAGCGGTGGCTTCCCCGCTCCGTAAGTTTTTGCCCCGCGCCCCATGTCAAACGTCCCTTGAATCAGTCGCGCTAATACCCGCAAAGTCAGGGCCCCTACTACTGCGGTGTCGGCAGCGGCAAGGTCGTCCTCCGTGACGTCGTAGAGTCGCACTACAAGGCCTGCCTGTACGCCGGCGTCAACATCTCTGGCACCAACGCCGAGGTCATGCCCGGCCAGTGGGAGTTCCAGGTCGGCCCCTGCGAGGGCATTCAGAGTACGTCTTCACCCATCACCACCACCCGTGCGAATGACATCTTGCTAACGCCAAGCAGTGGGTGACCAGCTTTGGATCGCCCGATTCTTCCTCGCCCGCGTCGCCGAGGACTTTGGCGTCAAGGTCTCGTGGCACCCCAAGCCCATCCGCGGCGACTGGAACGGCCAGGGCCTGCACTCCAACTTCTCCACCAAGGAGATGCGCGTCGAGGGCGGCATGAAGCACATCGAGGACGCCCTCAAGAAGCTCGAGCCCCACCACGTCGAGTGCATCAAGGAGTACGGCGAGGACAACGACCAGCGCCTGACGGGCCGCCACGAGACGGGCTCCATCGAGCAGTTCACCTACGGCGTCGCCAACCGCGGCACCTCGATCCGCATTCCCCGGGAAACCGCCGCCAAGGGCTACGGTTACTTCGAGGACCGCCGACCCGCCTCCAACGCCGACCCGTACCGCGTCACCAAGATCCTGATGACGTCCATCTTTGGCCAGCTGTAAATCTGCGTCGAGGGGACGGACGGAACGTGTGTCGCGCGCTTCCGAGGAAGGTGCGGATGAGGTTTGATGGTCTCTAGAGCGCGCGCTGTCGCGGAGAGACCTTCGTGGGCTTTTATTCTCTCGGCGTTTGGGCATGGCGGCATGGGACAACAATTTGACTTTTTTACTATCCATAGACGACGCGTTTTAATTCCAAGACGTCGATGAATTGAATACACAAGCCATACTACTGGCTAAATTGATGAAGAATCACCATTGCTTCCTATTTCAATCGTGTTGGTGATGTTTACATGTGACTTGTCACCCACCACAGGGGTCACTTAGAGGCGGGGAGTACCTGTCATTCAAATCGACGTGCAACGGGGAGCATGGCTGTGAGCTCGGCTCGGCATTGAGGTCACCAGGAAGTTGAACCAATGTTGTCGGACGTGCCGCTAGGTGATGGCCCTTGAGGCCGCAGTACTCATGGAGTCCAACACTCGTATAGTTTTTGATCGCAAACCGAGCTATTCTGAAGTGAAATAGTCATGTATAAAACATTAAAGAGTACAAAATATGATGAGAGCCTGTATATACCGTCTAGCGGCACATGCCCTCTGTGCACATACAGCTCGCGAATGATTATGTGCATTCGCCCCATTTCCTTTGACCCCAGATCTAAGCCGTGAAGACGACAGAGCGCTTTCCGCCGCTGAGGTCGCAGGTAAAGGCACCAGAGCCGCCAAAGGGACCAGCGAGGGCGTTGTTGCGCACGCGGACGACGCAGACGTTGTCGGCGCCACCCAGCTTCCCCGTGCACTTGGTGCACTCCTTGGGCATCTTGACCTTGACGGCGTACTCGACGAGCGTGGCGATGGACAGGCCGGAAATGCCAAGGCCGGGGGCGTCCTGGACGACCTGGGCAGTCTTGAATGCCTTGGGGTCCTTGCCGCCGGACGTGCAGTCGATGGCAGCCGTCAGGGGGCCGGCGCCGTCCTGGTTCACCTGCGCGAGAGGGGTTAGAGAGGCGATTGAGCCGCGGGAGATGGCGGAGGGCGATACATACTTGGAAGTAGCCCAGCTCAATGACACCGTCCTTGCCGCAGGTGGGGAGGCCCTTGTCCTTGCCCTCGCCAGCCGTCTTGGTGATGATGTTCTCCTCCTTGCCCATGTCGCTGGTGTCCTTGGTGGGCCCAATGCCAGAAAGGCCAAGGACGGGGGTGTTGGCCGCGGCGCCGAGGATCGTGTCCATCATGTCTCTGCGCCAGCTCCTCTTCTGGGTCTTCTGGGGCGCAAACGCGCCGAGGTTGTCCTCGACGCCCACCGAGTCGGCCGCGCCCTTGTTGGCCGGGGCGGCCTGCGAGGGCTTGTTGCCCAGCCAGACGGCGACGTTGGTCTCCGGGTCGACCTTGCCGTGGCCCTGCGTCTTGCCCAGCGGGCCGACGATGCCCGCGTTGATGTCCTGGTCGCGGATGATGCCCGTGTCGGCCTGCGCGCCGCAGGCGTTGACGACGCACTTGCGCGGCGTGCCGTCGGTGACTGTGGCCCATCATTGATCAGTTCCTTGTTCTGTACGATCTATCGCTCACTATCTTGCGAAGATAAAAAAAACGTACCGGTAAGGCCGGGCATCTTGACGCCGTTGGCGCCATAGACCCAGCGGACGAGGCCGTGTGCCTGGACGCTGGCCACAAGGGCCGAAGCAATGAGTGCGTAGCGCATCTTGGGAGAAGTGTTTTAAAGTGAAAACGAAAGAGAGTGGTAGTAGTGTTAAGAGAAACTTGGCACGCGATGTCTAAGTCGCCGGGACTATAATGGAGAGCGAACGAAAATATTACTAGAAATGAGGATACGAACGAGAGACTTTGTTGGCTAGCGGAGGGGTAGAGAGATCTTCCCATGAACGACACCCGACGGACGGCCGAGTTATATATTCTCCTGGCGACTTCTTCTTACACGCCATGTCCGGACTAAGAGCCGACTCGTCGTCACACTAGCTGAAAACAAACGAGAGAAGGCTCCTGCGCGATTCGGAGCGGTAGGCGGGCGGCGGCCTCGGAACTTTGCACCGCCTCCCAACGACGACTCGCTCGTGCCACTTGAAGAGTAGCGTCAACAGGTTCGCTAGCACATCAGCTGGGACAGGACAGACAGCGAGTCACCGCCTCGCCCGTCTCCCTAGCTCGATGCCCCCAATCACCTACATGTGATCTCCCGGCTAGTCTCCGTGCTATTCATGTGTCCGTGTAACACTCCGAGCAGGCCAGGCCAGGGCCAGGCCGCCAGGATCCAGGAACCAGGAACCAAAAGCGGGCCGCAGGTTTCGTGCGCACGGTAGCGGTGGTGGTGAAGAAAGATTTGAGAGGGACGACAACGACGTCTGGCGCGCGTGGTGCGTTGCAGTGCGGTGCGGTGCGGGCGGGCCCTTGCCTTGTGCCTGGGCGGGCGTCTAAGTCGGTGCCCGGGGACCCGGAGCGGTGGTTCGCGCGAGGGGCCCCACTTCCGGAGGTCCGTGTGGCGCCCCGATCGGGTTGAGTTCGCGATGTGCCCTGAAACAAGGGGTGCCCGCCCGCCCTGAAATGGGTGCCGACCCAAACTTTGGGCTCTCTCTCTCTCTCTCCCTCCTCCGTCCAAACCCCCCCCCTCGTCCATGAACATGTTCAACATTTGAACGTGAACCGCCGGCGGCCCCGCCCAGCCCTGCAGATACGAACCGCTGAAACGCTGGGCAGCAGCAGTGCTGGGGTAATGTAGCAGCAGCGTGGGCGAAGATCTAAACAACGGGCAGGGACGGGGGCCCGGGGGGTTATTTGAAAAGCTGCACGTGCTTCTCTGGTGAGCTTCTCTTGCGAGAGAACGCACTCTCGCACCGTGATCCCAGCCGGTTTGCTCGTTCGTTCGGTTCGCAGCGCCCGTGCCCCCGCGACCACGGAGCCGCGGCTCCACCGAGCACCGCCCGCCGTTTTGGCGAACCCGTTCGCCTCAGGTCGCGCGCCCTGCGGGCACTGGGGACTTGGCGACGAGATGACAGCGTTGCAGCAGGCCCGTTCAGCTCCTCAGCCTGGTACGTTTTCTTGGGCGAGCGGGTGCTGCCCCTGGCGGTGATCTCTGTGCCTCGCTTCGCTTCGCTTCGACTGTGGGCTGTGGGCTGTGGGCTGCCGCTCAGTCAAAGTGTCACCCGCATCTGAAGGCAACCGTGAGGCCGGGATACCACCCGTCCACTTCACTGGCATGTAGATGATGATGAACCATGCGGGATGTGCCCAAACGCAACGTTTGGAAAATGGAGACAAACACCTCAGCTCATGCGGGCTCGCTCGGCGTCGCAGATCGGGCTGCAAGGCACAACCATATTTAGAAACCAAGATACATGCACGAGGAGAGCCCGTTAAGGTTCCTCGAGTTTCCCAGTCTGGCAAGTCGCGGAAACGAGATAGGCCCAAGTCCCCAAGTCCCGGTCCGCCGCCAAAACAGCACATGGCCCATGTCTGGTGCCCGCTCGGTCCTGAGCCGAACCCGCACCATCCCTACACCTCCTTCTCTCCCTACTACTACTGCTACTACTACTCCGTATGTACTCCTTCGTGCGACTCCTACTGCTGCTCGTGCTACCGTAGCCTACCGTCTTAGTTGCCAGCCAGGCAGGTCCCTGCCAGGCACGCGCACCACCACGTCCAAACCCACCGAGCGCGCTTGCACGCTCGCGCGCCGCCGCCGCGGCCGCCATATCGTCACTAGCCGCTCGAGCCTCCTTGTGTCAGGTTCGACAAGGCTGTGTGTGTGTTTATGGGCCGATTTAGCATTTTTTGGGGCCCTCGCCGGTGCTTCGACCGGACTTTTGTGAGATTGAAACCTCCCAAGGCCCAGCTGAGAAGGAAACGGGATCGACGCCGCGCGAGCCCGTGTGTCCATGTCTCTCTGTCTGTCTGCAAGCCATGTGCTTGCTTCGGTACGCTTCCGAGCGCCGGGGGGGCAGTTCATTTGTCTTTGCGGAAACTCCGTCGATACGGACTGGCTCTCTTGGTTCCTCGTCCGGTCGGTGTTAAATACGTGACGTTTGGCCCTCTTCTTCTGCCTCGTCTCCTCCCCCCTTTCTCATCATCGTCACCAGCAACACTCTTTCATTCTCAACCTTCTTAGTTTTCCATTCGCTCTTTGCCACCACAATCTTCTCTTCTTCGCAAACGTAATAACTCTCGTTACCACCACTCAAACAAAAACCACCACATCACCCAAAATGAAGGTCTTCGCCATCGTCTCCGCCATCATGGCCGCTTCCGCCTCGGTCGCCCTCGCCGCCCCCGTTTCGGAGCCCCTCGCCGCCGTCGCCGAGAAGCGCGAGACCAACCTCGGCGGCCTGCCCCTCGCCGGCATGATCCCCGGCGGCGCCAACAACCCCCTCGTCAACGTCGTTCAGCAGGCCCTCGCCGCTGGCTTCGCCGCCGGCGACATCATCCTCAACGCCGGCCCCTCCCTGCTCACCGACCCCACCAAGGCCACCGAGATCATCACCAACATGATGAAGCAGGGTGCCGGCACCGTCGGCAACATCGTCACCGGCAGCGCTTAGAGCGTTTTCAGGGGTGTGTGCTTTGATCGATGGCACTGTGAGTAGGCCCAGTGTGCGGGAGAACAAGCTTGTCGATCTGACCGTTCATCAAGTTCAATGGCCAATGCAACTCGCAAACTGGAGGATTTAGTGAGCCCAGGGGGCTACTCATTGTATGACGATGGATAATTTACAGACGGCGACCCTAGGGGTTTTGCCTCTTTCATTTCAGCTAATGTGAGAGGTGTTTGCTGCCGATTACATATATACATATATAAATGACAATCATGTGCTATTCTGTGAGCATGGATCGTCGTGATACGTCAATGAGTCGCCGTGCTCTTAAGAGAGTTCCAGTTCGTTTAATTGCACGGCCATGCAGCATTCACCAAGTACGGCAAGTTCGGGGTCAAGGTCGTAGCACAAATAGCTCTGCGGCAACCTGTATGACGCGCTAGTGAGATGCCGGGACGAAGAGGCACAAGTGAAGTGGGAGAGTAAACAATTATTGACTCATTGAAACACATTCATCGTAAACTTAGTCTTCCTAGGGTATCGGGTTTGCAGCCTCATCCGCAGACATGCTCCTTCCTGCTCGCTCCAACACATGGCACGCTACTTGCGCTCCGCCTCGGCCTTCTTCTGCAGGTCATGCTCGACTCCCCGCTGCTGTGCCTTGCCATCCGCGCGCATCTGGTCGTAGTGCTCCTGGCCGGACTTGTCACCAGTCAGGCCGGCAACGGCACCACCGAGAGTGCCCTGGGCGCGGTTGGCCATGCCGGAGCCGAGATCACTGAGCTGACCCTTGGCCTCCTGCTGCTGGCCCTCGAGGTTCTGCTGGCGGCCGGAGTTCTTGAGAGACTGCAAAGGCGAGGCGTGTTAGCAGGAGCCAAGAAAAGGGTTCGGCGTTCCAGCACGATGGTGGGAATAGGGTAGATGCGAGCATACCTCGTTGCCAATGAGTCCGCCAACTGCCTCCTTGGCAGACCCCACCGTCTGGTTCCACGAGCCCTGGGTGCGGTTGGGGTCATCCTTGCTGACGCCGCCGGAGCTGGAGACGGTGCCGCCGGGCACCTTGAGAGCAGCCTGGGAGGCGTCGTGCTCGGCCTCGGCGTGGTCCTTGCGAACCTCGCCCTTGGCCTTGTCGCCCGTGTTGCCGGTCAGGCTGCCAATGGCGCTTTGGACGGCGCCCGTGGCAGAGTCGACGTACGACTGGAGCGTCGAGGGAGCCTGGTTCTTGTCGTCGGCCATTGTTGCTTTGAGTGACGATAAAATATTATGGTAGTTGGGGAATTGTCAAGGATTGTGGATTCGGCCTTGCTGTCTCTGGTCAGGTGGTGGGTGGTGGTGAGGAAAAGAGAACAAGTTCGTGGAGGGGCGCGAGGCTCGAAGCTCTTATATCAAGTGCCAGACCGGAAGAACGGCAAGCGAGACATGGACGCGTGGACCCTGAACGCGCCATGGTATCACGTCCAAGGCAATCGCGATGGCATTTGCCGTGCTACAGCCATGGTGCCAGGCGTTGGTGATGTCATTCTCGGGTGCGAACCGTCTGGATGGATCCCGTGGCAGGAAGGCCCGCTGTGTGGAAGAACGCTGACGTCACAGTGCCTCGTCCCGCCGCCAACCACAACCACCAGCCCAACGACACAGCGGCCCCATGTGCCGGAATGGAGACACGCTTTTGGCGATGCCGGCCAAAGTCCTCCAGCCAAGTTTGGTGTGGGTGCGACGGTCAACAACCCGTGTAGCGATCTCGCCAAAGCATGCGTGACATGTTTGGCAAGTCAATTTGCATTGCATGATCGTCTGCACCCTCACTAGAGCTACGAGAGGCGAGGCGCAGGAAGGGCGTGAGGATATGGGACTTAGAGGCAGCGCGCTGCTCCATAAAAACTGTCACAGTTGCTTGGTCCTCCTCGCAAGCAGACCTTCTTAGCCTTGCAGATACTCAATAATCCAACGTTCTACGACAACGTGAACAAGTAGACAAAACTCCGTTGCATTCGCAGCAAGCCCCCGGCATGCCATACCGTACCGCCCTGTGTATCCGCGAAGAGGTATCGTAGTGTACATTTTTCCTGTTGTACAAACCGCGTGGCTCATGCCGGCGCTTCATCCTCGCCGGGTCCGGTTCCTCCCTTGCCCTATCCCGTCTGTACCTATTTAATGCTGGCTCCACTGAATCGTGTTCAGGTCGATGCCCTCCTGCACGAGCTCCCAGAGCGGGCTCAGCTCCCGCAGGAAGTTGACGCGCTCCTGCACTGCCTTCAGCACATAGTCAATCTCAGCCTCGGTCGTGAATCGGCCGATGCCGAACCGGATGCTGCTGTGGGCGCTCTCGTCGCTGTTGCCGAGAGCCCGCAGGACGTAGCTGGGCTCCAGAGAAGCCGACGTGCAGGCGCTGCCAGACGACAACGCAATGTCCTTGAGCGCCATCAACAGCGACTCGCCCTCAACATAGGCAAAGGACACGTTGACGCAGCCGGGGTAGAAGGCGTTTTCGTCGCCATTCTGGCTCGTGTGCTCCAAGGAAAGGAGGCCCTGGAGCAGGCGGTCCGACAGAGCCTTGATTCGCTTCGAGTCATACTGTACCGTGGTGTCAGTGGCTAGCTCATGACAACGATGGCAAGAAAAGACGCGCAAAAGGGGACTGAAATCAGACAGAAGCTGCGATCAACATGAACGGCCTTGTCACGGGCCATTCAGAAAGCCATGCATGTGTAGAGCAAATCATCCGCAAGAAAAGAGTGGGTTCGCGAAACGCTGCATCATCAAACCGCCGAGGTTACTTACCGCCATCTCGTCGTAGGCGATGCGGCAGGCTTCGCCAAAGCCAGCCACCAGAGGGGGAGCCAGGGTGCCGCTTCGCAGACCACGTTCCTGGCCACCACCGGTGATGATGGGGTCCAGGCGGACCCTGGGACGTCTCCGGACGTAGCAGGCGCCAATGCCCTTGGGGCCGTAGATTTTGTGCGAGGAGATGGACATGAGGTCGATGTTCATCGCGTTGACGTCGAGGGGAATCTTGCCCACGGCCTGAGCGGCGTCGGTGTGGAAAAAGACCTTCTTCTCCCGGCACAGCTTGCCGATCTGCTCGATGGGCTGGATGACGCCAATCTCGTTGTTGACGGCCATGATGCTCACGAGGGCCGTCTCGGGACGGATGGCGGCCTCGAGGTCCTCCATCCGGATCAGGCCGTTGTTTTGCACCGGGAGGTACGTGACCTCGAAGCCCTCGTCCTGCAGATGCCGGCAGCTGTCCAACACGCACTTGTGCTCGGTCTGCGTGGTAATGACGTGCTTCTTCTTGCCAGAGCGGCCAAAGAAGCGGGCAACGCCCTTGATGCTCATGTTGTTGCTCTCGGTGGCGCCACTGGTGAAGATGATCTCCTTGGGGTCGGCACCGATGAGCTTGGCCACGTGCTCGCGCGCCTCCTCAACGGCTTTCTCGCTCTCCCATCCGTAGGCGTGCGTCCGAGAGTGGGGATTGCCGTAGACGCCGACGTAGAAAGGCATCATGGCATCGAGAACGCGCGGATCGACGGGCGTCGTGGACTGCATGTCGAGGTAGATGGGCCGTTGGCCCTCTTCCATGACGGCGGCCTGCTTAAGGACCTCTGAGACGAAACGTGTCAGTAGTTGAGGCGATTATAGGTGAGTGCGCTGCATGACATACCGGCCATGGGGCTCACTTTGCCGTCCGTCGGCACGCCCATCTGAGGCGGGGGGATGTCGGCAAAGTCCTTCTTGTCGAGCTTGATGGCCGTCTCGACCTTGGCCTTGTCGGTCCTGGACTCGGAGACGTAGCCCCTTCGCGAGGCCGGCCCCCTCCTGCCCGTCGCCACCAGGGCGGCGCGAGAGAGCGCGGCGCATCGCAAAGGAGCGGCAGAGGCCGGGCAGCTCACCGAGCGAGCCGACCGCCTCAGCGCGCTGGATGCAAGGCTGGCCATGGCTATCGCAGTGATGGCTATGGTGATGGATGCGGAGGGTGCACGGGCGGAGTCGGGGCTTGGGGCGAATTTATTTGAGGCCGACCGAAATGCGGTGGAAATTTGTCATTGACAAGGGCGTTGTTTCGGCTCGGCCACTCGGTGATAAGCGCCGTCGTGGGGGCTCTGATTGGCTGGAAATGGCCGGGAGAGCTTCCCCGCCGCCTCCGGGGGCAGGAGCGAGATGCGGGCAACGGTTCTGGATGAGCGGGCTCTCCAGCTGGACGCTGTCGGGGCCGGGCGACGGGGGCTCGGGTCGCTGTTTAGCGGGTGATAGCAGCAGCAGCCATCTGCGGGCTCCGACAGGACATGCACCTTTCTATACGTGTCGAACCCGACTGCGTACCCTGTACATATTTTACCTCACCTTGCAAGGCGACGATGGAGGCTTGCATATATGAACGGAGCAATCCGCACTTACTCCGTGCGCATCGTTCAAGCATCCAGATTGTGAGTGCCGTCTCAAGGGCCTTGGAGAGAGCTCCGTCTCAGCCGGCAGCAGATCCAGCAGCGGCCACGAGAAACCGGATGCTTCACGTGTGCTGCTGGTAAGACTATTGGCAAAACTTTCAAACCTTGAACGACCCCGTTGAACGGACGCTGCGTGGGTTTCCTGTGCGCCGTCCGTTGAAACATGCATCTGGCAGGCCGTCTGCGACCACGGAAAAGCGAGCTGCGCAAGCCTCGCGCTGCACGACCCAACCCAATCCCCAAGCGGAGCGCCCTGCTCGCTTCCAGTCGAGGTTCCAGGTTCCATAGCTCGCTGACGCGCAGATCCCGGGGCACTGCCGGGCTTCCACCCCCAGCGGGCCACGCGCAGTGACGCAGTGACGACAGCGCCGCCCTGCGCCGACCCCCCTCCACTTCCGGCGACAGCCCTGGAGGACCTATGGAGGCTGGCCCGCCCGCCATGCCGCCCTGAAGAATCGCCCGGGAACAGCTGGAGCTGCCTGCGCTGCACCCGCCCATGCGCCACAGAGCTAGCGCAGACACAGCCACGGCCAAGTCGTCACCAGGCATGGGCGTGGGCATGGCATGGCCCGACCTGGGGCGGCCAAACCTCGCCGCTCTGACGGACGGCACCTCGAGCTGATCCCGCAAACCACAACTCTCAACTCCCTCAAGGCGCGCCGTGGCCCCTCGTCACTGCCGACCTTTGCGCCCTTCTCTCCCTCGCACGCTCTCCCCTCCCGATCGTGCCCCCGCCGCATCCCTCACAATGAGCTTCAAGGGCTTCCAAAAGAGCCTGACCCGGGTACGTCCGCCGCCGCCGCCGCCGCCGTTGCGTGTGCCCCTCACCCGAGCTTGTCCAGCCCCTCCGAGCCATCGTCATCCTCGCTCCGCCGGCGGGAGGCGAGACACGGCCGAGGGCCAAGACAAGACAATGCAATCAATGCAAGAGCTTCGCTAACCCACCGTCTCTTTTTTTCTCCGCGCATGTAGGCACCGCAACAGTTCAAGCAAAAATTCAACATCGGCGAGCAGACCAAGGACGCCGTCTACATCGACGCCGAGCGCCGCTTCCAAGAGCTCGAGACGGAGACCAAGAAGCTCCACGATGAGTCCAAAAAGTACTTCGAGGCCATCAACGGCATGCTCAGCCACCAGATCGAGTTTAGCCAGGCCATGACGGAGATCTACAAGCCCATCTCGGGCCGCATGTCGGACCCGGACTCGATGGTCATCGAGGGCAACCCCGAGGGCATCAACGCCTGCGAGGAATACGAGGCCGTCGTCAAGGAGCTGCAGGAGACGCTCGCGCCCGAGCTGGATATGATCGAGTCTCGGGTCATCCGCCCAGCCAACGAGCTCCTCGACGTCATCAAGGTCATCCGCAAGACGGCCCTCAAGCGCGAGCACAAAAAGCTCGACTACGACCGCCACCGCGCCACCCTCAAGAAGCTGCAGGACAAGAAGGAGCGCACCGCCAAGGACGAAAAGGCCATGTGGAAGGCCGAGGGCGACGTCGAGCAGGCCACGCAGGACTTTGAGTACTTCAACGACCTGCTCAAGGACGAGCTGCCCAAGCTCTTCACCCTCGAGCGCGAGTTCATCCAGCCGCTCTTCCAGTCCTTCTACTACATGCAGCTCAACATCTTCTACACCCTGCATGAGCGCATGCAGCGCTGCGACATCGGCTACTTCGACTTGACGCGCGAGATCGAGGAGGCCTTCGAGGAGAAGCGCGGCGACATCCAGGAGCAGGCCGAGGCGCTGTCCATCTGCCGCTTTAAGACAACTGGTCGGCCACGGCCCCCGAAATACGCCCCCCGTCCCGCCCTCGAGGGCGGCAAGCAGCCCGGCTTGCTCACGGCCGGACCCAACGCGACCGCCAACTCCAAGGCGAGCGCGTACGCGCGGCGGTCCACGGACGGCACCGAGCAGAACCCGCCTCCCCCGTACTCGGCCGGGGCCAAGCCCTCCAGTCCGGGGCTGTCAGCAATCGCCGCCGCCAAGGCGAAGCCCCCGCCGCCCAAGCCCAAGCCCAAGGCCCTCATGGCCGCCCCGGCCGCAGAGACGGTCACCGCCCTGTACGACTACTCGGCGCAAGCAGAGGGCGACCTGAGCTTCCGCGCAGGCGACGTCATCGAGATCATATCAAGAACGCAAAACGAGAATGAATGGTGGACCGGACGGTTGCAAGGCAAGGAAGGCCAATTCCCAGGTACGCAACCCCCGCATCATGATGTGTCGATTCTCACCTCGGAATGCTAACGTGCCTCGCCAGGAAACTATGTCCAGTTAAGTTAATACAGGTGACGGCTTCTCGGGACGGTTTACCCCTGGCGGATTGTTGTAGCTATTTGGCGTATTGGCTCACGGGTTTTTTGACTACCACGCAAAACTTTTACATTACGAGAGCAGGATTTCCCTCGCTATCACCCGCACCACCCTAGACCATGGCAGATATATCCAGGCAAAATGTCTACGATGCCGCATTCTTTCACTGAGCCCAGCGTGAATGTACTCACTGGTTATATTATGACATGCGAATCTCAAAAGTTGAGAGCTCCAATCGGTTTGGTTGGCACGCTCGATGAATAACATCTCCGTACCATGCATCTCGCGGGCCCAACGCCATACAAATGCGAACACACATCTTGACCGTTCCTACATCCTGCTCATGTCGTAGCCACCGGATCTTATGTATCCATGTGCTCGCTCACTGCGCCGTCCCCGCCATCAACGTCTCCAGCTCCCAGGGACTCAGCGTACTCCTCCTCCGCGACGTCACCTTGCTGCTCGTGCGTTCGCGCTTCCTCTTCTCCGGCTTGGGCTGTTGCTGCTGCTGCTCCTCCTCCTGCTGTGGCTGTGCGGGATCATGCTTGACGGGATCAACGTCCTCTGCTGAGGGCGGCACCGGCGCAGGCTCTGCCTCCTTCGTCTCGGCGTCGTTCGCGATAGCAGGCCGCTTGACGCCTCCGCGGGTGCTCGGCCCCGTGCCCCGGGCTGCCCGCAGTTTGGCCCGGACGCGCGCGGCGTCGGCCTCCTTCTCCGACGCCGCGAGCTTGGCGGCGATGGTGGACATGGTCAGGGGGCTCTGTTGCGGGGGAGGGTTGGCGTTGCGTGGCAGCGAGGGCTTCGTTGCAATGCGCTTTGGTGTGCTGCGGGCATCAGACTTCGCTGCTGCCGCGGCGCGCTTGGCGCTGGACGGTTTCTCGGCTTGCATCTCCTGCTTCGGCGCCTCTTGCTTAGATTTTTCCATGCTCAGCGGCGCTGCTTTGGGCTCTTGCGACGCCTCAGCCTCCTTCTCCTGCGGCTTCGGCAGCAGCGCGTCATCCAGAGATGACCGTGATGAGGACCTCAGTCCAGCAGACGGCTTTTGTGCGGTATTCGACGCGACGCGCATCTGCGCCGTCAAGCCCTTTGGCCGGACGGGCAAAGATCGCATCGACCTGGCCTCGGCCTCGAGCTCCTTCGTCTTCTCTTCGGCAATGGTGCTAAAGTCCCCTGGCCTGGAGCGAACACGGCCCTCTTGGGCGGATCCCCTATTTCCAGCCGAGGCAGAGTTCTTCAGGGGACTCAGTCGTGGTGGCTCTGGCATGGGCGGAGAATCCGGCGAGGCCGGGCGGTCGTACGACGGCGCGTCGGCGTTGTCGTCGTCGTCCGCAGCAACGCCGTAGTCTGCGGGCGCGTCGTCGTCTTCATACTCGATGTCGCCACTCTCTTCGTTGGCATCGAAGCTGGGCTCGGGAACCAGATCCAAGTCTTCGTTGCTTGGCGGACAGGGAGAGCGCAGCGACGCAGCGAACTCCTCATCCTCCTCGGCGACTGCCTCGAGGCCCAGTTCAAACGCCTGCTTCGTCTCGTCCACATCATGGACGCGGACCGGGCTCAGGCGCAGACTCATCTGCAGCTCCTCGTCGCACAACGGCTTGCCGCTCGCCGCCATCTTCCTCCTCCAACTGTCGATCAGATGGACGGCTTCCTTCCACCGCGTCTCCATTTTGACCCAGCCAGACTTGAGGCGGGCAATCTCTTCCTCTCGCACCACGACTTCCTCAATCGGGACAAACGAAGGATTCGTCAAGATGTTGCGCATGTGCTCCACCACAGAGTCCAGCTCCGCATCCAGCTCCTCGCAGTTTGACCGCCTGATGACTTGCGCATCACGCCTTTCGTCGTCACCTTGGTATCCGCTCATTTCGCGTAGCTGCTTCATTGCTCGTTGCATCATGTTTAGGATCGTCTCGTTCTCCTCGCTCAGGTTTTGCGCCAGGTTCGCCAGGAACGCGTTCGTCTCGCTTCGTAAATCGTAATCGTCGGCCGCCACGCTGCTCGATCCCGCCGCGGAGCCCTTCTCCCGCCCGACGTCGCCCGTGACGGTGATGGTCGTTATCGCCGGGTTGGCTCTCGTGCCTCGCGATCGGCCGGCCTCGGTGAGCTGCTTCTTGAGGGTGTCGATTTGACGATCGCGCCGCCGTACCTCTGTCGCGCAAGCGGTCCTCGTTTGGGCCACCAGAGACTTTGTACGTGAGATCTCCTCCTTCAGCCCGCGCACGTTGGACTCCGCCGACTTGAGCTGCGTCTTCATCGCTGCCTCGGACGCGGCCGCGATATCCGCCTTGCGCTTCTCCTCGGCGTTCTTCTCAGTGAGCCGTGTGATGTCGGCCGTGTGCTTGAGGTTCTCGGCGCGCAGGTTGCGCATCGCAGTCGAGAGCGATTCACGATGCTCGGCATCGCGCTGAACTTTGCGTCAACTCTTGTCCCCGACCAGGACAGCGGGCCATCTTACGTCGCGCCTGAGAATCAGGTCGTTGACTATGCTTATTATGCGGGCGCGCGTCGCCGCGGACTCCTCGCCGCCATTCCCTACATTCGCAAAGTCGACGGTCTGCCCGTCGCGCAGCAGCCCTCGCGAGAGCAGCTGGTTGTTGATGTACAGCGACGCTGTGCGGAGGTTCTCGGTGTCGACCATGGTGGCGCGCGGGGTCGCAGCCAAACGGGCAAAATGAGGTCCGGGATGGCGCGTGCTCGACCCTGAAGCCAAACAGTCAGGTGTTGAAGGAGCTTGTCGCCTGGTGTCGTGGGGTTTCGGAATGCGAATGTTCGTTATGGGCTTGCTTCATTGGTTGCTATGGGGCGAAAGTAAACAATGCATGTAAATTGATGACTAAGCGCCCGCGCATGGTAATTCATCCACCCCATGAACATTGAACCCAAGACTCTCACATCGAAACCCCTTCCGCATACGAACAGTATTCATGGGGTATTCATGGCATCAGATCACTATCGTGAGCCCGACGCGAGTCTCACTGCAAGTGAGGCCGGGAATCCTCAGTCATGATGCACGGCTACTCCAGGGACAGGATCCCGACCCCCGAACACTGGCGTTACCGTTCAGCGCCACCAAACGATGCAAGCGTCAAGATGCTCAGCAAACGGAGGGAATTGAACACCCTGTCCTACGGATCACAATCATGAGAAGAATGGCGTTCTCTCACCGGCCCTTGCTGACCCCAACGGCCCGCAGCGGTTAGCAAACAGGCAGAAAGCAGCCATCGCATGCCGGCGTCCCGACACGGCTGCCTGTTACACGGAACCCGGAATCCAGAAGAATCCCGCGACAGCGCCGTGCTCATATGCCACGCTCACAGTATAGGCCCTCCAGGCCCCCATGCCAGGCCATGCCGATGGCGTGCCGTGCCGTGTCAAGCCGTGCTGCGCTGCGGAACGGGCAGCAGCCGGATGGACGGGCAGCAGCAGCAGCATGCGCTTCTCGAACCATGTTCGGCCCCCGCGTCGGCGGCGCAGAGGCACGCACGAACTGGATGCACGGGTCGCGGCATGATCCTGCCAACGGAAGCCGATCATCAAGCTGCCGCCCAGTTGGCAGTTGAGGGGGCCAGAGGCATGACGCTCAGCCACCATGTGCTGTGCGTCGCGGACGCCAAGTCGCATTGGCCTCTTGGAGGATACTCGACGCATTGCGCGTTGCACCGCCGTCGTCTCGAGCGCGCCGGGGGGCTCGTTGGCTAGGATGGCGCATGACGCATGCCGTTGAGCGGCGGAAGGTCACGTCAACGTAGGAACCGTGCCCGGGCTCTCGCTCCGGGCCCTGCTTCGGCTGTGGCACACTGGTGGCTCGGACAAGCTCGCTCACCTCTGCCGTCATATCTAGGATGGCACTGGGGGCAGCCTTGTGGCGTCGCGATGGTCGCGGCAGGCCACGTGCAGCGCGCCTTCGAGCCCCGAGTGTGTAAAATGTATAGTCCGCGCACGGAGGCTCTCGTATAGAAACTTCTCATTCATGCATGCCATGCCATTACATGTGCATACTTGGGCTGTAGCACTGCATGTATGTGCCGGCTCGGAGATGGGCAGAAAGCCGCTCGTGAGCTCTTGGGTCGCCTCGGAGCAGTTCCCAGGCTGGGCCCCGCGTCCGCCTGACCCTGCGGCTTCTGTTACCTCCTGGAGATCCAATACTCGCTCGCATTGAGCTCGTTGTCATCTCTTACCAATACCAGGTCAAAACAAGGTTTGGCCCGCCGCCCGGTGTCGCAGGACCGCTGATCCGTCGCGGCTCGGAGCTGTACCACGCTGACACAACCAAAATCCCTGAACGCACATGGGCTCCTACTTCGTACTGGCTACAAGCCTCACCTTTGAAAGACGGACCGACGCTGGTAAACAGGCAATGTATGACAACGTGTGTATGGACAATCCTCCCGACTCCCAGGCACTCCGTGCATGGCAATTTGGGGGCGCTGCGCTGGTTCCAACGCTTGTCTATCTTTACGACATGTCACGGCGTCGGTGTTGGTCATAGGGCGCCCAAGCCATGCGACTCAAGCGCGCATGACCAATTCATATGGAGGTTTGACGATGAGGCCGCCACGTTAGACAGAAAGTACTGCGAGCGCCCAATCGTGTCCTCACGGCTGAACAGTCTCGCTGCCGAGGCTCTGCTGCGGGCAGTGCGTCGGAGAAGAAAGAGCTTAAACGGCAGATATCCAACGACGTCGCCATCAGCATCGGTAGATACGCTTTGTCCCGGTGACTGCCCTGCTGTGACAACTCGTCTAACCAGCAAAGCTTAAGGCACCAGGGGTATTGAACATCACCTGGTAGAGGTGCCTGGCGCTGGGAAGCTTAGCTGCGGCTCGTATAGCCCCTCCAAGAGCATTTCACCTGCGGGCGCCAATGGCCACCGATGTCAAGGTTTGAAGCCGCCGGCCGGGTGGCATCACCGCCGGTGTGGTGCGAGCAAGGTTCGATGGCTGGCGTTTGCAAGTCCGCACTAAAGGCGGCGGCCGCCATGGTCCCGTCGTGCGCGTGAGTCTAATCACGCAATGATCAAGTGGCGGGCCGGGAACGAAAAGACCGGCGCGACGGTGTCGAGATGAGATTCGCGCCCGGCCGCAAACAAAGCAAAGCATGCGGGTACCGCAGATGCCAAGATGTCTCCCTTCGACAGCAGCACGAACTTTGCTTTTCTGACAATGGCGCGTGGCTGACTTGGACGGTCTTACTCCATAAAGGAGGCACAGATGAGGTTAAACGTCGATGGCCTCCTGCAACCGCTTGCTTTGCTGGCCTGCTTCCGGGGGTCTGAGCAGCTGAACCGGGCCACGGGCTGCAGCGCAATCTGGATCAAGCGCCAACAAAGTGTCTCGGAGTACGTAGTCAGTAGTATTACCAGCGCTGATGCCTTCGTAGCCTGTGTGTAAGACTCAGCTTCGGGGCGAGACTGCTGGAGATATTTGCCCAGCGATGGGGACGGCGCCCACGTCAGACGGCCCCAGCTCTGCGACAAAAACAGTGTTCGCCGTGGAGGATTACCGACACCCCTTTTGCTCAGCTTCTGAAGCCGCAAGAGAGACACCCGCTGATTGGTCTCGACTGGTGTGTGTCCGTGCGATGCCATGGGCAGAGACACTTGGAAGCACGCGCCACGAGGTTGCCATCCCCGCCTCTCGGACCTGGGAGACACGTCTGTCGAATTGGTGGGGCCCGTGTGTCGCTGCTAGTATGAAGAATGGCCTGGCAGCTCTGCCAGGCGCAATGACATCGTCACCCAGTACGTAGGGATGGTGTCGCGGGTACTTGGTCGAAGCCGAGCGTCATCCCTTGCACTCGAGGCTGACAGCCCCCACGATGCTACCCCAGCATCGCCCGAAGTCGCAGGGAGGGATCGGGGCGACCTGCGAAGGAAGCGAATGCACCTGCACAGTTCATGGGCGAGGTCCTGCGTGCGATGCATCAGTCCACCAAGGCGACAGTCCGGACAGGAGAAAGGGCTGCGCCGACGAAGCTTGGTGTCATCGCCATTGACGTGACCCAATCAGGGACAGGATGCCAATCATCTGCAAGGCCCTGTGACAAGCGGCTCGCCGATTCGAAACGCGCCGGGAGATGGGCTGCGGCGCAGGTTTCGACTGTGCAGCAGTAAGCAAGACGCAGCACCCGGCGACTCTTTCCGGGGCGCGGCGCGCACACTTGGGGGCTTCATGCCCATGCCCAGTCGCACGACACGGGGGGCCGGAGAGCAAGCAAACACACAGGCAAATGCGATGCAGCCATGGGCGTCGCTCTCGGCCTCCCACAGCAAGGATGCCCGGGTCCGACCATGCACGAGGCCTCGTACCAGGTAGCTAGGTGCCGGGCGGCAATGGCGGCGGGGTGGGCTTCGCGCTGCTTCGGCTGAGGCTGCAGACGCAGGGAAGATTCCCCAGACGCGCTTCAGAAGGTTCCGAGGCGCTGGGGAGGGGGGTGGCCAAGGGGTTAGTAGTCCATAGCGTCTGTTGCCGACCGGGGTTTCCGTGGGTGACAGGCGGGCGGACGAGATCAGCGTCCGGGTGGCTGTTGCCATCGTTCGATGAACTGCTCCATCCACAGCCAAATTGGCGATGCACGAGCACGGACGAAGGGCCAACGCCCCGGGACGGTCGCTTGCGCTCGTCGAGGTCGCACAGCATGGGGTTGACGAGCGTTGTGGAGAAGACGGACAGACGGACAGACAGACAGACAGGCAGGCAGACGAGGATCCGCCTTGCGCACGGCCTGCAGGAGAAGAAATTAGGAGCCACGCATCGACGGGTGGACGTCTAAGAATGTATGGAGAAGCATGCAAGAAGGAACAGGAGGCGGGCCATCGTACATACGATGCAGTGTCCCGGGCCGTGAATCGGCAAACACCGAGCCCTCTGGCACGGCATCGTGACCCCGAACACACCGCAGGCGAGCCCGGGCGTTGCTGAACCGCAATCTGCTGGACGATGGGGCGCATGGAATTATGGCTCCTTGGGCTCATGGCAAACCAAGAAATGACTCGGGATCCTGGTCGGCGGGCTCGCTCGTGTGCAGAAAGTTGCATGCACGTTTCTCGCATGCGGTGCCACGCTGTCTAGTCCTGGCCTGTCCGACCCTGCCCCGGTCTGTCCTGTCCTGTTCTGTCGTGTCGTGTCGTGTCCTGGCTCTCGTTGCATCTCGGCAGATGCTGGGCATGGCGGACGCGACGATGGTGCAGGCGCCACCGATGGGGGCGGGGAGATGACGGCCGAGACGAGACGCGGGCTGAGAGGACGCGGCGATGCAGCTCGTGTGTGTCTCGTGTGTGCGTGTGCGTGTCTGTTTGCGAGAATCGACAGACGATAGAATGTAGGCGATACAAACTTCGACAAAGAGCGTCCATTCAGACGGGGACAGACGAGCGGCTGGAAGGCGCGAGCCAGCGCGCGTCGCAGTCGGTCGCCGTGGTGGTTGTGGACCAGCCAACCACTAGCAAAGGTCACGGACACGGTGCCGCCAACGAGCGCCAGCAGAATATCGATAGCCACCGCCCGCCGCGCCACCAACAGTGCGAGTGAGCGCTCAAACGGGGAACCGGGGGCCCCAAGAGCCCATTGATCAGCGACGTCCGGCCCCCTGTCCCAACCCAAGAGGCGGGCACGGGCCCCACCAAGACAGGGGGTAGCGCAATTTGAGGCTGCACTAACTGAGACCCACCAGCCACTACGACCCCTGTACCTACCCTTTCAGGGCCCCAGGGCGCCCCTCCAGAAGGCTCAAGGGTTCACCCAGGGGGGGCCGTCGAGCGGGCAGACACACACACACACCTTTCAGCGCAGCGCTCACACTGGAGCGGCCGGCCGCCGGCGCCGGGCTCCATCGCCATCTGCTCCGGAGCCACTGGCGATGCGCCTTCAGCTTTCCTCTGGTGGATGGCTGGATGGCTGGCTGGATGGGCGGATGGATGCGTGGTGCCGGCGCCAGGTGCTCGTGCACCCCTGACCATCCATCTGAGTCGGGACTCGCGCCAACTGGCCCCAGCGGAGCCCGCGCCCACCCAGGGCAGCAGATCCCCTATGAGCACTCGCAGGTCGCCCGTACTGCGTCGTACCTCCGTGCAGGAAACCCCCGATCCCAGTCTCCATTCACCGACAGGCGACGATACTGTACCTGCCTCGCACCTCCTGTCCAGAGGACAATCGGTACCGGTCTGTCACGACCGCCGTCCTTCCTTCACTCCCACTCCCTCTGCCTCCCGCAAACCACCACAGACATTCGCAGCCACTGCCATCGCGACTTGGTCCCTTCCTTCTGCCATTCTCGCCGGGTCGACATGAGACGGCACTCGGCTATGCCGCTCTGAAAGTCCTCGAGGTACGTACGTGCGACGAAACGGCACTTTCTTTTTGCGACTCCCCGTGAGTCTTCGGCGCGCCCGCCCATCCATCCCTTTCTCGCTTCATGCGCCCACGGCAGAACCGCCGCCGTGCCTCGGTGCCGCAACACGCATTGTGCTGCCAGATTGCTCCCCTGCCACCTCGGGAACCGGGCCATTGACATCGTGTCCTCCTCCTTCCTGCCTATTCTTGTCCCGCGCCCGTCGCCTCGCGCACATCTCCAGGTCGCACTGAGCGGCAGGCGGCATCCGTAGCCACGTTGCTCATCCCGCTCTGCGCCTCTTGTGCTATCGCGAAGCATGCCCTTACGCTTCACAGCCTTTCCCGTCGTTGCCCTGTCGTCTCTTGCACCGGTTCGAAAGCCAGGGAGCCGCCACTAACTCGCAACCGCAGTGCATCCTCAACCCAGCGGCTGCATTCTCGCTGAGGCTTTGGCCACTGCACCGCGGACCCTCCAACCCTACAAGCGCAGGCGTCTCAACCACGACGCCATTCTTGCCCTGCCGAAGCGTCGTACATAGCCGGCCAAACTTCGACGAGAACCCCGCGCAAGCCCGAGGTCTTCTGCCATGGCCATGATCAGCCCGACCACCGACGCCGCCGCGTCTCGGCCAACCTCGACCGTTGCCTCCCCACGCCACGTCAGGTCAAGAACCCAGAGCATATCCAGCGACCGTCCGTCCACGGTTGGCCTCAGCCTGGGCCTGACGGCGCCGCCTGTCTTCGTGTCGCCAGAGCCCGCCTTCATCGCCGGGTCGGCCGCGTCGCAAATAGTGACCAACGACCACGATAGCCACGCCGATTCTTGGTATGATCAGAATGGCGTAGAGCCGCCCAGCGAGACCGCCTTGGTCACGCCCGCTGCGCTGCAGCTCGTCAACGGATTTCTCGACCAGCTCCTCTTCAACTTTTTGCAGGTTTCTAAGTCGACGAACCTCTCTGCGCTTCGACCGGCTGTCTCCGAGATATTGAAGCCAAAGCTGGCAAAGGACACCATCACCAATGCGGACGAGGAGCTTCGCGAGTATCTGGGTGGCTCGGATGAGGAGGATTTCACGGCGCCCGCCAATCCTCGAAACTGGGATGTGGAGCTCGTATGGAAGCGCACGAGACTGCGATGCATGGTTTACTCCTCATTAGGAGACATGGAGGAAGAGGACGAAGACATATACATGGAGCAGGAGAACCTCGAGATCGGAGACCACGAACCAACCTCCGACGTCGTTTCTCCCGCAGTCGCCATCTTCCTGACCTCTGTGCTCGAGTACATGGGTGAGCTTACCCTGACCGTCGCTGGCCAGGCTGCATATCAACGCGTCCGAGCAAACATCGTCAAGGGTATAAAGAACGGCACCCGCGATGCTTCTGATGCTGGTGATCGCATTGTCGTCGGCGAGATGGATATGGAGCGCGTAGCTCTCGACCGGACATTGGGTCGCTTGTGGCGCGGATGGAAGAAGCGTGTGCGCGCCCCCGGCCATGAGACGACGGTGCGGCCCGCTTCAAGAGGTTCAAACAGCCATTCGAAGCAGGATTTTGGCTCTCCCGAGCGCCTTACGCCCCGATCTGCCATGAGCGACGTTGCTGGGGACGCGCGCAGACCTCAAGATCGCCCGGACGATACAATTGAGGAGGACGTGCTGCCTGCAGACATTCCCCTCCCAATGGGCGACAACGACATTGACGAGATTGAAGTCCCGGGCCTGGCCCCCAACAGTGACGATGAGGACGATGATGTTAGGCCCGAAGAGAAACCCATCCGTCGTCGCCCCAAGAGTCTCTCGATCACGCCTTTCATAATCGCCAACGGCTTGCCAACACCGACGACGTCGCAGCCGCACACCCCTGTCGTCGCCGCCGCTCGAAAACGGTCGTCATCGTTGCCAACGCCCGTGGCAGCAACGTTCCGTGTCGCCAGACGAGCCAGGAAAACTTCGACAGTCGTGAAGACGCCTGAAGCTGAGGACAAGGAGGAGACGGATGAGGAGGCACGCATTGGTGGCAAGAAGGCACCACTTCCAGGCGACAGTGATTCCGATAGGCGAACCAATGTGTTGCCCAAGACTCGTGCCGGTAAAACTTCAACGGGGCAGAAGTCTTCAGTTCCAGGCCGATCCGCTGCTGTGGAAACTCGAGGCTCCGAGTCTTCCGACTACGAGGATGCGGAGGAGGTGGCCTTTGAGAAGGCGGAAATCATGACGTCGTCAAGGGTCTCCATCACCGGCAGTTCGAGCTCCTTGGTATCAGAGTCTGGCAAGGTCTCGCCCATCAATCGGCCTTCTAGCGTCCATTCGGCCCGCATCGTCGATGTGCCTGGTCCTCGGAGCCCCTCGCATTCGCGGGCAACATCGCTTGACATGACTGAGCGCAACAGAGCAGTCAGCTTGTCCAGCGTGGCCAGTCGAACGAGGCCTCCTTCATCTCTGGATGAGCGGAAGCCTAAAGACGACGAGCAACCGCCAACACATTCGACACATGTATCGCGGCCGTCCGTCGAGAGGAAGAAGTCGCCGAGACAAGCCGGACCCGCTATATTCGAATCCGATGAGGGCTCTGGTCGCCCACAAGCTTCCGCCAAGCAGTCCGCCTCCCCCGAGACTATTGGCCGTGCCATTTCTCCGCCTGGTCCTGTTGCATCTGATGCTCTCGGCTCTCAGGTGAAGAGGGAACATGTGACCCCAAGCACCTTTGGGAAGAAGCCAACCTCGTTCGCAACTAATCGAGATCACCCGCCCGCTGGCCTGAAGGTGTCCACTTCAAGGAGCGTTAGCTCTGGGCCATTTATCGATGAGACCATCCCGGAGATCCCGCAAAAGTCACCAGTTCACTCTGGCTGGCAGAGCCCCAAGGCCGACAGCCGTGGCATGCACTCGATTGAGCGCTTCAGAACGAAGGAGACGGACGACGACATTTCATTACCGATGCAGAGCAACGTCGCTCCTCGGCAGATTCACACGTCGGCGTCGTCGGTCTCATCGGGCACCTCCAGATTGAAGCCCGTGCGGACGTCGGAGGATAGCTCCAGTCGTGCCGAAAGTGTGGCGCGCAACTTTGAACAGCTTATTCAGAGCAACCAAACGATAACATATACTCTCACACCGGAGAACATGCGCGACATTGACGTGGGTCCCCCACTGACAACATAAAACTCATATTTAAATGCTGACCTCTCCCAGTCTAAGCGATCAATCGACAGCCCGGTTGTGACCAAATTCTCAAAAAGAAGCGAGGACATTCGCGGCCAGAGCTCGCCGCGAACGCCCACGATTCCGGACGGGCCAAGGTCGCCATTGACTCAGCAGCCAAAGACCCCCACCAGCCCCAGAGCCGTTGAGAGCAAAGGAGGCAGGGGCCCAGGTCCTGTGTCTCGCTCATCTCCAGGACTGGCCGGTTCGACGGTTCGAGTTGGAAGCCCCAAAGCTCGAGAGGCCCGTGTTCCTCGGGAGTCGACGTCAGACTTCGCCGAGTTCATCAAGTCCACGGGCCCGGCTGGGGACAGAGCCCCAGTTCGCAAGCCAAGCGTGCCCACGCCGACGAGCCCTGTGGTCAACAGCATGCCGGCTCGCCGGGTCTCGACAGCGAGCACCCGCGCCCGGTACCAGCCTCGCGAGGCGGCGGTGGACACCAGGAACGATAACTCGGATCTGATTGACTTCATACGCCAAGGCCCTCCAATTGCCACCAGCGGCCACCGCATCCCTCGCCATGTCGCCCCGTTCCGCTCTACCATGGACTCGGACCAGATGTCGGGTGCTATCGGAGGTAAAGCGGTGGACGCGACCATCCCCGAGATCCGGTACAGCCAGGCATCCACCAACGTCACCGACAACTCCATGCCATCTATGCAGTCATCCGTCAACTCTAGCTCCGCGCTTCTTAAAAACAAGGCTGTGCCTGCTCCGACTTCGGGATTCGACGACCAAGGCATGATACCTCAGCGTAAACAGAGACGCGTACGCGATCCGTATAGCATTGATTTCAGCGATGACGACGAGGAGGACATCTTCACGCCCAAGCCGCCTGTTAAGAAGGAGGAGAGCTTGGCAGAATTCCTACGCAATTACGACCCGCCTCCGGAGCCTCCCAGCTCACCCCCTCGGCTGCCTAAGAAGAAGGCCAGCGCGCCGAGTCTCATTGGCAGGTTTACCCGCGGCAACAAAGACAAGGATGCAGGGCCCGTCATACCCAGCATCAAGCCGGAGTCGCGGTCTCTCCACAGCCGTTCCAGCAGCAGCAAGGGCGGTCACATCCCTCTCCAGGTGAACATGCCTTCCGGATACGACAAGTACGGCGCAGCCGATGGTCTCGCAGGCCGGCCGCGCATGATGTCCACAGCTTCTGCCGGCCGTGTGCCGAAGAAGAGGTTCGAGCCCCGCGAGGCGGTCTCGACGCGCCAGACCGAAACCTCGGAGCTGGCGGCGTTCCTGCGCGACTCTGCCCCGCCAGACACCGGCTTGGATACCCGGCTCGCGCGAGCGCCGTCCCACCGGGAAGAAAGCACCGGGTTCGCCAAGATGTTCGGGCGAAAGAAGAAGATTGGTGTGAACTAAATCGCCGGCAAGCAACACTGCAAGCATTTTCCAGCGAGACCGTCGGAACACGCCCGTAACGACCATTCCTTACTACAACGCCCACGAATTTACCTCTCTTCTCGTCAAATACTTCACTTTAGTCACGACTTCTCTCAACACTCTTCTTCTCTCGGCCAACCGTACCAGCGGTCTCACAGATTGTTGCGCGTATTCCCCGCTTCTGCTTCGGCCATTTGCGCTTTTTCTTTCTGAATACCCACGCCACCGCCTCGTTATCCATATGTAGCCTGATCTCGTTTCTTCTTTTTTCTCTTTCTCACGATTGGGCGCCGTGCTCGCGCTGGTGGCCTGGGGTTGGATTTGAGCAGACGCTAGGCCATTCTTTGCTCCTTTTTGTGCGATGTGTTGGCGGCCTGCTTTGTTGGGCCTTTTGGGGGCAAGTCTGGAGCGTCAGGGGCGAGGATGACGAAGGGGGATCCAGGGCGGGGCAAAAGGGGAGGCTGCTCTGCTTTGGTGCTTGTCTGGACCAAGTTTGTGGTCCCGCAGGGCTTCCCCGAATATACTCGACACATGGATCCTTTTTAGAAATCGTGCACTGCTCTGATCGTGACTTGCTCGCGTGAATGCCCTGCGATTGGCGTGGTGGAGATGCCGGTGGGTTTCGTATTCACAGCATCTCTCCTTTGTAAATGATACGAAGCTGTCATCGTCGGATCGAAGCACAGATGGACACTGGCACGGGACGTTGCGATGATGATTTGATTTGATGATTTCAACAATGTCATTGCAAAAGCGCGTATACTCGTCGTCATTGTACCCAGACCAGCCCGGCAGCATAATAAACCGCTCCGCCCAAGGCAACCAACCAACCAGCCGGCAAATCCAGTGTGTGTGTGTGTGTGTGTGTGTGTGTGTGTGTGTGAGTTGACTCCGTGCCCCCCCGGAATCCCCGTATGCGCAAGCCCGCTTCTCCTTTCCCTCCCCTCCCTCCGCAGCCCATGCATCTCGCTCCCGTCCCCATCTCTGTCGCTCTATTCCGAGGAGCCAAACGATACATGGGTGGAGGAACACCACAGGAAAAAAACGGTACAGTACAGCCTGAAGAGAAGGCACAACAAAACCAGGAAAACGCAAAAGAGACAGGGAAAGGGAAAAAGAAACTAAAATATAGGATGGAAAAGGGAAGAATCAACCTATTGCCAAGAACCAAAGCACCTTGGACCGAATCGACAAGGAGAGTTCTGGAGCCGCGCGAAAGCTCCGCCGCCAGCCAAGCCCAGTGTAGAGAAACACACTTCCCAGAGCGCTGCAGATGAGAGCCATATCTGGGGGAGTTGGGCACGTCATTGCCGGCAGTGGATGAGTGATGCGCAAAGGGCAAGTGACTCGAAAGCGAACAAGAAAAACAAAAAAAAAAAAAAAAACGCCAGAGACGCTGTTCCCAGCCGCTCTCACCGACCAGAAAACGAGGGAGACCCAGCGCCATGCTAACCCAGCCAAACCAAAAGAAAATCCGAACAGGAAAAAGCACATACGTGAGGTAACAACACGGTGGCGAACAGTATCCAAGCACATGCCCGAGTATGGTGAATGACAGGTAGAGGGACATCGCCAGCGAGAGAGCCACTAAGCGCGGCTTCGTGGCCTGTCAGTTGGTTCGTCTGGGGTTCGAGAGTCGTGCACGTTTGTTGAGAAACTGACCGAGCCACGGACCGCCAGAGGTGGTGTCGATGTAGTCGGAGCATCTGTCAACTCCGATAAAAGGCGTCGCGGACGATACGGCAGGGTCGTGGAGCGAGACGCCTAGATCTCCATTTGGCCTGCGATGTCTTCGCTCATCAGTCTGTCGTGACCCTTGTCGAGCATGTGGACGTCGTCGTCGTCAAAGTCTTCGTCATCCTCGTCCATGTCTTCCAGGTAGTCGTCGTCCGAAAAGGCCACGAGGTCGCCGTCTTCGCCTCGGTTCCAGAACAAGCCATCGTCGTGTTGCTCCTCGTCATCCTCAAACGGCGGTACCAGCTCGACATCCCTGTCGCCAAGCCAATACTTGGCGCGCTTCGTGGCGCCGTCCGAGTCGACGTCGGTCGTCCGCTTGTGATGGCCCAGCTTCATCGGCCGCAGGGTGGGACTCGTCGACGAGATGACGGGCACGACGCGGACGTAGAGATATGCCACCCGCTTCAGCGCGCGGTTGAAGAAGAAGTAGTGCACGGCCCAGATGGCGCTTTCGTCCTCCTCGAACGGGTCAGGATCGGGATGGTAGCTGAAGATGGTGCACTCGTTGAGGCGCATCTCCTTGTCGATGAGGGACCAGCATTGCGGGCCCCACACTGATGTCAAGTCGCTCCCCAGTGAGGAGTCATACGAGGATCCCGCCTCGAAGCCGGGGCGCACGTTTTGCAGAATCGAATCGAGGTTGATCATGACTCGCCGCAGGTTTCGCTCGCGCTTGAAGTCGCCGGGCCGCAGGACGTGAGAGAAGTCGTAGTGTGGATGGCTCGCGTTCAGCGTCGCAATCAGGTACGCAAAGGTGCGACGACTTGACAATTCTGACAGAGGACCAAACGCGCTCGATGTCGAGAACATTTGCATGCCGGGTGACGTCGCTAGCATGTGCTCGCGGTCAGGGGGCGACAGGCTGGCGCCCAGCTTCAACAGTGCGGCATGCTGGGAGCTGAGATCCTTGTCGATATTCTTGTAGAGCTTCTTATCGGAGCCCGTCGACTTGGTCGTGTACAGATCGCAGCCGCCGGTAACGTTGCAATCGGGCGTGTTGAAGTTGAGCGCGCTCGTGACGGCTTCGAAGTCGTGCACCGGGAGGTACTGTTCGGTGAGGGCATCGTGTCAGCGTCAGGCCGGGCTTGGCGCTGTCGACAGCACACGGTCGCGCCGATGACGGACGCGGGGGATTGGGCCTGGCATACCTTCATCTTGCTGGTTGCGACGCGTGAGTGCGCCGGGAAGCCGCTGGATGAAAGGGACGGGAGTGTGTCGGCGAAATCACGCCGAGTTGGTAGATCGGCCTTTGGCGAACGCGCTGCGTTGTCGCTACGATGAGGAAGTCGCCGTGAAATGGAAGCGACTTGGTGCGGATGAATGACGCGGAGACGGCGGGTACGCGCAAGCGTCGCGACAGCGCGCAGCGAGCGAAATCAGGGTCCTGAAGTGCGTTGGACGACGCCAAAGCAATCCCCAAGTTGGTTCTTGGTCCTTGACAGGCGACCAGGGCGTGTCGTGTCTCGTGGTGTGTGCTCTCGGAGATCGGGCGGCGCGTAGGCGGTGGTGAGTCGCTGGGCGAGTGCGACGACTCGGGATGCGATCGGAGACCCTGTAGTCAATCCAGGTGATGGTGAACAAACGGCTAGACAAGAATGTCTAGCAGCGAGGGTCGGCAGACATTGCTGTGCTGTGCGTGAGGGCTGGGCGGGAGGTTGAGGTGGTGATGGTGACAGTGGGACGAGCGAACACCTGGGGAGGGAGTGGGGGAAGGCGGCATGCGCAAGACGATGGGCTCGGACTGGACGTGACGAGCGGCCAGGCGGTGCGAAGACGGATCCGTTAGAGTTGCAACACCCGACCTCAGCTGGAGGGGGGGGCCAGTGCCGTCACTACCAGGAGGAGACGCAGCGAACCGCCGACGACTGATAGCGCGGCGCGACCAGGGTGGGGAGGCCGAGCACCTCATCCGGCTTCCTCCCCCCTCCCCCGTTTCCCCCCATCCCTCCATCCCTCGAGCCTGGTCGGTGGGCCGCCGCCACCCAGCGCGGCCACCAACGGCGACACACGGGGGTCGCGCAGTGCGCCGCCGCCGCCGTGGCCTCAGCGCCGCCCGCAACGTCAGCTTCGCTCACACGAGCCGCCCGTGTGTGCCGGATTGGCCCGGCCCCCGTGGGCGAATGGGGACTCGGTGCGCTGCCACGAGCCGGCTCCGTCGCGTCTCGCCATCGCCTGTGGTTCCGACGCATAGCAGACTGCGATTGTTTCGTCGCCAGAGCCATTCGTTTCGTCACGCCGATCGGTCTGCAGGCCATCAGCATTTTTCGCATTGCGCAGGTGGCTAAATTCGCTTCGCACTGCCATGTCAGTAGACCGCCGTCGAGGCAGTGCGGCAGCCGTGACGCGCGGGGAATGGTGACGGGACCGCTCCCCGATGGGGGCCAATGCTTCCGAGCGGAAAAAAGGACGCCATGTCTGGCTTGTCTCTTGATATGAAAGAGGATGGTGTTCCATCCTCAAAGATCTATGTAGTGACACAAAGCCAACCGGTGCTGCCTCGCCAAAAGACTGTCCGCCTAGCGCCGTTATCCTTTGTGTTCCTCTCTTCCCATCGAAGAGATGCTCAGTTGCCTGAGGCTTTGTTCGCTCAGATGAATCCAGACTCTTCAAGGACTCGTGTGAACTCGTCGTGCGCCTGTCAAAGCGTTTTGTCAATGCCAAACTTCCATGCCGGTGGGTGCGTGCCCCGTCGGCGATGCTGGTTCCCCCCTGGCGACAACAAGGTAAGGGTTTGGGCAGGATGCGGTGTTTCGTCTATCGCGGGCAAACAGAAGCCTTCGGCTCCAGAGCGTGGTCATACCACAGCAGTAGAGGCGACGGCGCTTCGTCTACATCAACTTGGTGACCTCGTCCTCGACCTTCACAAACAGTATCCAGCGTCAGCCACGACGCGCACAATCGCAAGCGGAAACGCAACAAACTTGAGGCCCTCGCCAGGGGGCGCCATGCCAGGGGTCCGCATGGAAGGGCGAGACGACATAAGAAAAGGGACTCACCTCCATATCTTCTAGGGAGTCCTGCTGCCCTATGCATCGTAGTACGTTCTTCTTGCTGCTCTCCTGCAGTTCGCCTGCCAGGAGAAGCTCGTCGAGGATGTAGTATGCTTTGGTAAAGGAGAAGATGATGTCCAGCTCGCACACGTTTCCGTAGTACTTGTCCATCTGTTCGACGTATCGGTGAATGATTTCGAGCGTGATGAGCTCGTTGTCGTCGGACGAGCAGCCAGCGATGAAGAAGAGCGAGGCATATCGGCGGTAAACAATCTTGGTATCTGCAGCCCGCATCACCCTCATCAGCAACCGATCTTCCCACCCGTCTGACGCGTCTTCCGGGCGGCGACTGACCTTTATACTCGAGGAAATTGCACATGCGGGTGCGGCGTGCGAGAACCAGCTGCGACACGTCCTTGACAATCTTGGCCTTGTCCTTGGGGGATAGGGTCGTGAACCATTTCGCCAGGCGCTGCATCAAATTCTCGTCAGTTTCGGGAGTCGTCGATGGCCGCGGGAGCTCCAAGGCAACAAACCACTTTGCCCTGGCGGGACAACAGAATCAGGTATCTGGACAGCTGTCAGCAGCACGTCAAGGGGGGACATGCCCATGAGAGAGGGGTCGTCATACTGGATCGCCATGGCGACGACGGCATCACATCACCGAGCCGGGCTTGGGATGCAGATGCGTGGCAGCGGGAGCGAAGGCAGGAAGCAAAGGAAAGCCTGAGCGGGAGGGGCAAGTCGATGCGCGAGAATGTTCGTCGGTCGGAGGCCAGGGTAAAATTGGCTGGTTGGTGACGAGCCCACACGTCCAGGCCAGGTGGTGGTGTCCACCAGGGAGGGCAACCAAGGCACAGCACGGGCACGCGACGACTTGGAGCTGGAGGCGTCGGTCCCACCTCAGTTTTGGGGGGAGGGAGGGCCCAGCGAGGCCGGCGCCGGGTTCAGCGCAGTGCTGTCTGGGTCCTTTTGGTACAGGCGGTGGGAGGACGAACGCACCCCTTTGGTGGAGCCGTTTCTCCGAAGCTCGCCCGGGCAGCCAGCACAGCAGCAGCCAGCACAGCACCTGGGGACCCGACAGACGGACACTGCAGCGCGCCTAGGCTCCAGCAATGACTGCGCGCGCCGAGGCCGCCGAGGACAGCCCACCATCACCTCACGCTGGCCGCGACCCCGCACCCCGCCTGTAGGTAATTGCACCATCGCAGCCATGTCACAGCGCCTTTTCCAACCAACGACATCCGCCATGGAGGGGTGCCGTCGTGATGCAACGCGTCGGGTATCTGGCAGGACCGGGAGGCGACAACCGCCGCGCAGGGGCCCTATCTCTGTCGTCCAGAACCCGCAGTGGGCGGAGCATGGCCGCCGTGACCAAAAAGTGCAAGTCAATGACAACAGGTTGACTCGTTGAAAAGCGGCGGCCGTCCCGGATGTCGCCATAACCTGGGTCGCAAAACTAGCCCTCTTCCCGCAACGGTCGATATTGCCTGCCACTACGTCCCTCCTTCTGCTTCCCGCCCGCCGTTGTTCCTGGCGGCCTGTCGCCCTCCAGATCCAGCCTATCGCTCGGATCGTCGGCCTCGTCATCGCTCGTCGCCCGCTGCCCATCGGCATCTCGAAACGGCCCGTCGCTCCCAGCCAAGGCCCATGTCCTGCAAGTGCTGGTAATCTGCCCGCGTCCTCGGCGTTTGCAGCGTCGACATTACTAATACATCGGCCCGCTCCCTGTGCGAGAAGGCGCTGAAATAGACCTCTGACAGGCGCCCTACCCCAGTGCCGGGCGTCACTTTCCGGTCTGGTCTAGAAGTAGTGGACTCTGCGGGTTTCTAAGGTTGGCACTAAGTTAAGTCGGAGCCTCGCGCGCCCCCGGCTTTCTCGATTTGCCCGCGGCCGCCATCTCGATTCTAATTTGCACGAACTCGACTCTGCCCTCACCTTTGCTCGACAAGAAAAAAAACCAAGGGGTTTCCTCATCTGCATCTGCACGCGTGGCTCGGCTCGGCTCCAGCGGCGCCCGTCATGACGAAACTCATCCTATCTACGGGGTTCGTGTCATCCTTCCCTTGCGCTCGTCGCAGCAAAAAGAAAAAAAAACGCCGACCGGAGCCAACCGGTCGGTCCCTGCATTTGGCGATGTACGTCTTAGCTAACCTGCCTGGAATCCTTGCAGCAATGTCATGTCCGCCGGCCCGTCCATCATTCGCAAGTCCGGCAGCACAACCAGATCCAATCTCGAGCTCGTCAACTCGCTGCGCGAGCACTTCGTCGCCGCCCGCTACGACTACGCCGCCCAGGCAAACCACACCAATGGGCTGACCAACGGCTACGAAAACGGCAACGGCAACAGCTTCTCCAATGGCCACAGCAACGGCAACGGCCACAGTACCAGACGTTCAACCTCGCCGCCGCAGACGCCCGTCGACGTGTGGACCGAGCGAGACGGGAAGGCGCTGTACATCCCCCGCATCAATTGGCAGGCAGCCGGTCTGCGCGAGGAATCCAGCGAGTATGAAATCACAGTGAAGCTGTTTCTCCTTCCCGACACACCCGTCGCCAAGCGGGAACAATACGTGCGTGAAGCGCTCGCGCTCGTCAGCAAGGAACTCGGCGTCGAGACCATCGATTTGCTGGTCGTCTCCTTCCCGGGGATGTCTTTTGAAGGAAACTGCGAGTGGGAGGCCGACAAGATCAATGCTCAGCAGGGCAATCTTGAAGAGGAGCTGGCGACGTGGAAGTTCTTCGAGGAGCTGCACCGCCAGGGCGTCGCCAAGCGGCTGGGTGTCGCCGAATTCGGCAGCGAGAAGCTAGCCGCCTTCATCAAGCGGACCACCGTCGCCCCCGTTGTCGACCAGATCAACCTGCGCGACTGCTGCAGCGTTCCTCCGCCGCTGAAGAAGCTGGCCGAGGAGAAGGGTGTTGAGCTCAACGTGCACATTGACTGCACGGACATCCTGCCTCGCGGTACCCTGCGCGAACTCCTGAGTCACGGCCCTCAGGGTGCAGGAGTGCTGGCCGACGCAGCTGACAGCGGCCCGGGGCTGCAAGGCGAAATCGTCCCGGAGTGGGTGGTCCGGTACATGGCTTTTGTACGAGACCGGGGCGTCATCGAGAACAAGGGATACTTTGCCGGCGCCGAGCTGGTTCAGGCATAGATGGGCGATACGGCTTTTGTGATGGAGACGGTTGGATACCACGATCGGCGGCACTGGGGCAACTCGGCCCCATCTTGATTTGACGGCTTTTGGGTTTTTGGAATAGCGAGCATCATGACATGGCAGGCTTTCTACGTTGCAAGAGAAATATAGGCGACGGAGGGCTGTTGCAGTACGAGACGGTTTCTCTTTTTTTTTTCAATTCTCTTTCTGTTACCCAATCATACTCCGTTTTCGTCCTCTCATTCTCACATCCTCAAGTTTCTTGAGAACCACTGGAGCTTGCTTGAAAGATTTCCTATACTCTTCCAACACCTCCTTGAATATGCACTCGGCGCGCGGGTGTGTGCTGCCGAACGCACGCTCCAAGACGTACAAGTCAACTGCGCGGTCTTCGTCCTGAATGCTGCCGCTGGCGAGGCCGAGGTCGATGATGACAACCTCCCCATGCAGGACGTGACCTTGCGGCTGGTCATCCTTGAAGTCGATGCCGCTCCGCGACGGGGCCAGCATCATGTTGCTTGTCGTTAGGTCGCCATGGACAATGCCGATCTTGTGCATCTTGCCCACGGCGGCGCCTATTCGGCGCATGAGACTCTTGAACGGCTCATCGGCCTCGATGCCCTCGGTCCTGTTGCCCAGCCACTCGTTGATATTGGCCCGGACCGGCGTGCCGTGAATCCACTCGAGCATCAACCACCCAGCGGCCTCGTCAATGGCGTAGACGGTCGGCACACGGACGCCATCGCGGCGGCACTTGGCAAGGATCCGCGCCTCGGACAGGATGCGGTGCTTGGTCAGGCGCTGGTCGAGGGTCGGGTGCCGCCAGGGCTTGGGCGGGCGGTACTTGAGCGCGCAGGGCAGGTCGGGCTGGAGGTATGTCGTCTTGTAGAGGCGGCCCTCGGCGCCTTGGGTGATGAGGGCCGGCGGGGTCGAGGCGGGGTACTCGAGGATTGGAGGGAGCGGGAACTGGTGCGTCTCGGAGGCCTCGGCCGTGGCGGAGGAAGCCATGGCGTTTCACGCGCGGACGAAGGAGCGTCGCGCGGGATCTCGACGAGGGATGGTGAATCGAAGACACGCTCTCGCTTGCGTCGACTTTTGGCGGTGGACAGAGAAGACGCAGGTTACGTCGGTAGTCGGATCGGAGGGGCAAAGGTGGGGCCTCGAGGCCCTCGCCGAATTGACTTGACAAGCCACCCCGACTCGGGAGGGACTTGGAACTTTGGACGTTTGTTGGGGCCACTGGAGGCCACCGTGCGGCCTATGCCAGGCGTGGACCACCTGGAAGCGCCCGCCAACGAAACTCAAACAGCCACCACCGGACGGACGGCTTCGGCCCGCTCGCCTGATGTGCTCTCCATCCCCCCTCGCATACTGTACCTTGGGGTGCTTTTGCTTCGGAGCTGCACATGTAAATCGACACGACAACAGCCACCGATTCTCGGCGCGAAAGCCACCCTCGGCGCGCCGGCGAAGAGCACAACCTTTGCCTCCCGTCCCGTCGGGGCCGCCGGGTCTCTGGCCCGCAGGTGCGCGTGCGGGCTTCCAGGGCCTCTGGCGCCCCATGTGACGCCGCCAGCGCTGGCCTAGGCCTGCACGGCTCAGTTCCTGCAGGGGCGTACATACTACAGGGATGCGGTGGCTGGGGAAGACTGGCCCCGACAGCGCAGCAGCGTGATGTGGTCCCATCGCCATCTGGACTCCTGCAGGGCCAAGCGGGACAGCCCACACTCAGCAGCGCCGGGGCAGGTGTTGGAGACACACTCGTGGACGGTGAGCCGGTTCGCCGGTGCGTGTTGCCTTAACGGACCTTAGCACTCTTGCCCAGTGGCGGCCCAATGGCGCACGCGAACAGCTCCTCTTGCCTCCTCTCCGACCAACCGTCGTCATCGCTGCGTCGCCTCACTCACTGCTGCTGCTGCCGCCGCCTCTTCTCTCCTCCTCTCGCCGTGTTGCCTTGGGTTGCGCTGCGTTGCCTTGCGACCACCCAAAGTCGACTTGCGCTGCTTGCTGCCTCCCGCTGCCGTCCTACCAGACCATGACACGAAGCGGCCGCCGCTGCGAACTCAACACCATCTGCGCCGCTCCATAGACTTCCCCCCGCCCGTTGCCAGCATCGCCACCCAGGCCCAGCAGTCTGCCATGGCCGAGTCGGGCTGGGTCCAATGGGCCATCATCCTCGTGCTGACTGCCCTCTTCCTCTCCGTGGTCGTCATCGCCCAAGTCGTCGCCGCCTACTCGTCGGCGTACTTGGCCGCGCCGCACGAGGTCGCCACCTTTATCGACACGGTCGACTTCTCCATCCAGGAGAATGAGAGCTACGACCGCGACGTCGCCAAGGTGCAGCGCCTCGAGGACAAGTTGCGCCTCGGGCGGCTGCTGCGCGAGATCCAGAAGGGAGGCGACGATCTGCGCGAGGAGCTCAACGGCCTGCTCGTCGCCGAGGGCGCCACGGCGCTGCGGACGAGCGCGAGGCTGCTCTGGGCCTCGAAGCGCGCCGAGCTCGAGGACCGGGTGCGCAGGCTGGACCTGATACGGATGCGCTTCCTCGTCGTGTACATGGGCATCATCACGTCCATCGCAGACAAGCAGCCGCCGCCTGCGCCGCCGCTGCCGCGAGACCCAGAGAAGATCGCCGCCTTCAACACGCCCATGAAGCCCAGGCTTCAAAAGTCTCTCACCGACAGCATCGCTAAGCGCCCGCCCCTCCGGCGGCTGACGACGCAGGCCATCGGCCACCAGGAGCACGTCGCCACGCCGCATAGGAAGGGCTGGGCCGGCGTCGTCGAGGAGCTGCAGACGTCGCCGCGGATGCAGCAGCGCCATGCGTCAATAGAGCAGTCCATGACGGGGTCGCCTCCATGACACCGGCGCCCAGTCCCGCCCACATTTCACCTCGGTTCAACGATTATGAAGCAACGAGAACAGAGCATTGAGGATATTGATCGACAGCACCACGTTACGGCCAGAACCATGGACGACACGACACGCATGACGAAGAACATTTTAGCCAAGCATTGTTGAATGACGACGAGCGCTGCATTGCGAGAAGCCCCGGAGTTTGGTCACTTCACTTAGATAGGATACCCCCATTTGTTTCGAGGCGAGGCAAGCTCTTTGGGCTGGTTTAGTCTTCTTTCTGGTGCATCTCTTTGCTGCACTGGGTTTTTTACGTCTTTGTCGCTTATTGTTTGCACACCCTTCACAATACCCAGGATCTCTGTCTGTACGGCACCACTGGTGGTATGAGAGGAGGAGGCTTGGGGACTCAGTGGGCGGACACGTCGTCGGGCCCGGTTCCGTTCCTCTCGCCGACTGTTGTAGAGGCATTAGACGTGCCACTTAGAACAGGAATAAAATACAGGTCTTCTTACCGTCGAGTGCCACCAGGAAGCGGCTCACGCAGTTGTATGTTGCAACCTTGTCCATGTGAGCCTTTGTGAGCTGCATTGATGAGTAGTGAGCGGGGGAAAGAATACCGTTGCTGTAATTTCAACAACCTCTTGGTCATTGAATAGCTCCTTGACCTTCGCAAACGTCTCGTCCTTGACGTGGACGTTCCTAGTCATCTCATCCGTGTACAGCAGCACGGCCCACTGCTTCTCGCTCAGCAGCTCCGCGGGCCGCTGCGCCGCGTCGAGGACATCCTGCTTGACGACCTCGAGGGCCTCGGCGCTGACGCCGGCCTGGGCGGCGAGGGGCGCGTGGTGCTTCCACTCATACCAGGCCTTGTTGCAGACGGCGACGCGGGAGATGGCGAGCTCGCGGACGTCCGGGGTGAGGGACGTCCGGGTGCGGATGGCGCCGAGGAAGGTGTTCCAGCCGTCGGCGACGGCGGGCGAGTGCAGCAGCGTGAGATCGAGGGACTGGAGGGGCCGCGGGGCGCGCCGGGCCTCGATGCGGGAGACGATGGCGGCGTGCTCGGCGGAGCTGGTTGGCGGCGGGTTGGGGACGTAGGGGAGTCTCATGGTGTCGGGACCTTGGTGGCCAAGGCGAAAGAAGAAGCTATAGATGATGTTCTGGAGTCCTGCGTGAGGTTGAATTGAATTCTTGGATCGCGAAACTTCATGGACGACCTGAAGGACTCACAGACGTGGGTAAACCATTTACCCCCCCGGTGTGCCGAGGTGCCTATAACACAGTGCCTCCGGCGCCGCTCCCAGGTGTAGCCCGGCTGTCTTAAACCCGGATGGCAAGTGGACGCGGGGGCGGAGCCGCTCCACCGTGCAGCTCCAGCGGCGCCGAGCACCGGCGAGCTGCGCGCGCCGTTATTACCTGACTTATTTCATCAGACGAAGGGGTAACGCTTGGCTCGCAGGTTAAAAGGGCATCTGATGCGATTGCGACTGGCATTGGCCGTCTGACACCATGACGAACGAAAAGGTGAGGCTGTGGTGGCCGCGCACGGCACGGTAGCATGGCAACCGAGTCGCACGAGCTGTGCAAACCCGTTCACGGGCATGCCTTCTCTGCTGTTGGGGCAGAGGTGCCAGCGAGATTAGCTGCCGCCAGAGCTCTGAACAGACACTGCCCGGGCTCCAGCAAGATTCACTCATGGTTGCCTGACTGGGTAGCTGCGCGGCCCTCGCACGTCAAACCCGCCGCCGCGTGAATGCTGCCCGCAGGAGAAAACTTCCCTTTCACAACATCACCAGGAATCTGCGTCTTCCAGCCAAGTGCCAAACGGCCCCTCCTCCCCAGAGCCTGGCTGGCTTTACTGCTTCGTGCTTCCATACGTAGTTGCGCGGAAAGCACGTTAGCCGCACTGTGGTCAAACCACCGCACCAAGATCCGCCTGTGGGCTGCAAGCTCCCTCCCCCAAGTCCAGGTCTCCAAGAGCTCGTGGGGACGCGTTGACGCGTGTCACGTGACCGGCACCTCGCCCATTAACGCGACAGCTCTTTTCTCGCGTCGCTGCGACAACCTCAACCCATCCAACCTCCCTGCGTCGGCCTTTCCGCTCCCCCTCTTCCGGCGGCGAGCGCGTCCATCAAGTCACGATGGCCGAGATCAAGATCGACAGCAAGCTCTTCCAGGAGCGCATCTCGCACTTCGCGACCGCCTGGAAGAATGACCTGCGCTCCAAGGAGAGCTTGTTCGGGGGAGCTACCTCCCTGGTCATCATGATGGGCAAGGTCGAGGACATGCCCGAGTTTCACAAGAACAACGCCATGCACGTGAGTATTCGCGGCCGCGCGGGTGCCTCTCACCGTCAGTGTCGCTAAACCAGATGGCAGTTTTGGCTTCTCGGATACGAGTTTCCGACCACGATGATGCTCTTCACGACCGACACCCTGTACATCCTCACGACTGCAAAGAAGGGTGAGGCCATCGGCCCGCAAAGCTTTTCGCGGTAGACGACTGACAGCTCTCCAGCAAAGCATCTCGACCAGCTCAAGGGCGGCCGGTTTCCGATCGAGGTCCTCGTTAGAGGCAAGGACGCTGCCGAGAATGAGAAGCTTTTTGTCAGCATCGCGGACAAAATCAAGGCAGCAGGAGTACGTGTTTCGACGTGAATATGCGGGGTTTTCGCATCTGCTGACGCAACTTGTGCAGGACAAGGTCGGGGTGCTTCCCAAGGACACGTCCAGGGGCCCCTTCGTCGACGAATGGAAGAAAGTCTTCTCCGAGCAGTGCAAGGACGTGACCGAGGTCGACGTCACCACAGCGCTGTCAACATATGCGTTCGCGGTCAAGGACGAAAACGAATTGCGAGCTATGCGTACGGCGTCGAAAGCTTGCGTCGCCCTCATGACCCCCTACTTCCTCGACGAAATGAGCAACATTCTCGACGCCGAGAAGAAGGTGACGCACTCGGCATTGGCGGAGAAGGTGGACAAGAAGCTCGACGACAACAAATTTTGGCAAACGGTCCAGCTTCCCAGCAAGGGCAAGCTCCCCAACGATTTCGACGCTGGCCAGCTCGATTGGATTCTTGGACCGGCTATCCAGAGTGGTGGTAAATACGACCTGCGATTCGGGGCGGAGCCAAACAACGATAACCTGCACGCCGGCATCATCATCGCTGGCTTGGGGCTCCGTTACAAGTCGTATTGCTCCACCATTGCACGGACTTACCTCGTTGATCCGAACAAGAGTCAGGAGAGCAACTACAAGCTCTTGTACATGATTCACAACACCATCATCAAGGAGATAAGAGACGGAATGGCGGCCAAGGATGTTTACGCCAAGGCTTTGAGCATCATCCGGAGCAAGAAGCCCGACATGGAAAAGCACTTGCTCAAGAACGTGGGATGGGGCATTGGTCTCGAGAACAGGGACCCCACGCTCGTCCTGAACGCCAAAAACCCTCGCACGCTCAAGGACGGAATGACTCTCATCATCCAAACCGGCTTTCAGGACATCGAGAACCCGCAGCCGCAAGACAAGAGCAGCAAGAACTACTCGCTCGTGCTCACCGATACTGTTCGTGTAACCACGAGCGAGCCCGTCGTCTTCACTGCCGAAGCGCCGACCAGCGCCGACGCAAACTCGTTCTTCTTCAAGGATGATGAGGAGGCAGAGCCGACCCCAAAGAAGGAGAAGAAGGACTCCCGAGTCGGTGCCGTGGCGACTAAGAACATCACGAGCACGAGGCTGCGATCGGAGCGCACTACCCAGGTCGATGAAGATGCCGAATCAAAGCGACGAGAGCATCAAAAGGAGCTGGCTGCCAAGAAGCAGAAGGAGGGCCTTGCCAGGTTCGCCGAGTCTACGAGCGGACAGAACGGTGGAGAGGTGAAGAAGTTCAAGCGCTTCGAGTCGTACAAACGAGACGACCAGTTCCCCCTCAAGATCAGGAACCTGGAAATCGTCGTGGACTCGAAGAACTCCACGGTCGTCCTGCCCATCATGGGCAGACCCGTTCCCTTCCACATCAACACAATCAAAAATGCCAGCAAGAGCGACGAAGGCGACTTTGCTTTCTTGCGCATCAACTTCCTCTCCCCTGGCCAAGGCGTTGGAAGAAAGGACGACCAGCCCTTCGAGGACGCGTCTGCACACTTTGTCCGCAGTTTGACCTTCCGGTCCGCAGATGGCGACAGGTACAGCGAAATCGCAACGCAGATCTCCAACATCAAGCGAGATGCTGTCAAGAAGGAGCAAGAGAAGAAGGACATGGAGGACGTTGTCGAACAGGATAAGCTCATGGAAATTCGGAGTGAGTTGCCACGTCACATACTGTTGCTTGAAATAACTAACTGTCCTTGCAGACCGTCGCCCTGCCGTCCTGGACAATGTCTACATTCGGCCTGCCATGGAAGGCAAGCGAGTTCCTGGCAAAGTCGAGATCCACCAGAACGGTATTCGTTATCAGTCGCCGCTTAATGCGCAGCACCGTGTCGACGTACTGTTCTCCAACATCAAACACCTGTTCTTCCAGCCTTGCCAACATGAGTTGATTGTCATCATCCATATCCACCTGAAAGACCCCATTCTTGTCGGCAACAAAAAGAAGACCAAGGACGTCCAGTTTTATCGCGAGGCAACAGATATTCAGTTCGACGAGACTGGCAACCGCAAGCGCAAATATCGCTATGGCGATGAGGATGAGTTTGAAGCCGAGCAAGAGGAACGCCGGCGCAGGACCGAGCTCGATCGGCTGTTCCAAGGCTTCGCGCAAAAGATTGCCGAAGCTGGCCGCAACGAGGGCATCGAGGTGGACATGCCTATCCGCGACTTGGGCTTCCACGGTGTGCCGTTCCGCAGCAATGTTTTCGTTCAGCCGACGACCGACTGCCTGATTCAAGTTGTCGAACCACCTTTCATGGTCATCACTATTGAGGACATCGAAGTTGCTCATCTCGAGCGTGTTCAATTCGGTCTGAAGAACTTCGATATGGTCTTCGTCTTCAAGGACTTTACGAGAGCACCGTACCACATCAATACCATCCCTGTGGAGTTCCTCGACCAGGTCAAGGACTTCCTCGACTCGTCCGACATTGCCTACACTGAGGGTCCTCTCAACCTCAACTGGCCCACCATCATGAAGACCGTCACTGCGGACACCCACCAGTTCTTTGTCGACGGTGGCTGGTCCTTCCTGCAGGCCGACTCTGATGACGAGGACGGCGGCGAGGAAGAGGAAGAGGAGTCTGCGTTCGAGATGGACGACGACGAGCTCGACGAGGCGAGTGAGTCGAGCGAGGAGGGTTCAGACTTTGGCAGCAACGTCAGCGACGAGGACGACGACGATGACGCGGAGCTGGACAGCGACGAGGAAGGCGAGGACTGGGACGAACTCGAGAAGAAGGCGAAGAAGCGGGACCGCGAGAGCGGCCATGACGAGGAAGACCGCGGCGGCAAGAAGAAGCGCAAGCGATGAGCTGGGGGAATCGCTGCGAAAGAAGTACTTGCGGGCCAGTCATTTGGCGCGGTCAGTTCGGGCAGGGATTGCTGGGGTTCAGGTGTTTGAGTATTGACGGGCTACTACTACTTCATTGTACTACATAGTGAGACAGGATGTGTGGTTGTTGAATGGCAGACATTTTGGGAGTTGTGGTACCGCGATTCTATCATCCCTGGACTACAGAAGAGAGTGGGTGACTGTTCACAACGTGTGGGCAAAGAGATGTTACTTCATTCTCTATTTGTTTAACGAAGCGATGGCCGACTTGGGCCACGCACAGGTCGAGCAAGACACGCGTACAACAAAGCCAAAACCCCCAAACTCCATTGATCCCATGAAAGAAATGACGTTGCAGCGGGGAAAAAATCAGAACGGCGAGGCGAAGGGGAGAGCTGCGCTCCCATCACGCCACCACAAGCACGTCTCCGTCCCCTGACGGCGGGAACCAAAGCATCGTCGCACACCCATCGCTCCCCGCTCCAGAGCAGGGCCTAGTACAACCAGACATAAAATGTTCATAACATGATTCCTAGCTCCCCGGACATCCAAAGTGGTCGCACAGGCGGCCGGGAAGGAAAAGACTGTTCTCGCGCGGCCGGCCTGGTGATGCGGTGCGGCGGAGTGACTGACACCACGGAACACCACGACTACCTCGACCGCCTCAGCCGGCCTTTCGCACACCATGAGGTCCTTGGAGACGCGGAAGATGACGCGATGCATGGGGTCGTGGTGTCGGGGCTGCTACCGACGCCGGGCACGGGTTCGAGGTGAGCCCTTTCGTGGGCCGCCTAAGCCTCACCGGGGCGCATTTCGCGACCAGATGCCACCGCGGTGCTGGGCCCGGACGGCTTCGACGCGGGAACGTTATTCCAGGACAGATATGTGTGGTCGCCGAGTTTCCTGACACCACGTTAGTCATAAGGATATCGTGTGAAACGAGGCTTGGTACAAACCTTGGCTTGATGAGATGAGTGACGGTGAAGACGGCTCCGAGGATGATGCACACGCCACCCACGGCAATGTACGCAATTCCAAGGAAGCTGTTGCGTCCACCCATGACGGTTCGAGTGGTGAGGAGGATGGCCTTGGTGCCCTTGTACTCGAGCATCGGGAAGTCTGCCACGTTGTCAGCAACTGCGCTCAGGTCAAGCTGGGACATGGCACTCACGATCTTCCAGAATCATCTGATACCTCCCGTCCTTCATGGCGTCGGTGTCGTTTCGCTGGTACAGCTTGCTGAACGCGGGAAGCCCGGCGGTGCGCATCCAAACCTGGAACGCCTCCCAGTCCTTCAAGTTCGGGGGCGGATGCTCCTCCGTGTAGTTGTTGGGGTAGAGCTTGGCCCAGTTTGGCGGCGGAAGGACTTCTGACGGCTTGTACTTGGTAGGGCCGTACAGGTCCCTGTCGCTGTCCCAGGCGATGCCCTTGGTGGTCATGTTGTACGGCTCGGTTTCGTTACCGGTTGCGCCGGACGGGTTCAGGAGTTCCGGGTTGCTGTAAGAGTCGTTGAACAGAGAGTTTGCGATGAGGCCGCAAGGGTAGTATGGCTTGTCGGTGCCGTTGTTCTTGTCGCCATAGAGGGGGGTGCACTTGGATCCCTTAATATCGCCGTATGACCTGAAGTCGCCCTTAAGCTGCTGCTGGTCCATCGACTCGACATATCGGCGGTGGTTTTGATAAAAGTTTGTGAGGTGGTAGTAGAAGAGCACAGGCGGACCCATGGAGTCGGGGATGGTGAAGGTCAGCCAGCAGCGGGTGGTATTGGGGGCGGACGCGCCGGTCGACAGCGTGGCATTGAAGTTTCTTTCAGCTGACCACTGGGCATCAATGGGCGTGCCCGAGTTCTTGAACGCAGAGTCGACAAACTTGCCCGGCATGGGCGCAAAAGTCGGGTGGTCCGGGGCATCGCTCGCGCATCTTGTGTATTCGAGCGACAGCTCTTGCACCTGTTATTCCGGCGACGGTTAGCAAGCGCGGACTAACCTCAACGGCCACGAGTATGACTTGCCTTTGAGCTAGCATATAACAGAAGACCTCCGATGGGCGCGAAAATGATTCCAATGGTAAAAAATAAGGGAAGGACAGTCTTTGGCGTCAAGATGGGCCTGGGACGGACGGGTCAGTACGCGGTCGCGGGGTCATCGGATCGGGAGGTGGACACGTACTGCCATGCCTTGAGGCGCTGCTGACGAAACGCGGTATCTATATTCGAGCGCATCCGTCAGTATTCTGCGGCCAGGGGCGCGGACGTCGCGTCGCGGCATCGAAACTCACTCGCGGGACGGCGGCTTTTCTTCTTCTCCGGCTGCTTCGGACCCGAGTCGTGGGAGTCGAGCGAGTCGGTATGGTCGACTCCGCGCGGAGAGTCGGACATGACGGGCCGGTTCGACGGGACGTCGCGATTGCGCGGGTTCTCGGGGGCAGGCGGCGAGGTCTGGCGAGATGGAGTCGTGGAGGCGCGCGAGGTTGCCGGGCGGCGTGAGACGTCGATGCTTCAAGGGGCCCGTTGGCGAGAGCAAGAACACGAAGCAGCGCTGCTCCAGAGTGTGGCTGGTGCAACGGGGGGGCAGCCTGCGGAACCAAGGGAACCAAGAGAGCATTACGAATTTCGGCGGGCTGAGGCGCGTGGCTGAGCTCCACCCGAAACCCACTTGGTGACAGCCACCTCCCTGTCATCCGCTTGCCAGATTCGGCCACCTGTCGGTCAGTCAGACAAGCCAGCCTCCGTGGTGACGTTGGCCCGCGCCCCAGTCTGTGGTTGTAAAGCCTTGCCAGCTATCAAGACCAGGACAAATGGTGATGCAATTGTATCCTTCGAGGCCGAGGCTATAATGGCGTACGGTAAGGGTCTTTGTCTACATTCCGTCGAATGCCGAGTTCAGCTCGGTGCACGTTTGAGATGACGTGACATTTCACCTTCGCGTGAACCATCGCGGCTCCGTTTCGGACGCGGCGTCTTGGCGACACAGAGGCCATTTTTGGCAACTCGACAAAGCAGAGAACAACGCATGTAGGATCGTTGACCGACGACCTTTCAAGTACCAAACTGCATCAGCTCTGAAAACACTACAAAGTACAAGAAAAGGCAGCAAAGAAGACAGGCAGGAATGAAGTCGGTTCGCGTCGGGCTGCAGGGTAGCCAGCTTCAACGCACGTTGCGCAACGAGCTGGCCTCATTTGCAAGAGAATCGGAAGGCGAAAGGCGAGAAAGCACGGTTCGCCGAGAGCAACTGTTTCCCGCAATACGAACTAAGGTTTCTGCCGAGCACGGTACATGGAATCACGCCAGATGTGTCGGCAGATTCGGCTTGGGTGGCCCGGGCCGCCTGGAACATGCGCCATCAGCTGCCACTGGGCACTGCGGCTATGTGTGCGACAGCAGATGCCCCCAGCAGTAGTGCTGTATGGTCGAGCATTGCAGGAAGGTGCGACTTCTAGGAGTGAGATGGTTGGCTCTTTCCCAGATACTCTCGAGGCAACAGCATGCGGTGGCAGGTGCCGCCGTCGAAATGCCGCCCCTTCCAGCTCAGTAATTCCATGAGCCTGCCGTATGACGGAGGCATCAAGTGCAACTTGTCAGCACGGGGAAACGGCCTCAACCTGGCATCTTCAACTCCGTCACGACGTCACTGCATTTACGAAGGATCATGACTCGGCAATATCGCCACTAACATGCTGCCCTTCGCACCAGACTCGCGAAGCGAAAGCGACCCTGTCCCGCGGCAGCGGTCACCATCCCACCATCGACAGTCACCGCCTTTCCCCGCCCGCCACATTTCGCCAGGACTTGGCATGGGATTCGCGCAAAGGGGACGGCGCATCCGTCCCTTTGCCGCTGCGGCATGGCGATTTGGCGAATCGGGGTCCCTGAAGGAGCTCGCAGCGGCCCGCTAGCCCATGATCTGGGGCCGACGGCCGGTCTTGCCAGTGCAGCGAACGGCGGATCCGATGTCGACAAAAACCGATGCGGCCACGTTTCCCGCCCTGCAGCGAGACATTATTTCTTCTTCGGTCTGCGCGCTGCAGCCGTGGTCCCCGTTGTGGCAGGGATCGCTGCACGCAGATGCGCTGCTCTCCACGGCACGAAGACATGGCTCCACGACATTGCGGGTGCCAACGGTTGAGGCCTTGAGGGTGTCATGGGCGTCGCTGGGGATATAAACGACGCAGGCCACCTTCCTGAGAGATCCTGCTCCCTGACCTGGGAGCGACACCTGGCGCGCATAGTCCAATGGTTGCGCGAGAGTGCTGAGGCACAGCCCAATTCTCTGGGGAACCTGCGCACTGCAACCCGCCCTCAACCCGGCCCCCGATCGTCAGTTGCCGTTTGACCCGAAACACAGCAAGCAGCCGTCATTTCCGGGGGTTCTAGGCCTCGGAAGGCACAGCCGGCGGGTGTCGAGATCCGAAGCAGAGCAGAGGCGACCCAGAGCACCTGCAGTGCCGCACTTTCTACTTTGCAGGTACGTGGGCTTTCCGTTGTTTGCTTGTCGCTTTGGCGCCTCTCATCCTGCCGGACCGGCCTCGTCGTCAACGCCCGCCGCCCGCAGCTCGCGACTGCCAGAATGTGCAGCCAACCGCCAGCTTGCCAGCCGAGGCGTTGATGAACGCGACGGGCTTGGCAGGTGGAGAGAATCGAAATGTTGATTCAGCGTCATCAACAATTTGCCCTCCACGGTGGTCACCTCCACTCTTGGCCGCCATCGAGCGTGGCGCAGCGCCGCCAGGACCAAGCAGTCATGCCCCATGCCCAGCTGCACGAAACAAGTCAGAACCTGCCCTACCTGCTTGGCAGGGCGGCGACGCCAAAAGGACTGGCGGCTAGGCGGCGGGCGGGCCGCCAGGTTCATGTTTCCAGTCCAGCGCCGCGTACATTCGTGCCTCGACGCACTGGGGTGAGGCTGATCCCGCCGGACGAAATCCGAACCGCCGGGGAACGCGAACGCCGGCCGGCCCTTTGGCCGTCGAGAATGAACGAGCCACCAAGCACACGCCAAGCGGCGCCTCCCAGCCGCCCTGCGACGTATGACCGTTACGAGTACAATAAGAATGAGGCTCACGCGCCTCGCCTTGTCTCGGGCGTCACCATCGTGACCTGGCCTTTTATTTTCTGGCGTCTGCACATCATCGCTTTTGCATCCTCTTCTCCTGTTGATTGACCCTGATCGCCGAGTGTTTTGCATCGTCTACACTCGACACTAGCCGCACTCATCTCATCTCGCTTCCTCCGTCACGGACGTTGCCGTCAATCTCCACGTTGTCACCTGGGCCGCCCAGTCTCGTTGACGCCGCAGGGGACAGACGTCACTCATAAAGTGCCTGCTGGGATGTCTTGATGAACCCTTTGCGCGCTTCCCTTCCTTTGTTCCCATTCCTTGTCCCCCTTTGCTTCGGCGCCGAGTAAATGAGCACCTGGTTGCTTGCTTCGCAAGCAGGCGATCTGCTTCGTTCGTTGCTGCTGTTCCTGCTGAGCCTTTTGCACCTGCCTGTTTCCTCGCTCGGACGGCGTGGCGAAGCTGGGTCGTCAGCACCGGACCGGAAAGCGCCTCATCCACGCCCTCCCATGGCAGCCTCGACCTCGACAGACCAGGGGCCGCACAGCCGCACCCTGCCGCGACGCAACGACTCGCTCCGAAGCGTCAGTACTGACACGACGTGCGTCCCCCAGATTCAAGTCCTGCCGCCGACTCGAAAAGCCAAGCCGGCCAAGATGCGGGAACCAAGAGACACTGGGTTTCCGGAACCCTTTGACGAACGTAAGCGCGCTCTGACTTGAGGCTTCGATTGGCGCGTGACCAGACCACTTACACAGCACCGCGCCCGCAGGTCGAAACACGACGCTCCCGCACCCCGACGCCGACCTGTCTCCCGACGCGACAATCTCGCACGAAGATGTTTCCGGGGAACGGGCACTGAAGCGCCACAGACTCTCATTCTTGAACAAGCGCAAAAAGACGGTCAGCCACGGCTTCATCAACCCGCAGTCGGAGGCTCTGTACAGCGGCCTGGTCATGCCGTTGATGATGGGCATCGACTCGTCCGGCAGAGAGCCCCCGAAGCTGGTCAGCCGGTCGACATGGAGCCTGCGAGTCTCCAAGGACGGCGGCGAAAGCATCCGATCTTTGCGGAGAGACGGAGACGACGAGGAAACGCCCCCCACGTCGCCCGACGTTTCAGAGCACCGGGGGAAGAAAGGATTCTTTGGCAGACTGCGGCCGAAGAGCTAGGCGACTCTGACGACCACGACACGACTTCACGGACTATGCATTTGATTTGTTGTCTTAGCGATGGAGTTTATCCCCTTTGGGTGCGGGCGGCGACGGGCGATTGGAAAACCACGAACGGGATTTGGCTCATGTTGCGCGATGCTCACTCTCGGGTCTGGGAGACGGGGACATGGGGCATCACAGAGGCATCGGTAGACTGACTGGCTTGTGGATAGTAAGCTGCAATACATCCATTTGGCATTTGCTACGGACGACCTAGCTGCCCCGGTAGGTGGTGTAGCTGTAGGGGCTCAGCAGCAGGGGGACGTGATAGTGCTGTCCCTCGTCGACGCGGAAGATGATGGTGGCCTCGGGGAAGAAGGTCTTGCCCTCACCAAAGTAGCTCTCGGTGTCGAAGCGCAGCGCCCAGCGGGACGCGCCCTTGACGGAGGCGAGCACGTCATCGACGGTCAGGGACGATGAGGCCGCGCCCGTGGCCTGCCACCTCGTGATGCGGCCGTCGTCGTCGGTGCGTGCCTCAAAGGTGGCGGGCTGGGCCTGGCCCGCGGCGGCCGCCGAGGAGCTCGTCTGCTCGAGGACGACGCGGATGCCCTTGGCGGGGCGGCCGGCCGTCGTGTCGAGGACGTGGCAGGTGATGGAGTCTTTGCCTGCCTGGGGCGCCATGGTGACTGCGTTGAGTTTGTGTGCTTGGTTTTGCGTGCGTGCGTGCGTGCGTGTATGTGTGTGTGTTTGAGTGTCCCTGCTCTTTGGTGTTTGGGCGTCCCGGGGTGATGATGCAAGAGCGGTACGACGTGAGCGCGCAAGTCGCGGTGGTGGTGTAGGGCGGGCGAGAGCTTGATTGACTCTTGAGGATGAGAGCTCGTGGGCGGACGACGCCGATGATGTGGGGATGGACTGGCCCTGAGGTCGTGCTTTGCGCCGGGCGTGTCGAGAGAAATGCACGTCGTCAAATGCAATGCAATTTGACTCTATCGCTCGATACTCTTGCTTTGCGTGAGATGGTGAACTTTACAAGATGAAGTTGGGAAAGCAGGAGAAAGAAAGATGAAAGGCAGGTGCATTCCCACCCCGCCCTCCTTGCCCGCCGCCGCCCAGCCCAGGCACAGCAGCGAGGCGCATCGCGGCGTCCCCCGCCTCCGGGCGATGTGGGTGAGAGGCATGACGCGCCGGTGGAGGGGGCCGCGGTTGGTTTTCGGTGGGGAGCAGCAGCAGCAGCAGCAGCAGCAGCCTGAGCCTCAGAAGCTAGAAACCTCCCCTCCCAAGCTGCTGGTGCTGCTGCTGGTTCCACAACTGGTTCCACCACGACGGCCCCTTTGTCTTGACTCTTGACGGGCACGGCATCTCACTGTCTTACAGCACGGCACGGCAGGACATGTCACGCAGGAGGGACCAGAGGAGTTTGCTCAGCTCGTTGTCTATTAAGTCTATCGTGTAGGTGAAACAAAGGAAAAGAAACCAAAAAGACAGGTAGGTAAATGAGTGAATGAAAAGTACGCGATGCAAAATGCATAAACGCCCCCCGCCATGGAAATGACAAGGAAAGGAAACATCCCCAGAGAGCCAATGGCTCCACGCACATGTCAGGAACTCAAGGACGACAAAGACAGTGAGTGCCATCCTCTGCGTGACGCGCAAGACTCACTGCCCTGCTCACGCGGCGTCAAAGCCCTCCTCCTCGGCCCTCTGCCTCTGCATCCGCTTCCACAGCCCGTTGAGGAACTCGGCGTCGACGGCCGGGCACGCCTCCACGACGCCCGGGTTCAGCGCGTCCAGCACCGCCATGGTCCTCGCGTTGTCGAGTCTGAACATGACGCTGCCCGTCGAGAGGTTCTGCTTGATGACGGCGCTGCGCACCAGCTGGCCCGCCGCGTCCTCGCCCTCGGCCGTCTCCATGCTGCCGAGCCACTCCTCCAGCGGCACCAGCCCGGCGGCCTTGCTGCTGCCCGGTTGCTGCTGCTGCTGCTGCTGCTGCGAAGAGCCGGGACGCAGGTCTGCAATGATCTGCGGCAGGTCCTCGAGCCGCAGCGGCCGCGGGTTCGTGACGTGGTAGATCTGCGGCGCCGTGTACAGGGTCGAGGCGTCGACGTGCGCCAGCGCCTCGCGCTGCGACGTGAGCGCAAAGAGGTTCGACGCCAGCCAGTCCACGGGGATCACGTCCACCGCGAAGCTGGGCTGGTCGGCCCGTCCGATCTGCGGCACCATGCCCGACTCGATCATGCTGACCACGATGCGCATCGTGAACTCGTCCCCGGCGTCCAGCACACCTGTGCCCTGTGCCGCCGCCGTGACGGCCGACGCGCGCGTGATGGTGACCGGGAAGCCGCGCTGAGCCGCCTTGACGAGAAGGTTCTCCGCTACCCACCGGGTCTTGAAGTAGCCGGACTCGTCCTCTGTCGGAGGAGTGAAGTGGGTGCTGTCCTCCTCGCCGACGACGTAGCCCTCTCGTGTGCGCTTCGACGCGGACCACGTCTGGAGATGCGGGACGGACCACGTCGAAAGGTAGTGTATGTCGGAGAGCTGGGAGCCGATGCTGGAAAGGCGGATGATGTCGAAAATTGGCGACACGTTATATGGCTTCAGCGCCGAGTACGTCTTGAGGAGCGACACATGGCCGCCCAGGTGGTAGATGGCCTGGACTGCCGAACCGAGTTCCCGGAACGCAGACTTGGACAGGCCGAAGCCCGGCTGGTCGAGAGACCCGGGGACGCACTTGATGCGGGCACTGACGTGGTCTGCTGTCAGTATACCCTTCAGGAGGTCGTGCTTCTCGAGGAGCTTGACAAGGGCCTGCGTCTCCAGTTTCGTCGTCGAGCCGAGAGCATGAATCGTAATGTCCGCCTTGGAGCTCAACATCTCAGCCAGCAGGTGGACCCCGATAAAGGACTCAGCTCCGGTGACAAGCACGCTGTTCAGATCATCGCGGTCGATGCGGGGAGTGCCAAACCGAGGGATGTACTGGCTCGTGTTGGGCAGGTTGGTCTCGACGTTCCAGCTGATGACGTTCTCGAAGCCGCCCTTCTTGCCCGCGTCACCACCCTTGGCACGCCTCACGTAGGCGCACACTGCGGCGGCCGTGGGCTCGCGGATCAAGGCAGGTAGGGGTGGTGCAATCTTGAACTGCTTCTTGACCTTGGCCTGGAGACGGACGAGCAGGATGCTGTTTCCACCCCTCTCAAAGAATGAATCGTTGAGGTCGATTTCAGCGCCCAAGGTCGCCCGGAACAGAGCAAGAATTGACGACTCGAGATCTTCAGATGGTGCCGTGGCAGTGCCGTTAACACCTGCACCTGCGGCGGCTTTCCCGGGTTGAGTCGTGACGCTTGATGGGTGGACGAGCTCAAGCTGGCGCTCCAAGAGGTTTCGTCGATCGACCTTGCCCCCCAGCGTCGTTGGCAGCTTTTCAACGAACTGGTACCCGTTCGGAAGCATGTAGTAGTTGAGGTGAGGCTTTATCTTGCGGTGCAGATGCGAGACGACAGCAACCTTCTCCGCCGCGTCCGTGATATTGGTCTTCGGGACAAGGTAGGCGACCAGCTGCTGCTCATCGGAGTCGACAGTGCGGGCCACGACGGCAATATCGATCAGGGCACCGGCCTTCTTGAGGTTCTGCGACTCCTTGAAGATGACCTGCTCGACCTCGCCGAGGTCGATGCGGAACCCGCGGAGCTTGATCTGCTTGTCGCCAGCGATGCGGCCGTGGAACTCAAGCTGACCGTCGGCTCGGAAGCGCCCACGGTCGCCCGTCTTGAACATGCGGTTCCAGCCTCGCTTGCGATCGTCCTCCGAGGCAAAAGGGTCCTCGACAAACGACTTGGCGTTCACCTCGGGGCGGTTGAGATACCCGGCGCCAACCTGGACACCGCCAACGACGAGCTCACCAATCTGGCCAAACGGCACTGGGTTTCCCTTGGTGTCCAGCAGATAGTGACGGCAGTTGTCCATGGGATAACCGATGGGCAGGCTGACAACGCCTTCGTCGGGCGGGCTGATCTTCGCGATGGAGGTCTGGACGACGAGCTCCGAGGGAGACCAGGTGTTGTAGAGAGTGGCAGGGGTTCCCAAGTCGTAGAAAGCCTTGGCCACTCGCACGGGGAGTCGCTCACCGGCAAAGTAAGCGACCCGATACTTGGAGCACTTCTTGAGGGCCGCTTCGTTGAACTCCATGAGGAGCGCAAACTGCGTGGGGGTAAAGTAGGTGACAGAGACACCCTCCTTCATCATGAAGTCGGCCAGAGCGGATGGATCCTTGCGCGTCTCCCACGAGGCAACGGAGACGGTTGCGCCGGCAGTGAGGCCACCAAAGATTTGGACAACAGAAAGGTCAAAGGACATTGTGGTGTGTGCAAGGAAATTGTCGGTGTGCGTGAAGCCATAGTCCTTGTTCAAGGTGCTCAGCATGGCTTGCGTGTTTGACTCCTTCAGAATGACACCCTTGGGGGTGCCAGTACTTCCCTAGTCTAGTTAGATGATCGCTGCTGCATGACCTCGAACCTCTTCCACAACCCAGCAGCAGAACTTACAGAGGTGTAGATCATATAAAACGGGTCATCTGGATGTCGAGGCCGCGGCTGCGAAACGGTCCTGCCGGCCGCCGCGGCGTCATCGATCCGGACGACCTTGGGGGCAACAACAATCTTGGACAGGAGCTCAGCAGCCAGTGCATCTTGCCCCGGCCCAACGAGGAGCAGCTTGGCTCCAGAATCGGTAAGCATAAACGAGAGACGATCGTGTGCGAAGTCGGTGTCGAGCGCCACATAGCAGGACCCGGTCATGAGGGCTCCGAGCATGCCCGTCACCGCCTCGACGCCAGGCAGGGCGAGGAGTCCGATGCGGTCTCCAGGCTTCGCGCCGGCATCGAGGAGCTCAGAGGCCACGCTCTCGGCCCTCTCGATCAGCTGCCTGTACGATACGCTGCAGCAGTCAGAAGTTTTTATCGCCGCAGCTTGGGGGTGTTGTCTTGCCATCGAGGAGACTACATCAAGGACACTCTGCCCGTGCCACTGGTTCTCCTTAGCCTCGGTGTTCCAATAGTTATTCTTGAGGAAGTCAATCTCGAGGGGGCCGCACATGTTAATCTCGTCGATGGGCTGGCGGTGGTCCTTGATGCAGCTCGTCAAGAAGGTGTTGAAGTTGTCCAGGAAGCGCTCCATGTCCACGTCGTAGTAGAGCGCCGTCGAGTACTCAATCTTCAAGTCGAGGCTGTGCTCGGACGTCTCAATGGCCTCGAGCTGAATGTCCGCTGCCGTAGGGATATCGTCCGACTCGATATCCTCGACGGTGAAGTCGACAGTCTGATAGGTAGGGACAGGTCCGTGAATTTGGTAGTTGACGGCGATTTGTCCAACTGGCATGTGGCTGCTAGTCTTCTTGACGTTCATGATGTCCACAATGGTATCGAACGGAACACCACTGTGGGCCATGGCGTCCAGAGCACGGGTCTTGGTAACCTGGAACAGCTGGTCGAAAGGAACGTCGCAGTCATCTACAGGTGCGGTTAGAAAGAGTTGACGAAATGTCACATCCACGGGGAGCCATTTGTAGAGCTACGAAACATACCGTTGCAACGGACCGGGGCCAGGTTCACAAAGAATCCCATGAGCGGGTCAGTATCCGGATGAGGCCGGTTGCCGTCCACCATCAGGAGAACAAGGTCCTTCTCCTCGGTGTACCTGTAAAGGAACGCACGGAAGGCAGCCAGGACAAAGTGGAATGGCGTTCCGCTCGACTGAGCCGCGACGCGCTTCATGCGCCCAAACAGCTTGGCATCGAGGTTCGTCTTCACCTTCTGGCGGCGAGGGTCGCTCCTAGCAGGACGCTCTCCCTTGGCGAAAGGAAGCACCTTGCTTGACTGGGGCAGGCCCTCAAGAGTAGAGCGCCACCAGTCGAGGTCTGGCTTCATGAGGTCCGAAGCGAGACGTGCGTTGTGCCAGAGCGTGAAGTCGACATAGTTGAACTCGGGAGCGGAGACGGTGGCGAGATCCTTGCCCGTCTTGATGGCATCGTAGATGCCAACAAACTGGGACATCATCGGGAACAGACTGGCACGGTCGATGGAAATGTGGTGCGTCATGCCGACAATGGCCCATTCCTCCTCGCTGAGCTTGGCGAGCGAGTAAGTGGCCACTTCGCCCTCCTCGACGTTCATCTCAATCTTGCGGTTATACTTGACAAACTCCTGGAGCGCCTTCTCCTTGTCGGCTTCGTTGCTGATGTCCCTGTAGTCGACGCCGAGATCGAAGTCCTCCAGGGGCTCCTGAACCGCAAAGTCGTCGCCCTCGTAGTAGGCAGTACGCAGAGCGGGGTTCCGGACGGCCATCTCCTGAATGGCCTTTTGAAGAGTAGGGTAGTCAGGCTTCCCCTTGATGCGGAGCACAATGGGCAGGTTCAGGAAAGACTTGTCCTCAAGGAAGCTGTGCACGAACCAGAGACGCGATTGGAATGTTGAGAGCGGTACGACGTCGGTGTGCTGGATCTTGGTCAGCTGGCCAGTCGCCATGGCCGAAACGGCGCCCTCCTCTTCGGAGCTCTCGGCCTCTGTGGTCGCCTTCTTCTCAGTCTTGTCAGTGGCGACTTCCTTGGTGGAGGTGCTGGTAGTCACCATGCGAGCCGTCTTGGCCACCAGCGCGTTGATGGAAGCGGCGCCGAGAATGTCGAAGAGAGCAATGTCGACCTGGACCTCCTTGCGGAACCACTTGCGGAACTCGACAGCAACGATGGAGTCGAGGCCGTAAGCAGAGAGGGGGTTACTCGGCAGAATGGACTCGCGGGGAGTGGCAAGCACGCTTGCAATCTTCTCCAAGAAGCCATCGAGCAGAATCTCAGTCTTCTTCTCGACGTCCGGCTCCTCGCTGAGGAGCGCCAAGAGGTTCTTTGAGCTTTGGCTGGCGCCCTCGGCTCCGAAATCATGGTTGGCGTACAGGTTCTTCATGATCGGCTTGGGCGCCCAGTACACATCGGGAGAGATCAGGCCAACGCCGCTGATAATCTGGTGGCCGTTGCAGCCGCGAGGAGTGATGGGGGCGACGGACTTGTCTGCCAGAACAGCCTCCTCGAGCTGGTAGAGAAGCTCCTCCTCGTTGATCATGTCCATGCCCATGCGGAGCATGACCTTTTGAAGCTCCTCATTCTCAGCCACGACACCCACGCCGGTGACGGCACCGACGTTCATGGTGGTACCGCTAAGCCCAAGCTCGCGGCGGTGACGCATGAGGGCATCAAGGTAGCAGTTGGCAGCCGAGTAGTTGGCCTGGCCCTTGGAGCCGACAACAGCAGCCACCGACGAGAAGCAGACGAAGAAGTCGAGGTCAATGCCGAGAGTCGACTCGTGCAGGTTCTTGGTGCCTTCAACCTTGGGCTGGCAGCAGCGCTGGTACTGCTCATAAGTCATGGTCTCGAGAGGCTTATCCTGGAGGACCATGGCAGCCTGGAAGACACCTCCGAGGTTGTTGCCAATCTTGTCAATGCAGCTCTGGACGTCTGCGCGCTTCGAGACATCTCCACGGTAGACGTTAACTTCGACACCGCGCTCGACCAGCCAGTCAACCGTTGCCTTGGCCTCAGTCTTGTCGGCACCGGAGCGAGACAGGAAGGCAAGCTTGGTAGCACCCTTTCGCACCATCCACTGCGAGAGAGTTCGGCCAAGACCACCGAGGCCACCGACGAGCAGGTACGTCTTGGAGGTGGTGAAGAGAGGCGTGTTACGGTAGCCGCTGCGCATGACGGGGACCATGTCCTCGGGGCTGGGCACCAGGACAATCTTGCCAGTGTGCTTGCCCATCTGGAGCAGACGGAAGCCCTTGACGACATCCGCGTAGGAGACCTCCTTGATTGTAGCAGGCGTCTTGATGTCGCCATTCGCAATCAGGTCGAAGCACTCCTTGAACAACCTCTCGCCGAGCGCCTCGTTCTTCTCAAACATGGTGACAAGATCAATGGAAGCAAACAGGACATTGCGACGGAAGGGATCCATGGCAATCTTGCTGTTCTCGTGGATATCGCGCTTGCCAATCTCAAGGAAACGACCGAAAGGCGCCAGACAAGCCCAAGAGGCGTGAAGGAGGGGACCGGCCAGGGAGTTGAGAACAATGTCAACACCGCGGCCATTGGTCGCCTCCATAACGCCCTTGGCAAAAGTGTCGTCGCGAGACGAGAACATCTGATCTTCAGTGAGGCCATAGACGTCCTTGAGCAGCTGTCGCTTGGCGGGAGAGCCGACAGTGGCAAGGACGCGGGCACCAGCTCGCTGAGCGATCTGGACAGCCATCTGACCGACACCACCGGCAGCAGCGTGGATGAGAACGGTGTCGCCCTTGGAGATCCGAGCCGTGTGATCCAGGGCAAACCACGCAGTACCCAGGATCAGGGGCATGGCGGCCGCCTCAGCAAAGGACATGTTGTCCGGCAGCTTGTAGCACCACGACGCAGGGTTGCGGACCAGGCTTCGATGCGCGCCCTGACCGGGACGAAGGGCAACGACGCGGTCACCGGGCTTGAACCCCTTGACGTTGGCGCCGACCTTGGTGCAGATACCCGCACACTCATCACCAAGCTTGAAGTCTTCAATGATACCCATACTGGCGGCGACGTCGCGGAAGTTGATGGAGGAAGCGCGCGTCTCGACCTCAACCTCGTTGTCCTTGATCTGGGTGTCCATGACCTCGGTGTCCTCACCAAAGTACAGAGTCTCAAGGAGGCCGACCTTGCCGATCCTCAGGGCCAGTGGCGTGCGAGTCTGAGGGGATCCGAATGCCTCCAGATGAGGCTCCTGGTTGGGGCCGTTCCTGAGCTTGCAGTTGCGGTCATCGTCAGCCTCAACGCGAGGGATGTACAGAGCACCCTGGCGCTCCGTCACCTCATCCTCGACGATCCTGCTGTCGAGAAGGCGGAGAATGTTGGCAGCAACGGACTGCGCAGATGACTCGAGGCCAAAGTCAAAGGTCACAGCACGGAGGGTATCGTTCTCGGACCGAGCGGCGCGGACGAGGCCGATGTACATGGCGCCCTCAGGACGGCCAGCCTCGAAAGTGGCAGCCTCAGTCGGCCAAACAACGTTCTTCTGGAGGGAGATGAGGAGGGCCTGAGCACCCTTGAACACGGTGCTGTCAGAGGCAGACTCATCCAGACCAGCCAGCACAACGACATCATCGTGGAGAACAGCGGAGCCGGCGGCAATCTCAGCAAATGTAGTGTGGTTGATCTTGCCACCGTAGGTAGACTGCAGCTCCTTAAGAATGATCGAAGTGCGGGCTGTTGGCTTCCCAGCGGGAACGACAACCGAGAGCTCGGTAGGAAGCTCAAAGGGCTCCGAGGCCTTGCGAAGAGCAGTGCAGAATGGGCTGGAGAACAGCTCCTGCAAGTCGGCTGCAACAGCACCCTTCTGGCCATCGAAGAGAATGCAGCCAGAGTCCTTCATGTAAGGAACCGCGTTGCCGCCCGACTCACTGACAATGACGAGGTCGTAAGAGTCAGCTTGGGGCTCAGCAACATTCACAAGCCCCTTGGTGGCCGTGGAGAACTCCTCAGCCGCCTCGCCAAAGTCCTTGCCCTGCAGCGACCAGACATCAAGCTGCTTGAAACGGCGGCGCTCCGTCTTTTCGGTGCCCAGGGACTTGATAACCTCCTTGGTACGCTCAAGGTCGGAGGTAACATGAAGGATCTTGGTGTCAGGGAACTGATGGGCAAAGATGTCCACAATCTCCGAGAGAGGCTTGCCCTTGACGCTGGTCATCATGTCGAAGTTTGGCTGCCAGCGCTGGCGGTAGAACAGAGTGCGCGGTCCCTGGCCCTCCGGAGCCTCGCGACCGAGGGACGTGACTTCGAGGCCAGCAATCTCCATCATGAGCTCGCCCTTCTCGTTCTGCATGATCATGTCGTTGATCGCAACACGAGGCGATGGAAGCTTGGTGAAAGAGCCGACCTGGAAGTGCTTGACGTCCATATCATTCTTCCAATCGAAGAAGCTGCCAGAGATCTTGAGAGCACGGAAGAATGACGGAACGTAAGGCTCGTCAAGGGGACGACCGAGGCGGTTCTCAACGGCATGGAAGATGACGTGGAAGAACGAGTCGAGCAGCGTAGGATGCATGACAGTCTCATCACCGGGGTCGTTGGGAAGCGCAGTCGGGTCAAAGACGAGGTCAGAGACTGCAAATCCAACGCCGCTCTCGATACTGCCCTTGAGAAGGCGGAACTTCTCGCCGTAGGCGAGGCCGAGGTCGGCCATGTTCTTGTAGAAAGTACCAGCAGGCATCGAGCGGAAGGTCTTTTGACGAAGCTCATTGAAGGATGTCCCCTCAGGATAGGCAGCCGTGTACTCAAGAGGAGTAGCATCGCCCTTCTCGACACTGATGAGGCCGTGGCAGTGGCTAGTGCAGTTCGAGTTCTCGTCATAGGAGAAGACGTTGAACTCATACCAGGTGTCGGAGTGGCTCTTGGCAGAGAGCGTCACAGGCTTAAGCTCCAAGAGCACCTCGACACCCTCATCCGTGCTGGGGATCAAGAGCGCGTTCTTGACGACAATGTCCTTCACGTGGATGTTCTTGACGCTCTCAACCTCATCCGTGCGGATGGCGGCCTCGATAGCCATGCTGATGTATCCGGCACCAGGGAAGACGACCTTGTTCTCAACGACGTGCTCATTGAGCCAAGGAAGCTCGCTCAGTCGCAAGTAGTTGCGGAAGCGGGGGTGTCTGGCAACAGATCCAGCGACGCGGTGGCCCAGCGTCGAGTGGCGGAACTGCCTCTGGCGGTGCTCCTTGATGTATCGTGTCTCGGACCAGTAGCGACGGTGCTCCCAGGTGTAAGTGGGAAGATCAACCAACTTGGTGCCAGTGGGTGTCTTGACGAGAGAGCCATCGAGACCGCGGCTAAGGTTCTGGTTGGCAGAGACCAAATCCACGGGGTATCCGAGAGAGAAGAGGGTACCAGCCATGTTCAGAAGTCCCTCAAAGTCGGGGACTCCGCGAGTGAGGGAGGCGACGTAGGGCAGGTCAAGTTTGAGGGCCTGGATAGTCTGGCGAGCAGGTCCCTTGAGTGCCGGGTGAGGGCCAATCTCGACGAGGATGTCCACGTTCTGCTCATCCTGCTCATCGAGAAGCACACCAGTCAGGGCATCAGAAAAGCGGACAGCCTGAACCATGTTCGCAGCCCAGTAAGAAGCGCCCATCTTCTCGTGATCGGCCAGACGAGACGTGACGCTGGAGAACATGCGGCACTTGGGGGCCTGAGTCTTGAAGCTCGAGTTGTTCTTCAATGCGTTTTCGTACGCCGGAGCCAAGGGGAACATGTGGTGAGAGTGGAAGGCTTGCTTGACGATGAGCTGGCGCACAAAGACCTTCTTCTCCGTCAGCCTCTCCTTGAGCTCCAGGATTGCGTCCTCGTCTCCAGATACGGTCATGGTCGAAGGGCTGTTGACGGCGGCGATCGTCAGGCGACCAGTGTAAGGTTTGAGCTCCTCGAGACACTTCTTTTCAGGCAGCCCGACAGCCATCATGCCTCCAGGAACGCCACCATCGCGGTTGGCGGACATGTAACGACCGCGGTAGTAGGCAGCAATGAGGGCACTCTCAAAGGTGAGAATACCGGCAGCATAGGCAGCACCCATCTCACCAGACGAGTGGCCAACGACGGCAGAGGGCTTGATACCCCAGCACTCAATGAGGTCAATGAGAGCCAGCTGCAGTGCCGTGCAAATGGTCTGCGAGTACAGGGTCTCACCGAGGAGTGACGTCTCCTTGGTCTTGCTCAGTTCCGCGACGATAGACCACTCGGGAGCGTCGGGAAGCTCCTTGAGAATGGCATCGCAGCGCTGGAGGCTCTGACGGAAGTGCGGGCATTCCTGGATCAGTTGACGGCCCATGGCATGCCACTGAGCACCCTGGCCGGTGAAGATGAAGCCAAGTCGAGGCGCGGCATTCTTGGCCGGGGTCCAGGGAGCGGCAGGGCGAGGGGTACCGAGCTGCTCGACCAAGCCAGCAGCGTCATTGGCGACGACAAAAGAACGCTGCTGATGCATGGTCCGGCGAGTGGACAGGCTGTATGCGAGGTCCGCCACGGTCGCGTTCTCGGAGCTCTCAACATACTTGGTGAGGGTATCCTCGGACATTTCACCTGCCTTAGGGGAGTGGGAGGTGAGAGGGACGAGGTAGGGGCGGGAGTGCACGCCGTTGGCGATGGGCTCAGGAGCCTTCTCAACGGGTGCAGCCGCATCCTTGGGATACTCCTCAAGAACGACGTGAGCGTTGGTGCCGCCATAACCGAAAGAATTAATACTCGCGCGGCGAGGAACGCCTTCTGGGACCTTCCACTCAATTGGCTGGGTAGGAACCGCGATCTTCCAGTTCTCGAAGTCGATCTTGGGGTTGGGTGTCTTGAAGTGCATGTTGGGAGGGATCGTACCGCGCTCGAGGGCCAGCGTGGACTTGATGAGGCCAGCAAGTCCCGAGGCACCTTCAAGATGCCCAATGTTTGTCTTGACAGAGCCGACGTAGAGAGGCTCCTCTCTGCCATCCGCGAACACAGCACCAATGGCTCGAGTCTCGATCGGGTCACCTGCCGCGGTACCAGTGCCGTGGGCTTCAAAGTACTGCGTGTGTGCCGGGTTGAGACCGGCCCTCTCGTAAGTCGACCGGATGAGCTGCTCCTGGGCGACAGAGTTGGGCAGAGTGATGCCGTTCTTCTTGCCATCGTGGTTGGAGCCAGTCGCGCGGACCAGGGCGCGGATGTTGTCGCCGTGAGCAATCGCGTCGGACTTTCGCTTCAGGATAGCGCAAGCGATACCCTCGCCACGAACGTAGCCGCTTCCAGATTCATCAAAAGCCGCGCAGCGGCCATTGGTCGAAAGCATGCCGAGATCAGTCATGGTAACGTATACATTGCTGTCGTAGTGCAGGGATGAGCCGACAATGATGGAGATGTCGGCTTCCTGGTTCTGCAGCGTTTGGCTACCCAGATGGAAACAGACCAGGGAAGACGAGCAGGCCGTGTCAATGGTAACGCTGGTGCCATGAAGATCGTAGAAGTACGAAATACGGTTGGAAAGAATGGCATCTCCGGTGCCCGTGACCTATGGCTTGAATTAGCAGTCTGGCGCGTTTAAGCCACGACTAAGGGTTCCTACCGTGTACTTGGGATAGTACTCAAGATCCTTGGTCAGCATGGCATTGTAGTCGTTGGTGAAACTGCCGCAGAAGACCGAGGTGAGGGAGCCCCTGATTTCCTGGAGAGTGATGCCAGCATTCTCCAGCGCCTCGTAGACGACTTCGAGCAGCAACCGCTGCTGGGGATCCATGGCCTCGGCCTCCTTTCCAGAGATGCCGAAGAATCCAGCGTCGAACTCCCCGATGTCCTGATCGAGAAAGTACCCAAACCGGGCGTTGGTCTATAAAAAGTCAGCTTCCGCATTCCCCTCTCATACAAGCCGCGGTCGTGAGCGACGTACGGTGCCCTTGTGGGTAGGCTCGGGATGGAAGAACCCATCCACGTTGAGCCTATCCTTGGGCATCTTCTGTTGAACATCGCGCTGTTCGGCGATGCTCTCCCAGAGCTTGCTGGGGGTGCTAGCCCCAGGAACTCTACACGCGAGGCCAACGATGACGCTGGGGTCCTCGGCAGGTCCGTTGACTCGAGGTGCCATCTTGATCAGATGCTGAGCTGAGCTAAGATCAAAGAATGGGAGGTTCCAATGAATGAAAGCCAAAGAACGAATCTAGTTGGACGCTTTGGGCGAGTTGAGACAGTCTCGTCGAAGATATCCCCGAGCGAGTTGTGCGTATAAGCGGAGGCAGGTGATGGCTGAAGGAAGACTTGAACTTCCTTGTGTCCTTGGGAGAACTGAAGTTAAAACTTTGCGTGGAGGTTGGAAGGTTCGAAACCTTCGATGATGTGAGCAAGCTGGAGCATGAAGATTTCGTCGTCTCTTCAAGGGTGCTGAGCAACACCACGGAGCGAAGGTCGAGTATAGGACAAGAGCTGAGCTGAGCAAGAGAAGCTTGGTGAAGAGAGCACACACACACGAGACAGGTAGATCGGATTGCCCTTTGAATCGCAAGGCGGCATCATCTATAAAGAATCTGAGGCTTCGCCTGTCAGCCGGGAGGATCGTGCCGCAAGAACCTCGGCGAGCTCGATTTGTCGTGCTTCACCAGCCATGGCGCCGCATTCACGATACCAGCTCCGGCACCCTACGGAGCACCCTCCCGTACCTGACGGCCGTCACCGTGCGGCCCCGGAATGGGATTCACCGCGATGGCCTTTCAGCGTTCTCGGGCAACGAGGCCAGGCGGCGCATCCCAGCTCTCGCGTGCTGCTATGCAGGGCCAGCACATGGCAAAAGCCCCTAGCGCCGAGCCAGAACGTGCGAGCCATTTGATTGCGGAGGTGGATGACGGCCGGCCGGACAGGCACCACCATCAAAGAGCACCTCAGGGGTCCTTGCATGCAGCCGGCGAAGTTGGCAGCGTTGGCTCGCCGTCACCCAGGGACTTTGACGGGTGTCGAGAGCTCAGGCAGGAGTACATTCCGCTACCTGGTGGCGTCCCAGGTCAGATGTACCTCGACTAGCAGGGGGCTGCTGCAGCCATGGCCACTGGGGTCATGATTGGGCAGCTGGGAATCCCGGACCCTGGATGGTGGCGCGGGAGGAATGCACATCGACCGAGTTCAGTTGGCTTGCTTTCTTCGTGATGACGACCCCAAGGCTTCACACGAGCCAAGACTTAACTTCACGCCCCGTTACATCGCCATGGACACCAGTGCTCTAGTGCTCCAGCGATTGCAGAGGAGGTAGGTACCTGCCCGCGAGCATGGCGAGCTCAAGAAACGCAGCCGTCGAACACGCACGAGGTTGAAAGCGGAAATCCGTGTACTTTGTTAGCTTCGCGGTAGTTTGTCCTCGATAGCCGCTTCGTGCTTTCACAACGCTACCGGAAGCATGGCGAGGGTATGCGGTGAAGAAAGTTGCGACAACAAATGCCATTTCGACAACACACAGACTCTCCAGTGCGCGCATTGTCGCTCCGGCACTATCGTGGCCACGGCTGCCCCTGCTGACTCTGATGAGCACTGAATCCACCAGCCGTATCAAGGCTCACGCCCCCAACACCTCAAGGACGCTTGCTGGGCGGTGTAGCCCGCCGCACACCTGCTGATTCGTATCTATTCCCGCCAAGGAGAAGAGCAAGCTGTAAAGCATCTCTCGAGCGTTTCTGCGTCAGTCAATGGGCATCGCGAGCGGTACGAGAAAAGGGCCGTGACTTTGTGCACGGATACGCGGCAGATCTGCACTGCAAGTGAGTCTCTGAACCCCCGACAGCCGGCAAAACGCGTGGCAGCCAGGCATCTGAGTGCCTTGGCTCTCGTGGCGTCATTGCAGAATGGGTGTGACTTGGTATCGCCCACATTTTGCCACTCTATGGCGTTGCCGATCGTGTCTTGATTGTACAAGGGGAGGAGAGCATTGTGAAAGATTACCTCGCCATTGGCAGCCAACCATGCAAGAAGTGCATCTTATTCACACTCTTGCAAGGCATCTTCCGATCATCTGAGCGGATGACTACTCAAAATGAGAACGTACTGTCGTGCATTGCGAAGATTGCTGAAGTGATCGCATTGAGCACTCTGGCGAGGAATGTTGGACCCTTTGCGGTGTGAAGGTTGCGTACGGATATTGGACTGTCGGTAGCATTAGGCACATTCACGTCGTGGTAGTGTGTCGCACCATTGCGTGGATGCATCGCCCGTGCCTGAATGGCCTTCAATCCAAAAGCAATTAAGCGAATCAGCGCTGGAGGTTATCAGATCCAGGCAGACCACAGGAAAAGGGTATGGACTGACAGGCGTGGCTGCCCGCCGCCAGCCAGGCGCAGCTGGGCATGGCCCTCAAGACCATCACAGAAAGGGGTAAGTGTATCCGAGGATGGACGGAGGATCTGCGACAGACACGTTGCCCACCAGGATATGTGCGATGACCAGAGCGAAGGAACACATCTGGTACTCGCCATAGATGAGGGGCGTAACTGTACTGTGGGCAAACAGAACTTTGGATGCCCAAGCGACACCGCGTCTCGTCATTTCTGGGAGGCAAAAGGCCACCGAATGGCTGCTTGGCGCGAGCGATACGTGAGACGCTTGGTCCAGGCGATGGCTATTGGAACCTGGTATGACCTGCGGCTCTTGCGAAAGGGAAACAGACAATCGCGAGTGGATAGTGCTCGACGCGGGCATGTCTGTCAAAACAGTCCACTGTGAGATTGTTTGCAGTTCAATGGACGTTTTACAAGAATCGCTAGCCCAGTGTACATTGCCTCTGGCATGGCCTGTCCATGAACAGAGCTGTCGCGCAGGCGCCTGTGGATGCAGGATTGGCATTATTGCCGCGCATGAACTCTTCCTCAACGATTCTCCGGGACTGGGCAAAATATAGAAGAGCTCGTTCCGCATAAATGACAATAGAGGTCGCCATCGGGGATTCGCTTGGCGTCTGGAGAAGGTGGGCAGAGGAACTATCGTTGACGCCACCAGATTCACTGGTAGTCAGAGCTGGGCGTCAGCAGCCCTATCTGTTCAGCTCGCAGGAAATGCCGTCATTGGGCAATCGCGGAATGCCCCTTCGAACGGTTTGGTGGGCTGAGGCTGCTAATATTCGCTTCTTCGTCAACGGGTTAGCAACGGCCCCAGCGGAAGGAAACTTCCATGGGCGATGTCGAACGCGTCGCCCAGCGAGAGTATGCTGGGCCAACGTGCACCGACCTGACATTACGCGCTTGCCAGGGACCCATGTTGTGAAACCTCGTCCCAAGACTTCGCAGCCGGGGGGAAAGGGCCGGGCGGTGTCGGAATCGTGGTCCGGGGAAGTTTGGTAGGTATACGAATCTAGGATTTCTGACTCCCTGGCAGAGCACAAAACATTGTTTGGTCGGGCATTACCTGTTGCGATAATTCGGGAATAGACCCGATGGTGCCATCGACAAACACACTGAGACGAACACGTTCGAGCACCGCCGGATGGTGGTGGCGGCGTGAATTTGGCGTCTCGGAGACCTGCAATTGCGCGCCAGTGATGCGGGCGTCGGGATGCGCCAAGGGAAGCTCGAGCAGCCGGCTCATGTCAGACGGACTGCAACCTGTCCGACCTTGCGCTAGGATGGTGAGCAAGCCGACCGGTTGCTGTGTGCCAGGTCGACGAATCCCATTGGAAGAGAGGGCTGCGCAGCAAGCCCGTCGCCGTTTTGGCCTGCGGTGCACCATAGTCAGCTCTGGCCCAGTGCTGCAGCATGCTGGTGGATGCTGGGTTGCATCCAGGGCAGGACTGGAGCGAACACTGGTGGCGTTGAAGGGCATGGCTGGGCTGTGTTGAACGTCCTGGTGCATAGGTAAGGTAGCTTTGATGGGACCATGCTGAAGGTAAAATGTAGAGAGGAGGAGAAGGTGAGGCGTGGAATGGTAGAAAGAGGGCTTGCCTTGCCTGCTGCTACATACGTACAGGGGTCACGGCAGGAGCGATAGGTCCATAGATACTGCCTCCGACTTCGTGCATCCAGGCATCCAGGCAACCAGGCATCAGGCCGCGCTGAAGCGGCAGGGGCGTGTCTGCCCCTGTACCATCCTTGACTCGGAGGGGACGCGCGGGGCAGGAGCAGACTTCCAGGCTTCCTTCAGCACCGAGCAAATGCAACACCCGACAAAACATCGTGAAACTGATTGACGCACATCCAGCTGCTCACACCTCCAATCACTCAGACTACGTCTCGCCCTCGCTGAAGAGTCAAGCGGCGACACGCACATCAATCCGCATGTATGTCCCTCCCCATATCGGAGCATCTAAATGCAAGCAGATCCAGCCATCTCACGCACCACCTAGCCACCGTCCTTGGTCTCGTCGTGCCGACGAGCCAAGCCACCGTGGGACCATGATTGAATTGCGGACGTGATGGCCTGCATCAACGCCCCCTTCCCTGCAGAGCGAATTGGCCCTGCTGCTGGTTGGCCACATATCAGGCCGGCTATTGTGGCGCTGGCAAACACCGCCGCTGCGGCATCCGACCTGTTGATCGTGGGCCTGCCTGGTTCGACGCGTCCCTGGAGTGGCTGCTGACACGACAGTGCATTGAAGTCACTGGACGGTCCCGCCCAGCCACACTTTATCTTCACGAAGCATGGCATCTCGGCTCCCACAGTCACTCCCACCCCATGGCCTTGCTGAAGTTTGTCCATCTAAGCGCTGGTGCGAGGTGGGACATGGCACGCACGTGGGAACGAGTCACTTGGACGGACACTGGCCGCCCTCTACCACTCACTACCTGTGCACTTTTGCGGCTCGCAAATGGCATGGCCGGATCTGCCTTGCGACAAGTATGTATGTAATGTCGTGTACATGCCGTGGCGCCTAGAGCTCGCTGCTCCGCCTTGAACTTGGGACGACAAAACGGAGCTGGCCCTCAACGACCCCGAGCGCCGCGGCAGCCACAATCAGCTTGGGGTTTGCGAGCCTACCACGTCCTCGACTGCTTTGCCGCTATGCTCGGGCATCTCGGAACGCTCAAACGCCCGGGTACCGCCCGTCGCCGAGATCATCGGCAGTGCGTCGCCAAGCCATTTCATCCATTGTTCATTCTCACAGTCCCTCCCATTGTTCCC